ATTGTTTTTCCATTTTTCCGTTAATACGCCTTTTTTTTTTTTTTTTTTCTTTATTTTTTTCCTTTTTTTTTTTTTTTCTTTTTCTTTTTTTTTTTTTTTTTTTTTCCTCCTATGGGCACAGTGTCTTTGCAAATCAACATGGTCCCTGTAGAGTTAGAAAGATTTTCTTTTATTCAACCCTTTTTTTTTTCAATCTTTTTTTCCTTTTCCTTTCCTTTCCTTTCTTTATTGGCTTGTAGTCTTTTAATCGTATAATTATGTCTACTACCACACTTTCCAACCGTGGAACAAAGGAAAAGATCCCAAGTAAGAATCTTACCACTATCGATACTTACGGGAATACCTTCAAAGTTCCAGATTACACCATTAAGGATATTCTTTCTGCTATTCCAAAACATTGTTATGAAAGATCATTGCTTTACTCCTTACACTTTGTAGCTAGAGACATCATTGCGATGTCTATCATCAGTTACGTTGGTCACAGATTCATTCCTCAAGTCGAGTTTGCCGGTTACGAACAATTGTCCACCTTAGTGCGTGGTGCTCTTTGGTTTGGTCAATCTTACCTCATGGGTCTCTTTGGTTTCGGTTTATGGATTTTGGCCCATGAGTGTGGTCACGGTGCCTTTTCTGATTACCAGAACGTCAATGACGTTGTCGGTTGGGTGTTACACTCATACTTGATTGTGCCATACTTCTCCTGGAAGTTCTCCCACGCTAAGCATCACAAGGCTACTGGCCATTTGACCAAGGATATGGTTTTCATCCCATACACCAAGGAAGAGTTTGTTGAAAAGTCTGGTTTCGATAAGGTTTCTGATATTATGGAAGATTCTCCAATTTGGTCGTTCACCGTGTTGGTTTTCCAGCAATTGGCCGGTTTACAAACTTACCTACTCATCAATGCCACTGGTCAAAGTTACGAAGGTTACTCCAAAATTGGTAAGTCCCACTATACTCCATCGTCCCCTGTTTTCGATAAGAATCAATGGTGGTACATTGTCCTCTCTGATATTGGTATTCTTTTAGCCTTTACTGGAGTCTACCAATGGTACAAGATTTTCGGGTTCCACGCTATGTTGATCAACTGGTTCTTACCATGGTGTTGGGTCAACCATTGGTTGGTTTTCGTCACCTTTTTACAACACACTGATCCAACCATGCCTCATTACAGAGATTCTGAGTGGACCTTTGCCAGAGGAGCTGCTGCTACCATTGACAGAGACTACGGCTTTATCGGTCAACACATTTTCCACGACATTATCGAAACTCATGTGTTGCACCATTACGTCTCAAGAATTCCATTCTACAACGCTAGAGAAGCAAGTGCTGCTATTAGAGAAGTCATGGGTGAGCATTACAGATACGAAGGTGAGAATATGTGGTTTTCTTTATGGAAGTGTATGAGAATGTGTCAATTCGTTGATGATGACAAGGATGATTCCAAGGGAGTCATGATGTTCAGAAATGTCAATGGCGTGGGTCCAGTGAAGCCAAAGGATTGATTCCATTTTATTGTATAGTATTTATTTTCAGCTTTCATTTTTATACTTCATATTATGCATTTTAGATAAATTATAAGGGTTGTAGATCAATGAATCAATGTAAGTCATGAAAATTAAGAAGAAACGAAGGATCCGAATATTGGGACCTACTATACATATAATTTCCAGAATTGCAACATTCATGTCGAATATTATTTTATGCCCCAATCCCGACCATTTGAAACATTTATTGTTTAAATTTCGATAAATTGCAATGAAAAGCTAGTGGAGACTTCCATCACATTCATAAAGCAGCCACACAAATAAAGAAAGCCTGGTACCAGCCCATTCGTGGTGACACAGCTGCCTACACTCCAGCTCCATTGGCGCAAGAAGTTGCAATTCGATGCCATGATCCAATCCTGCATATAAACCGGTTCATGCACAGTCGAAATTTTTCACCTAGTCGATACATCGTGGTACATCTCGACAGGCTAGAGGTCGTACTGGTTTAGTTTCACAGGTTATTGGCGTAATGTTCGGGTATTTAAAGGGAGGAGCAGGCTCTTTAATCAACGCGCCTAGATTGGTTGCAAAAAACGCACTTGTTTTCAACGCTAGTCGCTCACGTTTGTTCCATTCAAGTCTTCCGAAGCTCAGTGCTAAGGTACCGGAAACTTATGAGGAAGAAAAGGTCTACATTGATGAGTTAAATAAGACTTTGACCCCTGCGGATGTCAAGACGTTGACAGGTATGAGAAATATCGGGATTTCTGCCCATATTGACTCTGGTAAGACCACTTTCACCGAGCGTGTGTTGTTCTACACTGGAAGAATTAAGGCTATCCATGAAGTCAGAGGTCGTGATTCTGTTGGAGCAAAGATGGACCATATGGACTTAGAAAGAGAGAAGGGTATTACCATTCAATCTGCTGCTACTTACTGTTCTTGGGATAAAGATGACAAATCGTACCATTTCAATTTGATTGATACTCCTGGCCATATTGATTTCACTATTGAGGTGGAAAGAGCCTTGAGAGTTTTAGATGGTGCTGTCTTAGTGGTGTGTGCTGTCTCCGGTGTCCAATCTCAAACTGTTACCGTTGATCGTCAAATGCGTAGATACAATGTACCAAGAATTACCTTCATTAACAAGATGGATAGAATGGGATCCGATCCATTCAGAGCCATCGAACAGATTAATCAGAAATTGAAGACTCCAGCTGCTGCCATTCAAGTCCCTATAGGAGCTGAGTCTGAATTGAAGGGTACCGTTAACATTATCGATAGAGTATCCATTTACAATGAAGGTCCACAAGGTGAAACTCTCAGAATTACAGAAGAGATTCCAGAAGATTTGAAAGATTTGGTGGAAGAGAAGAGATCTCTTTTAATTGAAACTTTGGCTGATGTCGATGAAGAGATGGCCGATATTTATCTAGAAGGTGAAGAACCAACTGTTGAACAGATCAAGGGTGCTATAAGAAGAGCAACTATTGCTAGAAGATTCACCCCTGTTCTTATGGGATCTGCTTTGGCTAACAAGGGTGTTCAACCAGTTTTGGACGCCGTTGTTGATTACTTACCACAACCAAATGAAATTTTGAATCGTGGTTTAGATGTTACTGACCCATTAGATGAAAAGCCAGTTAATTTGGTTCCATCTTCAACTGCTCCCTTTGTTGGCTTGGCTTTCAAGTTAGAAGAAGGTAAGTATGGTCAATTAACATATATCAGAGTTTATCAAGGTAAGTTAAAGAAGGGTGCTTATATGAACCATATCAAATCTGGTAAGAAGGTTAAAGTATCAAGATTAGTGAGAATGCACTCTAATGACATGGAAGATGTTGATGAAGTTGGTGCTGGTGAAATTTGTGCCACTTTTGGAATTGATTGTTCTTCAGGTGATACATTTATTGGCCAAAACAACGAGCAAAAGATTGCCATGAGCTCTATGTTTGTACCTGATGCGGTTATTTCTTTGTCCATAACGCCAAAGAACAAGGATAACGGTAATTTCTCGAAAGCCATGAACCGTTTCCAAAAGGAAGATCCTACGTTCAGAGTTAGATATGACCCAGAATCCAAGGAAACTGTTATTTCCGGTATGGGGGAATTGCATTTAGAAATTTACGTTGAAAGAATGAAGCGTGAATACGGTGTTGAATGTACCACTGGTAAGCCACAAGTTGCCTACAGAGAAACCATTACTGCACCAACCACATTCGATTACACACACAAGAAGCAATCTGGTGGTGCTGGTCAATTCGGTAGAGTCATTGGTGAAATGAAGGCCATCGAAGGTGAAAACAGCTTCACTCACCATGTTGTTGGTGGTAAAATCAGTGATAAGTTCTTGTTTGCCTGTCAAAAGGGATTTGAAGATTCGATGGAAAAGGGTCCATTAACTGGACACAAGGTTTTAGGTGTTCACATGCACATCAATGATGGTCAAACCCATCTTGTTGATTCTTCCGAATTAGCTTTCAGAGCTGCCACCAATGGTGCCTTTAAACAGGGGTTCTTGAACGCCAAGCCTGCCCTTTTAGAACCGATTATGTCTTTGGAAGTTACAGCTCCAAATGAATTTCAAGGTGCTGTTGTGGGATTAATTAACAAGAACGGAGGAATGATTTTGGAAACAGTCAACGGACAAGAAGAGTTCACCGTTACCGCTGAGAGTTCGTTAAACTCCATGTTCGGGTTCTCTACATCCTTGAGAGCCTCCACGCAAGGCAAGGGAGAATTCTCATTGGAATTCCTCAAATACAGTCCATGTTCTGCACAGTTGCAGAAGGAATTGATAGCCGAATACCAAAAGAAGTTGAAGGAAAAGAGTTAGAGAAAGAAGAATGTACAAAAACTTGAAATATCTCCATGTATATAGGTTTAGAAATATTTTATTAAGTATTATTAATGTTATTATCATTATTATTATTGTTCCTGCTGTTCCTGCTATTCTATAGTGCTATAATGACAGACTCAGTAACCAGTAGCGCAGTTGTACATATGGCAGACACAACCTTGCACCCCGCAAGTTATTCAGAACAACACTAACATTCCTCAAATCTTTTTTCAGAGATCCTACACCGTCTACGACTACACTCTCTATGTTTCCTTCTTTCAAATTATATGAACGTAATCATTAAAAAACCTACTTTATGATACCCTCAAACTAATAAAAACTAAGAATACACACATGTTCGATGTAAATATTTATAAATGTATTTTTTCTTTGGTGGTTTCGATATACTTAAGCCTTGGCAACAGCCTTTCTAACAGCAAATCTTCTTTGTTTCTTTAATACTAAAACTTGGAATCTTTCAAAGTCGGTTAATTGTGATCTTCTTTCCTTAGCAGCTAACTTCTTAGCCCAGGCAGTGGCAGCCCATTTAGAGTCAACTTCGGCAGCAGCCCACTTCTTTTCGACAGTACCGGTTCTGGCACCTCTTGATAAGTTTGGTACGACAATAGGAGTCAAGACAACCTTAGCTAAGGCAATAGCTTGTCTTTGGATTTTTGGTCCATCAATCAAAACTCTCTTTTGATCGATAATTTCGACGATGGTGGCTAAGTCCTTGTTGTCAATCAAGACAACACGTCCTAACTCAACGAATCTCCAGTTGGCAGCTTTAACGGTGGAGTATGAAGACATTTGTGCTATATTACGTTGATACTAACTCTTGAAAGGTGATTAAAAAGGTATACTGTAAATTTTTTTTTTTTGGTACAGTATGCACTTGCACTTTGAAAATTTTCGGAACCCTCAATGGAGAAGGTTTGAAGATGGTACTGCATAGGGCGAATGACTGGTTCTAAATTGGAGTTTTTGCGTGCGCGGCACGGGAAACTTGGAGCCTGGATGTCACATGATAAAGAGAGGGTGGAGCCCTAGGACGGGGTTTTCAGTGCGAGTGCTCTGGTGTGGTGGAGCTAGGAGAGTGAGACATTCAATGCGATAGAGCGCATCCGCTGGCTGCAGAGAAGACACGGAGCGTATGTGCAAGATCGAGAAGAGCGACCTCTGAAAATTATACTACATAAGAAGCAGCCGATGTGCTACCATGATAAATACCCATTGGCTTTTTCTTAACAATTCGATGATTTTTATTGAAAAGAGGTCGGAATTGCTTTGGCCATTGAGGTCGATGGCGTAACGGTACCGTAAGTCACCTGAACAGAGTATTATTTTCCACCGTGTTTATGAATTACTATGGTATAACAAGACCATCGAAATCTCGTTTTGATTTCTTGATATAGCGTTTTAATTCATAAATTGGAACGCCTGGTTCAGAAGAACAACCAAAAAAACGAAGAGAGCGTGAGAGTGCGAGATTTAAGTGATGACCCATAATTTGCGTTCTAGAGTTGCAAATTCGAGACATGCCTAGTTTCATTATGGATTTGTAACAGCATGCGACCAATATCATGTCTGATGAATCCTCTCACTCTCTGAAGCTGGCGTAACTCTAAGAATCATGGAAAAAAAATACGATACTGTGCCAAATAGAATGTAATCCTCTTCTCTACTCTAGCTCATTGCTAATTCTGCTCATACTACTGCACTCTAATCAAAAAGAACGAAGTAAATTAATTGTCTACCAGATCTTGCTATCGGTGCCAGCCCGCCTCTACTATCTCTATCACATTGACTAACCACCATTCGCCATACCTGGCCCATTGCCTTTCGTACCACCACATGTTTTCTTCTTTGCATCCTGCATACAGACAACTCTCTTTCTTCAGTATGATTCATCACAAAAAACGGTAGTAGCTGCAAGAGGAAACACTCCTTACCTGCCCAGTGTCAAGAACTGCATGTATAGACATCTTTTCAGAGCAAAACAATCCGCTTACAGAAGAATGTCATCCAGTACCGCCAAAAAACCTTCTGTTCAACAGCCAGAATGGTTTCCTCCAACCAAGAAGTCCAATGAAGCTGGAGTCTTGAAACTTTACAACTCGTTAACCAGAACTAAGACCGAGTTTGTCCCATTGGTCCCTAACCACATCACCTGGTATTCGTGTGGTCCAACTGTCTACACCCACTCCCACATGGGGCATGCCAGAAACTACGTTTCCACAGATATCAACAGGAGAATTTTACAAGACTACTTTGGGTACAACGTTCAGTTTGTTCAAAATGTCACCGACATTGATGACAAGATTATCATAGCGGCGCGTCATGAGCATTTGTTTGAGAGCGAGATTGTAAACAAGTATGAAGGTGGAGTTACTTCAGAATTGGTAGACTTGGTTAAGACCGCCTTGTCTTTGTATATCAGTAAGAACTTGCCAGAGTTCAAATCGAGCTCAGAGGATAACTCTGGTTTCCTTGAATGGACTAAGTCAATTGATATTCAGGCGCAAGCTGTTACCATCCCCAAGTTTCCAATGTATGTTAAGGCTGCTTCTGATGCCCAATTAGCTTTAGACAATGTTCAATCTATTGAGACTGCTGACTTCTTCAAATCCGTCAAAGATGTTACCACGCCACACTTGGATTCCAAATTTGGCTCTGAAATCAACGACCCATCGATCTTTAGAAAGTTACCAAGATACTGGGAAAATCAATTTAATGAAGATATGAGTAAATTGAACGTGCTACCTGCAACAATTACTACCAGAGTATCGGAATACATCCCTGATATCATTGAGTTTGTTGAAAAGATTATTGCCAATGGATACGCCTATGCTACTAACGATGGCTCTGTTTACTTTGATACCAACAAGTTTGAAAACTCTTCAGACCATGCCTATGCCAAATTACAACCATGGAACAAGGGTGACATGTCATTAATTAACGAAGGAGAAGGTTCTTTGACTGGAGGGCAAGAAACCAAGAAAAACCCTGCTGATTTTGCTGTATGGAAGGCATCCAAGCCAGGTGAACCAATGTGGACCTCCCCATGGGGCCAAGGTAGACCAGGATGGCATATTGAATGTTCTGTTATGGCTTCTGATATCGTTGGCGAAACTATGGATATTCACTCTGGTGGAGTGGATTTGTGTTTCCCACATCATGATAACGAATTGGCCCAGTCTGAAGCTCATTTTAACAATAAGCAATGGGTCAATTATTTCTTACATAACGGTCATCTTCATATACAAGGTCAAAAGATGTCTAAATCCTTAAAAAATTTTATTACCATTGAGGAGGCTCTTGAGAAGTTTAATGCAAGACAATTAAGATTGGTCTTTGCAATGAATGCTTGGGAAAAGACTATTGATTTTAAGGATAGTTTTGTCAAGGAAGTTAAGGCATATGAGTCTACATTATCTAAATTATTTACCACGATCCGTGCCTTGAATAATGATTACAAATACGAACTGAGCTTACCAGGTTCATTTATTAGCAAAAGAGTTGGGCCAACAGAAAAACAATTGTACAAAGATTTAGCATCCACTCAGAGTGAAGTTCATGACGCATTATGTGATAATTTATCGACTCCACAAGCATTGAGATCAATTCAAGAATTGGTATCTAAAACTAACAACTATATTCAACAGACTAGTACGGGTAAAGTCGACTTAAGAATAGAGCCCTTGTTGGCTATAAGTAATTGGATTACCAAATTTTTAAACATTTTAGGGTTCGAAACAAGATCTGATGGCCTTGGATGGTTAGATGCTGAAGAATTATCGGGTATCGCTGAAACTGGGAACGGTTCAAGTTCTGTTGAAGAAATTGCCATGCCATATGTGAAGGCGTTATCCAACTTCCGTGATACCATTCGTAATATGGCGATTAATAAGGAAGAGTTATCTAAGATTTTATCAGCTTCGGACTCCATTAGAGCTGATTTGATAAAACTTGGTATATCATTAGATGATCGTCCTAATAACTTGCCTGCGCTTGTCAAGTTTTTGAATGCTAGTGAACAAGAAGATTTAATCAACCAGCAGAAGGAAAAGGAACAGGCCTTGTTGGAAAAGGAGAAGAAGAAGCAACTTCAAGCATTAGCAGCAGAACAGAAGGAGAAGGAAAGATTGGCTAAAATGAAGGTTAGCCCTATATTAATGTTCAAAGATGAGTCTTTGTATTCAGAGTGGGATGAAGAAGGTCTCCCAGTCAAGGATGTCAAAGGGGAAGAGGTCACCAAGAGTATGAGAAAAAAGCTTGCCAAACAACAGCAACAACAGAAAAAGTTGCATGAAGAATATTTGAAATCGAACAACTAAAACTATAAGTACAACATTTAGAATTTAATTTATAATTAATAATCAATATGTAACTTTCACCTTCGATAGTTGCAAAATTGTAAGCCCTCTGAAATAGCGTAGATGGATTATCAAACTAGATCACGTGAATGATCATGTGCTCTCACGGTTGTCTGAACACGAATTCAAAAATTTCACACCATTTGTGTTCAAAAACATCATTCCTACCCCATAGATTGGATCAATTTTTCATTCACGTTAGCAATTCAATGTATAATTTAGTTACTAGGTTGCAGACGGTTTCTAACCAAGCCTTATCAGCCACCGCAGTGGTGTCTGGAATAATCATCGTCTTGACTTTGATCCAACTCGTCATCTCTAATGTTTGGTCAATCGACACTACTAGTATACAAAATATAAAGCCCCTGGCTCTGATTAGAAATTCTTTCAACTACGGGTCTGTAAATAGAAAACCAAAGGAAAACTCCAAATTATCATTTGATTTGGATGCAGATTTGAGTCCATTGTTTAATTGGAACACAAAGCAAGTCTTTGTCTACTTAACTGCTGAGTACCCAGGGAAAAGTAGCGGATCTCTGAATAAGGTCACTTACTGGGACAAGATCATTAAGTCCAAAGACGAAGCTAAGTTACATTTGGCTAACCAAAAGTCCAAATATTCAGTGTGGGATGTTGAAAAGTCGTTCCGCGGTAGAGATGCTATCTTGAAATTAGAGTGGAACATACAACCTCATGTTGGTCCATTGATCTTTGGAGAAACGACTACTACGGGGACATTTACCTTTGCTGACCCTCCAAAGAAATCGTAGATTATATAGAATGAATAAAGAGTGGAAATCAATATGAAGAAACTTACAATGGGAATATAATATAAATATATCTGTAGATTTAGTTCTAGGTGAAGATCTAGATGTATGTATCATCTCTATGTGTCTATGTTGGTTAATATGTACAAGATATGTAATGCAATGGTAATTGTTTCATGGGCACGTTAAAGTTCACGAAATGTAATGTGCTGTGACGTGTTGGTTATCCTCTTGGATCTTTCTTAATGCCCTAAAAATTCTCTCTTGTTTACTTTCAAACGATTCTTGGAGTTCGCTAACCGGGGCAGGCTCAAGTTTATCAATAGCCCACATAAACTTCAGATACCGAAGGTGTCTTGCTTCTGCCATTAGTAAAAACTCTATGGTCAAAGGGTACTCGTCCATCAATTTGAACCATTCTTCTTTCAGACCCCCCAGCTCTACAAACATAAAGTGCTTGAGCCTGGAAAGTAAAAGATTAACATTGTGATTCTGTATGACTAGATGATTTTTCATGGGGTTAGGAGGTTTGAAAAATTCTAGGTCTCTCTTCAACAAGGTATCAATTGTTAAAGGATTGTTCTCCGAAAATTTTTTACTGAATGAATTTATCGCTTTTTGCAAGAATGCTTTTGAATTGACCAACTGCTGGGATTGATACTGCGCTAGTAAGTCATCCAATTTGATCATATAGAAATCCAAAACAATTGAGTATTTCTCTTGCAAAACTTGCTTTGAAATTGAATGATTCATAAAGACCATTAGTGCCTTAAGTATATACTGCTTTGCCTTTTCAGTTGCAACCAATCTCCAATTCTGGGTAGTTAAATAGTCTTCACAAATCCCCAATGCTCTTAAGAATCCATTTTTAGAAATCTCAGAGTGTTGTGGGGGAATGGAAACTAATAACTGCACCAATTTGTTGTAGACGAAAATATTTAATTTTATTTCTCCATTTTTCATTGGCTCAACAAGATCAACAATATCCCTAAAAAAGCTTTCATTGTCAATATTGTATGGTCTTACAATTTCGTAATCTTTCAACTTGGTTCCCAAGTAATACTGATAGCCAAGCTCTAAGTTAGTGGGGACAGAGACTTGCTTTCCTTGGTTTACTTCCTTCAAGTCAATGATGTAAGTATCTATAGTCGATTTCAAATCTTGCAAGATGTTCTGCGCAATGCTTTCGGCCTGGATATGGTTTCCAAGTTTCTTATAGTATTTAAAAATGTTCTTGTAAAGAGGATACTTGAAAGTATTGGTAACTCTTTCACTGGTCCTTTCCCGAACCTGCTCCAAGAAGTGAAACAACAAGTTATTCCCCGTGGGATCATTTTTTTCAAGTATATAGATCATCGTGATGTTTGCAAGCACTTCCACATTCTGATATAGTTCCCCTTTGGGGACTTGTCTCTGATTGTAGACAACATCAGAAGAGGTTGCCGAAGCAGGAGGTGCGGAGGATCCAATAGTACTAGTGTCTAATGTCAACCCGTTGATATCGTAGACTGCCTTTAACAAGTTTGTTGAGTTAGTGAAATCAGTTCTTTTAGTCTTATCAAGATGTGTTAATGCTCGCATGAGCCAAAAATGAGACATGATGGAGACCAGAACATCATTAGATGTCATGTCTTTGAATAACTCCAATACATTATTATGCTGGCCATTAAGAACGTGATATTTCATTATGGGATGGTAGTGCCTCTCATTCAATAGCTGTAAATTGCTCTTCTTCAAGAATTCCAAAACTTGTTCTGCTCTGTCCAAATTGTTATCAACGTATATGTAATAATTTATCAATTCCATAAACCACTCAGCCGTGGGTATAACTTTAGAAGTTAAATGCAGGTTAATAATAGTTCTAATTTGACTATGAAGGAGTTCTTTTTCATGAACAGTAGAATATCGAGAACTTTGGAGCCATCGTCTATAGTTTGACATTTTTGCAGTAAAGAGACTACCACAGTTATGTGGATGTGTGAGGATATCAAAAGCCATGAAACTCAAGTTTTCAGCTTCCTCATAAAGACTAAGTTTAGTATAGGCTTTCATAAAGTCGACATATGTCTTCATTTGAATGAGGTAATTGAATTGCTCATCAGTATTAATAGTGCGTAGTATCATATCCAACTCCTTTATTGCATAATTCTTTTGGCAGACTTTAGTTAACGAAGTGATAGAATTGGAGTTCAATAGTCTAGCAGTTTTGCTTTCCTTTTGCTCTTTTACTACAATGTGAAACCATTTGATAGCATTTTTCAAGTCATTGGAACGATGGAATAAATCAAATATCGTTTGGTATAAGTAGTCGGAGGAAATGCCTTTGCCAGAACCGTATTTCTCAATTATTCTCTGAGCAGTATCAAATTCTCCATGGTACATGGAGCTATTCACTAATGCTGCTATCACTGAAGTGTCTGGTACAAAGTTTCTGCGAAGTAGCTGATTGAACAAAGTTTTAACTTCATCTCTAGCTCCAATTGATGCTAAAGCATTCATTACAATTCCATAATGAACCTTATGTGGCAATGTTCCCTTTCCATACATATCCTCAAATTGCTTCTGTAATGATCTCCAGTCTCTTTCTTTCCCTGCAAGTTTAAGCAAAATAGAAATTTGTAAATCATCCTTTAATAAATATTGCCATTCCTTATACAATTCGACAGTTTTGGCATACAACCCTGCGTCGAAAGTTGCCTGCATGATATTAGTCAAATCATCAGGTGTCAAGCTGATTGTGTGCAAATGTGTAGTTGTACGTTTATGATATGATATCTTATCTTTCCAAATCGAAAGTGCTATCTTTGATTGGTTATGATCAGCCAGGCATTTCAAAAGCAAACTTAGCATTGTTAAATAAGTTTGTTCTCGATTTACTAACTTATGATTCCTCACCAACTCATGACTCTCATCGCTGCCAAGACCTACTATTATGCTTTTCAAAGTCAGTGATATATTGGGTATCCCAATAATGACATTTATGGCTCTCTGGTATGAACTTATCCCATTTGAAAAATTGTCGAGCCCTTCCTCGACAATCGAAGCGAATTCGAAGAATGCTTTAATATACCGATATTCATTTTCGTTTAGCTCATTTCTAAGCATGACTGATCTCTCCTCAGAATAGTACAAGCCTTTCCTTAAAAATGTAGTTATGAGATCTCTTCTCTTGTCAATACCTACTGATTCGTTTGATATGTACAGATGAATCGACGGTATATCGAAGTCTCCATCTTGAAATTTTATTATCAGGAAGACTCTTTCAGTCCACCCAGGGTCCAATTTTGCAAACAGTGGATGATTTTTGTATAAATCTTCGACCTTTTTCACATACAAATCGTATTTTTTATGGTTCATTAAGGTGGTTATCAATCGTTTCCTTTTCGAGATCAATTTCTGTTGTAGCGATATGACTTGCTGCGATTTAGAATCGTTTACGCTGAAGGCTTCGGACCATATACCTATTGCCTCGTCTACATTTCTATAATTTAATGCTCCGCTCGAGCTATCTGTTGCTAGAACAAATTTTGTGTATACCTTCTCGACTTCGTAGTCGGACATGCTAGGATTAATGCGAATGAGCTTTTCATCCAGCTGTTGGTGCTGGGGCTCGGACTCAGGCTCTCGCCCGGGAGTACCAATTTCGAATTTAGTATCTCTTGGTTCAAATTGTGAGGTAAATTGATGGTCATTACTACGATAAAGCCTCTTGGAATTAGAATTAAGGCGTCTTGAATGAATTGGTGATCTACGAGTGCCAATGCTATGATGGAATTGTCGTACGACAGAAGCTGAGGGCTTGAGGTGCTCTAGCAATGCACCCTGCCGAGTTCGTATTATCAACCCTCTCATATCTATTACTTCTCTTGTCTATTTACAGGTGATATGAAGGTATGGAGGCTGTTAGCTATATGTGGGGAGTAATCTATTCTTAAGTACAATTTTTTAGCTACAAATTGGAGAGATGCGATTTTCATAATTTTCAGTGCGGCAGGAAATGGTCTGAGATTATCAACTAGATGAAAAGTCAACACAAGACTAGCGGAACACACGAGGAAGAGGATAAGGAGAGTACGTGGGATTCTGAGATGTTGGCTTACACTATTGTATTACCTTCTACGAAGCTTTTATCCTAGTCTTGGGAGTATACAAACTACTACGTCATTTCTAAATTACTTCACATCTCGTTTATTTTTCACTTCTATACAAAATATTTTCGCAGAACTTTGACATCAGATTCATTAAATCAGTTTTTGTTATTTTCTAGTCAGGGAAGTGTAAACTTCTCGTACAGTGTGAATATGGTTTGGATCATCATAGTAAAGTCTGAAAAGCCGAATTTTCCTGAATTATACATAAGTAGCAAAACCTAATGACATATGTTAGTAATTGAGCCGAAAAAAAAAAAAAAAATAGAAAATAAAAGAGTCTCTAAAATTATCTCTCTTTTATGATGAACACCAAGTGAAAATTTCATTCTCGTCTTCATTCAAGTAATTTATCAGCTAAAGACCTATCATCAACTCCAACTCATCAGCACTTCAAAATTTGTACACAGAAATGCGGCTCCTCTCCTTATTGTACAAGAGAGGGATAAGTCAAAGAATATGTCCGCCCGGTCACGAGTATCCTCATATAAATCACCAAATATTGTTTTCACTAAACTTAATCGTACATACCTAATTACTGTTAGTATTGATGTTTTTTTTTTGGGGATTTTTTATAATAGAAAAATAATGATAAAGCTCTCTTCTTTGCTAATAGGCTCATACAAGGCTGAAACTTAACGATAATGCGATTGTCAACACGGTTCATTCAGTCGGAACAATTGGTAAAATGCAAATAATCTTCGCCAGTGCAAAATAGAGAGCGTCTCATCACTTTGACGTTTTTACATACCTTTCGCATAGAAATGTAAATTTCAAAAATATTCGTCTGGGAAAATAATCTGTTCAAATAGAAGGAAGATAAAGAGCCATCAGCATCAATCTCATTAGCAAGTTAATGCAACAAAATCAAGTACTGAGTAGATGAAGTTTCCTGAAGCAGATGAAAAGAAGCAGAGTAAAAAATGTTAAAGAAAGTAAAAGGAAAATTTTTTTAAAGTAGAGTGAAAGAATGAGCTACATTCTCGGTAAATACACGCATATCTATTATGTGGTTAGTTAATTTGGTTTTTAGGGCTATATTAGATATCGATCACTGTAACCCGAAGAAGCAGATCTTGACCACTATCGTAAAAGCCAAATGGCACACTATCAACACCAGAAGTAAACCCAATTGTAATCTCTTAGCATTGACGTCTGGATTTCCTTCCTGAAGAATTAAACTATTTTTTTCAATAATTGGACTAATCTTCATTATATTACTAGCACCTGTGATAGCCCCACTAAGTAAAACTATTACCCACTCTAAGATGTTAGCAATTCTACCATGCTTCTGATTGTTAACTAAAATGGCAATGATGAAATTAATGAACGTAATTGGGACCCATAATATGTTGGTGTAGCCATAAATTGAAATTATCTCTGTAAATACTAGCCTATGTGGGAACTTCAATATCCAAGAGGTGATCACATAAAGTCCAGCTGGAATAAATAAATTGTAGCCATAAAACAATGCAATCGAAAGTCTAAGAAGATCGAATTTATATTCATACTGCTTCGTTTCGCCTCCCTCAGTACTATTTCCTCCATGGATCCAGCTGGATATTATGTTTGAGCCAGTAGAACTAACAAACATCAAGAATATAAGAGTTCCCGTGATCCAAATAAATCCATAAAGCTCAGTAATGTGGTTTTCTTCCCCTTCAGAAAACGCATTGTTAAATGGGTTCAACGCCCTTTGAATCTTGTGAATAAATGTGTCAGTATCAAGATCAAAGAATTGCCTATAGAAATTGATCTGGAATACATGCGAATTCGAACTATTGATGGGCACTTGTGGTTTGATCACTGGTGGGTTACCTTGGGTACTACCGGTTCCACTACCGCCACCGTTTATTCCAGCAGCAGGCTTCGTATCTGGTTCAATGTCTGGAACTATATATGGTTGAGCAGTAATATTATCTTGCAGAATTAGATCATCATCTTGATCAATTAATGATGTGTTGTGTCCCTGATTGACCTTCGAATATGACATATTCCCTTTAATTTGTACAGCTGCTACACATCTAAGCTGTCATTAGACTAGGAGTTATTTTAATCTCGCTTTGTATTTTCGAGGTCGAAGGTGAGCCGATGGTCACGTGAAACGCAATGAAAGACATATTTGCAGCCATTTGTGAAGTGTGATCCAAATCTACAGTGTTTTGTTGAACTTAGACAGTGCCATTGTTCGGAGAATTAGTCCATCGACATTTCCGTGATAACAGTTTAATTGAGTGCTTGTTTCTTACTAATTGTAGTATAGCTGAAGACGTATTCTTATTATTTTGAACTTTTTTTTGCAAAATCTATCTTCAATTTTATTTGTTTCTGATGTTCATGAGGAATCTTTTCCAAAGAGTCTCCATTTTTTAACATTTGCTTCACTTTCAATCAATTCCTTTACATCATCTACCTTGGCTTGGGAGAAGGTGTTCATTATATTAATATTGGATCCAAACCTAGCATTATTTTGAGACGCATTTTGCTGTGGAAATTGTTGATACTCCGGAAATATTGTCTCATGTATTGGACTCAAGTCGAAATTGTTATCATCTCTCAATAAAGCAAATGGTTCGTAGCTGTCACCGTTTTTATCCTGCAAACTGGGGGTACTAGCTTCTCTAGACTTTGATATGGCCAAGAATTCTACTGAAAATTCAGACGTTGCAAATTTCTCATTAGTGTAAGCTGGCTCATTATTCTTGTGGTCGTCAGCATTGAGCAATTGCTTTGTAGTTAAATTACTTTCACCATCTAAGTAAGCCAGTGCCACTGAATCTTGATTTAACAATGGCGTGTATACCTGTATCGTCTCATCATCATCCTCAGAAGTAGTTACACTTGATAGTAAGTCAATCTTAGTGCCTTGTCTATCCACGGTAGATTTCAAATCTTTTCCAGTTAGTATCTCTTGAGAGCTTGTGGTTTCTTCAATAACAGGGCTATTATCAATCTGGTAAATTACGGATGAGTTTCGATTTTTCAAGGTCTTCATAATTTTCTTATCTGCTTCAGTAATATGTTCTTTGTATTCTGTGCCAATAACCTGATTCTCATCCTGTTTGAGCTCCATATTGAATGCCATCGACTTGATTCCTCGTTGAACACCTATACTCTCATCACCGTCGTGATCACTGCCATCATTTTCACTAACCTTTTCAGGCAATTTTGCAATATTCGTGACTCCTTGCACTTTTTCTTTGTTCTTTCCCAGCGTGAATAATGTTTCTAACTTGGAATAGTCTAGGTCCCTAGTTTCAGGAAACTTCAGGGTAATAATTGACGCAAAGAAGCAGACAATTGCAAAGATACCAAAAGTCCAAAATTTCAAATAAGGCAAAGACATTGGCACTAAAATATTCAAGCATAAGTTCAAAACCCACGAAACACACATACATATTGATGTCCCCTTACTACGTATTAAAACTGGGAAAATCTCTCCAGTGTATAACCAGCTCACACACAGAATGGTGGAAGAATAGACAGCGACAAGAAATAAGAAAAGAGCAAGAACTGCAGATGCTGGCTCTTCTTTCAATTCCCAGTTAAAAGGAGAATTAGACATCAACATTGGGTTTGATATTTTCAGCTTATTTAGTAAAATTATTAACCAGATAGATGCAAACAGGATTGAAAGTAACAGAAAGCCAAATATCAAGGAGTCTTTTCTTCTGCATCCATCTAGCAATAATATAGGAAATATAGTGAATATGCAAAAAATCAAAAACTGACTAGAAACTATCCAAACTTTTCCTTCTCCACGTAAACCACAAGCTTCACAAATATATACGAAAAAGTACATGACAGAGGTCACTCCTGTGATCTGAACTAATGATTGGATTGTTACTCCTATCATAGTATACTTCCAATATTTTTTTCTAAATAAGTCAGCGTAGGATCCACTGTCAATACTGGGTTCCGAAGTGTAGGCTGTCAAAACATATCCTCTATCTCCCAATAGCAGTCTCTTTCCCTTTTCCAAAGAGTTATCTTCATTTTTCAACCTATCAAGAGTCTTTGCCGCTTCTTGCCATTTTAGTCTAGAAGCATACCATTTTGGTGACTCTGGGAGAAAAAAACTCAATACAAGTAACAAAATAGTGGGAAACGTTTCTACCATCCATGTATACCTAAACGAAAAATCATTGAGGATATGGGTTTGAAAAATGTTTCCGACGTAGTATAGTACTAGAGTACCAATTGTAGAGCTCAATTGAACAATTGCTAAAGATGATCCTCTTCTGCTATTTGGAAGAGTTTCTGAGACATACACTGGTAAGATGGTTGACACAAATCCCATTGATATCCCTTTTAGGACCCGACCACTCACAACCATGTAAATGTTTGACAGCAATATGGCTACTATGGTACCACAAATCCAGGGAAAGCAAGCAATTTGAAGTGTAAGAATTGATCCGGCACTATCTAACATAGATCCACAAATGACACAGCCTGCTACAGCCCCTATAGAATTACTCGATGAAATCATCGTTTGTTCCCAATTAGACAATATTCCAAAGTAGTCGATAAACTGATGAGAAGACAAAAATGCGGTTAAGGATGAATACTCTAGCCCCAACAAGAGCCCAGAAAGGGCAATTATAGAAGTAATTCCATATGTTTTGTAAGTCTTTCTAAACATTTGAAGTTATTTTTCTTCCTACAATCTTGATGAGCTTCTAATTTAATCTATTTCCAATTTGTTACATTTCCTTGGCTACTTTGTTTCATTTGCAGCCATTTCGCTAAAGAATCAATGCTGCATTTTTTGAGAAACGATGCCACAAACACATGAGAGTCCTGCACATTGGATTTCAAGATAAAGATCCCAGACAGTGCTAGAGCTAGTGCTATACACTTCACCTTACGTACTGCAACCTGTTCCGTATTTACATTAATATATAAAGTTGAGCCACGTATAGAAGGATCGGCTTATCAGAAATAGCTGGAGAGAAAAATTGAACGATGGTCATTGGCAAAGTATCGCCAGACCGATCTCAATTCGTCAAGCAAACGCTTATACATTCCCCTATATTCACCAACATATTCCCAACTTTTAATGTGGATATATCTAAAAAATTTAAAGGATTACCGAATACTTCGATAGACGAGAGTGACCAGTACCTTGTACCGAATGAAGATTCACAAATGGATGCGTTTGATGATGATGACGATGATGATTTCTCGATGATAGGCAGATCAGTTAGCGCAGGAGAAACTAGCAACTCCGGAACTGATCAAATCAAGATAGACAAAGTGGAGCCAGAATTGGTTACCATTAAAATAATTGTAAAGATAACATCTATTCTAGTTAATAACATAGAATATTCATTCCCTGCTCCAATTAGATCCTCATGTATGGTCAACGGAGTCAAAGACAATGAAACCGGTAGATTTGGAGAGGATTCCATCTTGATATCGTTAAAGTCAGGGTTCTTGTTTTTAATCCGTGTTTTTTTGGTACCAAGAGAGTACACTGATAAGTATTACGGAAAGGAATGGGACGCTAAGTCTAATCAAAACCTAATTTACAAGCCATTTATTCTCCAATGGTGGGACACTGGCAGTAATTTGCAAATGCCTTCATTGGATTCTTCAGGATTCCAACTCATTTCACATTCCTCAGGAAAGTCAACGGTATCTGCATCAGCCAGTAATGTATTCAGAATTTACAATAGCCAATCCACCGAAGCAGGGATACTCTTTGGACCGCATACTAATGTTCCCGTAGATGGTATCATTCTAAACTCTTGCTTTGCGGAACCTTTGCCTGATTGTATTGATGAAAATCATATTATGTTTCTAGCCTTGATATTCACTGAAAACAGAAGACTCGAATTGAATCTATTTGAATGGATTGCAAAGGAGCTGACCTCTCCACTAAACTTAACGAAAAAGGTTTTACCTTTGAATAATAGTTTCCCTATTCCCATTTTCATTATACCACTAAGAAAAAATACGTCATTCTTATTTGTTTCAGAGCTGGATTTGACTGTCATTTCTATTCATCAAATCATTTCTGTTGAATTCGACTTCCTTGTTGCATCAATTGAACAAATATCATTCCCAACAGCGTTTTATATTCCCTTTTCCAATATCTCGCACGTCACTGACGATAGCATTGATGAAGTGATTCTTTCAACCGATGCAGGTTGCATTTATTCCGTACTAATAAACAAAAATGAAGAAATAACAATAAATTTAATTGCGAGGATTTCAGATCCAGTATCTGTCTTTGCAATAGAGAGAGTGGGAAAAGAGTACAGCATAATATTTGGGAGTGACACAGGTTCGAATAGGGAAGTCATCATTGGTGAATTATTTGATGAAGATATCAAACTCATCAATACGAACAACAAGAAATACAGTAAGACAAGATTAATCACCGATTATAAGAATTGGGCACCTTTATTGGATGTACTGATCATAGATTCATTTAAACTGAGGAATTTAACGAGCTACATAGATCAAGAATTGTGGACTTTAGCTGGAATTGGGAAAAGAACAAGACTTACTCAATTAAGAAGTGGATATAATGCTGAAAGAATGGGAAAGGTATTCTCCAAATTAAGAAAGGCAGAGAAGATTTTTGTTCAAGAAGTAGATGATCGAATATTCTTCTTGCTCTCCTACTCGTTTCATACCAAAATCTTTGAATATTTTGATGATGCTGAAGATGAAGATGAATTGTTAATAGACTTGGATGATATGGAGGGAGAAGACAAGATTAACTTGATACTAGATGAGGCAACCATGTCGAGTTCAAAAATCACGAATTCAGTTAGCGTTCAGATCACTACTAATACTGTATGCATCACAAACTCAATACAGGAGCCTCTAGTAAAAAGCTTCGATAAAAAGCTTATATTCGCTGATATAATTGACTCTCATATACTATTAGTGACAGAGATTGAGAATCAAGAGGAAGATAGAATTCAAACTGTTCTAGAACTAATGGAAGTAGCGAGTGAGATGGCTGATTTCAGTAAAGTCACAGATATAACACAAATATTGAAATTGATCTGGACAATTGAACTAAACGAGGAGCCTTCCATGGCTAAATTTTTTAAAGTTGACAAAGAGATATTTATTGCGATAGGTAATTTTGATGGAACTATAGAAGTAAAAGGGGCATTGAATCCTACTTTCAACAAAAAAATATATTTGTGCTCTTTCAACCCATACCACCAAGGCTTTGCTTCTGGATGTGAAAATCTTAACATCCCTCATGACATATTTGTTCATAGGGTGCAAAATCTGAACCAGTTTAGTATTGGAACAAAGGACGGATACCTTATTAATGTGTCATTTTCGTTGGAAGCGGATCAGCCGATGGAGGTTAATTGCTCTCAATTCCTAAAAGTAAGTGATACTGCGGTAGAATTCTGTGAGATCGAAGAAGACCCAATGATGTATTTCATAATTTCAAGAAACTTATGGCTAGTTAACTTATACCAGTCTATTTATCCTCAAAAAGTCTTTTTCAATGAAACAACCGACAGAGCCACCTATTCTATGATTCAACTAAAGCTTCCACTGTTCATTCTGAATGATGAAAATAGCAAAATACTTACATCGACAATGAAATACTTCGGGTTTTTACGAGAAGATGGTGTGAGCGTAGGTATTGTTCATACCGCATCTAGAATGCCAAACATGAAGCATTTAATAATTGGAGAATTTGCCAAAAAAATGATGTACGTTCCATTCGTGTCATCCTTCATGGTACTTTGTGAATCCAAGAATCCAAATTCTAGGCTCAAGTTTATTGATAGGAAGCTGTTAAAACCCTTGAAACACATTGAATACAACAAAAATAAGCTTGTAGATTTCATAATTGGCGAAGATGAAATTCCCACGGCAATGAGTATATGGTCGATTCAAAGACAAGATCAAAGGACTTCCAAAAAGCTTTTGATTGCCTTCAGTACGGATGGTAACACTAAGGGGTTAATGAAAATTATAGACATATCCTCTAATGCAAACAATGAAGCGCCACCGACAATAGTTGTTACTGAATTGAACTCTTTTGAATGGAAAGAGCCAATTACATGTATAAACCAAATTGAAGATTCTATAATCTTTGCGAGTGGAAGCTCTATAAATTCTACGAGCTATAACATCGCAGAAAGAAAGCTTAACAATATTGTTGTACTAGTAAAGCTATCAAGTAAAGTGATATCAATTTCGACTAATAAAGAGACCAGTGAAGTATTGGTCACGACAAATTTTGATTCCATTTACAAATTCAAATACCTGAGTGGACTTGGTATTGAAAAATTACAATTGACGGCAAAAGATCCTTCTCCTAAGAGCTTAGTCAACGAAACTGAATTAGTTGGTGGAGAGATCGTAGTTGCCGATAAGCTCCATTCCTCTGTTGTAGTCATGGATCAGAAGGATGAAGTATTGCAAAAGTTATTTAATATTAGAATGTCATGTATTCCAAGGGTATACCGTGGAACTTTCAAAAATATATGGGAAAGCGAAAAAACAGACGATTATCATAGTGATATATTGAATGGTGAAACAGATCCTAAACAGGACGAGTTGGCAGAAGATTATCATTCAAATGGAAGTATCATCAGTGTTGGTGTTAATGGCGAAATAACTACTTTACGAAAGTTGGAAAACCATTCAAATACCCCTTCAGTTGAAAACTTAAACTTACCTTTTGCAGACAAGTTAAACGGGAAAGGGTTGTTTTCATTATACAAGCCATTCTTCAACTATAGAGAAAATAAAGGTTCCATAATTGATCTTGATTTGGACTCGATATCAAGTATTAGCTCCATAAATCTTAGCATTTGAGGACTTTCACCATTTTATTCGGACTATATATTTAAAAATGTAGTAGATTATGGGCAAAATTTAAATAATATGTATGTATTGAAATAATAAATTATGTATCTGTTCTCACTTCTATAGTTGAGCATTTTCGCTGACCAAACTTTCATCATTAATGTTATCATCTTCATCTTTCTCTATTATGGACAACTTCTTTTTAAATCTTTTCTGCCTCAATTTTTGTGCAGCAGATTCTCTTTCCGATCCATTGCTGTCAGAAGGAGGTCCTCTGAGCTCCTGCAACAAATTTCTGGCTCTTGAACCAAGATCATCATCTTCTTCGCCGTTCAGTTCTTTGATAGGAGAATCGCTACCTATTGCCTCTTTCTCAGGAGAAAATGGTAGTGTCCTATCCGCGGTGATTGGACTCTTAACCAGGTCTTCTTCGACAGGTTCTCCAATAGAATCATGACCCTGGGATTGCATATCTTCATCCTCTTCACTGAATTCAGTTAACAAATTTTGCAAACTTGATGATTTCTTATTCTCCAATAGATGCTTTCTCATAAGAGCACGTTTTCTAGCAGATGAAGCCTCACCCTTAGGAGGTCCTGCGGCCTTTAATTTTTCTAATAATGAATCCATGACATCGTCACCATCGTCTTCACTGTTATCCTTAGAGTCATCGGCTTTACTTTTGAGAGCTTTCTTAGGAGTTTCTAGAAGTTTCTTCCTTTGTTCATATATTCTCAATTCTTCTTCACGCTTGATGTTTTCTGCCGAGGACTTCTTGAAATCTCCTATGAAGTTCGAGAATTTGCTCATAAACGAATTTCTAGAAAACGAGTCCGTTGGATCTTCTCCAAAGTATCTCATCAATTTATTGAATTCTTTCAATGTATAAGTAGATTGATCCAATAACATGTCACCCTTTCTTCTCGCTTTGGGCAAAGTTGGCAGTACAACCTTTAGAACTCTATCATTTGGATGGAATTTAGACAGATCACTCAAGTTTCCTATATCAATAGAGCTTTGTACATTCTTAATTGCTTGTGCATATTCTTTACAATCATTCTCTATGACTTCAATGGAAAATTTTGAAACTTCGAAGCACTTTGATACTTCATTCATGAATTCAAGAAGTTCAGGATATTGCATTCTGATAATCTTTTCAACATAATGTAAAAATGACATACTGTTCTTTTCATCCTTCATGAAACTCAATCTTTGCAATGAACTTAACTTGAAACCCTGAGCTTGTTTTGTACTGTCATTCATGTAGTTACCGACAGCCAAAATAATATCGAAAACGCTTCTCAAATGCTTTGAATTCTTAATATTCTCCACAGCTTCATCAATAGATCTAAGCTTGAGAATCATATCTTCATACTCTTTCTCAAAATTTAGAACAACCTTCAATGCCCTGACTCTCGACTTCCAATAATGTTGTAAATTGTAAAACAATTCTAAGTATATTCTATCTGGCCTTTGTAATTCAAGTGGATCCTTGTCAGGTCTTGACGGAGTCTCATCACTTGTATAGTCAGTAGCATAGGGCTCAAAATTCCTTGCCAAGGTATTAGAAACATGTACAATATCTTCTTTACCAAGGAATTCTATAACTGAAGAATTATTTAATACATCTTTATCACAGCGCAATATCTTGAGGATCAATTCTTCGTCTGGAACGTTATTGAATGAATGCAAGTTAATTCCAAATTGTTGAGCAATATCTCTAGACAAAAAGGTAAGTTTGTTAATATCTTCTTTCTTTTTTGTTGCCAATTTTTTAATTTCCTTTGCCGCAAAGATCACTTCAATTTCATCGAAAACACCCTTTGACATTAAATCGGACGCAACTATATTCGAATTAGTATCCTTCCAAAAAGAATTATTAGTATCATTATCAAACTTTTCCCAATGCAATTGCTTCAACTTCTTCTTAGGTCTTGGATACATATCGAATGGACCCGGAAGAGGGATTGGAGCTTCCTCACGACTTTTTCTATCAGATGACTTGACTTCTGGGAGTGGAGGTGCTGGAGGAGGAGGAGGAGGTGTAGGGGAAGTTGATCCAGATAAGAATGCGGGTTGAGGAGGCGGTGGAGGTGGAGGAGGTGGAGGAGGGGAAGGTTCTTTACCACCCAATATAGGAGGCAAGGGAGGAGGAGGAGGTGGTGGTGGTGGAGCAGGACCTGGGGCAGCCGTAGAAACAGGTGAAACGTCAGCCGCTTCCGCTGGCTCTTCAACCTTTTCAGCTATGCTTTCTTGGATCACTTCAATCTTTTTAACTTCCGTCAGCCCCTCTGATTCTTCAATAGAGGGTGCCTTATTAACCTTAGAGCTCAATTCCATTAAGAACTTAGGATCCATACCACCAATTGTAGTTTTTCTGTTATTTTTATAGCCTCTAGTATTATCCATATTTGTTCCGGTATCTGCTGTTGCAGTTTGAACTTGACCTCTTGTGTACTTCTCTTCCAATTTTTCAAGCACATTGTTACCTGTGAACATGACAGATTTTCTCCTATCTGACTTGCTTGTTCCACTGCTAGGTTTTTGTTTTTCTTTATTAAGTGATACCAATTTGGATTCTAAATCAGCTTTTAATCTTTCGACTGCATTTAATTCTTCCTGAATCTTTGCTTTCAATACTGGGTCAACGAAATCAAAATCTTCCTCATTACTATTAAAATCGATATTGAGATCCTTGAAATTGAACTCTAATTCTCTTAATCTCTCCATAGCTAAAAATTTTTGTTTGTTGTAAATTGACTTGTTGTTGAATTTCATAATGTCATTTGATTCACTTTGTAAGGATGAGAGCTTCTTTCTCAAATTATCCAATGTCTCCAAGTCATCTTCCCTACAAGCTCTTGGAGGACCCTTTGGAACTGGCGGAGGCAATACAATATCCTCATATTCTTCTTCTTCATCTTCCTCTTCTTCCGCGACTTCTTCGATCGGAGGAGGTGTTGTAATTTCCTCAACAATAGGAGCACTGTAATTTTCAAAGTCTGTCATTTCTAGTTCTCTAGCCATGTTTTCCAAGTCTCCCATCTGCTCTCTTAATGCTCTCAATCTAGAACTTGGTTCCACTTGAGTGCCAAATTGCCTATTGTCCAATTTATATTCAGCCTTTCTCCTATGAATTTGTTTTTGCAATTTCTTAACCAAATTTTCATTATTTGTTTCGATTTGCAACGTCGTTTTACCTTCGCCTCTAGTGGCACCAGTTATAGAGGTGGAATTATTGTTTAACATAATTAGCAATTCTCTCATTTCTAGTTCTTGTTCTTGTTTATCCAAAAGATGTTTCTTTTTCAATTCTTCCAATTCGGTTGACATTTCGTCGTTCAACCTCCTAGTCCGATGTAATACATTCTCTTGCTCCTTAATTTCATTAGTCAATTGATTGATCAAGCCATCAGTACCAACAGAAAGTTGTCTAGACATTTCATCTCTTTCAGTGATTGCCTGTTCCGCCTTTTTCTTATAAACTTTGATCTCTTGTTGAGCCTTTTTAAACATCTCATCAGTGTTTAAACTAGAATATAATCGATTCATCGCCACACCAACTGCAGAATCATCATTTGTGGTGTGGACCATTGTCACATTTTGAATTAATCCATCAAGTAACCTCAAGCTTCTTGTCATTGATTCATTGTCATCTCTCTTATCAGTTTGATTAAGGTATAAATGTTGAATTGCACTTAAAAAGAAACCCAGCGCCTCTCCACCTCCACCCTTTTGTATATTCTGCCATAAAGACTGAATCAATTGAACAGGGTTATTGAAATCTAAATCTTGCTCAATATGTTCTCTACTTTTCAAATCCTCTTCGTCGTTATCGGCCATTGCATAATAGGTAGAAATTTGCTGATTTAAACTATCATAGTTTAATTCCAGAAATTTTTCAATAATGTTTTCCAATCCGGCAGAAATAAATTGAGCTCTCAAGTGAATTCTGACCCTATAATCAATTCCGTATTGTATAATTGTATTTATCAATAACATTGTTCCAAGACTGTATTCTAGTAAGTGATTTTCTAATTGACCAGCGCCAATATTTCCATTGCCATTACCAGTGGAACCAGCATGTGCAGATTTCAATTCTTCGCTAGCACCAACTAATGAATTCATATATTTACCTCTGCCATCAATAGTCTTAGCGACAACTTTCAACCATAATTCGAATCTCTTGAATGATTGAGGTGCTGGTGGCTTCCTTACCAAATTTCTTTTACTCTTGCTACTATTGCTGGAATTATTTATGTTAGAGTTATCAGCAGATTCGAACTCATAATATGGTTTGGTTGGGATTTGATCTAATGCCTTTAAAATATTATGATACTTTCCCAGTTGTAAATCACCATCATTATGACTGTAATATACAATCATAAACGTCAAGGACTCCGTCGCTATTTTCCTAGTCAAAATTCGAGGAGATAGTAACGACCCAGAGATGGCCCTTACGTACGAATTTATTTCATTCCTCACTCGTTCTGCTCCTAGCTTTTGGTTCATCATGCATTTAAGTGCTTTCAACGTGTTGAACTCCTTGTCAAAGTAATCATGATTTATGTCATCTATGGTGTTGGATTCATCAATCCTTTTCTGTAAATTTATCAAATAGTTTGACAATACGGTGTCCCCCTGATAACTGAAGATAAATTCTCTAACCCAGTCAATTGGTTCGGTTCTCAACGAAACCCAAAGGTTTTTCAATTGCTGTGACGTTATAGTATTAGACCTCAATTTGTATGAGTAGAATTCAGGAGTAGCGCTTTCTTCCTTATTGTTCATCAGTCTTTCGTACCTTTTATGTTCTGTTAGTGCGTCTTGGTATATAAGCATCCATTTCTTGTCAGGATTGTAGTTAATCATTTCCTGTTTAGCCTGTGGAGGAAGAGACCTAAAATCTCTTTTGTCCATCAACTCTCTAAACATTCTATCTATTTCATAGACCAGATTGGGTTTTTCCAAGATGAACCCTGCAGATGCACTGCCGTTAGTTAGTGTGTCATTAGTGTTGGTCAAGGAAAGAGAAGGTCTAGATATCACCGAAGAGTGACTACCCTTTCTGCTGACTGAAGATGAAGATTTCTGCTTCACAGGACTATTGTTGGCACTGTTGCTGTTGCTATTATTATTAAGGGTGCTTGTGGATATGCTGTACGTGGAAGCCTGTCGTGAGTGATTGGAAGATGTAATTTGTTGCGAAGGTATAATATTAGTTCTACTTCCGTTGGAATGCATGATATTGTTGGTCTGGGCTATTGGCAAGGATATTGCAGACGCAGAAGATGTTGTCCTCCGTGACGAAGAAGGATATGGGTATCCGTAGGGACCACTAGGAGTGGGGTTGGCACTGCCAGTTCCAGTGTTGGAGTTGGGGTTGGCATTCGAAGCGGTCCCTCCACCGCTTAATATGCTTCCGGAATCTACCAGGGAGACGTCGCTGAACGAGTCGTTTGTATTGTTGTTGGTGTACCTTGATTTTCTGGACGAAAATATAGAACTAGTGGAGATTCGATGATTTCGGTTTATTTCTGGTGGTCCTCCACTAGGTGTGCTCACTGATCTCATGGAGTTGTAAGCACGCGAGTTATCTAGGTCTTCCGTTATCTGAGGGTTTAGACCACCCAGGAATTGCGGCTCCGTAGGTCTTCTTCTCATCTCTGTATGCTTATGTATGTGTACAGGAACTGAACGAACAGCTTTCTACAATGAACAAGACCGCTTGCTAAGATAAAGTTGCCTACGCTTGTGTTGATACGCTCTTTTTTTTCCCTCAGGCTCACAAATGCTCGCTTATTAAATTTCGCTGTACTTTTTTTTTTCTTGCTTCTGACGGCTTGAATGGATTTCAGAAATGTTTCGCGTGCATGCAGGAAGTGGTTAAGGCAAGTAGAGGAATAAGGGATTTTAGAAAGAGCCCTGGAATTGTGTGCAGATTGAAAAGGAAAAAAAGAAGAAGTTCGAACGTCAAACTGGCTACAGTAGACTAAAGCAGTAAGCGAGTGAGTATGATTGGCTGTCAAGGTCGGGCTGAGATTCGTTTGATACACCTTAACTGCCGCAGAACGGAAAATTTATTTATGTTTCTGAAGCATTTTACCACATTTGATTTTTACGCTTTTTATTTATTTATTTTTATTTTTTTTTTTTTCTTACTTAAAAATGCTAATTATTTATCTTAAACCAGCAGAATTAAGGACGCGACCTGCGTCGCCCAAACCCAATTGATAGCTTGGAACCGTATTTATACCCGCACGCACAGTGACTATAATCCCTCACAAGCGTACCACTGCAAGGAGGAGAGCGATTCTGACGTGGCTCGGAGCAAAAAGAGCACTTTTGAGGATATCGTGACCCATTACATGTGGTACAAAACCCTGTCACCTACTCTCCACTAGTCGACTTTGCGACCTTGCGACCTTACGACCTTCGCACCTTTCTGGGGAGTCTCGTATAAATTCGGTGCTTAGTGCGCATCTCCACATAAAATATATGCATTTGAAGTATAAATAGAACGGAGGAAAGTAGTAGAGAGGAAGTGAAAACTTGTGCGTAGAGCATGTTTTAGGAAGTTTGTAGGAAACGTCTGTCGTTCCTACTAATCTTATAAATACGACTACAGGTCTTCTTCTCTTAGTTCGTGGATTTGCTGGGATCATGCTACGCATTGCACTACATACACTACATTGTACTACATCGTTAGTGGGGTTTTCACATACATTTCATTACATACATGCAGTCTCAAGTTTCAAGGCTCTCTTGTAACATAGCTAACGTCTCATTCAAATCGTTTTCAACTTTCTTCTTGAATTGTTTGGATTTAGATTTCTTTCTTCCAAGGCTGGTCTCCTTTTGAGTTTCCTTCGTGACAATGTCGAAATCTTCTGTAGAATCTGCAAATTCATCGTCTTCTGATTCGGAATGAATTGTGATCCTATCTGCACTAGTGTTAGCATTGTTAAAACTAGTATTTGCACTTGCTCCTGCACTTGCACTTGTACCTGCTAAATTAGCATTCAATGAATTTGACGATTCAAATCTCTTTATTCTATCCTTTACCGAGGAAGAAGAAGATTTTCTTGAGGTGTTTGATTTATTAGATGAGGAAGACTTAACTGAAGCAGAATCGCTTTGAAATGGTGGGTTGATTGGGTCAAATTCATGTTTTCTCTCAGCTATTGCGGAATCACCACCCTTCACATCTTTATTCAATTCGGGACTTTCCAACTTCTTACTTAGATCAGTCTGCCTGATCAGTTTACTTGTCTCACTGGCCCTACGCACAGGAGCAGCCTTTTCGTCCCGCTCGCCCTCACCTCCGATCAATTGAATGAATGCTTCGTAATGAATTTCTTCCAAGTTTGTGTCAACTACATTATTTGGATTGTCCCAATATCCGATCTTGCTCCAGAAGATCTTTGCTCTAATCAGAATTAACATCAAATACAACTTCATAAATTTGGCTTCTTCCTTTCTCTCGTCAACACTTGTTGGCACAATTCTTGCTTGTTCCAATCTCTTAGATAATAAGTCAACATTTGAGGTCGACTCTCCTGTTCCATTTATCATTCCAGAAAACCGGTTGAATCTATTGGATTGGGTGAGTACTGGTGAAGAATCATTGGATCCGTTTGCGTCATTTGTTCCGCCAGTACCACTGCTGTTAGTATTTGAAGTTCCCACACTCACACTTGAGTTACTGTTGCCACTGTTTTGTGCTGTCAATGGATTTGGCGGTATTAATTTATAGACATTCGAGTGAATTAATCTTATCTTTGCAAAGAATTCGCAAATGTTTCTTAATTTAATAAGACAATAATTACACAATGGATAACTGGCAAGAACTTCCTCCTGCTCATTAAGCGATGTTCCATTTGGATTATACTCTGGATTCATCAATTTGATCGAATAGAGTCTAGCATGCTCTAACACGTCATCTTGGTGTTCGTGACAGAAATTACAAGGTTCCTTAGTAGCAATCGGTGGATTGTTGGCGCTAGTAGTGCCCGCATTGTTGTTATGGCTGCTTTGGTATGTCAATTTGTAAGTCTCGTTAACTCCACTAATAGGCTCTATGATGGCCCGGCCTTCTACAATTAAATTCCAGAAACTCTTACCCTTCTGCCATCGATTTATGAAGTTAGAAGGTGTCGGCACCACAGGTATGCTTTTTTCAAGTTCGTCATTCCAGATTTTCCTGAAGTATTTATTTGCTTTAAGATTAGGTAAGTCCAAGGTATAATTTGGCTTTATGAGTGTGTAGATGAAAGGCTTGAATTCAAGTTGGTATTCTGCAAGGTCAAATCTGATTGATCTGATATTTGGAGAATAAATGAGTGATGATATTTGTTGCAGGTAAAGGAGGTTCTCGTCGTCGACCGCCAGGTTCGAAGATTTTGAGTTAATGGAGCCCTTAGTGCTATTACGGCGATGGTACGACGAGGAGGGCTTTGTGCCGCCATTAGTATTTATCTTTCCGTTGGAATTGCCAGATCCGGCTTCAAAGTTACCTTTCTCCAAGTTTGGAGTGCCATTCTTGCTGAAGGTCAACTTCTGTTGGTCTTCAATCTGGAAGAAAAGTTGCTTTAAATCTTTGAGTTGATCTTGAAGATTATCGATAATCGTCTGTTTTTCTTCAATCTCCTCCTGAAGTTTCCTGTTCTTGATCTTGAAGTTATACGTTTCTCTAGATGCATCACTAACCATCTTGTTTGCTTCATCGAATAATGATGCAGTGAGATCCTCCACCTCATTTTCCAACTCGGTGATTTTCTTTTCAGCTTCATCTTTCAGAGAATTACTCACCACCAAATCCTTTTGAAGTTGGCCGTTCTTCTCGGTTATAGCATCGTACTTTTTACTTATTCCTTCTAGTTCTAAGCTCCTGGTTTTCAACGTTTGGTTCTCCTTCATCAAGAGTAATATCCTTTCCTCCAATTCCAGCAGCTTTGCGACAGCGGTCACCAACTTTGTGGATAGCGTGGTCACCTCCTGAGTCAATCTAGCATCAAGCGATTCGTCAGTCATCGTGTGTAGAGAACAGGGAAAGTAATTTATCGAGAATTTGTACCGTTTCTACGAATTTATGAAGTCAACACGATCTGATCTGCAAAAATATAAAATATCGACTCGAAAATATCAATAATAAGTAAACAATAATCTACTTCAGCAACCTCACCTAAAGGCCTGCTCGCTTCTCGTTTGTTTGCTTTTCTGATCAACTTTTGTAAATTAAAATATTTTGTTTCAAGCGAGCGCGCGCATAATCCAAAAAAAAAAAAAAAAACACAAAAAATACAAAAAGGTTCAAATTGAAACCGTGAGGAACTAGGTGCAGTACCTAAAAAGAGAAGAACCACACCCGTGAAATCGAATAGAGGAGTCCTGCATGCTCAAGCGTGTAAGTGGTACCGAAGAAACATGGCACAGAAACCGTGATTCCAGTTTTCAGTACATGGTCTCCTCAGAAAACATGGTCAGAATAGTGTTGCGGAGCATATATGGCAGCAAAACAGACAAAAATAGTGGAAAAAATATATTTTAATCATTGGAGCTGATTACTAAGTCATAGTGATTTGTAGTCATTCATCCCATTCTTCAGTTTCTTCACTCACTCGCTTCAATTCTCTTCCAGACAAGCGCAAGAAAATAGACAAGAAAAAAAAAAAAGAAAGAAACCGATTGACTATCTGCACGTGACCGCAAGGACCCCAGATTTGACTAGAACCAGACCCACATAATTTTTAGTGTTGTAGCACCAACAAAAAAAAAATAAAATGGATCAGAGCCGGGATCGGGATATCACAATAGTCATACGGAAAAACTTTCACGTCTATACGACATATATAAACTAGAGTAATCCCTGTTTAAAGACCTCTTACAATACCTTGGGCCCCAACATATATAAATATTCCAAGATGTCTATGTATTTGAACTATCCGTATCTGTTTGACACTCCTATCGGATACACGAAAAATCCCTTACCGAAAAGGAGCTATTTCAATCACTACGTGCATGAAGATAAGCGTAGAGAATCACCACCACCACCGGTAACTGGGCTTACGTTAGATAAATTGCCCAGGGAGATAAGGGTCCGCATCGCAAACGAATTATCGCAACTCGACAGCTTCAATTTACTAAGAACATGTAGGTCATTATATCTGTCAACATTGCCTAGATTATACCAAAATATCATAATCGATCAAAACTATAGTCAGTTCAATAAGGAATACAATTACCACCAATTTGAAAAAGTGGACTTGGAACTACTGCTATTTTCATGTTCGTACATCAACTCTCCTTACAATTTCAAGAAGTTCTTGAAGAACTACATTACCTTGTACAAATCATTCACGTTGCAGTTGTTGCAGCACAGATATGTGGAATTCCCCAGTATCAAATCGTTCCTGTGTATAGACCTACCAGATGAGTTGAACATCTATGATCATGGATTGAACGAGCTATTAATTGAATTTGTTCAGGTACAACCCCATTTAAAGGAATTGATTTGGCTTGGCACTGGGTTCGAGTATAAATATTTAGAGTACTTACCCAATTGCAAGTCCTTGGTGAATCTTTCATTGAACTTAAAGTATAGTTCTTATATAACGGAAAAGAGACAAACTGCGCTTGCTGCGTACAATATGCCGTACCCATTGAAGATCCAGTTCCCCAACCTAACTAATTTAGAGATCCAAAATTTCAATAGTCTTTTCATGTTGAGGGAGATATTGGTTAACGTCTTGTTTTCCATTGAAAATATTGGTGACCAATTGACTAAAATCAAATTGTCCAGGTCCGATAATCATTTGAACGACTCATTATTGTTATACCCGTATGACTCGTTGATCGGCCCTAGCTTACCATTCAAATCGCACGAATTGAACACATTTGATTCCATATTTGCAAATCCCAAAGTTAGGTTCAACAGATTGACCTCATTGGTATTACATGACTTCTTAATCGAACCAGATGAAGCTGATTTGTTTATGAAATGTGTTAACCTAGAAAATTTAACGACACTTGAATTGAGTTCTGTGACCGAATATCAACAAAGCTTCGATGGAGTTGATTTAAAAACTAGTTTCTTATTGAGAATCGTTTCTAAACTAACAAATTTGAAGCATTTACGAATAGATTATAGAGAGTCCATAGTGGACTCAGTCCCAAAATTTTTAAGGTTACTCCCTCAGAGCTCCAAGTTACAATCGTTAGATTTAACAATTCGTTACAATAGAAGTAAATTGCGTACGTTTAGACACGAGACAACTTTGTATGAAGAGTATGCGCAATCTATACTCTTAAATGACAGAGATTGGACTCTTGAGAAACTTTCTATTGACATCAAGGAAGAGAATTTATATTGTGGAGATATTAACATATCACTTCCATTACCTCCCATGTTTTACGATTGTCTCTCAAGATGTAAGAATTTGAAATCATTGAGATTTAGTCCTTCAAGCGCTGAAATTCACAATGAAATATTAGAAATGGTTCAACTGCTCTCAAAATTGGAGTTTTTGGATGTTTTCGGAACTAAAGCTGGAGGTGCTCCTCACATGGGATTGGAAATGGTACACCCCAGTATATATGATGAGTGGTTCAAGGTTCAACATGTTGCAATGCTTTACTGCAAAAGCAATAAAAACTTAAAGTACATTAGGGTTAATAAGTGCGTTTTTGAGCATTTGCGTAATGATATCAGTCCGAGGGACGGAATTGATAGATGGTTTAATCAAAAGGTCAAGTTGGGATTTGAATAGCTGAGTTGGCGAGGCACTGGCGTGGCTGCAAATTTTGTGACTCTTTTTTTTTTTGCAAGTCCGCAACGGTTTTCTATGCAACCATTTTTTTTAGTCCGAGCGCGCGCATCGCATGAGAAGAGCCAGTAAAAAAAAAATGCGTAGGGCCACCGAACTCCGACCGAGAAGAGCTCGAGCCAAAGAGATGAATGTATCGGAATTACATAGAAGTATTTAAAAATTTAATCGAACAGGTGACGGTAGTAGTAAATTAAGTGGTAAAGGAGATAAACCTGAATGTTTAAAAAAAAACATCGGTTTTGTAAGTTTGTAAAAGTAGCCTAACCATTTATGCAATGATTATGTTTCATGGCACTGGGGACATAGAAATGTTTACAACTTGTTAATATGTCGGTGTACAAAACATGTATTATTGGGTAATTCCATTATGGAAAAAAGACCCGTATCTATAAAAATCATAACGTCATAAAGTTAGCAGATCCACTTAAGCAGTGGTCTTGAAGGAAATACCGAAGATTTGACCTAAGAAAGTGGTTTCGAATTTTGGTTCGAACTTAACTTGAGATGCTCTGATTTCTTGCATAATTTGAGCTTCTTTTTCTTGAGCGGTCATTTTGTTAACTGGAGCGACTGGAGTGGAGATCATTGTGTTTGAAAGTTTTTAAGAATAAATAAAATTAATCTGAAAGTGTTTGGATAGTGTGTACGAATTCAGATAAATTTCTTTCGAGTTGCCAATTGTTTTCTTATATAGTTTTTTTTAGGCACACATCACCATCGGCGTTTACTGTGGGTATGGATTAATGGGACATATTCTTCCGCATCGAAGGCGCGTTTCCTAAAGCGTACAAGACAAGGAACGAATACGAAAAAAAAAAAAAAAAAGAAAAGTTGAACAAAAAAATCTCTCACACGCCCTTAAGCTTCGGAGAAAGAGACAGAGGGGAGCAAATCACTTTAAAGACCGATCGAAAAAAGAGATAGAGGCTCTCTAGGACTTAAGTAGGAGATACCCCTCATGTCTTTCCTCATATCCTAATACATTTCTCTTCAGAACAGTCTTACCAGATAGTTCTCAACGTCTTTTCGCTTTTCTCACAGCTGTGAGTAATATTTAAACGCCGCTCGCCTTGAATGCGAACAATAGTTTTTCCGCTCGGCCTAACGGACAGGCGATGAACTGTGGATAGATGAGTTCTCGTTTGTGAGTCAAGATGACTCTTCGGGTCATGGGATGTTTTGATAAGGGAATGAGAAGAAGCGAAAGAAATCTAGACTGAAGTAGGCAGTGTACAGTAGCAATCCACTAAAGGACATTACTATGGATTGTCTTGTTGACTAACCAGTTATTCGTTGCAATTGAGTGGTGGATGAATATAGACGAAAGTTGACACTTCGCCTAATTTGAGCATACGGACATAAAAAATTTGCAACAGTAATACGCTATGGAGGGGAAAAAACGTACCTATGACTATCTACAAGCCGTTAGTACACAATAAACATTAAGATTTCTGTTGAGATTACAAAGATTACAATTAAGCACTGGTACCTCTTTGGTGGGGGAGTTTGGGGGTTGCCGAATTAAGTCTAGCCTTAACAGAGAGCAAGAATATCTATCTTGTGTGCAGTCCAAACATCACAGAATTTGCGGGCTTAGATGCAGAACAAAGTTTCGAGAAGACAGAGAAGGAAAAAAATGAGTAGAACAAAATTTTACGATCAAACGCATTCCCACGTGAGAGTTCACGTGACATGCGACTCTTTGAACCTTATTTCTTATCGCCACTGATGAAATTCTTACACCAACACTGTTTTCTGTCAAGTTAAAAGTTAAAGATCGTGTGACACTTACTCAAAATAATAGAAATTAGGTCTCTCCGTAAATGCATCTCCCGTTTAGGAGAGAACAATCGATTCATGAGCATCCATTTTTAAACTTTACGGTCTGGAAGATAAGAATTCAATCTCCCTATGAACTTTTGTTTGTAAGAGTCCAGAAAATATTAGTAAGTGTCAGGGAGGAATTTTAGCCCAAGGAATTAAAATAGTACTTTAGTGCTCTATAGTAGATAAGTAAAGAAAGTATCACATCTCTATTCAAATATATCAGCGTATCTGCTGAATTTCCAAACCTCTAGGTAGCTTCTCTCTATTAAAAACGGGTACATTTAACGGTAATTAGGGTTGTGCACTCGATGCTGCATCGATTATTTAAAATTTCATGCCCATTGTTAAAATTTCTATCAAAGTTAATGTCAAGTATCGATTGAGGTGGACTTATGTAAAGACGCAAAGATTTGAGCTTTTTCTCTCTGTTCAATTGTAAAATCCTAAAATATTCGTAAAACAAGGCTTCGCTAAAAACACCCTTTAGAGGCACATTGAAGGGGAATGCTTTATACCAGGGTTCCGTCGATCTCACGACAATAGCGTAATAAACTGTCTTCCCGCCTGTAATTTTGAGATTTGCACGTGGGGTTGTCCTCTGATATCCCAAAATAGAATGTGTGTACACCAAAAACGTGGCCATCTTCCTTGCGAAATTAGTGCGTTTCCAAGGGAAAAAGTAAGGTGGGAAATTACGGCCAGATAGTGGAGCTGCATATTTACGAACCCACGTGGGTTTTCTGCTCTACAATTTTAGTGTCAACGCTGCACTTTTATGCAAGTCAAGAAAATAAAGCCTAAAAAAAAAAAAAGAAGATGATGAAAGTTAGTCTCCTTGAGTCCCCAACCGCAAAACACCAGGAAGTAGCAATTCCCACATATCAAAAAACTCTTGTCTGAAGTGAAGGAAGCGTTTAATCTCTTGACATCTGCAAGTGATTCTTCCGTGATGTATAATTAGGGAAATGAGGGCCAAGAAGAGTCTAATTTAAAGTGACAGCTTTCTGGCACTGAGAATTTCCAGAGCCAAGTATATATTGATCTTGAATCCTCAAATCACCACGAAAGTTGTAAGGCATCTCGATCTGCAACTAATTAGTGCAAAACGCTTCTCACATGTATAGGCCTAGGTTGCAGTAGTAGCCCTCGTTTCTAACTTTTACACTTCCTGGATTGGCTTTATAATTTATCGCCGCATACTTCTTTAAAGTTTCCTCTAATAAGGTGATGTTCCTTTGCAAATGCTGGCGGATACGGCCGCTCGTTATGGACTACTGCCCGGATATGCCTATGCTTGTCCTGAATTGATTCGGGTTTAAAAAGCATATTTCTATTACCTTCTTGATTGTGGAATGGAGTAAAAAAAAAAAAAGAAAAAAAAAAAAATTCATTGCATACATTGCCGCACATATGCATTAATTAAACGAGGCCCACGAGACAGTTCAATGTCTTTAATAAAGTTCCTAAAAAAATAAAAAGAAATAAAATACTTCAGTACGCCGTTAATAGCAGGGGATTCTCTTTATAAAAGAAGTGAAATCTTTCCTTATTTGAAGTACATATTTAGTATTTTTTTGTTTCCTTTTTTAAGTCTGTAGTTGAATATTCAGACATCAAAGCAAAGACGAACAGAAAAAATGTCGGAAATTAACGATCACACAGCCCATGCTGTTAGTCAATCTGGTGGAAAGACTGCCTTTAAGGATTACATTGGACAATTCGCTCACATTGAAGATCCAATTGAAAGAAGAAGATTAGCCTTAGAAGAAATTGATAAGACTGGATTCGGATGGACCCAAATTAAGATGATTATGATTGCAGGTGTCGGTTTCCTTACCGATTCTTATGATATCTTTGCCATTAATATGGGTATCGGTATGATTGGTTACGTATACTGGAAGGATGGTGCTATCCCAGCTTCAACTACTACTCTTATCAAGGTTTCTACTTCTGTTGGTACTGTTATTGGTCAAGTTGGATTTGGTTTGTCTGCTGATATTTTCGGTCGTAAGAAGATTTACGGTTTAGAATTGATTATTATGATCTTTGCTTGTATCTCTCAGTGTGTTATTGGTTCATCTCCTGCAGTTAACTTTGCTGCTATCTTCTCCTTCTGGAGAATTATTATGGGTATCGGTATTGGTGGTGATTATCCACTTTCTTCCATTATCTCATCCGAATTCTCTACCACCAAGTGGAGAGGTGCTATCATGTCCACAGTTTTCTCTAATCAAGGTCTTGGTCAATTATTGGCTGGTATTGTTACCGTTATCTTGGTTGAAGGTTACAAAGACACTTTGATTGTTGCTGACAAGCCAGCTGACTGTGGTCCTCACTGTATTCATGCTTTGGATACCATGTGGAGAGTTTTAGTTGGTTTCGGTTGTGTTCCAGGTTGCATTGCTTTATACTACAGATTGACTATCGCTGAATCTCCAAGATATACCTTAGATGTCGATGAAAATGATGTCTTTGCCAAGGTTGCTGACGCTGAAGCTGCAATTGATGTTCACGCTCAAGACATTGCCCCACCAAAGGCTTCATTCAAGGATTTCTGGAGACATTTCGGTCAATGGAGATATGGTAAGATTTTGCTTGGTACTGCTGGTTCATGGTTCATGTTGGATGTTGCCTACTACGGTTTGGGTTTAAACACCTCTTTGATTTTGGGAACTATCGGTTACGCTTCTTCTAAGAATGTTTACCACAGTTTACACAACACCGCTGTTGGTAACTTGATTTTGATCTGTGCTGGTTCTCTTCCAGGTTACTGGGTCACTGCTGCCACTGTTGACACAGTTGGTAGAAAGCCAATCCAAATTGGTGGTTTCATTATCTTAACCATTCTTTTCTGTGCTATTGGTTTCGGTTACAACAAATTATCAGTCAACGGTGGTAAGGGTTTGTTCGGTTTATACGTTGTTGCCCAATTTTTCCAAAATTTCGGTCCAAACACCACTACTTTCTTGGTTCCTGGTGAAGTTTTCCCAACCAGATACAGATCTTCTGCTCATGGTATTTCTGCTGCTGCTGGTAAGGTCGGTGCTATCATTGCCCAAACTTGTATTGGTACTTTAGTTAACCACGGATGTGCCAAGAAGGGTTTGAAGACAAACTGTTTCTTACCACATGTTATGGAAATCTTTGCATTATTCATGTTGATTGGTATCTTCACCTCTTTGTTGATCCCAGAAACCAAGAGATTAACCTTAGAAGAAATCTCTGAGAGGTACCATGGTGAAACTGACACTACTAAAATCGGTAAGGATAGATACGCTACTCAAGAAGAATCATATGACTCTGACTTGAAGCAATAAGTTTGAACAACTTTATTGCTCTTCCCAAATCTTTATTTCTACAAAAGCAGCAAATGCTTTTTTTAACATTCGTTAATTTGATAATCAGTAATACATCTTAATAAAAAAAATTATTTAATGAAAATCTTTCCTCAGGCAATTGTAGGTAGAGCCAGCTGTAGCTCACCAGACAGAGATTTCTCATTGTTAAGCAATTTGTCTTAAAAGGTTGAAGTCTGGAATATTCCCTTAACCTTTTTGACAGCTCGAAAGCTAGTTGGTTTACGGATTGGTGTGCACTTGACGACGGTAGCTTAGGTTTTAGCTATTGATCTCACAAATTAGTGAGGAAAATTAAAGCACCAGCGGTGGGGAGGTGCAGCACTGTTTAGGGACCACTACGAATTCTATTCATTGCAGAGCATTACTATAGACCATGATATTTACTCACTTCCTCTAAGCTCCTCCTGTTGAAGCGGCACTACGCACCATTTCACTGTTCAGTCCTTACTTTGCTTCGTTCAATCACTATACTATACAATTACAATTAAAGTTTGACCCATGTGCGTTAACCGCCTTGCAAGACAAGTCCTACAGCGACTGGCTCATAGCGTCTTTTTTTTTTCTCTCCACTGTCCCTAAAGCCCCGCGAAGCTAGCGGCCCATGGGCTTATTTCTTTTTCATTATCTACACGTGGTGTTTCTTCTCCACAAATTATACAGCATTGAAATAGAAGTATCATATTTCAACCGGCTTGGTTCCCATTGACAACTAAAGAAATGATCGGCCACTATATCCGAACTTCCACTTCGCTCCGCTATTATTTGCCAGACTGGATTCTTGGTGGGGGGCTTTTAGTTTTCTTCTTCGCTATTTTGGAACATGCCAAACCGTTTGAAAGAAAATTCTCCACTGATAATCCCAACTTGCAATTCCCATTTGCAGAACAGGAAAGGGTAACAGACAACCAGTTGTATTTGTTATCGGTCTTCTTCCCATGGCTCACGATCATATTGGTGTCCTTGTACCAGAAAAGAAAGTCACAATTGTCTCAGTATGACTGGTTCAACTTGGTGTCTATATCTACCTTGGGGTTGTTACTTTCATTCACCATTACCTCTTGTGTCACAGATATCTTGAAAGTTTGGATCGCTAGACCAAGACCAGACTTTCTTTCCCGGTGTGGAGCCAGAAAGGGAACCGATGCAACCAAATTGGTTGGCTTTGAAGTGTGTACCATGCCATTCGGTGAGGCTAAGCTCTACGATGGGATGAAATCTACACCATCTGGCCACTCCTCAGTCTCCTTTGCAGGATTACTTTACTTGTCTCTCTGGTTAGTTGGTCAGTTCAAGCTTTCCGGTGGACACAGAGTGCTCGTGTCAAGCTACTTCTTCCCTGCCTTGCCTATCTTGTTAGCCACCTACATCTCATTGTCTAGGGCACAAGATTACAGACACCACTTCTTCGATATTGTCTTCGGTGGTGCTATTGGTATTGCGATAGGCTCGTGGAATTACTTCAAGCTCTTTCCAAGCTTGCTGAGCGAGGCCACCAATGAAGCTAAGATTCAAGAGAAGCAAGGCCCCATACTTCCTTCATGAGATAGTCCTACCTTATTTAAGAGTATACGATACATATTACGAAGTTCCCGATGAATGTGAATCCCTCTCTCTTTATCTACCTATCTATATCTCTGAGTATATTTAAGCTGCTATCGGTATCTGAGTTTTATCGAGCAAAGTCTCCGATTTCCAAATCCCCATGGATTTCTACGAGACAGTACTCCATCATAGTCCCATTGTACCGCACTAAAACTTTTCAGTCTACACTTCTCTTGTATAAAAACCTTTATTAAACTTAATCGTCCGTTGAGGACCCCCAATTAATGCAAAAACTCTATCCTGATAAAAACAAACAATAAAAAAATATATATATAGAATATATCATATATCTTTCCAAACTTTCAGAAGTCTCTGAAAGAAACAGAAAAGTTCAATTGAAATAAACGAAACTTTTCCAAAATATATGGTAAATAAAAATAAATAACAACAATAATAATAAAAAAAAGAGACATAAAAAGAAGTTGACACTTCCCTCTCTGGTAACAGAGATATGTAAAAACACATAAAGACTAACGAGTTGAGCGTTAGCCTAGCAATATAACGGAGTTCGTACACTAATCATTAAGTAGCAAAAAAATTTTGCTCAACTTTTTCGTAAGGGAACCAATTTTATAATTCCAATTTCTTTGGTTGTTCCCATGAGTTTTCTTGGTTGGTGAAGTGACCGTAAGAAGCAGTCTTGAAGTAGATTGGTCTAGCTAAGTTTAATTCCTTAACAATACAACCTGGTCTCAAGTCGAAGTTCTTTTCAATGATGGCAACCAATTCGTCAGAGGAGTACTTGGAGGTACCGTAAGTATCAACGTAGATAGATAATGGTTCAGCAACACCGATAGCGTAAGAGAATTGAACCAAGGCTCTTCTGGCTAAGCCAGCGTGCACCAAGGACTTGGCAACCCATCTGGCAGCGTAGGCGGCAGATCTGTCGACCTTGGAGAAATCCTTACCGGAGAAAGCACCACCACCGTGAGCACCCCAACCACCGTAAGTGTCAACGATAATCTTTCTACCGGTAACACCAGCATCACCTTGAGGACCACCAATGACGAATCTACCAGATGGTTGAATGTGGTACTTGGTCTTGTCGTCCAAGTATTTGGCTGGGATAACCTTCTTGACGATCTTAGCGATAACTTCAGATCTTAAGTCTTCAGTGGTGATTTCTTCAGCGTGTTGGGTAGAGATAACAATGGTGTCAACTCTTAATGGGATGACAGCACCACCATCCTTGGCGTACTCAATGGTAACTTGAGTCTTGGTATCAGGTCTTAACCAAGCTAATTCACCAGATCTTCTGGCAGCAGCCATAGCAGCGTTTAACTTGTGAGCCAATAACAAGGTTAAAGGTAACTTTTCTTCGGTTTCGTCGGTAGCGTAACCAAACATGATACCTTGATCACCAGCACCTAATTCTTCCAAAGCCTTCTCGTAATGTAAACCTTGAGCAATATCTGGAGATTGTTGTTCGATGGCAACTAAAACGTTACAGGTCTTGTAGTCGAAACCCTTTTCAGAGTGGTCGTAACCAATGTGCTTAATGGTGTCTCTGATAATCTTTTGGTAGTCCAAGACAGCCTTGGTGGTGATTTCACCGAAAACCATGATCATACCGGTCTTGGCAGCAGTTTCACAAGCAACCTTGGAGAGTGGGTCAACCTTTAAACAAGCATCTAAGATGGCATCAGAAACTTGATCACAGATCTTATCTGGGTGACCTTCACCGACGGATTCAGAAGTGAAGAAAAACTTTTCAGGGGCAGCAGACATTATGGAAATAAAGGAATGTTTATTTTAACTTGTTAATTGAGGTTATTAGAAAGAGCTAATAAGACTTAAACAAATTTACAAAATTGGAAGAAAGAAAGAGAAAAGAAAAAGAAAGGGAAAAAATTTTTCAACTTTTTCCACCCTAAAGCAAATGTGATCTTTACTCTATTTTATATTAATTAAAGGCACACTGGCACTTTGAGTTTTTTTTCCCATTTTTTTTTCGTTTATGCTGCGCTATACGAGAGGGAGAGCCACATATTACTATGTATAACATGCCTTATTTACATGGGAAGTCCCAAAAAAAGAGTCGGGAATGAAAAATTAACCCGTTTTAGTCTTTCGTGAGATCACGTGTGTTACATATGAGATGAGGTAGGATAGGGTGTACGGATGCTTCATGCATGGAGCCCCATGTACTAGTGCTTAGAGTTGACTCTGATAACAATAAGGGAATTTTTTCAGCCTACTGGTTTAGCTGTGCATGTGAATATGAAATTAGCAAAACGTTGGCCAACATAAACGTGAGCCTAGTGGGTATGGCCTAAAATAGGTGGGAGTGTGGGTTGAGGATGTAGATTACTGGTGCGAAAGCATGCATGCCAACGAGATAGGAATTGACATGAATAATTTAGAATTGGAATTGGAATTGGAATTGGAATTGGAATTGGCATTGGCATTGGCATTGTCTACACATGTTGGTAGTTCCCTCGCACTTGTGCTTGCACTTGCACTTGCACCTTTAATGATTGCAATTGGTTATGTATGACTAAACTACAAATCTACACAGTATGAGTCACTGGTTTTTTCTTCTTTCCCACTTGAATCTCGCCTCAGTATTGTTCAGCATTCTTCCCTCGCTTGGGACATTTCCAATATCCGTTTTTCTCACCTAAACCGACTCTCCCATATGGAATTTAGCGAAGGTCGTATCAGGTGGCCATAGATAAACTGCACTAAGGTTGGAACGATCTGGTATCAAACGCATGTTACACAAAAACACGTTTTGGTTTATTTTCTTTTTCCTTTTTTCTCTTTATTTTCTGTGCAGTTGCAGCCAAACTGTAAATGCGCGTGTCTGATGTTCTTCCTCTAACAAGTAAGAACACTTCAGAGGGTAACTAACAGCTTATTTGGTGCTTCACTTATACATAGAGCGAGTATGGACCTTTTGGATAACCTTGAAGATCGCGGGGGCAGAAAGTTCGAAGTCCAGTACAACACACAGATCATTGATAGAGATACACAGCAGGATGTGGACAGTGAAATAGAAACAGAGAAGAGCGATTATGAGGAAGGTTATGCTGAGGAGGTCTCGGATGATAATATCCTAGACAAAGTGAAACAGAAGTTAGCTCAATTAGATATGCCTGAGTCAAACAGCACCCAAATGGGCGAACCAAGTTGGGATTTCGGTAACTCGATGCTTACTCAAACTCAAGTCATACATAAGGAAGTGCAACCCAATCATCATCTTCCACAATTGGACCTTAATGACGTGGAAATCGAACAAGAAACACAGCTGACTACCTTAAAGTCTCCTCTGTTGCAACCATCATCTCCAATTGGAGAATATGAAGATGAAACCCAAGTTATCCCCCTTCTGAAAGAGGATAGAATGGCCAAGATCTCTAAACTTGCTGAACTCAAGCGTGAACAGAGGCTAGCCAAGGAAAAGGAAGCAAATGAGGAACAAATGGAACGTAAACATGAAAGCGAATCACTCCTCGCTGATATCACACACACCACATTGACAGACGAAGAAGAGGATTTGCTAGAAGCAAATCAAAGTGTTGTATCGTCCGACTTGAAGAACCCTTCCGATAAAAACTTGAAAGAAATTGAAGAATTTCTTCAAATACAGAAAAGATCTAGAAACTTACAACCCCAATTTAAGAAGAAGAACGTTTTCACTGCTGAAAATTTACTTCAGGAATTCAATGATGATGAAAATGACGAAGAGCAGAGTGAAACTGAGTCTAATATTGGACTTCATGATGACCCCGAGAATAAGAATAGCCCTATAACTTCACCAGTGAAAAACAAGGCAGAAAGAAAATATGACGACTTGGAAGACGATAATCATGGACACCTACCATCTGATCCCATCTCAGAGTACGCACATAACTTGAAAACTCAGCTTTTGTCTTCCCCCTCGAAAAAAGAGTATAATGAGCCGAAAATGATTGATTTGGATAGCGACGATGATAGCAATGGTGGGCTGGACGCTTATGATGATAAGGAGAATAATGAAATTCCTGCCCTTACAAAGGACGAAATTTTACACATCAAACAGAAATACTTATTGAAAAAGATTAGTAGCAATCCCAAGTCTAAATTGAACCACTTACCTAAGAGTATTAGAAATTCTATCAACAATCAACAGAGGCATAATGAATCCAAAATCTTGATAAATAATTTACAGCGAGCTAATATTAATCAATTGCAAGTTCATAAAAAATTCAGTCCGCTTCATGATGAATTGATTGAAATGGAAAAGGATGAAGAAGTCATGGGATCCTTATTGGAAAGAGAGTTGGAACGAGTGAGGAACATAAGGAAGAAAGAGAAACTAATGGAGAAAGCAAAGAATGCGCTATTGAACGGAGATGTTGAATCAGGGTATGATAACAACGAGCAAAATGAAGATGTACCAGATAGTGACTTTGATCAATCTTTCAATGAAGATGAAGACGAAGATGAAGACGATGAAGACGATGGTGATGATGATGATGAAGTTGAAGATAAAGAACTTAAATCTCTGCAAGACTATCAGGGTATTGATGACCTCAAAAGTAAAAGAAAGTCAAAAAGAGTCATACTTTCAGATGATGACGAGGAAAGGAAGGATGATAGTTACATGTTTGGTGCAAAGAGTAATGACAATGAAGAAAGCCTCAATGCCCATCATGAAGGATACATCACGACCGGTAGCAGTGAAAATATTACCCCTACTACTATAATTGATGACATTCCTATCGAGTCGCAGAAGTACGAGTTATTTCAAAACTTAAAGGGGAGGATAGACTCAACAAACAGTGAAACCCAAAAATCAGAATTTTTAGACCTCGAAGATATAAGTCATCTCAGAGTTCCATCGTTCCAAGAAATAGAATCTCAGAAGGATGCTCAAGTTCTCACTCAACCTGATACTACTCTTGCAACGCAAATTGATGGTCAAACTCAGAGGCTCCTGCAAGTCTCCAAAAACTATGAGGATGATGATGATGACATCACCCCAGCCAATGTTAGAAAAGGTAGGATTCTTATAAGGAGGAACAACATATCTGATATTGAAGAGGAAGATGAGCAACAAGAAAAAGAAGAAGAGGAGGAAGAAATACCCATGAACGAAGAAGAAGTGCAGGCTCAAATTAAGTTGTATGAACAGAAAATGAGACGTCAAGAATTGAAACTGAGAAAGAAAAGAAAAGAGATGGAAAGAAAGGGTTTGAAGGACATAGTTCAGGGTGAAGCTGAAGAATCTGAAGATGAATGGCATGGTTTGGGTGGAATTGATGCAGAACTTTCTGATGAACAGGCGAATTCCGAAGATGAAAAGATGATTGATAATAATTTCAATATTGATTTGAATGACGAAGAAGTTAGACGGAAATTTATGGAACAATATCAAATCAAAGATAAAAAGGATTTGGAAAAATTGCTTGATGATATAAAGAATCATAAACTTACCAAGAGAATTGGATCAAAGAATGGATTCGACATAGAATTGAGTGACGAAGAAGACGAATTACTCACTGCTTATCGAAAACAAAGAATGATTGAACAAAGGGAAAGACTCATGGAGAATAAAAAGATTCAAGAGCTTGCAAAAAACGAAAAGTCTAAAGCATTTTTCACGTCTATCCAAGATTCCACTTTAGCTGTGAAAATCGACAATGATGAAGAAAGGAAAACAGACTCTGAAGTTGAAAGTGCTGTTGAAGAAGGAGAGGAATCGGAGAAAGAACTTGCTATGGAGTTAGACACCAAGAAAAGGAAAACAATTAAACTTAAGGAATCATTTGTTCAAAAACAATTGTCATTCCTTAGAACTATGGGTGATGACGAAGAAGAAGTCGAATATTTCAAACAGCAAAGAATTTCTAATAGACAGTATGGGTTCGATTCTGATGAAGAAAATTTGGAAGATCTCCAGACAATGAAGAGAAGATGCATGGAAAGCTTAGTACAAGGTAAGAATTCAAATAGTAGGATATCAAGTATTATTGATGATCGTGGTCGCCAAAATAGTGCAGAAGCTGAAGATACAGATGCTGACCAAGATGAAGATGATTCAGAGTTTATCCCAAGTTTCAAAAGACCTTCTCTCGTTAAATCATTCAGGTCTAGCAATGAAATTGAAGTTGGTTCATTTACTGGAGTAACCATTAGAAAGCATTATAAAGCTGCAAATGGATCAAATGCCTCAATCTCAGGTGCTTCATCTAACTCACTTAAAAAAGCAGCTGCAAAGACAAGTAGTTTGAAGGAAAAACGAATCTCAAGAAGTATATCAAATTCAAGAAATGGAAGTGGACTATTCCAAAGTAATGGATTTGAAAACTCATGAATAGGAGCAACGAAAAAAAAAATATGCATGTATTAAATATTGAATAGAATTTAGTACCCATTTCAACTACGTAAAAATACAAAATTTGTAATGAACTGAATACCAAGTGATTTTAGCAAATAAAGAGTAGATTATCGAGTCAAAGCTGACCGACTTTTTGTTAATATGATCATTCTCGTCATTGTAGCATGCTGAAACTGAGTGCTTCATGTAATGAATTGTGACTTACCTTACTCTGCAAAGGTCTCTTGAAGTACGATTGTTCCCCATGATTGAAAATTGCAGTCTTGTTGGGACCGATGGTCAATTTTGAGTGGGATCCATCAGTTCTTTCTCTTCTTGCAGGCGGTATTCTTTGTAGCTGAGAGGAATTGTTGATTATTATTGGCTTCGTCGAAGACAAGGATGACTTTGTCGGGGTAAACTCAGGCACCATTGGAGCGATTGCAGTGGTAGTTGTTGAAGTTGGAAGAGGCTTCTTCTTATCTGAATTAACAAGACTCATAATACTTTCAGAAAATGACTTGCTTAGCAGGGGTCCAGATGACATGTTTGCCGAAGTTGTTTTGAATGGTGAGAACAATGAGAAGTTTGAATTTGGAATCTTTGATGGTGTAGTCGGTATGTCTTTTTCTACATTAGGTTCACTATTTTTCAGTATCACTTCGTTCAACAAGTTTGCTGTCTTGTCACTCACTTTCTTTCCCCTTTTATCTTCATTTCCACGATAGTATATGTAGTCATCACTTATTTTAATGGTAGGACCGGCTATTTGGGTAGATGCAGTGTTATCAATTGGATTATGAAATATCCACTTTGGAGTGGTGATGTGATTGGAGAATACACTATCATGAGACTTTGATCTTTTGATTGTATTTGGAAATGCATCCGCTAGATCAACTCTTGATCTTCTTAAATACTTTTCAAAATCATCCTCTTCGAGTTTCTCGGGAGAATAATACGAATAATCTGAACAAGCATCAATATCCAAGTGGTCCAAGTCGTTATTTTCTAAGCATATGGGCGTAAATATTGGTGTCTTGTTGAAATTTATATCGAAAGGTGAACCTTCTTCTTCAATTGTTTCCTTTGCTTTTTGAGGTCCTTGCTCTTGTATGTGTGGCCCTGCTCCATTCCTGTGAAATACATTACTCATGGACACAAAATGCTTCAACCTATTCATCCGCAAGGTTTCTTCATTCTCGGAAAATTCGTTAAGTATGTTGGACTGCTTCATTATTCCCTCCGAGCTGAATATATTAAGGCCACTGACAGCATTCTCTCCGCTTGCAGTGTGGAATGATATCTCTGGCACGGAATTGGACCTGGCTCTAAGACTGGAGATAGATAGAGGGGGGAATAGTATCTCGGGAGAGGTACACAAAGTCAGGGCCTCTTTATATCCATTATCAGTGCTGCTGGTTCTGTCCCCCTCAGTTTCTTCCTCCTCAGTTTGGGTATTGGATATTACATTTGGTTGTGTTCGTACAAAGCTGCTATTGTCGAATTCCATGTCGCTGCCAGGGACTTCCAAAATGGGACTACTGGCAAGTGGGTTGATGTTATATATCTGAGATAGCCTATACCTGGATTTCTTCTTGTACATCTTCTTCTCTCTGCATCTAATTGGCTTCAACCTAATGTCAGATACTGAGATTGAATTTGAGAGTGTACGTTCTTCGCTCGGTGGTTGGAGGGCAGGGAGCTGATGCTCAAGTGGAGTAGATCTTTTCATTTTCTTATTATTATTATTTTCCTCTTCTTTCGGCTCTATACCATTTTCACCTAGGGTCGTTCCCCTTATTCGAATTTTGTCGGTAGACTGCTTAAATTGATCCACTATAAATTGATATTCATTGTATAAATTGTTCCAAGTAGTTTGGTTTGTTATCACATCGTTCGAGCTCAACGATGATTCTAAATAGAAAGACTTTTCATGGAGCTGGTCGATCTTGTGTAGATATGTGTAGTTAGTAGCGATAGTTTCGTTGAGAGTCCCTATGGTTGAGTCCGCTAGAGCGATGCTTGAATGAAGCTTGGTTACATGCAGCAACAAAGTCGAAGTGTTGTTTGCAGTTTGGATTAGACTAGATGATTTGGACTCTAGACGATCCATAAATGAGATCAACAGATCTAGCCTAGCCATAATTCAGATAGAGGCCACTTATGATGAGTTTAGGAAAGGTCAGGGAGACTTGACGATACTTTTAGATGGAAAGGAGAGTCTTGCAATCTTAAACTCACTCCCCGAGCCAAAAATGAAATTAAATAAAAAAAAAAAAAAAAAAAAAAAAATACAATGTAAATAATAAGAAAAAAGAGAATACAGTTGAAGCATAACGAAATGAGTTCCGAGAAAAGTGGCTTGAAAAATAGAGAATCCTCTTGAGCAGAAGCTGCTGAAAGTATCAGGGCGAAAAAATAAGCAGAAATAGTATACATTGTACGTATTGTTGTCATAAGTATATTAAGCGTTGGGGCATCTCTTCCATTTCTTCGAGAAAGCCAAAAAAAAAGGAAAAAAGAATCTTGTGAGCCTAGAAGTTACTATCTAGTTACCCGTTTTTTCATTTTTTTTTCTCACACTTAATCGTTGTACTTCACCTGCAGAATTTCACAAGTTCAATATTCCCACAGTAGATGGCCTCTGCTATGCTTAGTCATTTGTATCATTTACATAACCTACCATTCTCGATAGCTCATCAGCATTATGTGCAGGTGCATTATTTTGATTTAAGGTTTGAGCATGCAAAATGTAAACAGAATGCACAATTTACGAAGAAAATAATCCAAAATCATACCGAATTGGTCTGACGTAGGTACATGAAGAATCTTCAATTGATCACATCCACCATAAAAATAAACATCACTGAGGTAATGTAAAAAAAATATTATCATTCATTAAATGCCTTTATATGCTCTGGCCGCATGCTTCTGTATCTCCTTCTTTAACTGCCGTTCTATTTATGTATTTATGTATTTACTCAATGGTCATCTTCATCTTCTTCTTTCTTGCTCCTCTTGCTCTTCTTCTTGTCTTTCTTTCCTGCACCTTCGCCATCTTCGTCACGTGATCTCTTCTTTTCTTTCTTTTCCTTCTTGTCCTTCTTATCCTTCTTCAACTTATTCTCATACACTTCTTCCTCTGGAGCTTCAAAGTCCTTTTCTCTCTCGACCTTTCTAGCGGCGGTGGTTTCCTCTTGCTTCTCACGCTTTTCATCCAACTTCTTACCCTCCTTTTGCTTCTTACCCAAGAAATACTCACCACTCTCAATTTGAAGATCAACTTTACGTGGCAATTGCAGAGGTGGGAATGGAGTGTACACCTTCTTCTCCTTCTTCTTGTCCAGCTTAGGCTTCTTACGTGCAACATTTCTCTTCTTGAACATTGGTAAGAACCTAGACCAATCTTCTTCAGCCAATTCTGGATTCTTGGCCAATTCTTGCTTGATCATTAACTCTTTTATGTAATATATAGGGTGGATATTTCTCATACAATCTTCAACCACTCTTCTAACTTCCTTGAGTCCCTTGAAAGGTCCCATAGCACTAACGGTGTTTCCTTGTACCAAGATGTAGCACTTGGTCAACAATTCCAATGCCTTCAATGTGTTACCATTTGGTCCAACCAATCTTTGTCTTCTCTTTACAAACCTGTCCTTATTAGTAACAAAGTTACCAATCTTGATTACATCACAGGCGACGTCATCCTGTAAAATTTTAACTGCTTGAGGGAATGGGACAGATCTAGCGAGCAACTTGATCAAGTCTCTTGCCTTTAAGATCATGGCTGGGTCGAATGTCTTTCTAGTGGTCTTCACTGTCATAGAACCTTCTACCAAATCAAGTTGACATGCAAGGAAATGCTTGTCTAGTGCTCGCGTCACATCACTCCATATACTTTTCAAGTACTGTTCTCTATACTTGGGGAACAATGTCATGAAGGAAGATTCCTCAGTAAAGGATTGCCCAGAGATATTATCTTCGGGCTTGAATTCTTCAAGCTTCCATTTATCGATGTCAGGAGTATCCCAGGGCTTGTCACGGTTATGAGTTGATGGCATTTTATGGGTCTTACGAGTATATAAATAGCCTAGATGGTGCTATTTCTATGACTTTCTTTTTAACTCTTGGGCCATCGCATCGTTTTGAGGGCCACAAATCAAAAAGAAAAAAAAAAAAAAATTTAGACATTTGTGACACAAAACTGGACCTATATGGTGCACGGAATCTCAAGCTGAGATGAGCAGCATAGAAGGAGTAGTTAGGCGAGAAGACACTGGTCAGCACTACTACACAGTATAGTCTAGTTATTGTTAGGATGGTTGCTAAGAAAACGAGATCCAGCTCAAAGGATGGCTCTAAGGTACCTTCAAATGGGATAAGGAAAGCCAATATGTCCAAGTCCAAATTGAAAGCCCAATCGAAATCAACCAAAAGTAAAATACATAAACTCAATGCAAACACCAGCGATATAGACGATATAAGGTCAACGTTGTCTTCTATAACGAATGTTCGTGAAATCAGAGCATTGGACGTCAAGGAATTGAAATCGGACTTGAAAAAAGATGTGGAAACCAAGGAGAAGAACAAGAAGGCTGAACAGGAGTTGGCGCTGCAGTTGGAATTGATCGACAGCATGGGATTGAAATAGAAAGAGCTAGGCTACGTCAAAAATAGTCAAGTAATAGTAATGAGGATAATAGAAACAATAGACATAACAGAAATAAAGGAGACAGTAAAAACAGTAGAAAGAAAATCACTTTTGGTGGAATACAGCGACCTCCATTAAAGTAGGTGAAACTCTAGAACTTATAATGAAGTATATGGTTGGCATGCCCAAGAGCTCTCTTCACTATAATCTGTTACTACTCCACATAAAATAAAGTAATAAAAAAAAAAAAAAAAAAAAAAAAGAAAAGTAAAAAGAGTGAACAATAATAAAAAAAAATTCTTACTATAAAGTAGTCCTGCATATACATGATTTTTTCATTTTCCTCATTTTTTTTCTTTAGGTCAGTCGGCCAGTGCCTACCAGGTGGTTTTAAGCCTGGGGTTGCACTGCCTACACAAGCGGTGTCGGGCCAGAGAATGTAATGTCAAAAGATGAAATGTACCACATAAGGTGTCCTAATGCAGTTAAATTAGATTCAGCGAGCTAGCTTATTTCTGACATCTGGAATTCTTACCTGGCGTAATGAGGTCTATAGAAGACAGGAATAGTAATAGAGCCCCCTCCTGATATATAAAATTCATATAGTGGAGAGTTTAATATTGTGTGTGCCCCAAGCATTATTATTTATTAATAATTCCACTTTATTTACCTTTCAACATCGCTTAAACACTTACCAATACAACATCGCACCCCCCCAAAAAAAGAAAACAAAATAAATAAAATAATAATAATACCAACTTCTATTTTCGTCCCATATTCTACTGTAAGGAACCACACATGAACATGTCTAAACAGACCCAATCCCTCCTTAAACCCCCATTCAGCGCCATGCTGCATCTCTGTACCCTATAGATCTACATGGCATAAACCCATGCACCTACTCAAATCGCGCTGTTTCAAAGTACGCGACGCGTCCACTTTGAAAATTTTTATACTAAACTTTTTTATTTTTCCACCCGCCTACCAAACGATTTATCCCCAAAACGGCTAGTTCGTCGCCAAAAAAAATATAATAAGATTTTCTTTCTTGAAATAGTCTAAACGTTCTTATTTATTTGTAATTCTTTATTAATTTGTACTTCACTGAGTCTCATAGCACTTGTTGATACTAAGAATAGGGGTATCTGTTGAGTTAAACGGTTCTGAACTTCAATTGACAAGGCATACCGAGAATATCGTCGTGAATCTAGCAAGAACACGAAAGGACAGGATCACAAAAAGAAGAAAGTGTAAGAAAGAAGCACTCTCGAAAGCAAACGGTCCGTAATTATTTGCACAAGCTCCAACAAAAAGTTTACTGCAATTTTCATTCATTTATTCAATTGTTAATCCATAGATTTGTTCTATTCCTTCGCTACACATTATCCGGACAATCAGTAGGTATCACACAGCATGTCGTACCATTCTAGACAGCCGTCCGTGGCTTCTTCATTACTTTCATCTTCCACAAATCATACCCACCCTCAGAGGATAGGGCCCTGGAAGTTGGGTAAGACCTTGGGCCGTGGGGCCACAGGACGTGTCTTACTCGCTACACATCACATCACAGGTCAAAAGGCGGCGGTTAAGGTTGTATCCAAGCTGGAGTTGGCTGATGAAGGTGCCCCTCCAAGAAAGACTAACGACAACGAACCTCAGGGCTTACCCTACGGCATAGAGAGAGAAATCATTATAATGAAACTTTTAACTCACCCAAATGTCTTGAGGTTGTACGACGTCTGGGAAACATCCAAGGCATTGTATTTGGTGCTTGAGTACGTCGAAGGTGGAGAGTTGTTTGACTTGTTGGTGGAAAGAGGTCCCTTGCAGGAAATTGAAGCCATCAAGTATTTCAGACAGATTATATTAGGTACCGCATACTGTCATGCATTGGGTATATGTCACAGAGACTTAAAGCCCGAGAATTTATTGCTCGACTCTTCATTAAATGTTAAGTTGGCAGATTTCGGTATGGCCGCGTTGGAAAGCAATGGGAAATTGCTTGAGACTTCCTGTGGTTCCCCACATTACGCTGCTCCTGAAATTGTCAGTGGGTTGAAATATCACGGTGCTGCATCAGATGTATGGTCTTGTGGTGTGATATTGTTTGCATTGTTGACTGGTAGGTTACCATTTGATGATGAACACATTAGGAACTTGTTATTGAAAGTCCAAGCAGGAACTTTTGAAATGGCAGAAGAATTATCACCTGAAGCTAAGAATTTAATTAGCAAGATGTTGACAGTTGACCCTATGAAGAGGATTCCTACTGAGAAGATCTTGAGTCATCCATTATTAACCAAATACCCTATTCCAAACGAAGATTTAATCAGTGTTAAGTCCTTACCACATCCAGAGACTGCTTACAAGTCACTTGGTTCTATCAAGAATATTGACAAGCAAATTTTACAAAACTTGTCTATATTGTGGCACGACAGATCTCAAGATGACATAATAAACTGTCTTCTTAAAAATGGTGCCAACCCTGAAAAGACATTTTATGCATTATTGATGAGATACAGACACAACCAGGAAGATATGGCATTCAATGATCAAAATAGTCAACAAAACTCTCCAATTAAGAAGAGCGGCAGCAGAAGAAATCTTAGCAGAAGTGGCTCCCTTGGAAATGGAAGGAACAGACCAATCAGTGTTTCCAATTCAAGAAACAGAATACTGTATCAATATAAGAATGAAATCAGAACTAGTACTGTGGTAAACAACGGTCCAATTGGTTCTGGGGCTGGGAGATTGTCCGCATCTTCCAGTTTCCAAAACTCCCCTTTCAAGAACAATATCAACACCTCACCAAATCGTAGAGGCTCACCCCAAAGATTCTCATACAGCCAATCACCAGCCAGGTCGCCCAATAGAAGATCTCCTAACAGAAGGTCTCCAAAGAAAATCAACAGCAGCAATAATAATCGATTCGAAGATAGCAATGTCAACGCACCTGCTATACCAAGAAACATATATAACGAAATTGTTAATGCTCAAAATAATGGCTCCTTCGGCTCTATGCCTCCTTCGTTACCATCTAAAGATGAGGTTCAAAAGTTTAACATGGAAAATAATATTAATGTAAATGAAAATGGCGAGCCAAATCCAATAGTTGATGAAGTAAGTCTGCAATTGGGTGAATCTGCAAACCTCTCCCCAAGTAAGAATGGAAACAAAAGAAACTCAATTATGACAAAGAGTGCTTCGAAGAACAGATTAAGTAAGAGGAAATCAATGAGAGCTTCGATGACTACTGGATTGAAGAGGAATTCCATAACCATGAAATTGCTCTCCACTTACGCTAAGTTAGCTGGTGAAACCGATTGGGAATACATGGACAAGCAGACAAAGAGGACATCCGCAACATTTGCTACATTGTGTGACAAGATTTTCAACCAGGAAACATATACTGCCGAAGATGAACAATTGATTGATGAAGAAGAAAAGCAAGCCAGAGAATATGAAAGAATTATGGAATTGGAGAGAAAGAAGCACGAAGCAGAAATTAAAGCAAGAAAGGAATTGGCTAAACAAAGGAAAAGGCAAAAGAGAAAATCTTTACTCTCTTCTAGAAAGCTTTCCATCTTTATTAAAGATGAAAATAATACTGAACAGGATATTACCGTTGAACCTGAGGCTATCACTCAACCTAAAAGAGGTTCTAAACTTCATGGATTGAGAGCTATTTCAGAAGGTGGAGCAATTGTGGAAGAAGATAATGAGAACTTGAATGCAGCAGATATTGAAATGTTGAAGAGGAGATCAGCAACGCAACCGGTTCCAAGAAGAAGAGTCACTCCTGTTTTAACTAGAAGACCAGTTTCGCGCCTTGATCCATTGTGGACAGCATATGAAAACGAAGAACTTAACAGAGCTAAAGATGCGCTTGAAGCTGAATATAGGGATGCAAAAGAGAGTGCAAAGCAGAAACAAGCAAAGAAGAATAAGGAAGCTAAGCAAAAGCAACAGCAAAATAACAACAGGCAATCTATGGTGTCCGTTGATTTTGACAACAGAAGATACGCCAAGGATGAGTATTATACTCATGAAGTTGACTACGAACTACCAGAGCCTGATGTAGATCAAGGCAACTTGAGTGCAGAATATATGAGTGAAATCAGAAAGTCAAAGCTACTCAATTCTCAACTAAACATTCATGGAATTCTTGAAAATGGAGATAAGGGCAAACAAAAGTCCAAAGCTCAAGAACAACAAACTTTAATTGGAAATGTTAAAATACCAAATGTTACTAGAAAATCTAGAAATTTCACAAATTCTAACAAGAGGCTCTCAGTTTTAACGATGTACTCCACGAAAGAATCCTATCAGGATTTAAGTTCGATTTTGAAGGATGAAGGGAAAAATCTGAAACTTGGATTAAGAACTAGTTTTGCTGATCGTTTAGATAAAGCTGGATTACCCGAAGAAGAGAATGAAGGTGATGAGATTGCTGATGATGATGTTATGGACTTTGATGATTTGGCTACTAGACGTGCTTCATACTATGCTAACAGTAGAAGATACTCTAAGTATAACGGAAATTCGAAAAGTGCTAATGGTCAAAACAAAAACAGACCGATTTCTGAATTACCAAGATTGCCTAATAATAAATCTTCGAGAGACAAAGATGCAGAATATGATAATCTTGATGTTGTCGAGGATTATGCTGATAATGCCGATGATACCTTTGCCGATGATCCTCATGGTGGTGTTTACGATGATGAGGAACTTGACTCTGAATTATTTGATAACATTAAACTTCCAGAGCATAGTAGCTCAGTCAAGAAAAGTGAAAAGGCTAAGAACAATGAAGCTTCTAGGAATTCCAAACTCAAGCAGCAACATGTTTCTCTGATGTTACCAGATTCAGGAAAAGACAATGGCAAGAATGGTCCAGGAAGAAGAGCTCCTCCTGCAGGTCAACAAGCTCAATCGGAACCATATCCAAAGGTTCGTAAGCCTAAGAATGGAACTGAGACAATTCCTCCTACTCCATTCAATAAGAAGCCATTAGAAGATTCTACCAATAAACCATCAACTGGAAGTGGCACTTCTCAAGATCAAAACAAGAAGAAGGGTAACTCCATTTTCAGAAAGTTATCCTGGGGTACCAAAAAGTCTTACGATGAGAATACACAATTACCATCTCCTGCTGACTCCAGAGCTCCTTCTGCTGAAGTTGGTACTAGAAAACCTAGTAATTCATTTTTTAGATGGCTTTCTGGTAATAATGATTCAGAGAATGTGGAAGCTGAAATCAGGAAGTTTAAGACTATATTGCCTAAACAAGAAATGACTACTGCTTTATTTGCATTGTTGAATTCTTGGACTAACTTTGGATTAAAGGGACTTAAAAATGATACTGTTGGGTATAATATTACAGGTGGAATTTCCTCGTATAATGCATTTAATTTAAAGAGTTGTAAATTCAGAATAAAGATCAACTCAACTGATTTCAATCAGAAATCCGAGATTGTCTGTGCTCGTGTTAAGGGTTCTAAAGTTACTACTGACACCCTTTTCAAGGAAATTGAAAAGGTATTAAGAAAGGAAGGGGTTATGGATAGTTGATTAATTTTATAGATAGACTTTGTAAAGTAAAATAAATTGAATAAGATTCAAATAGATTAATTCCTATACACTATGGATGCTTGTAGTGAAAGAGACTTTAGAATGTAACGACTTATCTTCATTAATAACAACTTCTACTATGTTACGTTTCGTATATGTGAGTTTCTACTTAGTCTTGCAATAATTGAAGGCAATTATAGTTCAACTAGAAATGTGAAAAAAATTTTAAATAGTTTCCACCGAAATTTCATCATCTTCATTACCTTGAATAACTACTACAATGTCATTTCTATCCAGTTTCAGTTGAGTCTCCTCAAGCTCTGGTTTGGAACCAATGAATGTCGGACCGATGGTGTCGGTTGCATCACCAACACCCCATTGAGTAAACATTGACACAAAAGCCGTAGCTAAAGCAACTTCTCTGTCAATAAGAGCTTCATCGACCAAAACTTCAAAATCAAATTTGAATTGTCTCATAAGCTTAACTTTTGCAACCCTCTGTCTAACCTCTTCTATTCCTCCATTTGGATTGGAAATCTTTTCTAAAAATTTCGTCCCTCTAACCCACGAGTACTTGGCGCCGTCGGTGGTATAAAAGCTTCTAAATCTACCGGCCCATCCAAAGTCAACTGAGATATCACGATGTGACATACCGGGCTTATTGTGGAAGTCAACGGACCTACTGGTAAATCCAACGTTGATAGTAGCCACTTCTCTTCTCTCTGGAAAAGTAAGCATGGTCCAAACTGGGTGAAACTGAGATAATCTTTCTATGGTGTAGACCTGAACTCCATTGGCTCCAAAAACTTTCACTTTCTTCTGCTTGTCTTTCCTATCCTGACGAACAAAAAAAGGAGTTGGATACTGGGAGAGAGGAACGGTGGTTGCAGCAGAGGAATTTATATTGAGCAAGTCTTTCATTCCAGCTTGCTCTAAGACGAAAGTACCAGCGGTCAAAGCTGTAGTCAACCCGCGAACAGCGCCAGCTTGAAATATGTGAGACATTCTGCAAAACTAAATTAAGTCTACGAGCAAAAAGTAGATTTTAGTTATGAAGAATAGATTAGTCCCACTTGCACTTTCAGTTAAGATCATATTTAGTATTGGTTTCTGACTCCACAATCCCTCTTTCGTCACAAAGGTATTTGGGTGCAAAAGCGATGCACTACACAAATTTGAAGAAAAGATGTTGCAGATCTTTTATGCAAGGTGCGAAATTCGACAAGTAAAAAAAAAAAAAAAAATGAAGTTGCAGAGGATGAAGGTGAAGGTAAGAGTTAAAGTTCACTACATGTCAGATAACCTGGGCATTTTCCTATTAATGTCTATTTGCTTCACTACTTCCCTTTGCTAGAAATATAAATGTATATGTAATTAAATCATCAAAATGTTGATATTTTTAAAAAATACCCCAAACATCCTCACATCCGTGACAGAACTTGGAACATGCAACGGAAGCAGACAATGGGTAGTCGGAAAGTCCAATTTTTTCGTCAACGTACTCATCTGCGAAGTTGTCTTTACCTCTGGCCATAGCACCGACAAACACACATATGCTTTCATCGTCATCCAAAGTGGAAACATAATCCTGTACTCTTCTTACTTCGGCATCGAATGAAAGGGTGATCTTTCTACATTTTGTTGGTAAATGATCGGTGATTGGATTTTTGATAACTTTCAATAATTTTTCTTCAGAATTCACTGATCTAATGCTTAACTTATGTAAAAGTTGAACCATAAGACCTGAAAATCTCTTAAAAGTTCTTGGGATTCTTACACTTGGGTTGACTTCTATCAAGACTCCTCTTGCAGTTTGAATATACACTTGAAGCTTACCAGCTTTATTAATTGGAGAGTCTAATAAAGTTAAAAGACATTGGTGAGTGATATCTGGTCTTGCCTCAGCGATATCTCTACCCATTTTTCTCAATAACCCTTGATGGTCATCACAGTTCAAGAGGGCATACTTGTCACCTCCTGGGCCACCGCCGGAATTCATTTTATGTGTTTCTAAACATGCCTGAGATAAAACCACGACTAATCTCTTGGTATCTTTATCTTTAGAGCTGATTGCTGTCGGTTGGACTGGAACCAATGATGCGGTCGTGGATGTGGCCTTCTTAGGTGCCTCTTCCTTAGAAGACATGATTATAAGTGTATGTAATTATAGATATTTTATACTATGAAGAGTATTCGGCACAACAAGTTGCTTTTCAATCTACTTGGTTATACGTCTATGTATATAAGTATATATATATATATATATTTATTTATCTATATTCACGATAGGGTTTCAATCTTCTTTTCAAGATGGCTCTTTTTTACTTTTTTTTTTTCGAGCTGCCTATACATTTTTCACTTTTGCTCATTGAAAATTTCTTAGTGATGCATGCAAAATGGAAAATGGAGTTGCATGTGTGTCCTGCACATGGGGCTATTATGATCTTGATGGGGCCGCTATGGTTTCCATAGAAGAGTGAAGGAGTAGAACTGAAAGCAACACGGATTGAACTGAATATGATATGACTTCCTCGGATAATGACTTTGATGACGAGGATAATGATTTCTTGCTTGCACTAACCACGAAAAAGTCCCAAGGCTTGAACTTGGGAGGCGTTAGCTCTTTAGGTAGCACCACTGCGTCTGCGACCAACACGCCAAACACTTCTGCGCTTACTTATGGCCGCTCTGCTGCCTTGCCCTCTTCCGGCCCCAGTGAAGTTGATCCCTCAATTCAGGCTAGGCTCTATAGGGCAGATGGGGAAATTGCGATTTTAAGAGAAAAATACCAACAACTTCAGAATCTGCGACAGGTAGAGTTGATTAAAGTGAAGGAGAGCCAACAGAGTCTTCAAAGGCAAAATGAAGAGCAATTAAAGGCGCTACAATTCACGGTGCAGAAGCTCGAAGATGAGAAACGATTCCTAAATAACGAAATAAAGGGGATCGCCTCAAAAAGAAGAAAGGTACGGGACAGCAACGATGACATGGATGTGGATGGACTGCACGCTACTTCTACCTTGTCCGCATCAACAGTCCCTGTGTCAGGTACTGGCTCTGGCTCTGGCACTGGTTCTGGTCCATCAGATGCAGTCAGCACTGGACCGCGAGTCTCTAGCAGTCAAGTCGTTCGGATTCTGAATGATACATCGCTCTTCTTCGATCATATTTGGAATTATTGCATAAATGGAGCAGAAAGAACATCATTGACCTTTCTAAGCAAGATCTATATCGAGCGAGATGTAAATATAAACGAATTGCAAATCAAACGGAAAATCCCATTATCCATAGCCATTGTGGATTATCTCATGTTGAAGAAGAAATTGAGGTTGGACGAGCTTGTAAGTGAGTTCACTACTACTATTGCCCAATTTGTAGAACTATTGTTGGAGGAAGAAAACTTGATACTTTCAGTGCCATTTCTCTTATCCTTAATTCATTCGGCAATCAGCTTCAGGCCCCTAGCAGTTGTAAAAGCTACAGTAATTTACCTTTTAAGGTCCATATCCAAGATATCGAGGCGATTTCTATTTATATTGGAGGAAACTCAGAATCAAGAAGACTATATTACATATCATGATGTTCCTGAACAAGTACTGGTACTTGAAAAGATAACTTTGATATGTTCTGTGGATATAATAGAAAAATTGAGTGCAATTAGTACACTACATGGAGTTAGCTTTGTCAAGGATGAAATATGGGGAGGCGAGCTGCCTTGTATCCCACGAGAATTGGTAAAAAGGCTTTTACCTGAGAATACAGAAAGACTCAAAAATTCGAGTCAGATCAATCTAGTTTTCAACATCGTTGAAATGCTTATGTCTTCCATCACAGAGGAACTGTTTGCTTACTCTAATTTTGAGAGAGCACCAAACCAGGCATCGCCAATCTTTAATTCATTGTTCAAGGTCTTATTAGTGGATATCCCACTTCGAGATGATTTCATGATATATGGCCTCAATAGGATACTAGGGAATATTATTGACATAAAGAAGGTGGAATCGCTGGTTCCAGTTGAGGATAATGCTCTTGGGTATTCGCTAGTAATGATACCATGTCCGATACCCCAAGAATTGAAGTCAGAGAGGAGGAAAGAACTGCAAGAGGGAAATGACTTAGAGAATGGAACTAGTGGTGGTAGTTTTGTTGGAATCCACGATAAATTGAATTTTGAGCTTAATTTAAAGCATCAGAATCATTTGCTCAAACTAAGGATCCGTGTAGCGATGCTACTAGAACATTTCATAGTTTCTACCTCTCTTGTGACGCATTTGCAGCTGAAAGATTATATCAAGTCAATGGTCAGAACCATTGGATTTGAGCAATCCAATATCTTGAAGTCCCCCCGGTCGAAAGATGTTCACCTTAGAGCCCAGTTAATTGCAAGCCTAGTTAGAATCCTTCACTATATCTCTTCAGATAACATGGGAGGTATTACCAATCTAGTATATCCAGAGACCATGTATGAGATTTACGTTTCCCTACTGAGAATTGCCTTTGGATCTAACTCCTTGACGAATGAAGCTCATACTATAATAAAGTCTGTTCGCAGCCAAGAGAAGTACTTCAACATACCGATATTCAACAAATGGTGTGAAGCGCGAGCGAAGCTGTTGAATCACATAGACCAGAGCGATGATAGTGAGAGTAGCAAAGGGGAAAAAGAAAATGGCGAGTTCATTGCAGATATCGAGAGTGAATATGCCAATGGTTTGGAATTTCCCTACGAGGAGGAAGCAGTAGAGCTTGCTAGAGAAATACTAGACCAATGTGTAACTCACGAAGAAGCGGATAATCTCTTCTTCAACATGAACTACGAAGACCCAAATTTGCAAGAGGATGAGTACACCAAATTCGATGAGATGGACCTAGTGAACTAGCACACCTTGGCAATTCTCACCTTCTCCCTAATTACTACTTTATAAAAACTAATATATGACCTTTTATTTTACTATATTATTAACTAATTTAAGCAGATTGAGGCTTAGCTTCACCAGATTGGAAACCGTTCTTGAATCTTCTGGAAACGTGCTTGAGGTAAGCCATTCTACCGGTACCAGTAGTTCTTCTTCTCTTGGCCTTGAGAGCCCAGTTGTGGGATCTCAATTTAGCGGCTGGGTAACCACATGAAGCACAGGTCTTCTTTTGAACGTGGAAAGAACGCTTACCACATCTGTTACACAAAACGTGGGACTTGTTGTGACGTTTACCTAAAGATGGAGTACCCTCTAAAAAAGATTATGTTAGTATATCAGAAGATAAAAGAATGGTTATTGTGTAAAAAAAATATTAACGAGCTTACCAGGATGCGAGTGTGAGCTTGGTGATGGGCATGAGCATTATGGGAGTAGGGAACCCTGGTGAAAAAAAACCATCCCATTGGAGTGGTAAAGTGTTGCTCTATTCCAGCGAAACACAATGAGTGAGAAAAGTGAAGAGTGAAACAGTGTCAGCTTAGAAGTGCGCTAGCTCAACAGCCAACCAAGAGCTTGGAGAAATCTGGGTTCTGGCGGGTTTCTGGATCCATGGTCTCTAACGTAGATATATGTTCACCACATTCATCCTTCTTCCACTCTTTCAACAAGATTCCTGGTTCACTGTGTGTTCCGTTTGATCTCCATAGCACTTTCTTCCTCTCATCGGTGTGGGCTCTATAAAAATTTTCCTGGCTCATACAAGGGTGGGAAATCATCAATGCTCCAATCACCACTTATTCTTCACATATTGACGGTGTTTTACTCGTCTTTTGCTCGCTGGCTTACATCCTGCTAACCTCGTTACACGAAAGGTCTATAGTTATTATCACATACTGGACATTGTTTAATTGATATGATGGAATACCTATAATAACTGTTAGCAAAAGGTTCTAAAAATTTTCACTTTTCTTGATTGAGAGAGTGAAGGTGCGAAAGAGGTTTTGTGAGATGGTTTGAGCACTGGTCAGGCCTCCCATAGTTAGTGAGAGCGAAAAAAAATATTGTCCGAAGAAAAAAAAGAAATTGGGGTTATGTGCAGGTGTGTACCGAACTCTAGGTGAAAGAGGTACAGTCTTTTTGAGAAAGTAACGTGATTTGATAGGGGATAGCCCTAGAATATTTTTTTGTTTCGGTGTAGCTTCCTGTCCCGTGATTCTGCACGTGCGTTGTGGAACGCGTATCTGAAGACACCACAAACAAAAGCAAAATAAACAAATGACTGCTCCAAGTCATCCGTGGTGTTAAGCGTGTAGTGAGCTAAGGGCAAAAACAACACAGCTCTCAAAAAGCCAAAAAAAATAATAATAAACCTAAACAAAAGGCTAAGTGAGCTAGTACTGAGAGATTGTAGAAATTGGACAAGGAATTATATATATCTCACTTATACTCTCTACATCGATATATACTAACAGGGAAGTAAAGCCAAATTAGTAATACTAGCAAAAAATGTCTAATTACCAGTTTCCTCCATCATCTCCTTTATTGGGAGGTATTGAGCATAACTCCGAGGTAGATCCCTTCTCTATTTCGAGCAAGCATGGGAAGTCTTCGGTTGTTGAGAGAAGAAGCAGAGAACAATATCCTACACCTAACCCTTCATCCACTGCTGGTAGATCATCCTCACCAGCTAGAGAGAATCGTAATGATGAGGAAGAAGTTGACCTTGCTGCGAAACCCGCAACAAAGAAAGTTGTCACATTCCAGTTAGATCTGGTGGCCAACGATAAAAGCGCTAGATTGTTGAAGAAGAAGAAGTCGAAGCAAAACAGCACCAGCACTAGCATCAGCGGCAGTAGAAAGAGAGTCAGAATCAACAGGGATTTCAATGTATTGAATCCAGATGCAAATGTGTTAAGAGTGCCACTTAAGGTCGACGGCAAAAATTCCATTTTGGTTGGAAGATCTTCCAAATTGAGCGACTACTACTTCAATACTTCTGATAGAACCATCTCCAGAACTCACCTTGCTATTAGCTGCAAAGATGATAAAATTGTCATCGAATGCTTGGGATTCAGTGGATTCGGAATGAGAATCCCCAGAGCCTGTCTAGTCTATGGTACTGATAAATCTAATGATTATATCTTGATGGAAGCCAAAAGCCCTAAGGAATCGCTTTCCTTCCAAGACTTGAATAGTTTGGGTTTGAAAGTTACTCCACGCACTATAAGCCTTGACTTGAACCATACTGAATTCTTCGTGAACAGAAACGAAAGAGTTACGCTCCCTATGATAGACAACATTTTCATTCAAGTCAGAGATAGCGCTATGTTATTGAACCCAAAAGACGATGAGGAAGACGTTACTGACGATGAGCAACCAGTTTTGTTGAAGGAAAAGCCAAAAATTGTGTTAGACACCGTGGAAAGTGAACACGCTACCACCGAAGATAAAGAGTTGGCAATGAGCTTGGAAAGGGAAATGGAATTAGAATTGGAGATGGTACATGACCATGTGAGCCACAAGGAAGTTCAAAAACTTAAAGAACAGACTGAAACACCAACTATCTCCATTTCTTCTACACCTGTGAAACACGCTCAAGAGCTAAACTCGACTCCAATCAAACAATTCAATATATCAACTCCTCTCACTCCTGCAAAACTTAACATAAGAGCCACTTCCGAAGAACCAACACCTACATATTCAAAATTAGATGAATCTGATCTGAAGTTCGAGATCTACTCTGACAATGAAGGTGATATGAATAGGGGTCCTTCAACTTCTACACCAAATACCCCATTGAGAGACATAACTAATGAACAGATGAGATTGGAAAATCAACCAAAACTTTTCAAGAGAAAGAAGTTAAATTCCATAGCACCTCCAAAGACAGAAGAAATCGACCAATCCTGTATTGCAGAGTTGAAAAATATTTCTGAAATTAACAATGTTCTCCTTAACCATTTGGCATTCTCAAGGTTATCGTCCACTCCTGCGTCGTTTTTAAACACTATCAGCGCTTTAACTTCTAATTTATCATTAAAGCAAATGAGAGTGATTTTGCATAATATGAAGCCAATAGGTGTCATTTACAGGGAAGGTAAAGATGCTGCTGGAAAACCGTTAGAAGAAGAGTATTATTATAAACCTGAGGAAGATGATGATACGGAAAGGCCCAAGTTGGTCGCAAGCATAAAAGGGCATGGTGGGTTGAGATCTTGTAGAAGAACTCACAAGCAATACTATTGGAAAAAGCCAGCCTCCAAAAAGAAATAAGGTGCTATATTTGAGTACCTTGGTAAGTTTGAATTACAGTTGTATACTAGGTTAAAATAGAATAATAAAACGAAAATAATAAGTTTAACCGTTATAATAATAATAACAATAATAACAATAATGAAACATAGAATCAAAAAGACTAAAGAGTGAAAATTCTTTAGCGTATATTTATTTTTTGCTTTTGGAAGAGTATGTAAATGTATGAGAGCGATCATCCGAAGAAATTGTAAATTGTAATGTGTCACCATGGCTATATACACTAGAAGAGGGTCCAGCATTGCCGTTAATTATAAAATTTTCATATGGATCAACATATGGGTATCCATATAGTCTCTTCTCATCCAAAGTAAGCTGTCTTGGACTACTGATATCCTGTGCACTTGGCTGCAAATAGTTTTTTTTCTCGAGACTCTCACTACGTTCTGCAGATGAATTATGCAACATATTTTTCATGCGCAGTCCCAAATAGGAATTTTTTCTCACAAGTACCAAAATGGTTCCAAATATTACTTGAAGAAACCATACCGAAAGTAGGCATATGGCAACTAGTAGCTCTGTTTTCAACTGTTTTTTGTACACTTCAATAATGCTATCTAGTGTATCTCCTAACTTAGTTCCATAAGTTTCTATAGTTGAAATTGATGTGTTAGATCCAACTATGCTGCTTAATTCATTAGATAGTAGATTCTCAGAGATGTGGGGAAGTGTTAGTTCTGCATTTTTATGCACCCATTCTAAACCTTCTTGGATTTCTTCAAGCTTCCTTCCTATGACACAGTATACAACAGTATTCATAGGGGAATAAAGTACGGTATTATTGAAGATCGATAGACCTTTATTCAAGTCCAGCATCAAACTGTTTACGCTACCATTCACTGTGGTTGTGACGCTTTGAATCCATCCAAACAATTCTTCGTTCAACTGAGATTCTTGCTCACTGAGGAACAAGTTTGTTTCAGAAGTCCAATTCTTTGCAGCTGCCAGAAATGTAGAGTCGAAGTCACCTAGAGCTGATTTAACAATGTACCCTTTCACTTTAGCAAATTCACTGCTCAATTCACGTATTATCAACGATTGTAAACCGACAGTGATCAATGAACAGGTACCTAAGCCAAATATAAAATTGGCATATGGAGAAAATACATAGGGAATGAAAATCAGCGAGACATCAAAATACTTTCTAAAGAGATAAGAAGCTTGGCATTCATAAATACTGATGATTCTAAGCAATTGTGACTTCCTGGAATCTTCCAGTAGGTTCAAAGTCCCAGAAAGCTCTTCAGCTAAGTTGTTCTGTCGATTCCACTTCAAATATTCTGATATTGCAAAAAGAACAACACTTGTACAACTTGCTACGATTAGTGCAATTAAAATCCAATTTGCAGTTCGCTGTATTATATTTCCGATCTTTCCATAATCTTTATCAAACTCTGTAGTTGAACTACAGAATTGAATTTCTTGCAAAGTTGGGAAGCTTGAAAAATCTGCAATCGTTACATTCTGCGCTAGTTTCAAAGTCACTTTTGACTTGATCAGATCAAACCCAAATTCTATGAACTCTACAGTCGAATTGGTTGAAAAGGTTGGAACATCAGTCTTGATTGCTTCAATAGACTCAGTTACTGAGCTAGGAATTTTAAGATTCTTCAAAGCACTAACAGTTAGGTTTATCTGATCTACATAGTCAGTAGCATTATAAGTTTTCCCCGTGAAAAAGCTTTCAGCTTTTTCGTAAGCTGAAATTACTTCATTTAATATAGTAGAGAGTCCATCCAAACCCAGCTGAACGTCATCTGCTAGCCCAATAATTGTCAGATTCACTGAGCTAATTAGCAGCTCAGTGGAATCCAATGCTAAATCTACAGTCCCGGTCAAAGCTGCTGTTATTAAACAAGTCATAGTACCGAAGAGTACCTCTATGTAAAATACAATTAAATACTCTACAATAGTCAAAATGAACTTGACAACGTAGACTGTACCGACATTTAGCTCGTCCAATGCTTCTAGTAAGAGTTGATTGGCCATGTTGACCAATCTTTGAGGTATTATAGAGATCAAGGAGCTGTATGCTTTAAGGTACTCACAAACAAGGGCAGTTTCATCGGATGCTTTGCTTATTGAATTTGACAAGGCGTTCCTAAACAAGAATATTTTGAGAGTCATCAACACAAGCATCAAGGTCCACTGATTGAGATAAACCTGAGAGAGTCTTTCACATAAGTTTAAGTAGGCTCGCATGCTTGACAAAGAGAAGAGAAAAGTAGTCGATATCAGCAAGTTCGTACATGATAGCTAGAGAACTAGGCTCTTTATAATCTTTATCAATCTATTTTGCAACTTTGAAACCGTTCCTAAACATGTTTAGCTTTTCCGCAAGCCTCATTTTGCAACCTTCGCTCAGTTAGGAAGTTGCACGGATTGGGAAAATCGAAGAAATTAGCAAACAATGAAATTTTCTTTCGATGCTCAAACCTGATTGGATGAAACGACTGGCAATCACTGAGAAACAGGCGGAAGTCGCCACCCAAATTATTAGTAATAGTTAAAACTTCACCTAGCTAACAAAGAGGCTAACACAAAAAAAAAGAAACTATAGCAAAAATTAAAAAAACGTCGTGCCCAAACTGAATTTTATTTTGAAGATCGCCATCAAAAATAAAATATAAACACACTTAATCCTCTTCAAATAAACACAAACTTATAGATCCTAAAACAAACAAACATGTCTGATAACGAAAATCAACCAAAGGAAGAGATTCCAAAGGAAGAAAAGCCAGATACCCACATTAACTTGAAAGTATCTGATGGTTCAGCCGAAATTTTTTTCAAAATTAAGAGATCTACCCCAATGAGAAGATTGATGGAAACTTTCTGTAAGAGACAAGGAAAGACTATGGATACATTGAGATTCTTAATGGACGGAACTAGAATCGCACCAGAGAGTACTGCCGATGAGTTAGGTTTAGAGGATGGTGACGTTATCGAAGCACACCGTGAACAAGTTGGTGGATGTTAAGTATTATGCTACCCCAGTGATGGCATTTTGGTGGTGACAAGGGAGACAAATAGAACAAAAAATTAAGTAAAAAATAAACACTGTAATAATATTTCAAAAGTAGGATTCACATATCGACGTAGTTCGAGCATTGTAAGTGGCTTGATAGGATGGATATAAGGCCATAAACTGTAAAACGTAGCCAAGAAAGTAAGAATTGAAGTACAAAATTATAGATCTAATTAGCATATCTCAAGTGTTAGCTAATCGGAAATAGGGTCAGATTACGAATTAGCCTAATTTTGTATACTCACCAATCGGAAATAGGGCCTGGAATGTCCTCATATAAAGTCTCTGTCATAAATGCGCTAAATAGAATTAGGTGGCCCGAAATGTCTCATATAAGTTTCTCTCACTAAAATAGGTGGCCCCAAATGTCTCATATAAGTTTCTCTCTGACGTCAACAAGTCAAAATTATGCTTTAAAACATTAGATGGGCTGATAACCAAAGCTAACAAAAATACAGAGAGATAATTTCACTGTACGGGACGTCAATTCCGTCCTCTCCAATTTAGGGTACGTCACCCACAGAAAACTATAGAACAGTTTAGATAGACTAGGAACCCTTTCCTATCTATTGTAGCTAGTATCGATGCGTGCACCCACCATGAGTGACCAGGTAGTAATAAATATTATTTCGTTGGTACTATCCACCGTTTCGGAGCGCGACATAAACAAAAGGTCTTGCTGCAGGGACAGACCTCGGGCAAATGGATTTCACTATCATTTGACATCTAGAAATGTCACGGAAATGAATTTATCGTGTGATGGACTATAAAGATAAGTAAAATTAAGTGTTTAAATAGATCAATTTCACCTCTTTTTTTTTTGCACACTTTTTTTCTTTACGTTCCAAGTTCTTTTTAAGCTACAATTAATAAAGCAACTTTTTCAAATAAATATTTCATATAATGTGCAGAGCAGAGATTTGTTCAATTTGTCGTATGTAAGGATCCCTTTAGCGGGTAGAAATGCCAAACCCTAAAATCACCCACAGTTACAAGGAGATTAGGGTAGATTTCGAACGGAAAAAAGGCAAAAAAAAGAAAAAAAAAAAGAAAATCAAAGAAAGATAAAGAGGCAAGGCAGTAGTTTACTAACTTATTCAATTTTTAGACCGTAAATCATGGACTGGTTGTGGATCTCACATTGCTAGTGTAATGGATAACACACCAAAGGAGAATTGGTGTACATGTGAGGGAGTTGATGATGAATCTGGCACTTATCCTCCAAAGGCAGGTACAGGATTCGCTAGGAAGAGTTCCTCGTGAGAAATTTATTTATAATGTAAAGAACAAGGAAAAAAAGTAAGCAAGAATTATATTCCAAGATTGTTTTCGGTTTGGATATATACTACCACAGATAATTGTATAGTTCAATATAAAAAAAGAATAATAAAAGCATTGGTAATTCAATACAAGAAAGAAAATCTTTGGAATAAAGCTGATGGTGCAGTTATTTAAAGCAGATCGAGCATTTTTACTTATTTCTATTCCCTTGGCTGTATATTGCAGGCTCTCTCTCTCTGGGTCTGCCTCACCACCCCGAAAGTATAAAATGATTGAGAGCATCAAGTGAAAAAATAAAATAAAGATTAAAAAAAAAACAATCAAGAGAGTGTGGGGAAAATAAGAAACCTGGATTCATAATAGGAAATTTGAGTATCTCTCTGTTCATAAAACTTGTAACAGTCTTGAGGGGAAAATATTCATTATGATTCTAGGGTGTTAACGATGTACGGTGAACTGGGGATTTTGATTGGTTGCACGCTTGAAGTTTCTTGCACAGCGTGACTAACCAAAGGTACGTTAAACCTTACTCCCCAGTTGATTACCAGCAGAGCAGAAAGGAACACTGAAAAAAAGGTTGCTTCTCAGTGGCCTGCACGTGACCACCACTACTGTTTTTCTGACTTGACGCTCTCTGGCCCACCCCACTATTAAGTATGACATGGAGCATTGCACCCTTGCAACACTGTCCACACCTTGTAGAATTAAGCAGTTTGCGCTAGAGATCAGAAAAAAAGTGAGACAAATCTCCCTTCTCTATGAAAGAATTTCTCTTCCCACTTCTCCTTGAAGCCCCGCAGTGCCTCTGTGCTGCACTCGCACTCCATATATAGGTGGTAGTGCTAGTGACTTCCAAATTCTTTACCATGTGAACCAAGGCATTTATTTTTCCGTACACCTTCACTAAATTGTTTCTTATTTTCGCCTCAGGCAGAATCGCAAGCTTGCATTCAGCGTTTTTTTTTTTTTTTTTCTGACGTTTATTCCCCATATTTCCAACTAACGCATGTCCAGAGCCACGAAATGCAAATGAGATTATAGCGTTTAGTCGACCCACTATCTTTTTCTAACTTCATACTCAAATTAGACCACATTCAGCAGCTCTTGGAATACTTTGTATAAACCGTCTCACTCACCTTGTTTTCGTTTATTGCAAGCATTCGACCAAAACAAAGCGTGGAAAATTTAGGCTACTCATACCTTAAGTGAACTGGTGGAGCAAATTTAGAATTCAAGGACGACACCTACTGGTCTACAGTAGCGAAAAAACGAATTTCATCAGCCTGCCTTGAATTTTTTTTTTTTTTTTCGATCTTTTTATTACTGGCCATACTGAACAGAAATCACTCCGTTTGAATAAAGCCAAGAGACCTTTGATAAAGAGTACTGTAAAAGAAGAGCACGAACATTAGGCGGCACGCACGAAGAAGTATACGAATTGACGTTGAAGAAAGAAAATTTATAAAACAAGAAAAGGTGACCATAGACAGCGTAGCCATAAATAGCGAACAAATAAAAGTGAACACTACCGGTGGTAAACTAAACACATAAACATCATGTCATACAACTTTCCAATGGTTGACTCGAATAGTCAATTCAAGGACATCCTTTTTTCGCAGCAAAACCCCCAGGCTCCACTGAAAGGAAATGCTACAGGTGCACGAACAGCTGGGCCAGCAGCCTTTAGTCCTGCAACCCAGACCAACGCCGAGTCGCCACGTACCGGAGTTGAGCAATCACCACATTCTGGCCCCACTGATCCGTCCTACTTAGGGACCCCTCCACCAAGTGGTATGCAATCCCTTTCCCGGTTTCAACATCCCTTTGGGCAAGAAAACCTGTTTACACTCCCCTCGGAACTCCAGGGTGGGATTGGAACCATTTCGTCAAGAAGACCATCATACGCAGCAGAGAGCTTTACGCGTGCAATAGAAGACCCATCTGAGTTACCGGCTAACCTCTCCATAAAACAAAATACCAATGTCAGTGGCAACAACAATGTACACTTGTCTAAGCCCAAAAATTTGGCTGCGTTTGCTGCCATGAACAGCTACAATAACTTCAACCTTGACTCTCTCAATGATTCATTTGGGAATTTCAATCTTAATGCCAATTTCAATGACTTTCAGGCGAGGAGACCTTCCCAATTGGCAGACTTCCAGTCGAACCAGTTCTTACCTCTGTATATGTATCAGCCACATCCACATCAAGCAGGTCAGGCGCAACCAGGAGTACAATCACTGACTCTCCAACAACATCAACAGCAACAGCAGCAACAACAACAAAACCAGCAACACCAGCAGCAACATCAGCAGCAACCGCAACAACAACAATCGAGGCAAGGGCAACAACCAACAGCATCGCAACAATCGCAGCAGCAGGGACCACCACTTTCTCAACAGCCGCAGATTCAGAGTGGGAACCATATTCCTAGTGCAACCAATAGCGGAGCATATATCAATCCTTCAATTCCTGTAAACCTTGAAAATGGACTCATTCTCCAGGATCAATATATCATTGCATCTCCGGAACTTAAGTCTCTTTTTATGAAGGCAATCAAATATTTCCAAAGCCCTGCTCAGACAAATCAAATCCTAAAGGATCTCTATATGTTACTTCAGCAACCAACAATTATTAAACTTATCACGTTTATTAAGAATTTGAACAATCTCACTTTCAACCATAAGACATTATGTTTGGTTATAAATAAAAATGGGAAGTTTGATTTACTTTCTTACCCAAACAATTCAAATATTTTCTTACAAACTTCTGATTTAGTGATTGTTGATGGAGACAGAGGAAAGGATTTGGTTATGATATTGGAACCGTTGATTGATTTGAACACAGCTATTTTGTTTAATTTTTTGAAAAAATTAGAACATTTAAAGAGTTTAACTGTTATGGATGGACCAGCAAATGGTAATACTAATAACAGTGGTGGTAATAAGGGCAAAAAGATTTCGGGTGGTACTCATTCGACCATGTTGAATGCATCACAGATTATAAATACGAACTCTAATGAAGATAATGAGTTTATCATAACGTTACCCACAAAGCAAGTTTTGCGTTTTGCAACGCCAAAGGAAGTACACAAGCTTAGTGGAAAGTTTTTGGAGGAGAAGAAAGCATTTGTTACTTGTTTAAATAAAATTAAAGAACTAAACTTGCAGCGTGACTTAGAGTTAATTAACGTTGAGTATCAATCAGATTTTAAAAAGTTGATCTTTTACTACTTTGCAGGATTCAAAAGAATTGATTTCAGAGGCTTAATTAAGGAATTGTTCAAAATTTATAAAACAAGAATATGGTTATGCGCTGTTTTACCATTTGATAAACCTGAGTTGTACATTACACAAGAGAGTCCCCCTGCTTCAAATGATAACAAGGTAATTATTACTGAACGTACACCAAGCGAATATGAACTTTCAAATGATCAGATTTTGAAATTTTCGATTAATGAAATTCAAAACTTATCTACTCCAAATTATTTCCATTCTTCTAACTTACAGAATTTGATAGTTCACTTACAAAATGAGATCAAGGGAAAATTTTATGGATTTAATAATAGCAACCCAGTTCCAAGCAGTCCGCTGACGGTTTTAACATTTGTACCAAAGCAAAATCAGAATCAAAGCCAGAACCAGAACCAGAACCCAAATGCAAGTCCAAACGCAAGTGCAATTCCGAAACAAAACCCAAATCAGAACCAGAAACAAAATCAAAATCCAAATATGCAACCAGAACCACTGCAACAACAAAATCAACATAGTCAACAGAACCAAAAGTTGTCTCCGTTTCCTCTAGCTCAAGGAACTGGTGAGTTAGGCAAGGATGCCCCAAAGAACAATTCAGGTAGACTGGGACTGATTTCCTATCCACAATCAAGTAAGATACTACCAAATTTTAATCCATTTGGAGATAATGTGTGATCTCAGTGACAAATTAAGAGCTAATCAATTTTAATCAAGCTTCAATAGAAATCAAAAAATATAGACAGTATAGAAGAGGTGATTTTCATCTATTTTTATTAGTGGTGAAGGACGTCAGAATTAAGAATGGGTTAGTTGAAAAATAAAATTGTGGGGTAGACAATATTTAGTACTTTCTTTCAAATCAAAATAGTTTAGTTATACTATACCTTAGTCAATTGTGATTTTGTTATTATTATTATATTATAAATATTATTATTATTATTATTATTTTTGTTATTAAATTATTATCATAATTGCAATTTCTGTTACCAATGTATATTCTCCTATTACGATAAATTTGAATCTTAGCACTCTTCGCTTAGGTCACTATTAAATTTTAAGGCACACGATTTGTTTTTCTTTGTAAACATTTTCGTTGATTTTTCACATTGAGCAAACTTATTGCTACAAGCACCCAACTCCACTATTATTCAACTGTTGCTCATTATGCTTTTCAACACTGTCAATAGTGACGCCATGAAGCGAAATTTATCTGACTGGATATTAGCAGCCGCTCTTGTCGTGTATTTCTTCCTTGTAGCAGAACAAGCAAAACCATTCAATAGACAGTTCTCTCTCGCTGATGAGAATATTCAACACCCATTCGCCGAAGTTGAAAGGGTTTCTGGAATTCAGTGTTTGTTCCTTGCATTTTTTGTACCATTTATAACCATAAACCTAGTTACATTATATTTGAAAGTTAAGCACAACAAGAGTCAGCACGAGCACTTCTACTTATTGCAGATTTCCACACTTGGGTTATTGTTGGCGCTCTCCATAGATGGTGTATTCACAGATATCTTAAAGAATTGGATAGCAAGACCCAGGCCCGATTTTTTGGCAAGATGTGCACCTGTGGAAGGTACTGATCCACTTGAATTGGTTGGAATCGAAGTTTGTACCGCACCGTATGGTCAGAGGATTCTTACCGATGGAATGAGATCTACACCCTCTGGCCATGCCTCAATTTCATTTTCTGGTTTGTTGTATTTGACATTGTGGTTATGTGGCCAGTTCAAAATTACTGAAAGCAAGACACCCGTCTATAGAGTGCTTCTTGCAGTGCTACCAGTAGTCGGTGCCCTCTACATTTCGTTAAGTAGGACTCAAGATTACAGACATCATTTCAGCGATATTGTTATCGGAGGAAGCATTGGTATCTCCATTGCATTGGGAATTTACCACAAGTATTTCCCTAGTATTTTCTCTGAAAATCCAGAAAAGCCACTTATTCCAAATGAAATCGATACCGTTTTACCAATGTATAGTAGAACAAACTCTCAAGCTACATAGACAGAATACATATGTATAGACTAACGTCATGCACGCACGAGAGTGTATTTTATAAGCATGTAATCGAAGGTGCGCCAAAAGAAATTCTCTGCAGAAGTATGTTGCAGATATACGCTGCAGAAATGTGTGCATCTCAAATGTGGCACCGGGTTCTGAAACATGGTTGCAACATGTATAGCACTCCGTAACTTGAGTGAAACATTTAGTGAAACAGATATGATATATCCACATACTGAAGTAAGAAATATATAAAGATATTTCCTTGGAACATAAAATGATATTTGCTAAATTAATTTTTTTTAGTGAAAAGGCTGCAATGCAAAATGATTTACGCAAGAGACATAAAAAGCACGTTTTACCTGGTGTATACTAGTACCTATGTGAGCGAAGTGACAGCAGCTTCTCTGTCTGTTGATGATTCAATAACTAGTACAATTACTTCCACGTCTTATCGTACTATAACTCCGTCAAGCACGACATCTAATTCACAAGCATCTTTCTATTCATCCGAGACCGCAACCTCGATATCAGTTGCAAATTACTCTAGCCTAGCTGCTGCTGATAGTACAGAAATCAAAGCAACAAGTTCTTCAGCTTCTACAATTGCTTTAGCGATTGGTATTCCTATTGGAATCTTAAGTTTGTTTACTCTTGCCTTTCTAATTTGGTTCTTCTTAAAAAAGCGAAAGTTTGCCAAGCGAAGAGCTGTGAATTTGCAAGTTAGCGATTACGACAACTCACTGGAGAGGACCTTGACGGAGATTCAAGCAGAAAATACTTCCTACTAATCCTGGAGTGAAAAATCCCCCAAATATGGCCAAATCTGAAGAGATGATAAACTATATAAATGGACCAGAAAAGCAATTGAATGTCCAGAAAACCTTTTTTAGAAAGAGTTTTATGAACAAGCCCGTGGACATCAGCCAAGAAACACCCACAAGTATTGCGAATCCCTACGCCAATAAACTATCAGGTTTCATTTCACCTATGATATTGAAAAAGTTTAATCTTTGTGGAACTCCGGTGTCTAAGGAACTACCAATTGACCCAAGTCGTAATAATTCTTCCACACTGATAATGAAAGAGGAACCTATTCATCCGAGTAAGAAACCACTACCATTCCCACCCGTTGTCAATGCATTTATCCCAGCTTCATTGATTAATATGGAAAATAAAGTTCCCGAAGAGAGTTTTAACAGTAGGATTGAGAGCATCCAGAACCACTCCTATTGTAGTGTAATAAGACCTTACGAAAAAGTGCTTGATGATGAAGTTACTTTGGTTGTTGGTGAGAAAGTTAGGATCTTGAAGACCCATACTGATGGTTGGTGCTTGGTTAGCAAGGAGGATAATTCAAGAGGAGTGGTACCAAAGCTATGTTTAAGGTACAGAAGTTCCAGCCTGACAAATAAGTAGAGGCCATTTACAATAATCTAGTAATATACAATATAATACATGCAATAAAATAAAGACTAATATTTAATACAAACTAATATACAACGTCCTTTTGAATGAATGGATTCAACCTCAATCAGTATTGTCTACTGTTGGCATACGGATTTCCCCTTGGAGCTTGAGGTTGTGGACCTGGTGGTGGTTTTCTCTCAGGATGATGAGAAGCACCTGGTGTAGGGTTAGGACTAACTTGATACAGATACTGGTACTGTGGAGAGGCATCACTATATCCTCTCATATTTGCAGCAGTTTGGGACTTTGTCCGTTGAGGCTGAGGTCTTTGTTGTTGAACATTGACCGATGGGGGAATTCCACTTTGTGGTTGCATTCTAACCTGTTGAGGAGGAGTGTGTTGTCTTTGGTAATTTGAACTTGCAGGCATACGTGGTTGTTGCTGTGGAGGTGGGCGATACAGCTGTGGCGGTACGCCTTGTTGATATTGCTGAGGTGCTGGACGGTATTGTTGAGGGGGTTGTTGATACTGCTGAGGAGGAGGTCCCTGCTGATATTGCTGAGGAGGAGGAGGCCCCTGTTGATATTGTTGAGGAGGGGGAGGTCCTTGTTGATATTTCTGAGGAGCAGGAGGTCCTTGCTGATATTGTTGAGAGGGTGGACCTTGTTGGTACTGTTGTGGGGGCGGACGAGGTTTGGTCTGTAGTGGAGGATTTTGTTGGTACTGGTGAGGAGCAGGAGCAGGTGGTACTTGCTTTTGTGAAGCGTATTGAGCAGATTGTGGGTAAGATTGCTGCTGTGGAGGGACAACAGGAACTGGGCTATCATACAGCCTTGTCTGAGGTTGTGCCCTTGGTTGTGATTGATAAGCTTGATTCTTATAAGGATCTTGCTGATAACCTGGACCTTGTTTAGGTGGGGGAGTTGGGCCAGCAGGTGAATAAGGTCTCGGTTGACCTTGGAAATTCCTAGGTACCTCTTGAGAAGGATTTTGAGCTATTGGAGAAGGTCCAGCTACATATATCTGAGGTGGAGGTGGCGCTTGAGCTTTACTTGGAGCATTGTAGTGATTTTGCGAACTGTTTGGGGATGAAATACGATGCGTCCCATCATACGATCTTGAGGGTAATTGCCTTTGATCACTAGGATAATTACCACCACTGTCTCTAGAGTTTTCAGAGTACGGCGATGAATGTGTGGTCTGCACCTTACCTGATTCAGAATGGATCGACAAATAGTCAGCTGCATTTGAATCAGAGGTGATAGGTGTAGTTGTACCATGTGCAACACTACTATAGGCAGGCTTATTTCTTGATAAATTCAAGGGCAGAGTTTCCTTGTCAAGTGAATACAGATGCGGAGGTGGTGTTGGGGCATTCCTTTCCTCATCTTCATCATCAGAATTTGGATATGCTTGAGGAGGTAGGCGCCTTGGGTTACCGTCAACAACTTTGCTAAATTGTTCATTGAATTCATGGTATTGAGTCATTGGAGATTTCACTGAGGCATAGCTGCTATTTCTATTTCCATAGGGAGGTACAATTAAACCTGTGCTTGAAGATGAACCCAACATACCAATTTGGCGACTGTCTAATTTATCTTCCTCGTCGTCATCCTCACTGAATAATTCATCATCATTCTTTGGATACAAGCCAAAATCTTGTAAGCTAATTTGCTTGAAGCCTTCTGGCAACTCGTCCTCCACCAATTTTTCGTGCGATCCATTCAATATTTGATTTCTCTTGTTGTCAAACTTATCAGACGGAGATTTAATATCAGAATACTTTTGATAAATATCAGCCAATTGAATAGATTTATGGGCATTCATCCTACGATCGTCCTCAGAAGCTCCAACAGGTAACGATGCGGCTAATCCATTATTGTTTGGATACTCATCATATTTCTTTAGTGATGGATCACTCCCTTGCATACCAGGGTAGATCGCCCCTCTGTAAACTTCTCCAGCACTTGCAGAAGCTGCAGCAGCACCAACAGCAGCAGGATATCCAACACCTCCATTCTGACCTGGTCTAGGAATAGAATTATTCGAATTATTCGATAATGTCTTCTCGATTCCCAAACCTTGTGGAATTCTATCAAATTGGTGATTTTGGTTTTGAAGTGGTAAGCTATTATTGCTACCACTATGAACATTTGCAGAGAACTGTGAGTTTTGAGGGCTCAATGCACTTGGCATATTCTTCTGTGGCTGCGATGGTCTCTTGAAGCTTCCAGACAGACTACCAGGACTATTCAAAGAATTTACTGCACCCAAGAAACCTCTTGAGCTTCCACATCCCTCGTAACCTCTATCTAATTTTCCTTTCATGATGGACTTTAATTCATTAGTCCACTGCTTTACATCCCACGCCAAAAAGTCTTGCCTGTTAGTCAAAGGGTCTACATCTGCCATTTCCAAGAAGTGGACATGGGGTAATGTAGGCAATCCAAACAACAATGAATCTGGATCAATTCTATCAGCCTTTAATCTAGTAGGTCTACCATATAACCCGAATGAATCTAATAATGGAATTAAAAATCTAATCAAGGTATCGAAACCTGGCACGGCTGAATGCTCCTCGGGCATCATGAAGATCGAGGTATTCTTGAAATCTTCCAAAGTCTTCTTAGACACTTTGGTAGTTACGCTGGGCGACTTGAAATTTATGTATCCTTCCAATTTAAGCATTGTACTATGGTCGATCAATTTAGGGGATTGTGGGTAAACTGCAGAAACTGAAGATGCATTTGAAACTACAGCCATCAACTGTTTTTTCTTTTTCTGTTCACTTTCAAAGAACAAGATCCTCCCAGGAGTGAAATGTTTCTTCTTGTTAGTGGATGGTTCCACCACGGCATAACATCTTTTCCAAGCCATACCTGAACCATATCTAATACTCACCCAGTCTTCGTGATCGAATCTCTTTTCCGCCAACACAGTCCTAATATCAGATAACCTAGATCCCCTAGCAGAAAGTAAGGCACCAGTATAGGCCATCTGCAATGACGAGTACTCGTAGTTTGCCAATCTTAAGGCCAGATACCACTTGGTCAAGTCGCCGTAAGTTTTAAACTGAATGATGTATCTATTCTTCAAAGTGGTAGACACTATTATCACGTTTTCCAAGTTCTGCTTGGCTGCTGGAAGCGATTTCATAGCATTGTACACAGAATCAGTGAAGTTGATATAATTTGGTTTTGAAGATGCTTCCAACAACGCCTCCGGGTTGTTTCTAAATTCTGCCAAGTTGGCTGCATCCCAGTATGCCAATTGGTTCCCGGTCAAGATCCCATACACTTCCTTCCACTCTCTATCAGCCGGTTTACCGTCACCGTTCAAGTCGTAGTATAACATGAATATACCCTCATGGTAACGTCTATGTGATTGAGACGAGAGTAACGTCACAATGGGCACCAATTCAGGTGATAAATCATCGAGCTCAGGGTGCTGGGAGCTAGATGCCATTCTATTGTATACGGCCTCTGCCTTCTTCTTCGGCGAGGTGTTATTCGAAGCACCGGATCCGAACCGCTTCTTAATCATTATTTAAGGTCCAGTATCTACGTGCTAGAGAGTCTTACTTTCTCTATTATTATTATTATTATATCTTGGTTTGCGGCCCACTTAATGTAGGGGTGAATATCGGGGTTGTTTTGTTTCTTCAGCGCTTTCTGAGAAGAATGAATTTTTCTTACAATAAAATGTGGAGTTCAATCTCAATGGGTGTGGATCCCTCTGTATAGTGTACCAAGCTACAAATTAGCAGCGGAGAACGAAAAGAGAAATTTATGTAGCCTAATCCTAGTGCGACTGTATCAAAATGATAAATACCACTGGAGTATATAGATCACCCTAGTTACTTTGGTATGAATTAATCGATTTAGCCACTCACTTCCAATTATTTTTTTGTCCAAGTGACCCAATTGAACAAAAGCGCACACAAAGAGAAGTGGAATAGGGAAAATAAGCTGCAGTAGACAAAAAAAATAATCCCGAATCAGCGGAGGGAAAGTCAAACTGTGTGGTAATTTAATTTTTTTAGCGTGTGAGATCTCTGGAACACGCGGAGGGAAAGATGTCTAGAGAGGGAAGAAGAAAAAAGGAAATAGGAAGAGGAAAAGAAGGAAGAAAGCAGAGGCGCAAAGTTAAGTGCTATGAAATAACACGGAGAAGTAAACTTTACCACTTATATTATTTTTAAATAAGAAGCCAATAAGGAGGTCTGGGGTTTAAAAGTCATCGATTCTGGATGTTTTTCTTAGAAAACTGACTATGTTGCTTGTTCTTGCTTGTTCTTGTTTCTTTTTATTTACATTTTGCTCAGTTTGTAAATAGTGCTCCAGCTTTGATAGAAGAGTGATCCAGCGTTTCTTTTCGTTATTATTAATATTCTCATTATTATTGTTCATATTTTTTTTTTTCTTCAAACGGTTTATTTTGCGCTGGGCTCAATACCATCACCGTACGTAATAGTAATGCCCACAAGCTACCTGTACTGCTATGTACAATGCTGACGATGTAGTAACCTTCTAAACGGTGCAATTTTTTTCTTTTGTTGGGCTAGCGCCGATGCGATTACCGTCCCAAGTGCCTTTCTTCCTGCCTAAACGCTTAGCACTATTGTTTGTTTTCCTTCTTCGAATGTTTTCTTTTTTTTTTTTTTTTTTTTTTTTTTGAATTTGTTCGTATGTTGACGTAATATCTACGTTTTGAAGCATGGGGCTGAGAAGGCTAACATGCTTCATAACCAGCAAGATTCGATTCTGACAGTCTATGTTGGATCGGGTGTATTCTTGATGCAGTTTAGCAGCGATTGTTCGATAAACTTGGGCTAACCAAATACTTTAGGACCTATCTTAACTGTCAAATAGTGAAGCGCAAACTGATAAATTGAAGAAATACACTTGGTAATTTCTCTTCCTTAGTTTTATTTCCATTCGGCTTAGTAAGTTCGGTTATTCTTAATTGCGTCAAGAAATCTCGAAAATTTCCAAGCGGTTCGTCGTTTCTTAAGGCTGGGCAGGTCATCCGTAATTTTCGCCTTGTCTTCTCAATTCATACTCTTCTTTACATTTGTTTGATTTTATTTTCATATCTATTTTCATATATTTTTCATCTTATCTTATATTTTCTCCTAATTTCTTTTATTCTACATTTCTTTATTGTAGTTGATTTTTGTTGAACTATATACACTATACACATCTAATGCAAACTAAACGTTTCAAAAGCGATGGATTATCCTTTACCATCGAAAATTACACGAAATTAGCAGAGCTAGAGAATAGAAAGGGGCCTTTCAAATATTATTTTACTATACACACGGTGACTGCACTAAAAATTAGAAATGGCATCACCGCCCCAGCTTCATCTTCTACTTGAATATAAATTGCAAAAAGTATTCTTTGGTGTCCCTATCAAAATACCACCAGTAACCGTCTGACATTTCTCCTTCCTCCTTGGGCTTGTCTATTTCTTTATTTGGGAGGGCTATGCAAATGTTCTCGTAGGGTTCTGCGCTAATAATCAAATACTGGAAACCATTGGGATCCTCCCCCTTCTTTTCTTTATCTAAAAATGATACCATTTTGTTTTGGTTCTTACTGGTGAACTCATAGTAAGACATTAATCTGAAAAGTGGTTCCTCTTGGCTCTTGACAAGCTGTGGATATTCCACCTTGATTAGCACCCCAGTGCTTAGACTAGTTGGATCTCTGATCTTGGTGGCTTTATATGCAGGCAATCCGATCTTTGACCATGTTCGAATTGGAGTATTACTTATCGATACAACATTACTATCATTACTTATTATATTCTTATTTTGCAGCTGGTTTCTCTGGTTGAACTTCTTATCTAGTATTCGTCTCTTTTCTAAATTAAGCTGATGCTTTTTCCCACCCAAATGAGATATATATGACGATTCACTAACATGAGTAGTGAGGCAGAGTCTGCACTCTAACAACCCTAGATGATTTCTGAAGACATACGGATCATTATCGAGATCCAAGACTTGAGTAGTTAAAAGCTCCTTGAGTCTCCGTCTTGTGTGTACATTAGTCTCGTGTGAGTCAGCTACACCTCCTGAACCCTTCTTGGAGTTGACTCTATTAGAATAGTCCATTGTGTGGTAGAGTAGAGAACATGAAGTAGAAGAAAGACGGCGGCCTGAAAATAAATTAGCCCTGATGAGTGTTTCTGCAGGTCACGGCATCAGGCACGTGATACACACAGATGGAATTTTCTCTATGAGAAGTACAGAGAAGACGGGTTGCACTCTACAAAGACGAATTGAGCTACGTCGAGTAGGTATTCTCATTTGGACGAATTCTGGCTAGTAAGGTTACAAATCGACCATAAATAGTCAACTCTTCCAGTTTGAGCCGAATTATTACACATGAAATTGGAGAATACTCACCCTTTCCATACTAAATTTAAGGGTACTCGACACTACGCAACATCACTTACCTATGTTGCCCTACATAACACCCTAACACCTATGCAGCTCTCTCAGCTCTCCCAATTCACTTATCTGCCGCCGTTACTGGTAATGCTAGCCACATTAAACTTTAACCTATCCTTCCATTGTAATGTTTTTCGCCTCAGGCTTGCTTAAGGCTGGTATACGCCATGTTCTGTACAGTACCAAAACACGTCCCCTATCGCCTGTGAGCGAACTTTTTTTTTTCCATTAACTGTGTTGTTCTGTGCAGGAGAATTATGCCGCAATAGGAATTTTAAAATTTTGGTGTATTTCGAAAGAAGCGGTTGAGAAAATTTACGTTGTAGTCCAAGAGAAGGGAGGAATACATCTTAAGCACAGAGCGAAAATAGTTAGGAAAGGTGGAAGATTATAGTCTGGAACCGACGTCAAATCACGCAACTTCCACAGAACTAGAAAAAGAGGTGGACACAGAGAAAAATTGAACGGAAGTAATACGTTCTCCATCATTGTAACCCTATCCATAACCATTATCTACCCTCCAGTCATTCACTGCTGATAGCTTCTTTTCGCCATGGAGTCACCTATAAACATTGGGGATACAACAACCAATTCAATTCTTTTCCGGCTACAGGAGACTCACATCAACTCTGTAGGGTCTGCGTCAATAACGAGTAACTCATACTCTGGGCAACAGGTTCTTCAGTTAAACATTACCTTCAAGAACAAGTCTGACGACTCAGATAAACCAACTTTCTTATCCATATTGAGAAGGATTCAGGACTCGTACATAAACGTTAGCCAATTATTCGAGATTTTGATAAAGTTGGAGCTATTCAATGAGGAGCAGATTGAAAAGTTTTTAAACAACGAAATCATCACCAACCCCCAGTACATTCCGCCCACGGGCTTCGATGATTTCCGCAAGCACGACAACATCCACTTACGTGGACTCTGGATTCCCTATGATAAGGCCGTGTCACTTGCCTTGAAATTTGACGTGTACGAGCTTTGCAAAAAGTTGTTCTTAGTGGACGTTCACGACTTCGACAAGTTGCCTAAAGGCTCAACTGCAATCAACAGCAAAAGAACATTATACGAATCTAGTTTCGATGGAGATGATGCTGGTTTGATGGGAAGTCCGACCAAAAAGCAAAAGAGACACGCTGCTACGTCTGCCGCTACCTCACCAGAATCATTTAAGTTGAACTTGGAAAATACAAACGCTCCCTTTACCCTTCCGCCACAGAACTTAAGAGAGAACCAACCATTGATTTCTGACATCAAGTTAAAGTATTCAGAAGTCTTTAAGAAGGATGACGTAAATTCTTTGACTTTTGAAGAAATTAAGAAGATATTCGAACCTATAACCAGTCAATTACATAACCATCAGCCTTATTCTTTAACTGATTTGCCCTTGGACCAACAGGGAAAGACTGCATTGCATTTTGCATCCACTTTGGCTTCGGTGAATTTGGTTTCGTCGTTCATTAAATTGGGGTTATGTTCTCCTATAAGAGGAACAATAACAGGGGAATCTCCACTTATCTCCACTATTACTGTAACCAATTCAATGGAAAAAGGCAACTTTAGAGAATTGTTGAGCAATTGGTTGTATCCATCGATTTGGTTATTGAATAAGAAGAAATGGTCAATATTACATTTTCTTGCGTCGGAATCCATTAAAAAGATTGACTCAACTAAGTATTATCTAACTCAAATCTTGGAATGGATAATCAGTCGTAAAGACTCCAGCTTGAACAGACTTTGCTATGAGATCGTCAACTTGCAAGAAGATGTACAGGCGAACACCTGTCTTCACTTGGCAGCAGAAAATGAAAGCAAATGGTTGATCAACATTCTAATTGAGTTAAATGCGAATGTTGATATTGCTAATAAAACTGGATTGAAGCCAATCGATTATGATATCGTCAAAGAAGTGCTAAAAGAAAGAGAAAATGATTCTGTTAAGTTTGAAACTGAGCAGGAGAGTTACATTGTAGAGATTATTAGAAGTAATGTGGATATATTGAAAAAGAAGGCTGAGTTTGGAGTAAATTTAGAAGAAGAGATTGCGGACGATGATGAAGATCATGTACGAAAAGATGTGGAGCAAACTGCTGAAAAACTACCACAACAAATTAATAACAATAGCAAGAGTAGTAGTGGAAGAATCTTCCAAGCTATCCAGTCCCTCCTCACAAATACCAATGACGAATATGAATCTCTCATCAAATTCAAAAAGCAACATCTAGTCAAATTGAATGAAGTCTTACACGATACAAGTATTGTTACTGCAAACAACCGCTTTGTGCTGAGGAAGATCAATGAGAAATTGGTCTATTTAGATAATATTAAGTTGCAGATGGGAAATATCACCGACAAGCTAGAACTATCCAAGAGAGAAATTCCCGAGGAATTGGTTGAACAGATTGTGAATCAAGAAGAAGATGAAGATTTGCAGACTAAATACGATGCAGACGAACCATTCAGAATACCTGGTATTTACGATCAATTAGAATCTGAGGCCCTGGATAAGGTGGAAGTAAGCGATTCTGTTTTGAGCGAATTACCCTCCTTGTCAATACTAAAAGCTAGAGTTAAGGCATATGAAGAGATAAATGCATCGATTCAAAACGAGTTGTCTAGTTTATTAGACTACTCGGAATTGACGTCGAAATTTAAGAAGGTGGTCAGCTTCTGTACCGGAGTAGATATTAATGAAGTGGATGATTTGTTGGATGGGTTATTGGAAGCTGTTGAAGGACAACAATAAGAAAGAAATATACTAGAGTAGTTTACGTATCAATGTTAAATAAAAAGAAAAGAATCCTAGAGAAAGAAAACACACACATTAGAGCAAGACAATTGGAGCACAACTCAATAGCCATTGATATGAGTGATTTCGACTTCAGAGTAATATTGTCACCAAGACGGGCTTTTGCCCACTTCAGCCGTACGAACAATCACTTTATTCCTTCTTCATTTATTATAATATACATCTCTCTCTTTCTTCCTTATACCAAACCTTCGTATGAATTCAATGCGTTCGTAATGGAGGGATCCAATTTCAGCAATCTCTTAAAATCGTCTAAATTGATCGTATCTACATCTTTATCCTTTTCAAGAAGCGTGAAAAATTTAGTTGCTCTTGCTTCTGGTGTCTTCTCGTCTTCAGGAAGCAGTACCATTGAGCCTATCATTTTATAAATAGCAGATGTCACTACCACTATATCCTTGTAGCTCAATTTACCTGCTTTTTTAGAATCGTACAACTTGAAACTCCAATTTAATTTTTGTTCGAGCGACCCACGGCTCGTTATGGATAGCGCAATTATAAATTCTTTGAAGTCTATGTACTTGGAGTTATCCACATCGAATACTCTAAAAAGATAGTGGCAATAGTCAGTGGGATCACCAAAGGGAAAGAACTGTTTAAAAACCTTAGCAAATTCTTCTTCTGACAACTGTCCTGAGGGACAGTCTCTCAAGAACCCTTTATACCATTGCTGTAACTCTCTTTTGTCGAAATATGTTGCCAGTCGAAGCGATTTGAGGTCATCTTTCGATAGCTTAGATACCGCCTTTCCCATCTGTGATATATGAGAAGTGTGATACGAAAGAACAGTCAGTAATGGGAAGAACGATACTGAACGCTTGGTGTACAAAGACGTGAACTCTAGCCAGACTTAATTTTTTTTTAGCAATTCATGTTGAAGTCCAGTACAGCACGTGACCGAGTACAGTGGAATTTTGGCATGCAGCGAATCAACATGGAAAATGAAAAGTTGAAGGTTTTCTCCAAACTAAGAGCATCTCCACAGTGCCGGAACAAGAGAGTAAAATGCTTAAATTTAATAAGAGATTCCTCTCGAATACTTCCAAGAGAACGCTCAACTATGGGAAACCTCAAAACCCTAAACATAACTTAGAAATAACCATGAAAATCGAACCTATCGAAAGAACTGGAGAATCTATCGATATCAAGAGAGCTAGACTTGTCTATCAGTCGAGAAAGAGAGGTATATTGGAGAGTGATTTATTGTTGTCAAGATTTGCCAAAAAATACTTGAAGACCTTCAGTCTTGAAGAACTCGACGAATATGATAAATTGTTGGATGAACCAGATTGGGATATCTACTACTGGGCTACCAAGAACTATGATGTTACCCCATTGCCTGAGAAATGGCAGAATTCGAAGATCTTGAAATTATTGCAAGAAGATGCAAAAAACAAGGAAAAGGAGATTTTGAGAATGCCAAACTTGTAAATATGATACAGCAGAAGGCAAAAAGAGGTGATTTGAGGTGATTTTGTGCCATTTATGTTAGATGATAACCGGTATTATTGGGTAGGACATCTCTTGAGATCTGAGCCATTCAAATCAGTGCATACTGAAATAAAAAAAAAGATGAATGAAATTATAAAAAAATATGAAAATATGAAAATAAGTAGAAGATAAACGAAATTGAAACCCAGTGCGGTCTTTCGGGTACTTTGAAACCTACTGTATATACGACCTTGTCTTTCAGTCTAGTACCTGTAGGTTGTGAATCGGAAGTAGTCTGTCTTCCTTTGCTCTTTTCCATACAAAAAACTGTCTCATTTCGCATCCTGCATGTAAGCAAATGCCTTTATCTTGACCATTTCATTTCAGCCTGGCTACGCTTTATTGCCCCTCTTGTTTCAATCGACCTAGCTATAACCCAATACTACACTATGAATGTTCCCGCTGGTCTCAAGTCAAACAAGGCGATTGCCCCGTATATTTCGCGCTCCATTGAGTTGGAATCAATCAACCCTGTCATTAGCTACTACTGTAAGATCTATGTGTTGGAGTACATACTCACAAATAAACTCCACACAACTGATAAAGACATAGAAGCATATACGATCTATATGCTTGATGAAACTGAATCAATTAAGGCAGACCAGGATCCGGAAAACGAAGGCTTACACAGGGCGCTTTCCGATAAAAACATCTCGCTCGGAATCGTCATGGAATTTAGTTATAAGATCTTCAATAGCTGTCTTGAGGAACTCTCGCAGTACGATGGTTCCAATAAATTGCAATTGATTGGCAAATTTAGGGCGTGCTTGAATTTTATGAATTTGTTGTCTATTTTTTACAATAAGCCCGATGAAAGAATAGAATGGGCGAAATACACCGGCGGCAAAGCCAAAGATCATCTAGAATTCGAGAAGTTGAATAAGGAGAAGTTGAAGGTGTTAAAGTTCCGTTTATCGCAGTTGATTAAAGATGAGGTCCCTTTGAAGAAGGTTGACGATAAGGACCTCGAAGACGAATTAGAGAAAGAATTAAGAGAAATAGAGCTGCAGGCAACTGCAGGAGCGGCCGGTCAGCTAAGAAACGATGAAGAGGAGAAGGTGTCGGAAGTGTCTTCTAAGAAGGGCGAGTTTTCCCTTCCAAGCGCTCCCCAGTTTATTGATGATGGGGAGGAGAGCAAATCTGAAGTACCAGACACAAAAGATGAGTTTTCCCTTCCAAGCGCTCCCCAGTTTATCGACGACGAAGAAGACAGCAAATCTGGAGTACCAGACACGAAGGACGACATTTTCCTTCCAAGTGCTCCTAAGTTCATCAGCGAGGAGAAGGACCTTCTCCCAACAGCGCCAAAGTTTATTGATACAGACGAGGGTTTACTCCCCTCTGCCCCAAAGAATATTGACGAAAATCAGCCACACCTCCCATCGGCACCGACATTTCTTGAAGCCGAAGACGAAGGTAATGATGATAAACATATAACAGATAATAAACAAGGCGCCTCTATCAATTTACCGGGTGCACCTCACTTTTTACCTGAGGACGACGAAAACGATGTTAAGCTCCCAGGAGCTCCCCTGTTCTTACCAGATGATGACATCTCTCATATCAATAAGGACTCGTCTATTAAAGTTTATCCTCCTACATCCAGGAAGCCCTCTGATACTCCAAAGCCGGTGGTGAAGCAGCAACCGACCCCTACGCCTAGGCATGTGAGCAGCCATACAACCAAGGCAGAGGATATAAACGAGATCATCGATAAGGCAGAATTGATTGCGAAGGTTCAAAAGCACGCAAAGTTTGCGATCTCGGCATTGAACTACGAGGACATCAAGACCGCAGAGAAAGAGTTACTCGAGGGTTTAGAGTTAATTAGGAACATAAAATAAAGTAATAAACAGATCAACTGCTATAGCCAAATGAGAGCTACAGCACATGGTTGCATTTAGCTATATTCACGTGATTCTCTCTATCTGCAGTGCGACCTCGGACTAATACACACGCTAAACGAATTTCACTTTTTCAATGTGACGTTAACAGATCAGACACTTGTGAAACAAGCTGTAAGCCTACGTAGACGGATATGGAACCCGATAATCGACTTTTCCAGTCGTGCAAAACTGCGTACAATCTCGTTCAGAGTTTCCAAAACGATACACAGCCGTGGGGCTTGATCTCGAAGAGAAGACCCGGCTACGAGTATGATGCAAAATTGCGGAGAGAAGTGAAGGAGAAAATTATAGAATCTTTAAACGTAATAGAAACAGCATTGGAACGCCATGGGTATGTATGATCAGGGAGACTTAATGATTAGGGACTCTATAGCTCGGAAGACTTATTCTGGAACTCCTTCTTTTTTTTTTCATTTCCTTCTGAGGGGGATGTCAGGCTCTGATCTGCTTACTAACTTTTAACGCTAGGCTCAGGGAGATTGCAATATCGTACAACGGAGGAAAGGACTGTCAGGTCATGTTGATTTTGATTTTGTCGAGTATATACAAGAAGTATCAGCAGGGGGGTGGATCACTGGTTGGTGCAGCTATCTTAGATCCGAAGTACAAGCTCGACGCCATATACATCAATTCTGAAGTTCCCTTCCCGGGAGTATCCACTTTTATAGAAGAGTCCACAGCCCAGTACGGTTTGAACCCAGTGACAATCAAATCATCGTTGAAGGAAGGATTTGAAACTTATCTTTCGGCCAACCCGAATATCAAAGCCATAGTTGTAGGGATACGTCACTCAGATCCATTTGGGTCTACCTTGAGTTCTGAACAGGAAACAGACGGCGATTGGCCCAGGTTCCTAAGAATCCACCCAATTCTTAGTTGGGATTTTGTGCATATATGGGATTTCTTGATAGGATGTGACTTGGAGTACTGTCCAGTGTATGACTTGGGCTACACCAGTTTGGGCGGGAAGAATAACACTAGCCCAAACCCTTACTTGAGGAAGAAAGACGATCCAAGCAGCTACTTACCAGCTTACATGTTAAAGGAAGATGCTGACAATAGAGAAAGGATTGGAAGGAACAAAAAGCAATAGTGTATAGAGTTATTATTTATAAATACATATTTAAGTCTATTCGGACGACGATTTGTCTAGCTTCTGAGCAACATCAATAAAATGTCGGAATAGTAATAAGAATTAAGTAGGTTTCAAATAATAAATAGCCTCGCTTCTCAGGTAAATGATCTTGGAATGGTGGTGAGGTATTGGGGTTGTTGGTAGTCATATCATAAAATTCATTTCTTTTCTGTCTAGCTTCTAGTTTCAAGCTTCTAGCCTCCAGCTTCTTTAAGGGCTCATGTTGGAACCCCTTTTAGAGCTGTTCTGCAACACTTGCTTGAAATAGTCATCAGAAAGAGGTCCCACTCCAATTTTGCCTAAAGCTACTTCTGCACTAGTGTGCCCCACATTTATAGGGACGTTCAGCTGGTTATTGTCCCTCTTTAACTCAAGATTCTTCAACTTCATAATCAACTCAACCTCTTTTCGGTTGTTCTCATCTATCACCTTCTGAAGATATTGAATATACTCCACAGATTTTGTCAAGATTTGTCCCTTATTGGGTTTTCCATCTTTAGTACCAGAGTTCTTCATTGCAGCAGCAATGGCAGCATCATGTTCCAGCTGACCACTTTGAGCATTGGGTTGAGCCAGGGCACTGTTTGTCGTTGGCTGCTCCTGGAAGAATTCCGTGGGCACCAATGTCAAAAGTTCTTGGATTTTGTCATTAATATTGTCTCTTCTCTTCCTTTCGTGGCCCAGGTCGTCTTCATCGTCAGAATTGGAGTTATTGTTGTTAGCGTTACTCCCGTTACCAGACCCACTGGTCCCACTCTTTTTCCTACTGAGGTTGCCCTCAGAATTGCTCTGGTTGTTCAGATTGTTATTACCATTGTAATAATATTCGTCTTCGTCATCTTCACTCCCGTCATTCGACTTCACTGCAAATGTGGAGTTCTTCCGAGATTGTGGTTTATTGATACCCCCACTTATTCCATGCAGCGACGAGCCTTGAAAGGACAGAGACAATTGCTTCTTGATATCCAAAGATCTCAGCAAAAACTTGTCCGGGTTGTCCAGTTTGGAATTCATATTTGGGATATTCAATGATTGTTGCTTGGATAGATTAGTGCTCGCAGGAGGTGGAGAAGCCAGTTCTGCGCCTGATATCGATTCCGAATTGGCACCACTAGATTGGGCCCTGTTATACTTGCCATAATTGTCTTTATAGTCCATGTTGTTCCCCGATAGTGTGAGAATTGACGCAGCAGTTACGATATTACGAAAAGTAGGGAAGTAGCTTTGAGCATAAGATTAAACAAGCTGTTCCAGGGAATGCTAATTTAGCTTGTTTTGAACAGGGATGTGAGGAAAATGTTATCTGCAGGAACTGCAACTTATATATGTTACACCTTTCCTAATGATTAGTAGTTGACGTTGTTCTGAATGGAAGGGTGAAAATATATATTTAAATTATATACAAGACTATCAACAAGCAATATTTCCAGCAAACAACTTCAAAAAAGAAAAAGCAAAAAAAAAATGTGAATCAGGTAAAAAAATGTGTGAATTTTTTCTCTAGGTACAAGTTCTCAAAGGCAGGTCTTAGCGTGCCATGCTATGCTCTATGCTACATTAGTGCTCTCCTTCTCTCTTCTTGCACTCATCTTCTGTCATTCCTCAATCTACCTCCCATCTCGTGAAACTTTCTCTCTAAGTTCTGCACTCTCTTATCATCTTCAAGGTTCCATATTGGCCTCACCCTCTTACTTTCATGCAAATCAATCCCCATCTTCATATTGTGGTAGTCCACAATTATCATTTCCAACAAGTTGAACGTAATCAAATCTCCTAAGAATCCATTGTTTATCATTTCAAGCAAGATCATTTCAATCCCGTACAAGTTAGACTTGCCATTGAAAATCCAGTTGATTCTCAATATCTCATTGTATGTCTGTTGGTTGCAGCATATCGTGTAGAAGTTGAGATCTTTCTTCAATAAGTTGAACAATGTCAGGGACAATTGTGGGTCTTGGAACTTAAATGCGATGGTTTTGATGAGTTTATTGAAGAGTATGGGCAAAGTAAAAACGTTTATGATCGGCTCACCAGGACTATTGGTAGATTGCTCGAGTATATTGTACAATAATTGTTCCTTCTTCTTGCTGGAATCCCTCATGATATCTCTCAAATACATCTCTTCATTGTTTATAAGTTTCCATTTCGTTTGAAGAGATTCGAAAAACTGATACAGCTGCCACAAGTTGAGATCATTTTCAATTAGTTTAATGGAGGGCTTTAGCGAATCTGCAATCTGTCTATCAAAATCAAGTGAGATATCTATACTACTTCTTTTTCTCATTGGATCTTCAGTCACTGGCGCAGATAATTCATTATCTGAATACATCTGGATCATTTCATTAATCAGTTCAGTCTTGGTATAAGGCTTGGTCCCTTCCTTATCTTTATAGCTCAAGTCTTGGTTCCCCAAATACTTGTTGAAAATATTTAGCATAGTTTCCTGCTCCTCATGGATATACTTAGACTCAAGATCTTCTACGCCGAGCTCTTCATTATTTTGTTCAGTAGACGACAAGTTGCCCAACTTTTCAAACAAATCAAACGTTGAATCGTTCAATTTACCTCCTTTGTGGTCTCGCTCATTGTCAACTTTACTTTCTTTTTTGCCTACATTGAAGATATCGCTTACACTTTCAAGTTTTATATCTTGGAATACATCGTTTAGATTGCCATCTTCGGAGTTATTAAAATCTTGTTGAAAGAACTTTTCGATCGCATCAAAGTCTTTCTTGGATTTCGTCTTATCAACACTTGAAATGCTGTCTGCTGAGGGCCCTTCGTCTTTAGTTACATTCTTCAAAGACACAGAGCCCGAAAATAGGTTTCGAGATGTTGGTACAAAGGCGATTCTCGATAACAACAGTCTTCTACCCAAGCTGTACATTTTTTTTTGGTTTATCTATTAATTATGGATCGATAGGTCTTATATACACATCTAATTAAAATACTAGTTCTGAATCCAAGTAGCTAAGGAGAAATGAAATGACTAGTCTATTGTAATATAAACCAAATAAAAAAAAACTGAAAATTCGAGTTGTAAAGATTTCAGTTTCATGTATATGCAGGATTGATGAGATGATCATCTAGGAAACATTTTGGTATAGTGTAGTTAATAAGGAAACAACAACGAAGAAGTATTCATGATGCTAGGTGCTCTGACGATTATTAAGGAGTATGTAGACCGATACTCTGAGCAATACTTGTATCCATTTTTGTGTACTTCAATTATTCATCTCTTCAGATTTGATCGCGTTTACATAGTAGGTACCTTCATCACCCTCAGCTGATACCAATTCCAAATTCTTGCCGCCCTCTCCTCTAATTCTATTATAATCCTTATGATCTAAATCCCAACCTAATTTGTCGCACAAGTAAGCAGCTACTTCATCACAGTAGCCCAATAAACTAACATCAAGGTTAAAATGATCAATCGGGTCTTTATTAATTAGTACTTGCGGAACATCCTCTGGAACTCTTTCCAAGATGTGCGACACAGGGGCCACTTTTAAAGAAGTACCAATGCAAATCAATAAGTCACACTCAGTGATATCTTGCTTGATCGTTCTGTGGAATCTCAGTGGTAGGGGTTCTCCAAAAAAGGTGATGTCTGGCTTCATTACACCGTAACTTTCAGCAAGATAAACATCTTCCTTCTTCAACAATTTCTCACGTTTAGAATTACATTTAGGGCAGTAAGCTACTTCCTTGGCACGTATTTGCGCAAAGATTCCCTCTCCAGGGATATGGTAACCACAAGTCACGCACAGCGCGGTTGCAAATGAACCATGGCATTGTATCAATTTATCTTCTTCTATTCCAACAACACCTTCTAAGTTATCGATGTTCTGGGTATAATTTCTTAACAATTTACCTTTGTCTTGTAGCAATTTGATAAACGCATGCAATGGAGTGAATGAGTCTTGTGGAGGCAATATCATATGCGCAATCAGATAAAAGATGGTTGGGTCTTGATGGAAAAACTCTAAGTCGAATACTTCTTGGGGGTCAGAAAGTCCCAAATGTTGTAACTGGCTATAAAACCCTTGGGACGAACGGAAGTCTGGTATACCAAGGGAAGTAGAAATCCCAGCACCAGTGATAACCATAATCTTGTTGGCAGTTAGTATTCTGCCCAACACTTCGTCTACCGTTGTGAAATTGGTCAACCTGTTTCTCATAGAGATAGTTTTTTTCATGGCCAAGTTCAAAATTCTGATTAGCCTAATAAGATTCTCTTCTTCGTTGTAGTCGCTGATATCCTTTGGCAAGAATCCCAATTTTAAGATTAAGCTTAGAATATCGTCAGACGAGGCTGTAGTTGGTAGATATCTTTCCAAAAACTTCATTATTCCGTGAGCTTTAAGATATTTCCTAGTTTCTAGTCTCACTTCTGGTGGGACCTGGGTAGGGTCCTGAAAGGTATTAGGAGCCTCTTCGTTGACCACGGCTTTGTATTCTTCGATAGAAATCGGTTCGTTTAGCGATTTGGAGTCTGAGTCCGAGTTTGGGGAAGACGACGAGGAAGATGAGCCGAACTCCGATGTGGATTCTGAGAGATTATGAGTTACCGGTATATTCAGTATTTCAGCGTGTTCGCCTTCGTCATCATCATCATCATCATCATCATCATCATCATCGTCATCGTCATCGTCATTATCCGAGCTCATGTACGGCTTCTTTATTTGGTTGATAGTGACGGCCTCAGCCCTCTGGACCTTTAAAGGTGGCTGGTCTTCTTCATCCGAGTCTAACAATACAACATCGGTTCTTTTGGACATACTACAAGGGCAACAACTGGCACGACTGGGTGTTAGGAAGTTTCGATTAGATAAGAATGTGGGATTGTGAAGAAATGGAGACTGTTTTCAAATCAATAAGCGCGAAAGTTGAAATGAAAAAGGAATCAATTAAAAAAAAACACAACGGCTATGAGTGTGGCCCTGAGTGAGAACGTGAGAGTAAGATGTGTGAGAATTCGAGTATAGGGCATTGACTCAAAGGAGTTGATGAGAAAAAAAAAAAGAAGTACGGAAATATCAATGAAGAGTTCAAATGTGTGAGAATTTACTTGTGCCAGGATCAAATCGGAGGGTCCCTTTGCATCAATACATTTTTTGGGGTTATTTTTCACTCTGTGGCCAACTCTATTCAATTTATACTTGAAAAAACTCATACTCAAGGTGATTTGATAATTATTTATTTTTTGGTGTACCTGTCCCGTTACCGAGTTTATGCAGTTTTGCTCCGCCATGCAAGACTTGGAAAAAGCGTTTGCACAACCACTCAGTGGGGAGCACACAATTGCTAAGGCTAAACGAGGCGAAATAAAGAACAAAATAAGCGTACTTGTTTCATATACAAAAAGTTAGCGTACAAGATGAAGAGGAACAACAAAATGACAGTTATATCACATTAAACACACACACACACACACACACACACACACACACCTTTCGAAACTTTTGTGTTTTCCTGGGTATGCCTAACCCTTCTAAGTAGCCACTAATTTTTCACTTCCCATTGCTTGCTAGTGCGCCTCTGCTCCGTCTCCACTGAAAAAGCACGCCGCTTGAACACGTAGTAAAGGGAAAAATTTTATACGAATCCCCTAACAAAAACCGGGATTTTTGGCGATACACGCATTTGTAACTTATCAACGTTTAACAGCCAATTTGCCAATCCTCCATTTCCTTTCGTTGACTTGTTCTTCTTCTTTTCTTCTTTTTTTTTCCTCTTCTTTCTTTCTTTCTATTGTATATTCATTCCCACTTAGTCAATCGCTTAACTTGCTTCTAATTTAAACATGATTAGTGGTGTTGAATTCATTAAGACTCCAGACCAGGGTCCAATCCCTCCAGCGTCTGATGAATGCGGAATCTTGACTACTGATTCGCCAACAATTCACAACGCGCCATTGCCAGCTGACGGACCAGGATCCAGGCACTTCTCTAACATAGCAATGGGATCTCTTGTTGTGTTAATCCCTTACTATATTTCTAGTAAGCTTGGAGGTGGTTTCAAGTTGTGGATTTTCTTCACCTTGTTATCTGGTTTACCAATTATCGTGGCATACTGGACCATTTTGTCTTCATTCTCTCCAAGATTGAACGAAAGGGTTAAGTATCCAGGACGTCCAATCTCTTACTACTTGGAATACCACACCCCAGAATTAAAAGCTAAGTACGAAACCTCAAACAACGGACAAGGTACCAAGATCCCAATTGAGACATTCCAAGAATTATTCTTTGATGGTAAGGTTTCCTTCAAGGGAGACTGTTTAGACGTCTTAGAATACAAACATGACTGGTGTAACTTCAGATTTACTTTAGGTTTATTCAGATACTTCCTTTTCGGTTTTATCCCAGAAGTTATTTTACATTCCAAATCTCAAGATGAAGAACAAGTCAGAGATCATTACGACAGAGGTGATGACTTCTACACGTGGTTTTTGGGTCCAAGAATGATTTACACCTCTGGTATCGTTTCTAATATCACCAAGGAAGAATCTTTAGAAAGCCTTCAAGATAACAAACTTCACATTGTTGCTGACAAGATTCAATTAAAGAAAGGTGAACATTTATTAGACTTAGGTTGCGGATGGGGTACTTGGTTGACCATTGCATCATCTAAGTTCGGTGCTAAGGCAACTGGTGTTACTTTGGGTAAGAACCAAACCAAATGGGGTACTCAATTATTGAAGGAAAACGATGTCCCAGATGGGCAATCCAGAATTTGTTGTGTTGACTATAGAGACACTCCACCATCAGAAAAGGAAAGCGGCAAGTATGATAAGATTACTTGTTTGGAAATGGCCGAACATGTTGGTGTTAGAAAGTTCTCTGGCTTCATTAGACAAGTTTATGATGCCTTGGAAGATGATGGTATTTTCTTTTTGCAATACGCTGGTATAAGAAAGCTGTGGCAATACGAAGATCTCGAATGGGGTCTTTTCATGAACAAGTATATTTTCCCAGGTGCCGATGCTTCCACTCCATTGACCTTCGTTGTTGATGCATTGGAAAGCGCTGGCTTTGAAGTTGTTTCCTTAGACAACATTGGTGTTCACTACTCTGCCACTTTGTGGAGATGGTACAGAAACTGGATTGGTAACAAGGAAAAGGTTGTTAACAAGTACGGTATTAGATGGTACAGAGTCTGGGAATACTTCTTAGCCTCTTCTACTATTGTTTCAAGACAAGGTTCCGCTACTTGTTATCAAATTGTTTTGAGAAAGAACTTGAACAGTTACCACAGAGTCAACTACATTCCAAACCAAGTAGCATTAACTGGTGTCACTGATAGAGGTACCAAGTGGGCCAAGAACTAAGAGTGCACGAAGGGGTACCACTATAATTCTTTTTTTTTTTACTTTTTTTTTAACTTTTACTATTGTATTTAGGAATATAATATATGACTTTATGTAAATGCTGCTGCTGCTAGTAGTGTGGAGAAAGAGATGAGTAAGAGAATTAGACTTGGAAGCACACCAATGCAAAGCTGGAGAAATATTTATTGGGCTCAATGAGTGATATTTAGGTCAATGGCACTGGAATAAGAAGCAGAAGCATATCAATTGTAGGAATAACAATGCCTATAGCCAATGCCTTCGAAACCAACGGGCCTAGCCATTTCCTAGTGAAAAATCAAACAATAAAAAAAAAAAAAAAGAATGGAAAAAAAAATTACTACGAGGTGAATTATTTCCAGAACAAGTGATGCTGGGTCCATATGCCTTCTACAGTGATCCACATGTGAAAATGAACTCAATTGTAGAACGATGAATGAGATCAACGGGAGGCACCATACCAATACACCAGTAGTTCCAATAGCTACAAGTGGATCAATTGGTACCATACGGCTACCTCACCAACTACCGGAGTACGAGTACACACACGTACACTCTAAAGAAAAGCAATCTCCGATGACGTCTCCGGTTTCACCTCCGCAACAAACTATAACCAGACCCTCCCGCTCTTAAGACCAAAATACGTGGGTGTGTAGCACTTGGTTCACCTGTTGAGGAATTTCCTGTACTTGGCCTCGGATTGTGGGCTTCCCTTCATCCGATGATAAGACTCAGCAAATCAGACTCCCGGATCTTTCGCAGGCGCGAGTCAATTCTTTTTCGGCTCCATGCGAGAATCCCACTGTAACCTTCTCTATATGCAAGATGACTCGTTTTTTTCTCTGGCTAGCATCCGCTGGAACGAGCAATCTGGGGTAAGGAGTACGGGAAGGGCCAAAAAAAAATCGGTTATATAAAAGGAACAATTCCTAAAATTTCAAGCGACAGTGTTTGAGTCAGAAGGTTTTATTACGAAGATTTTTTTTTTGAATACTTGAAGTCAGGTTACTTTAAATACAATTGCAAAAGAAAACTATACACATATATACATAAACTATGTCCGGACCATTCCCATTAGTCGAAGATAAACTTAAAGGAGTTCAAATCCTTGCACCAATCCCGGCCAACGCTAAGCACATTTTCAGTGGTGAAGCATTGGCATTTGTCGCAACTTTACAACGTGCTTTTGGTGGTGAAAGAAAGAGATTGTTAGCCAACAGAAAAGAGCAACAAAAACTTAGAGACCAGGGTGTTTTGCCAGACTTTTTACCAGAAACCAAGTACATCAGAGATGACCCAACTTGGACAGGTCCTCCATTGGCTAAGGGTTTACAAGACAGAAGAGTTGAAATTACTGGTCCAACTGACAGAAAGATGGTTATCAATGCCTTGAATTCTCCTGTTGCCACCTATATGGCTGATTTCGAAGATTCCTTGACTCCAGCTTGGAATAATTTGGTTGACGGTCAGGTTAACTTGTACGATGGTGTTAGAAGAAACTTGTCATTTGAAAGCAACGGTAAGAAGTATAAGTTGAATCTTGATCCAAAGAGACACATTCCAACTTTAATTGTCAGACCAAGAGGATGGCACTTGGAAGAAAAGCACGTCTTGGTTGACGGTGAACCAATCTCCGGTGGTATTTTCGATTTTGCTATATACTTCTTCAACAGTGCTAAGGAATCCTTAGCTCAAGGGTTCGGTCCATACTTTTACTTACCAAAGATGGAACATCACTTGGAAGCCAAGTTATGGAATGATATCTTCAACTTTTCCCAAGATTACATTGGATTGCCAAGAGGTACAATCAGAGGTTCTGTTTTGATTGAAACATTACCAGCTGCCTTCCAAATGGACGAAATTATTTACCAATTGAGACAACATATTGGTGGATTAAACTGTGGTAGATGGGATTACATTTTCTCATACATTAAGTCATTGAGAAACCATCCTGAGTTTGTTTTACCAGAAAGAGGACAAATTACCATGTCTGTTCCATTTATGGCATCTTACGTTAAATTGTTGGTTCACACTACCCACAAGAGACAAGTGCATGCTTTAGGAGGAATGGCTGCCCAAATTCCAATTAAGGAAGATCAAGACCGTAATAGAAAGGCTTTGGAAAATGTCGCCAAGGACAAGTTAAGAGAAGTCAATGCTGGATGTGATTCCTGTTGGGTTGCTCACCCAGCATTAGTTCCAGTTGTATTGAAGGTTTTCAACGAACACATGAAGGGACCAAATCAAATCAATGTTCCACCAAAGACTCCATATAAGCCAATCACCGCAAGAGACTTGTTGAGTCCATATGTTCCAGATGCTAAGATAACCGAACAAGGTATCAGAACCAACATAATCATTGGATTATCATACATCGAAGCATGGTTAAGAAACATTGGATGTGTTCCAATTAACTACCTTATGGAAGATGCTGCTACTGCTGAAGTTTCCAGAACTCAAATTTGGCAATGGGTTACCCACGGTTCCCAAACCGACAAGGGCGTTACCATTACCAAGGAATTGGTTTCCAAGTTATTGAACGAAGAAGCCGCCAAGTTAAGCAAGTCTGCACCTTCAGGTAACAAATTCAAGCAAGCATTGGAATACTTCAGACCAGAAAGTTTGGGTGAAAAGTACTCTGATTTCGTCACCACCTTGCTTTATGATGATGTTACCACCATTGGCAGACCAATTGCTGCTGATAAATTATAAGTTCCTCTATTTTGAGAGAAATCGATATTTATTGAAGGAAACAATTAGCCATTGAAGTATGTAAATATTTTATGTAGTTTTGTTTTTAAGAGAAGAAAAAAGAAAAGAAAAGAATAAAAAATGGAAGTCAAAATAAAACATGAAATGAATGATGAATGAGCATACCGATGTAGCAAATGGTGTTAGTTGATGCAAGGTTTCATGAAGTAAGTTCAATGACTAAATTTTAGTGAGAAGGCATAACAATGAGATGCTAAGCGAGCAGAAGTTAGTATTATGTGACCGGAGACATGCTATGAAGGATCGTTTTTGGAAAGCAACACTAATGTGTCACTGTAGAAAGATGAACCACATAGAATCGTTCTCACTACTGTAGACGGCTGGCATATTATCTAAATATCATCCCCAATATGTATAATTCTCACAAAAAATGGTATAAAGTAAGATAGACGTCAAGTCTGCTAAACTTCCTCCTACACTTTAAAATAAAAAACAATAGGAATGCTGCTAGTACGCGAATTGACACACTCGTATACATATCCTTTCATGTGTTCCACTTGAATGCCCGGGTAGGTAGCGTTACATGGTGCTCTTGTGGGTTGTGCGAAGATGCAAGACAGACCACACTTTCTCGATCTCTGGGTTGCATAATTAACACAAAAGGTCGGAAGGTCTATAAAAAAGAGAACTATAAAGACGTATACGAAATATCGAATGGAATGGTATCCATGTTAATGACGTGAATGAAAGGCTAACAAGAGTCAAGAATGAAACAAATCGGGTCAATGTGCATAGTTTTGGCACTAGTCTCGACCCTCTGCCTCTGTTTTACTGAGTGCACTGAAAATTTTTGGTCTGCATTTGGTGCTAAAGAGCGAGAACAAAAGCAACTATTAGAGAAAAATACTTGGTTCCATAATGATTACCGCTGAACAGAGAATAATGGGACATCACCACTGAAAAAGCCTCCATACTTTCGGCGTATACCCCGTAAACGAGCTGTTTCTACTCCCATAACCAAAATTACTCTAGTGCCACCCATCAGAACGTTCTAATGTTCCCTATATTAAATCATTAGCACTTCTCAGTGTTGTTCTTGTTCCCCGGGAAATCTAGCGCTTCACAGTCTTTTTAGCCGCTATTTTTTAGGGAAGCCCGTTTATTTAGCATCTTAATTCTTTCCAGCGCGTACAAACAGGACGCCCTATTTTTTTTTTTTTGTATATTTTTTTCTCGAAGCATAGAAAATAATTAGGAACGATCATACCTGACAGCATTAGTAAACTTTATCTTGCCGTTGTAGTGAATAAAGTAGCGGGTTTAAGATATTTCGAATTGTTTCTCTAGATAGGTATAATGTTGAACCCAAGAAAGCTCAGAGTGATTGGGTTGGCAGTGTTTTCAATACTCTTGTTGGTATTGCTCTTCCATACGCACAGCTCAAAAGTGGGCGACAGTGTTGCTAACGTCCAGACTTTGGTGACTTCCAACAACTTGGTTGAGTCGACAAACGACGAGAAGCTCGACGCTGCAATCAACAGTGAGATCTCCAAACTCGGGAAGGAAAATGAAGAAAGTGAAGATGAAGCTACTGCAAAGGATGCTGTTGCTAAGGGGTCTGGATCAGGATCGGCTGGCAGTGCCAAAGTAGGAGGTGTTGGCACAGGAGACGCGCCAAACAGTAAGAACCAAGCTGCTATCACTGAGGAAGATGGATCGTTCGACCCAGTGCAAGAGTTACTCTCTATCAGAGCGTTGGCACCCATGGTTGTGTTCTCCAAGACGTTTTGCCCATATTCCAAGAAATTGAAGAAGCTCCTTAAGGAGAATTATCAAATCACACCGGTACCAGCGTTTGTTGAATTGGACAAGCACAAGCACGGTGCCGAGTTACAAAAGTACTTGGGACAAATCACAGAGAGAAAGACCGTTCCAAACGTTCTTGTTGGCAGTTCTAGTATTAGTAGGGGAGGAGCTGATGATTTTGTGAAATTGCATGAAGATGGTACTTTGATCGATTTATTGAAGCAGTGGGGCAGCAAGGGATTGGACGTGAAGAGAGTTGAAGCTCCTTCAAACGTTTGAGTAACGCTCAAGTGATACTTAGTGGAATCTTATGAGCAGTCAGACTCTCCCCTTTCCCTACCCAGCATATGAAGGTTTACGCTTTAGCTACGATATTTTTATTTAAGACGACCTATACGAAACTAAATACATTCAGTTAATTACATGGCACCCGTAGAATACCGAATATCACACATGATGAGGAATGAGCGTTCCCGTGTTCATAGGTTGATACGACGACTCTCTTCAGCTTTATCTACACTCTACCCGACTTTGGTAACATTCTAGATTCTACCGCATTTCTCTAATGGCTCATCTCTCTTCCCGCCTTCCGTACTATTCACTACCACTCCCATCTGGTTTCCATACTTATTACACTGCACTCCACTGCACTCCACTGCACTCGCTCAGCTCTACAGCTTTATCTAAACTAATGTAACATTAAAACCCTAGTACTATTTTAAATACATTTTTCTTATATAGAGCTTATTTAAAACTTAGAGAATTGCTTGGACTTAGACTTGGCAACGGCAACCTTTAAGACGTTGAATCTAACAGTCTTAGAGATAGGTCTACATTGACCAACAATAACGACATCACCTTCAGCGACTCTGAAAGCTGGAGAAACGTGAGCAGCTAAGTTCTTGTGTCTCTTTTCGTATCTGTTATATTTTGGAACGTAATGTAAGTATTCTCTTCTGATGACAATAGTTCTGTGCATCTTGGTAGAGACAACAGTACCAGTTAAGATCTTACCTCTGATAGAGACGTCACCAACGAATGGACACTTCTTGTCAATGTAGGTACCTTCAACAGCGGCCTTTGGGGTCTTGAAACCTAAACCAACATCCTTATACCATCTCTTGGTTCTTCTGTTAGCCTTAGCCTTTGGGTTAGTGAAGATGTGAGGTTGCTAAAAAAAATTGTTAGTAAAGAGTTTAACTGAGAATAACTAAAAGGTAACAAACGATGCTACGGTACTTGAAGAAATATGCTTATTTGAGCTGGACTGGAGTGCACTGATGTTCATGGTGATTGTGATGTTCATTGTAGTACCAAGTCATCCTTTGACTCTATTTCTTTTCATAGATTTTCTTTCTTCATAGTTTTTCCACTGCTTAGCACATCCGCCATGCTGGCTTGAACTTGGTGCTAAATTAACTAGACCAGGTCGAATCATTCGACCCAGAGTGTACATTCAATCCTCTAGTATGCTTGTCTCCACCTAGATGTTTCAAACATGTTTCATCTTATTGCACTTTCATTTTCATTATCACATCGTTATCATGTTCATGTAGCACTTTCATGCCATGCTTAACGTTTCATGTTGTATTCATCACGATTAAAAGTACATGCACTGCACATTTCGCTGGCATTTTCTTTAACGTTTTCCTTCATCGCTTTCTGCCTTCATCCATGGAAGACACATCTAGTCCCATGCTCCATATTTCTATCCCATATCATTCATCCTCTATCTACTAATACGAACCTTTTGGAAAGCTCTTTCAGATTGAACAGTCAATTCAGTAGCCATCTTGTGTTTGGTTTATTGCTATGCTTAAAAGAAAACCTTTAAAAATGGTTAATGAAAAATTTTCTGTACACTGCAAATGAAAATTTCGTAGCTTACCACCGCAGTGTGCGCACTGGAGCAGGAGGGTAGGTGAAAATTGGGAGAGCGATTTAGGGTGCGCCTGCATACGGGAAGGGAGAATTTTTCCTTTGGTGACACAAAAATGCGGAAAATGTCGTGTGGGTCCACCAGGAGCGAAGAAAACAGTCGAGTGGAGGTGGTCGAGCCCTAAGCAGGAGAGCGTGATCCTCCTGCACGTGGGGGAGTCCGAGCTGAACCTGAGCTAGGGGAAAGCACAGCGGTGGCACGCTCTGGTTGCTTCCCCTTTAGGCAGTTAAAGATAATGTATGTAGCCATTTGTTTGTTTGTGTGTAGGCTTGAAATTGGAATCACGATTTGATGGTTCAAGCTTGATCTGGGTTGTTCTGGTAGGTGTGTTAGGTTGGAGACGCCATGAGCAACAGAGGCAACCCTAAGATCTTCATACGAAGACCGCCTAACCAGTCCCTCGATCACAATGAGTCGCTCGTGTCTAACGCGAACATAACTGGACGTACGGTGTCGTCGTCCTCTAATGCTTCCATGATGAGCACTCCGAGCAACAACATCCGAAGAATACAAGAACAGCGACAACAACAGCTGCAATTGATGAAGACCTCACAGGCCAATCAGCTGAAAAACGCAAGGAAGAACTCAAAGGCGAGGTTTTCCGGTCTGAGACCTTCCAACTCCAACGTCAAGTACAAGTTGCTTAACTTACAGAAGTCGTCCAAGCGGTTTTCATCTTCAGAGCTTGCGGGCCACAGTCTGGAAAAGTTGATTACTTCCAATATAAACCAGACTATTGAAAGTATTTCGCTCAATAATGCCATGAAGGAGGGAAATGGGTATGATTACTCCGTCTATGTCAAGAGAGACACCGAGGACAGTGGTAACCACCTAGGTAGTACGAGAGATCGCATTGGGCCACTGTTAGAGCAAATTGACAACGATGGTGGCAGCCGACTAAACGCATCAGTGAAGCAATCACAAATCAGTGCATGGGAATCTGCAGAAAAGGTCACCAAAAATCTCATATTCAATAACTCGTCTGACGATGACGACGACGAACTCGAAGATAGCAGCAGTTTGCTTGGCAGCAAGGATGCCATCAAATCAATTCCTGGGTATACCGATGGCGAGTTGAATTTTATTATCTCGCGGTATAATCTGCACTTGCTCCGTATTAACACTAATGGTGAGTTGACTATGGCAGATTTTCATCGCTTGGAAGAGGAGGAGGAAAAAATCTTGTGGGAATACAGACAAAGGCATCAGGTTTCACAGGAGAGGATCTTTGCACAATACCTGTCGATGAATGATAAGCGTAAAGTTCAGGTGAGCCAAAAGAAGGAGTTATTGAAGAGAATATTTGGGAATAGTAACAACTTGAATCAGAATTTCATAACAAACAACACTAGTTATTCCATAATGGAGAATGTTTCCAACAGTCAATTGACATTTCATGAGGATGAAGAAGAAATCTCGCAAATCTTGGAGGCGCACGAGTATTTCCAAAAGGTGTTGGAGGAGACATTGAACTTGATAAAGAACGCTAAGAATCATATTTTGAGTGCTAGTGGTGGGAGCCATGGCAAGCACAAATTGAACGGAACTGACAGAAAGATGTTTAATACAAGCTACACTGGAAGTGACATTGAGCACTTTAGCAGTGAAAAGTTTCAGAGTATTGTTGCGAGCCAATTAGATGGGATATATGGGAAGTACATCAAAAAGGTTGATAAGGAGAATGGAGGTGAAGGAGACCTGGAAAAGGGAGAAAATAGAGCTAATGATAATGATAACGAAAACGAAAATGAAGAGGACGATAATGACGAAGAAAGGGATGAATTACAGAGCTTCTCAATAGCATATCTTCGAAAGTGTGTGAGAGAAGACATTGACGAGGAGAACGGAGGCGAGACAGGAGAGTAGCAAGTAAGTAAATAGGTAATTTGATAAATAATACAGCACCGAATAGAATTTACTTTGCCAATTAGTACCATAGAAGAACGAACTGCTGTTTTATATCTCTTTCTAGGCTCTCTTTTTTCTATGCTAGTTAAGCGATTCAGATCCGATTCTCTCATGGCACAGTTCACGTAAGACTGACTAAATAGCTCAGGCTTTCCAAAGAGAAAAAAGAAAGATTACCAAACTCGACTATAGTGATGTGCTCCTAATTATCAATCTTCGAAGATGCAACGTACAGTATGATATCGACGATATTTCTATCTATCACCTTTAAGCTTTCGAACGTGAGTAGAGCGTTAAATTTGGAGCCCAGTGCGCTTTAAAATGGTTGCATTTTTGGCATCGCAGGCCTCAGCAGAAAAATAAAGCCGCTCAAGGAACAGAGACAAGGAACCAGAAAAGAAGCAATGATAACAGCATACTACAGCTCAAAACAGGGAATCGAAAATATGTTGGTTTCAGTCGAAAATAAGAGCCATATTAAGACAGCGCAGCAACTAGCCACAACCTCTCAGCACATCCTCGTTGCACAGTCTCTTGTCTTTAACTCTTTATTGCTACCACTCACCTTTCCTGGCTAGCTGTGAGCCTCATCGACATTACACGCTTGCGCACAGTGCGATATTTCAGTACCACACTGCCGACTTCTAGCCAGTATTCTAGTTGCTTCTCCTTTCCTCACCAACCTTATATTTCGCTCCTACCATGTGTCACCATTCTCCCGCTTTCACTACACCTTCGCTACCGCCTCTGGCTCTACATAACTATATCTCTAGTCATCGACTGCCATTACTAATTTACCTTTGATCATTCACTAACTTTGCACCCATTTCCGCAGGTCGTGCTCCCCCCCAGAATGGCGTGCCGATTAGAAATCCATTTTTCCTACTTAGCGCCTAGTCCACTGTGATGAGAAATCCACCCTCACCCTGATGAAGCTTAAATAGTAACCAGGACCAGGGATTTTTTCTGAATAACAGGATTTTTTCTTTCAGATTATGTTTAAGCCAGGTAGCCTAATTAAACCCATTCAAAGATTAAACACAATTAAAAGACACGTCAACACAATGGCTCCAACATCAACTGAAGCTCTCAAGCACTACGACTACCTTGTAATTGGAGGTGGATCCGGTGGGGTGGCATCCGCCCGTCGTGCAGCCTCGTACGGGAAGAAGGTATTACTCGTTGAGTCCAAATTCAACAAGTTAGGTGGTACCTGTGTCAACGTCGGGTGTGTGCCCAAGAAGGTGATGTGGTACGCTGCTGACTTAGCCCACAAAACTCACCAATTGAAGAAATATGGATTGTCTGATGACGACGGGATCAAGTATGGAGACTTCAAGTGGGGGTATCTTAAGGAAAAGAGAGACGCCTTTGTTCACAGATTGAACGGGATCTATGCCAGAAATTTGGAAAAGGAAGGTGTTGACTACCTTTTTGGTTACGCCAAGTTTGCTAACTCCAACGCTGACGTTGAAGTTGTGTTAAGTGCTGCACAAGAGTTGGCATTCTTGGAGGAGGGTAAGAAGTATGCAAAGGATGAGAAATTAACCTTCTCTGCTGACAAGGTGTTGATTGCTACTGGTGGTCAACCAGTTGTCCCACCTAAAGTCGAAGGTAGTGAATTCGGTATTACCAGTGACGGGTTTTTCGAATTGGAAACCCAACCCAAATCTGTGGCTGTTGTCGGTGCTGGATACATTGGAGTTGAACTTGCGGGTATTTTCCAGAGTTTGGGTTCTGAAACCCATTTGGTTATCAGAGGTCAAACTGTTTTAAGAGCATTTGATGAAATCATCCAAGACAATGTCACCGACTACTACTCTGATAGATTGGGGGTCAACGTGATCAAGGAATCAGGAAGTGTCACCAAAGTTGAAAAGTTAAGTAATGGAAAGAAGAAGGTTTTCTTGGGTAATGGTGATGTCTTAGAAGTTGACGAATTGATCTGGACTGTTGGTAGAAAGTCTTTAGTCCAAATTGGGTTAGAGAAGGTTGGCGTAAAGACTAACGATAAGCAACAAGTTACAGTTGACGAATATCAGCAGACGTCTAACCCTAAGATTTTCTCTCTCGGTGATGTGGTTGGTAATTTTGAACTTACTCCAGTGGCCATTGCTGCCGGACGTAGATTATCCAATAGATTATTCTCAGGAAAGGAAGAGTTCCAGAATGACAAGTTGGATTACACCAATATTCCCTCTGTAGTATTTTCACATCCCGAAGCCGGATCCATAGGTTTAACCACCAAGGAAGCCAAGGCCAAGTATGGAGAAGATAACATAAAGATCTACAAGTCAACGTTCACTGCCATGTACTACGCCATGATGGATGACGTCTCTGAAAAGGCTCCAACTGCATACAAGATCATTGTGACTGGTAAGGATGAAAAAATTGTGGGGCTCCACATCGTTGGTGACGATAGTGGAGAAATCTTACAAGGGTTCGGAGTTGCTATCAAGATGGGAGCCACGAAGAAGGACTTTGACAGCTGTGTGGCTATCCACCCTACTTCAGCAGAAGAATTGGTCACTATGACTTAAAGAGAAAAGAGAACAAGAAAAGTCAAAAATTGAAACCAGAGATAACAACTAACAATTAAAACAATGAAACCTTAAAAATGAAATCAGTCTGCACCAGAAAGAGAAATAGAATGAAATTTAAACCCACAATAAAGTAATTTATATATCTACATGATTACATAAATATTATGTAACCTTAAGATTCATCCCTGTAGGACGTACGTATGTGTGTGTGTATGTATGTATGTATGTATGTATGATGTATATTATTAATACGTGCAGGCCCCTTGTAGGGGCACTGTAGTAGATTGCTAAGAAGTACCCCAAACTTCCCCCTCTGCCAATTATATTTTTTAGATGCATTCCTCGGTAACTGTGTCATGAGGATCTATTTTATACACATTTCTAGATTTTATAATTTTTATTTTATATGTTACCTATCCATTATTCAAGTTCTCCTTTCGTCCTGTAAAAGCAATTGCAATTCTATCATTGCTTCATTCGCTTGGGAGGTGGACCCCTCACGGGAGGCTTTGGCTTATCACCCGGTTTCATGAAAAACATGGGGGCGTTCTTGAGGATCTCGGGAACTACTATGAATCGAATCATCAGACCCCTAATGAACACTTGGTTCATAGCCGAAGTGTGGCCGGTTCTCCCCTCAGTTATCGTTACATCGTAGAGTGATAAATTCATGTTGTCTTCGTTGTCGAGCAACTTGCCCCTGTACGTGTCTCCATTCGCTATTTCTAGGGTCACCACATGACCTTGTGCCTCATTCAAGAGCTTGACGGGTATTCCGGACGACATTGGATGTGTGAAAGATGCGTATGTGTGCTTCTGTAGGGGGTTTTCTCGTGTCTTAGCCTAGACAGATGAGCTTTATACAGCTAGAGATTTGAGATTTGAGATTTGCGATTTGAAATTTTAATTTTAATTTTTTTTTTTTTTTATTTCCTTGATTTCTTCTCCTCTTTTCTGCGTGCTTTTGTGCCACTCTGCCATCTCTTCGCTTCTAAATTTCACGCTCACCAGCGTCACCCAAGGAAGGATTTGACTAAATGCGGCGCCAGAAGAATTTCACTTGCCTATACTTTCCAGTGGCCTAATTGGGATTGTTTATATGCGGGAATACGACTATTTTATGCAAATTCATCTTTGGGGGTTACCCCTCATGATAGGTTGTGTCAGGCTTTAAGAGGCAGGAAGAGATTGGAATTAGTCTTAATCCCTATCCTTAAAACTAAAAACATACTAACGTCAAGCTTTGATTTTAACGTTTGGCACTGGCGATGTAAATGCATGATTAAGAGATCCACCGCTAACCTAAAGTCACTACGTGTGACACTTTGCTTCTTCCCTCTAGTGTCTTGGTTTGGCGGGGTAAATTGGCCATCATCCGAGCGAAGCCAAGGTGCCTATGCACGAGTTTCTAAATGAGTGAAATTATTTTTCTTCTAAAGTTGCATCATCACTTATTCTACGAAATTTATTTTTACATTTATTTTCATTTTGGTCTTGGTATTTTTGTCCCAAAGCTAAGATGGGCCATAAATGTTGGTCGTCGTATATTTTTTCTTTTTTTTTTTTTTTTTTTTATATAAATACCAAAGCAATGCCGGTTTGCCTTACAATAGGATAGAGTAAAAATTTTCTTTTCCTTTCCCTTTCTTTCCTTCTCTTTCTCTTCTAGGTATTCTGTTCTTCAATTGGTTTTCATTTAGCTCAAGATGGATGCATCAACAATTGAAACTTTGTTGGAGTCAGCTTTGACTGCCAACGGGCTTGCTGCAAATAGTAGCACTGTGCTTGGTTTCTTAAATGTCACCAGCACGGCGCTCGCAGACGTCCCATACACAATCTCGTCACCTTTGTTTGTTGATATTCTTGGTTTGGGATTAACTGGTGGTAACTTTTCGTTGTCTTCAGTCAACTCTACTGTTCTTGCAAAGTTGATCACCGATTTAGCTCCTGTCCTTAATGAGATCCCTGCTAGCACCGGTGCTTCTATAGTTGAGTACGGTGTTGCCGCAGCTCTGACCTTAAACTTGACCCTTTCTAATTCCACCACAACGGCACTCTCTTCATACTTGTCTACAACTGTATTGTCGGCTGTCTTAACCGTTCAAAAAAACGTCACTGGCCTGTTAATTGAAGATGGTGCTGCTGTCTTGGCTGCCATCCCTCAAAGTCTTCAAATTCCTTATATCCAAAAGGTTTTGCTTTACGTTGGTAGCAAACTTGGTTCCGTTAACGCTTCATCCATTGACTTATCCACCATCAAAACCCTTGCCTCTCCTTACATTGCAGAAATTTCAATCCCAGACAATGTCACTGTCCCATTGATTAACAACACCGTAGAAGCTGTGGTCGAATTACCATCTAATTCCAGCTCCACATTCTTCACTGAATTGGTTAATTTCTACAACACGGTCCCAAAGAATGAAAGTCAAACTCTCTCTCGTGATCTTTATAATTCTTTCTTCCCATCTGATGGTTCCGCCACAACTATGACCAATTTTTTGTTGGGTGCATTCACAAAGGTTTTGCTCTTTGCTAACGGTAATCCTTCATCAAGAACCGGTATCGAAAAAGTGAATGAAATTGGTCACGATTTGTTTGGTGCTAATTTACCAAGCCAAATGGTTACATACGCAATGAACCAGCAGACTAACCTTTTCGGTGATTACCCTGCCCACGTTGATGTTGCCCCATCTGCTATTTTTGCTGCTGTGTTTATGCTTTTCGGATTTGCTCATTTAGGTGTCTTCGCTTTGAATTACAGCAGAGGCCACAAGTTCTGGCTCTCACTTGCATTCTTCTTTTACTGTATCTTTAGATTCATTGGATGGGTCCTTAGAATTACCTGGAGTCAAGATCTCACAAAGGTTACTATGGGGGTTGCAGATGAAGTGTTCTTGATCATTTCATCAGTGATTTTAATTACACTTAATTTGGTTTTAGCTCAAAGAATCTTCACTTGGAGACATCCAGTTGGTGGTTCCTCGAAGTTTTTCTGGTCGTTTATGCTTGGTATGTATGGATTAGTTTTAGGTGTTATTGCCATGACCATCGTTGCTCAGTCAGTTCCATACCTTTACTTCCTTTCCGAGGCCAACACCAGAAGATACTTGAGAACTTTGGAAGCTTCTTCAATTCTTTTATGTCTTTACGCCCTTACCGCCATTGCTTTGGTTGGTTTAGCATACTTCTTCAAGCCTACTGAAAAGGATAAGTCATTTTACACTTACCAAGCTTGGTGGATTGAAAAATTCTCTCCACTTTACTATGTTGAAAAAGGGGCTTCCAAGAAGGCTGAACACTCTTTCTTGGAAAGATCTCAGGAAGAGAGAAACGCTGTTAGAGTCATAACTGCATCTACCCAGCATCATCAAAATGTTACTGGTGTCTCTACTGACAGAGGTGCATTGAACCATACTTGGTCTATTTTATTGATTTTCACCACCTCAATTCTTATCTTCGTAGGTGCTGTTATTAGATGTGTTACCGTTTTCGAAGACAAGACTAGATCTACTCAAGGAAGTGTATGTGACCCTGTTGTCATGTACATCTGTTATGGTTTATTCGAAGTTATCATTAACATCTTATATTTGGTTGGTAGAGTTGATTTGAGATTCTACAGACCTGACCGTCTTCCAAAGAACATCCGTAACGCACCAATTGCAGAAGCTGCTGTCGATCCATCGCTTGGAAGCCGCTCTGACGAAGAAAAGGACGTTGGTACCGTCGAACCTCAAGTTGAAGACAACGTCGACGAAGAACCAAAGGAAGCAGTTGTTGCTGAAGAAGAAAATGTAGCTGAAGCTCGTTAGGATGCAGGAATACGCTAATTTACTTTCACCCCGTCTAATGATATCCTAATTTTAATTATTTATTTTAGAGTATGTGCTATTGATAAAAAATAATCTAATAATTTCTATCTGAACATGAAAATAGTGTAGTGAAGATAACCCACAAGGATTTAATTCGACTGTGTACTATCAGAGAAGGCTGTGGTTAGCTGGCATTCAGGCGTACCATGGCTCATGTGCTTCAAAATACTCTTCAGTATGGAAAATATTTTTTCCGTATCTCCTTAAGAATTTTAAAGATGTAGGTCGATAAATCTCCTATATTCACGTTTACCTGTCATTGTTTGACATGCATAAACGTATACCACATGGCGAGTGTAACGGTGATAGTCCCGCATACTTACACATTACAGCTACTCTTCGCGGTTGATACACTACGGTGCCATAGGTAAGTGATATGGGAACCCCGCGCTCAATAGTAAAGAAAAAAAAAATTAATGCGCTTACCAATCTGAAATTTAACAGGACTAAGCTAACCCAGTTCATCACTAGTGTAGATAAAGCCTTTCATCTGATGTCTGAACCAAGGAAAAGACAAAGAGTACCGGTGTCGTGCCTTGTGTGTAAAAGAAGGAAAGTCAAATGTGATAAAATTAAACCAGTATGTGGAGTCTGTACGAAGCATGGTGTGCTGCATCTCTGTGAATATGTAGATCCACAATGGTCCAAAGAGACCCAAAATGAGGTAACCGTAGTACATAAGACAAGCGACCAAACAGAGAAAACGATTCAGAAACAAAGGAGCGAGATAGAAGACTTGAAAAGAAGGTTAGCTTTGGCACAACAAGAGAAGTTAAGTAGTGATTCAACTAAATCAGAAGGAACTCTCGCACGTGCGGGAGCTACATCGAACGGGGGAACATTGACTCCATCAACAGTGTCAATTGTATCGACAGCTACACCAGGATTACCCTTTAGCTCTAAAAGCAACAATAGTTCAGGGAACTCAAATTCAATTAGAAACAATAGGAAGATAACTATACTAACGAAGCTATCCCCAACAAAGAATCAGACCATAGAAGTTGAAGATGACATCATGATCACTTTGATAAGAAATCTCCACAGAGAGTTTATTGACGTATATTGCTGGTTGAATATCTTGAGGATTGATAGTCAGTTATCTAATTTGTGGTTCAAGATTGTAAACCTTCAGAAGATCTACAGAATTCACAAGGGCACAAAAGGCTTGACCAACGGAGATCGTAGTGATACTCCACCACCACCTACCAAATGTCCTGTAATGCAACTAGATTTGAATTTGTTGTCACTGCAAACTCCATTGCCAGTCACAGGTACGCCAAACGTACCTAAAAAGAAACCAGAGAATGAAAAAATGACAATAGCTGAAGAATATAACCAGGACTCTGCTATTGGACTATTAGTACTTAAGAAGATTCAAGAAATGTGGAGTTCCACGTTGAACAGTCTGAGAGAGGAACGTATGAATTATAAACAAATTAATTTCTTATTGAAGTACTACTTTGAGGGAAAGCGCCCAGCAGTTGATACTAGAGACATTGTGAAGTTCTACAAAGAAAAGCTCTTCTTACTTATAAAGCGAGGTGAAAATGATGAAGCTATATTGAGTAACGCGGTGTCTGGTGAAAAATCGATCCCAAAACAAGAAAACCCTAGATGGACTTCATTTCTAAACTTAAAACTGAGAGGGGTCTATTTGGGTATAATTGCATTAATAGTCGATGAAACATTGTCGATTTTAAGGGGATATCTAGGAGAAGAGGAGAGAAAAGAAGTGGGGACGAATGGAGACGAAGAGTTTATCAATACTTTTAAGGCATTATTTCCTTCTGAAGTTGCGTTATATCCTTTAGGTGATAAACTTAATAAGATCCAAGATCATGTACAAGACTTTTTGACCTCATACGCTTTAATTAGTTTAGACGGAGGGACAGATGATGTCGACTTTACTCAAAGAATTCCCTACTTGGCATGTTGCATTTTATCATTGAATATGAGTATCTGCAATTTCAATAGAAGTGCTTCCTCAGTTTCTGCAAGCACAAGACTGATCCTGTTTGCAGCAGTCTTCCCTATATTCATCAAGAGCTTATTAAATTGCGATACATTAGCTATATGGGTCAATCCTATGTGCATAACAATTACGACGGAAGGAACGACCCAGAAGAGAATAAAAGATTTTCGAATTCAAATCTGTTTACTTTGGAAAGAAACAATTAGATTGATAAATATTGTTACTTTTTCATTGATTCCTGTGGTGAGAATTACCGACTTTATTGGAGATAATGTATTACAACTACTTGAGAAAATCGAAGAATCAGAACGTAAGCACTTTCATACTGAGTTTATCAAAAGTGTTCCAGCGTTGATATCTTCGACATCATTCAGTTCAGGCTTCTTGATTGCAAGAATTTTCAATATACTATCAAGAGGGATCAATGGAATTACTATTGATACAGAATTATTAAAAAGTTTAACAATTGAGTGTGGGGTCTGGATTGTGGACGAGACTTCTACTACTAGAGTGATTGAAGAGCAAGTCATGTTACACTATATTAGATTTTTTCTCACTTTTACAATGATGATTCAAGGTGAAGAGGATTTGAAGGCAGCTGGCGAAGTTAGCGACAAAGAGGCCATATTAGAAACTAATTGTGTAAATGCGTTAACTAAATTCTTTGCACTTATTAACTATGTTAGTAAAATTGGTGCTAATTTGAGAAATAACATGACTCATTCTAAGTATATTATACAAGTGGTAACAGAAATAATGACCAGAATAGTTCCAATGATATCAGGAATCTTGATTAGGATAGGTGATGGCCTTCAAATTAGTACAGGAAATGTCGACAAGTTATTGTCTGGTATTGAAGTGGGTTTCCTTAAGGCGGAAACAAGTACCAGGACAGAATTGAATCACAAGATTATGCATATTACCAGTAAACTTATTGATAAATTGAAGGAAATATCCTTTCTCAAAGATGAGAGAGTAAACATGTTGTCTAGAGTTTGGAACTTTTATATGGTTTTCATTAATAATATCCATAGGATCAGTTACAGTAACTACGCAGCGATTCATGCAAACGTGCCCGTGTTCAATCAGACACTCAAAGGAAGCTGCCCTCTTAAATTTATGGAAACTATAGGCAAAGAAATGATTCCTAATATGAGTGGTGGAAATACCCCAAAGAGCGGGAAGTGTCCTGTTGACCATGCAGCTTTAGCAGAAAGTAAAGGTGGAAAATGCCCCGTTGACCATTCGGCTTTAGCAGAGAGTAAAGGTGGAAAATGCCCTGTCGATCATTCACAGATCTCCACTAGTGGGAAGTGTCCAATCGACTACAAATCAATGAATATGAATGGTAACTCAACTAATAATACCAAAAGAGCAAGAAAATGCCCATTTGACCATGAATCGATATATACGAGTAGTAAAGGAGGAAATGTGAGCCCCATAGAAAGCCACATTAGGGGAGAAAGAGGAATGAATGGCAAACCGAATAGCGAATCTCCACCTCCGAACTCTTCTTCTATGACTCCTACGAGTATCCCAACGCCGGTTGCATTAGAAACTGGGGCCGAGCAAGGAATGGGTATGACTTCATCAAAGTTGAATGCTTTTGAAGTCCCTGATTTTTTGCTGAAATCAGAACAAGACCTTTTACCAGGCATATTGAATGACTTTGCGGACATGGACTTCGAGCTTGGGCTAGACTTTAATACGTTGCATTCAGATTTTCTGGCTACTGAACAGAGCATTGATAGCTTATTCCAGTAGTGCTGTACACTAACTCAAATCTGCCATATTCCGTCATCGGAGAAAGGAAAACTGAAACGCTGCTTCGATTCTAAAACACGGGGCAATGATCCCTGCACGGCTCACACTGCTGTAGTCGTCTTCATAACTCCAAAAGATCATCATTGCCTGTATTTCTTGTCCTCTATTGTTCTTTGTATATGGTGAACTAAATGTATATTATTTATTTTCACGTGCCGCGCATATATCTAAGGCTGATCTATGATGGTTTGCTTGAAAATATTTGTAGACTTTACACCTTGTGCCTCTTCTTAGTGTCTGTTCTGTATACCTTCTAGCTGTTGGTACTGTGGACTAGTTTATACTCCTATTCAGTATGTTTAGAGTGAGGAACAACCACGTACGAACCCAAGTGGGACCACTTCTACACAGAAATCAGTTATCACTCAAGTGCCATAGGTACTACTCTAGTGGTAGCGCAAACAACAAGAAATTTTCAAACTTTAAACTTGGATTGGGTGTTGGTTTGATCGGTTCGATTGCTCTATATTTCACCAATGACACATCCTACCAGAATATTAGACATGTCTACTTCACCGGGGAACGTATTGGTGTGGTTACTGTTGCGACTGTGCGTTGCTTTGGTCTTTATAGAGCAACCCTAGCTGGAGAATATGAATCCGCAGAGGCAAGACACGATGCTTTAGCAAAGACCCACTTGAAGGCAGCAAAGATCACCCTCAAGGCTCTTGAAAAAAACGGAGGAATCTACATCAAGTTGGGTCAACACATATCTGCTTTGACCTACTTGTTACCTCCTGAGTGGACAAACACTATGATTCCACTACAGGACAGATGCCCCGAGTCTTCAATGGAAGATATCGCAAGGATGTTTAAAAGAGATTTGGGTTATTCGATAGAGGATCTTTTTAGTGAATTTGACCCTAACCCTGTAGGAGTTGCCTCGTTAGCCCAAGTACACATTGCTAAATTGAAGTCAACAGGACAGAAATGTGCGGTGAAGGTACAACATCCTTCTCTTCAAGAATTTGTTCCTATCGATATATACATGACTCAAACTGTGTTCGGACTTATGCACAAGGTATTTCCGGAATACCCAATGACCTGGTTAGGAGATGAACTTCAGAATTCAATCTACGTGGAGTTGGATTTTAGCAACGAAGCTGAAAATGCTGTAAGAACTGCTCAATACTTCCAGAATTTCCAAAGTGAAACAGCTTTAAGAATTCCTAATATCTTGTCAGCTCATAAGAGAATTTTAGTTATGGAGTATGTGGCTGGTGCTAGGTTAGATGACTTGAAGTATTTACAGGAGCATCATATTAACCCTGCTCAAGTTTCTTCATGCCTTGCACATATATTCAACAATATGATTTTCACTCCTGGAGTGGGATTACATTGTGACCCCCACGGTGGGAACTTGGCAATAAGATCTGTTCCTTATAGCGGAGGGAACGAACACAATTTTGAAATAATATTATATGATCATGGATTATACAGACAAATCCCGTTGCAGATGAAACGAGATTATGCTCACTTTTGGCTCTCTATTCTAGACAATAATAAAGAAGACATGAAATACTACATGGGAAAAGTAACAGGGATCAAAGATGAAAAGAAATTTATCATTTTCATGTCTGCCATTACAGGAAGAGATGCACAAACAGCTTTAAATTATGACATCAAAAAGGCCAGAAGTAAGGACGAGGTTTCCAAAATCCAAAGCCAGTTTGAAAATAATTCTGGCCTCTTAGAGGACTTAATGGAAATGTTAGCCGAAATGCCTAGAATTGTGTTAATGATTCTCAAGACTAACGATTTGACTAGAAATCTAGACGAAAGCTTGGAAAGCGCCCTTGGGCAAGAGAGAACATTCTTAATTATGGCCAACTACTGTGCCAAAGTAGTGTATGATGAACAGAGAGAGATCAATCATACCAAGTATAACCGATGGTCAGTAAGATTATGGTTAGCAACCTGGTTTAACTGGTGGCACTATCAAAAGAGGTTGAGTTCATTATACGTATACGACTGGTTAATGGTCTTACGCAGGTTGAGGAATGGATTTACTTAACTAATATACATGTATTTATATTATCTAGCTGACTGTAGACTAATGTATGGGGGGAGGGGTGGGACAAATATTCGACTCAATCGAACCCAAATGCTTTCGTTAAGGAGGTCTACTTCATCTCACTCTTAATCTTATCTAACAAGTTGTTGATTCTTGGTCCCATTAATGGCTGACCAGTACGAGATTTCTTAGAGAGCCGTTCCTTTTTGAATTCTCTCTCTTTGGATCTCTGGGCCATCACCTCTCTTCTATTCTTGATGGATTCTAGTTTTTCTCTTCTATTCAAATCTTTACGCTCCTTTGCTAACTTCGCTCTTTCGGCGAAATTCATTGGCTTCTTCGAATCGGGTTTCTTATATTCTCTTCTAGTATTCCCCCTGCTCTCAGATTTATTATCGTTTTCACTTTCTGCTTCATTTTCATCTTCATTCTTGTCGATCGGAAGTCCTTCCTTCTCCATAAGCTTGAAGTAATTCTTTCTCAATCTGGCTCTATGCGTCAAGGACTTCTTGATTTCATCTGATTTGTATTCTTTACGGTCTTTGTATGGATTCTTCTTCTGGAACTTTCCAGTCCTCTTGTAGCCCGACATCTTGGTGTTATTGGTGTAGCTTGGAGTAGAGCTGTGATCTTAAGGTGAAGCAAATCTTCACGGACCTTCCTAAAATTTGGAACAGATGAGCATCGCCTGTCACGTGATAGGGGCCTCAACTATAGTATGGAGAGGAGCTGGTCTTTGCTGGTGAATGGGATTAATTTCAATTTCGTTCTCTGGATTTAACGGAAGGCCATAAAGGCTATTGGTAGATCATCCTTGTGCTTTCCATTAATTTTCAATAAGCATGAACAGCTCCAGTTCTATACTAATATCGACAACCTCTTAAGCTTTTATGCACACTCTCCGTAAACGTTCTATTTTTATTTTTCGTCCCCACGTTAAACTTCCACGCTTGAGACACGAATTTTCAATTTTTCATGAGTGCTTAATTGGCGATCACGCTTCAGTGATATACCATTGCAAACCATATCATACAGTATCTATTGGAGTATGTCTAGTGGTCCACAGAAGTATGCATCTGTTCCGCAGAATGAAGCCCCTGAACTTCCGGCGCACAATTCTGAGGAATTCGAATTAGAATCTCTTGATCTCCCAAGAAACTCGGCGGATCAACATGAATTAAATGATCTTCAACGCGAAGCTGCAGCTCTCGACCCAGAACTGCAAGATGATTCCGCCAAATCTAACATGAGAATGGCATTTATGAATATGGCGAATTCGATTCTCGGTGCTGGTATTATAGGGCAGCCGTATGCTTTCAAAAATAGTGGATTGGTTGGAGGTATAATAGTGTTGATAATCTTGACGATATTGATTGACTGGACTCTTCGTTTGATAGTCATCAATGCAACGATGTCCAACACTCATTCGTACCAGGATACGGTTTTTTACTGCTACGGTAAATATGGTCGAATCTTGTTGCTCGTAGCTATAAGCTCCTTTGCCTATGGAGGATGTATGGCGTTTTGCGTCATTATAGGAGATACGATACCGCATGTGTTGAAAGCATTCATTCCGAGATCAGTAACTCTGTTACCGGCAATTTCATGGCTTTTCCAGAGAAACTCAATTATTATTATTTTCACCACTTGTATATCCTATCCATTGTCATTAAATAGAGACATTTCCAAACTCGCCAAGGCGTCTGGATTTGCTTTGATTGGTATGCTTATCATCGTAATCATTGCAGCAGTTAGGGGCCCTTTTGCAGACCCATCGCTTAAGGCTCCGCTCACCAAGCTTGAGTGGACAGTTAACTTGAGAAGTATATTTCAGGGTATATCTGTTATCTCATTTGCATTGGTCTGTCACCATAACACTATCTTCATCTACAATTCCTTAGAACGTGCTACAATCTCAAAATTTGCCAAACTTACCCACATTGCATGTGGTGTGTCAATGATTTGTTGTTTAGTTATGGGGGTTGATGGACTATTAAATTTTGGTGGGAATACGAAGGGAAACATCTTGAATAATTTTAAAAGTGATGACAATTGGATCAATATTGCTAGATTTTGTTTTGGTTTGAATATGCTTACCACATTCCCGTTGGAAGTATTCGTTGTGAGAGATGTTATAAAAGACATTATTTTGACCGGTGATGGAGCAAATGCAAGCACAGCACATCTAGAACTTTCTTCAAGGCAACATTTTCTTATTACAACATTCTTGGTATTCTCGACGATGTCCGTTTCTCTTGTGACCTGCAACTTGGGTATCATATTAGAACTAATTGGGTCGACTTCAGCTTCATTAATGGCTTATATAATACCGCCATTGTGCTACTTGAAATTGAAATACAGTAGAATAGATTATAAATCTTTGAACACGAGTGGGAAGAGAGATTTTATCTTATCAACGGCGTTACCAACTATAGGGTGTGCAATTTTTGGATGTCTTGTTATGTTCATAAGTAGTTATCTGAGTATAAGAGATAGCATCCACGATAAGAATGCTGGACATTGCGTTGAGGAATGAATTAGAAGCAAATGTACATTCATATATACATAATAAAATTAAAATAGATTCTATATTTTTACTCATCATCATCGTCTATAACTAACCTCTTTTTTTTTCTAGAAAGGTTTTCTTCATCTACGGAAGGGCCCCTTTTATTATTCAGTTCTTCTGCAAAATCAGGAGTTGTGCTCTTGGAGCTAGTTGCATCTCTTTCTGAAGCGCCGAGGAAATCTTCCTCCTCCTCTTCCTCTTCCTCTTCGAAAGCTACATCCGTAATATCACCAAGATCTTTGGTTACGAATGAAGTAGATTCAATTGCTTTAGATACAGTGCTAGGTGCAGCTTTTCCGCTGGATTCAAGACTTGTCCAAGCCTTTTTGAATTGCTCCAATTGCAATGGATTCACAATACCTCCAGATTCCTCTAGCATTTTTCTAAGTCTTTCCTCCCTGGCAAAGAACTCACTTTCCAATTCATCATCAGACTCATCATCCGAATCACGTACGAATTCTGAAGATTTTGAGACTTTACTAGAAGCTTCGTCATCAGAGTTAACATTGAACTTCGGTGGGCGACGACGGGAAGGATCTCTTCTCTTTGGAACCTTCTTCACCTGCTTGTCCTTTCTTTTCTTTACTCTAGCTACACCTCTGGTCAAACCTTCCTCCAATCTATCCAAATCATCCAAATCATTGCTGTAAGCACCTTCAGTATTTTCTTTTGGCTTAGTCTCAAAAGCAATTGAATCGTCATATATATCATATTCAGCATCCCCATAGTTGATTACATCGTCAAATTCATCATTTAAGTTTTCCTTCACCCTTAAAAAGAAGGAAGCTTCTTTTCCATCGTCAAAGATCACTGGCTGTAAGCCTATCCACTTCTTAATCAATTCAATGCTTTGAACTAAAGAACTGGATTTAACGGATGGGGGAAGCGAGCAAGTTTCTTCTACTATATATGGCAATTCAAACCCAACTAATGATGACAAAACTCTAACATATGAATTACCAACTAAAAACCTTTTGAATTCATCGCCAGCTTGTAAATACATGGTTGATACATTCTCATATTCACCTTCATCATTGTTTTCGCCATTGAATATTCTCTTCTGGACAATCCTTTCTAGTTCACTGACAAACCATTTCACAAAGCTTTCCTTTTCCTGCTGTAAGAGAATTGTCACAATAATCTTGAATTTATCATCTAAACTGAAGTTTCGAACAAATTCAAGATCTTTCCCCAATCTAGGTGCTTTTCTGGTTGATTTCTTTTCAGGTTTTATATAAAGATCACCAGTACTAAGGTAGGTTTTATATTCAGTATCCTCAAATCTAGGGAATAAGAGTTCAACTGCCATAGGGAGTCTTGTCATTGCCTTCTTGAATTTTTTAAAGAAATAATATACAAATTCATCAACTTGCTCCCAAGTTTTGGACGACTTTGATAAGCTGGATCTCAATTTATACAATAGTTGCATGAAATCCAATCTGTACAAATTAGTGTAATCTTTTCTAACGACAAACAATCTGTGAAAATACCAAATAGTTTTCAAAATCTCTTCTTCAGTTAAATCTTGAAATCTGGATAAATATTCAATGTAAGTAGTGACAGTTGCAGGATGAAAAAATCTGAGTTCAGTATCCTTAAAGTCTAATTTACGTTCTCTGGATATAATATTTGCATGGTTGTTAATCAGTTCTTCGTCATCAGACCCATCAATAAGATCTCTAAACTGAGCAGCGGTATTACGATCAAGACCATTGTCATTTAACCTCCCCTCTAGTTCAGTGGAATCATCTTCTTGATTAACTTGGCTTTTCTTCTTTCTTTTTGACTGCTTTCTCTTAGTAGTAATGTAGAGTGCAATATCTTCATTTGCAAAGCTTTCAAATGTTTTCAAAACAATGTGTACTACTGAAACGACAACACTCAAATAATCGGGCGAATGTTTAGCAGCAGTTTTAGGAATATCTATAATTAAGTCAAGGAATGATTTAGATTCAAATAATTTGTGAATAATCCCTTCAGCTAATTCTCTATCACTAAGAGCTTCTTCATCATTGGTTTCTTCCGTATTCTTTGACTTAAAGATCCTCAAAGAAATTAACAACATTTCTCTCAAGCATACCATTGCTACATGAAGAGAGTTCCAATCCTTGGAAAGGTAAGATAGTCTACAATAGCTTAATAAAAGAACAAAATTGGTTTCGTTCAATCCTGCTCCAACTGAACCATAACCAGTTTCATCATCAGAAGACACAATTTGGTCATCTATGTTCACTACCTTTTCACGTTTGTACTCGAAAAACCATGCAACAACTAAAAAGTAAGTTGCTCTTTCATATGCATCAGTATAGGATAAATCTCCGTTCGATGTAAGAATCCAGCTTATACATTCAATCAAATTATTGAAACATCCGCTCGCGAGGAATTGATCCAAAAATTCTCTCAATATAAGCAAGCTTGAAGTAGTTATAAGGTTAATAGATTCCTTATGTACGTATTCATCGGAATCATATTTGAAAGTAGATCTAGAATGCCATTTCTTTGTGCTGTCGACTTTTTCAATTGATCTGCTTGTGCTCAATAAAGCTTCTTGACCAGAAACTACAATTGATTCTTCTTCACCTCGAATCGAAATAAGAGATCCAAATCTCCCATGTCTAGTTGAAACGCTCAGATTCTGGAGCTGCTTTCTTTTAGTCTCTTTATTCAACAAGTGTTGAAGTTCTAGTCCTGAAGACGTGGTTGCAGAACGACCAGTCACATCAGTATCAACATTCTTTCCATTATTTACAGCTCTCTCTTGTTCGTTATTTTCAGCTTTGCCCTTGACAATAAGCTCTGGGTTAACACCCCTCGTTATTAAATATATGCATTCGAGACAGCAAGAACCAAACATTTGTCTATCAAATTCAGATCCGAGTGAACCTGATATAGTTAATAAAAATACCAATATTTTGTTCTTTTTAAATGTCGATAGCACTGTACTAATGGAAATATCATCTCTATTGACATTTAACGGCAAATTATCCAGTTGAATTAACTCTTTTCTTGACTTCGTCGATACACTTGTGTTGGCAGGTTCGATGTAGAGAATATTTCTTATAAAGAATAAAGCCATCCTAATGATAGCGTTGTCTCTAGGCTCTCTATCGATTCTTTGTTTTGAAATTATTGGTAAAATGAGTCTCAACACGGCCTTCAATGTCAATCCTCCATTATACGCTAGAATTTCTTTTTTGTACGTTAATTGAATCTTCTTTAAATTGGGGTACGCTATTCTTTGACTATCAGACAGTTCAGGGGTTAGTTCAAGAGGCCAAGTGAGAAGCACCAATAATTCGAGGCATGAGAGCATGATTTTCTCCATTGTTCTTACTTTGTGCTGTGGTTGGCTTGGTTTATTTTTCTTTGCTTGTTGCAGCTCCCATTGGCACAAGATGACAATAAGATCGTTGATCAAAAGGCCAGAATCGGCACACGCAAGTGCAACGTCATAGGTGTTAGTTCTTTCATCAACTGCTTTTATCCACCTCTTGATATCTTTTAAGCATGCTAACGCGTCATGCCCGAGTTTATATGGGACTGGGACTTGATTGGATGTATAGTCGGGTCCACCTAAGGCAGAAACCAACACTGATATGTGTGCTTTAAGAACTTTTTGCGTTTGACTTTCATTCGGTCTTAGTTGGTTGGTCATGTCTACTATTCTATCTTTATACATTTCACCATCTTCTTGGTCAGGTTGACTAGCTGGTTGCACTGGCCCACTGTTAAAAGTAGCATCATCTCTTCGAATAACATTGGTATTTTCCTCTTCATCAGAGACAATGAAGTTTTCAAGTTCACTATCAACTTCACTGAATTCTTCACTCGCAGGTTCGTTGTAGATCTTCAGCATCTTAGTCGGTATTGAGGAATTATGAACCAATGGAAACAACTGCTTTCTCTTTAGACAGTGTATTTACATGGATGGATCGCGTACCAGGAAAAATTCGCGTCGTTAGCACTGCACGTTAAAATTGAAAATTGAAGCTTAAGCACTGAAAAAAAAAGTCTGAGATTTGCAGCCAAAGGGTGAAAACCAGTGAGAGGTGTGCACAGATAGGGATCTTTCAGTGGAGCTATCATCACACTGACACTAGGCATGTGTACATAATATGAATACCGAGGCCATTGCAAAACAAAGTTGGCGAAAATAGAGGTTGGGGCGCTACTTTGTTAGTCTGTTTATCGGTTGTATTTTGTTCCGTAGCAGCAATCGAGCCCTACAATCAAGAGCCAACGGAGTACTGGTACCTACAGCTTTTGCTGTTTGAAGTAATGGAGATCAAGAGCTTTGTGCTTCGATAAAATTCAAGTTCAAAGGAGCAAGCAAGCGGCTTTTTTTTACTTTAGTGTTTAACGGTGATTTCACAAATTACTCATCAAGTTTGCATATTGGGGAATAAAAATTTCAGTTACGAAAAAATCGACTACTAGGAGATGGAATGTTAGAGATGTAGGTGTGTACTGTTATAGCTACTTTACTTACGAACTAAAGCATAGCGACGATTTTGCTGAGCAGTTAATCATTAATGCTGATCTTACAGGAAACTTTAATTATTACCAGAGACCATGTCAAACAATTTCGCCAGCAGAGTGAGAACAATAGGCTTAATTTTCGCCTACGAAGCCCTTGTCAATTTTCATTACACAAAACCTTAGCCCACATATTAAAATAAAAAAAAATGCAATAAGATAATGAAAAGTGGATAAGTCGCTGAAGGGAAGCAACGCATCACAAGTGCAAAAAGAATAGCAAGGTTCTACTGGGATCGAGGAGGAAAAAAATACCTCAAAGTTGAATTATAGGATAGCTTTCCACTGTATGTTCTTAAAGTTGGCTTTGCCCCCCCCTCTTTCTCCACTTCTCCACATTTCGCAAACTGATTATGTTTGGATGTTGAATCTCTGTTTTAGGGACAATTATTGCATATATTCATGCAAGGAAAATTTCTTTCTATTGAGAAAATACGAGAAATCTTTTATTGAAAGAACTGGGTAACCCTTAGTAGCCAAATTGATGGAGTTTTCTTATGTCATGTCTCGTAACCAGTAGATAAGAATTAAGTTAAATTTTAACGCATCGAAGAACTTCAAGCGAGAATTCAAGCGCTATAAGATGCCATGTTTGGTATTGGCTATTTTTGAATAATGAAAGCGAAGGTATTAATTGTTGTTCTTTCATTTTTCTTCTTCTTTTTTTTTTTTTTATTTTTCTCAACTTCCTTCACTTACTAGTGCCTACATTTTTATGTATTATTTTTTAAACATTAATCATCTTGCATACACAATATAGTAAGAGGTTCAAGGATATAGTTACCTAACAGAGATGAATCCATTTGAATTGAAAAAAAGAAAAAAAAGAAAAAACAAAAAATAGCTAGAGGCTATAGGTTACCCCACCGCCACCACCAGATTTACTTATTTTAGGTTTATTAGTGCCTTAGGTAACGTTGCATGAAGCTGTGCAGAGCAGTTGTTGATGAAATAGACCTGTTCAACGTAAAAATCTGCAACCCAAAATTAGAAGCACATATAAAATACATACATGAACAAACTTTTACCATGCGTGAAAGTGGAGGAATCTACAATTAAATTACGTCACTATGAAGATGAATCAAGCACTGGAAGAAGGAAAATTATCGTCATATCGCATTAGATACCCATTACTGGTACCGCTTTAAGCTTATTTTGTATGCTTTAAAACGGAACGATAGCTTTCTATGGGCCCCAAATTATTCTCTAGCATGCCTCTCAGTTTGCGCTAGTTATTTATTTATTTATTTATTTATTTTTTTTTTTTTTTTGCATCTTGATATGGAATTTGTAGGGGAAAAAAGAAAACTTGATTAGTCAAAATTCGTGTAATTTTTTAAATGTCACTTTTAAAGTATTGTATAGGTGCGTCATCGTAGAAAAACCCTTTAAAAATTCAAAGCTCATGTTCACCAGACACTTGAGAGCCAGTATAAGCAACAACATGTTAACAGTAAAAAAATATTATTCACTTCCTTCAAATGTTTATGGATTCTTAGCAATTTGCCTCAAATGGCCTCTTGTGACAAATTCTTCCTGTGTTTCTGATTTCTCTCATTCTTCCTTTCATACACCATCACTCTCTAAGGCTATCAAGAAATGTAATAGTAAAAAATAAAAAAAAAGCTAAAATTGGTGTCTACCCCACCTATTTCCCCCCTAACTAGTAGCAAGAAAAGTAAAAAGTCCAAAAAAAAAAATTGTAGAATGACTTTGCTCGCCAAAAGTATACAGTATTAGAATAAAAGAGCAAAAAAAACATAGAGTTAGTTTTCCAAAAGGGCAGAAAAAGAAGAGGAAAAAACATAAAAGGGCACTCTCGATAGAAAAGTCAGCGAAATATAGTACATTTTCCTAGATTCTAAATTTACGACTACTCTTTGAGCTAAGAAGGTATCATGGATCCTTCATTTAAGAAAAGACACAGAATACCTGCATCATGCTCTGTTTGCCGGAAGAGAAAGTCCAAATGTGACAGGATTCGTCCAGTTTGCGGTTCGTGCAAGAAGAAGTCCATAGCGCACTTATGTTACTATGAAAAGGAAGGAAGAGACCCTAGCGGGGGTAATGGATACGACACCATGAATGACTACTACGACCCACATCAACAACAGCTGCACCAGCACCAACAGTTGATACATCCCCAAGCTCATCCTCCACCACCTCCGCATTCAGCACATCCGCCACCACCTCCACCGCTGCACGGAGCAATACCACATTTCCCCTACCCGCAGCCAAACCAGCCAGTTTATGTCTACATGGCCCCAGGGATGAACATGCAACAGCCTGAACAGTACCAGCAGCAGCAGCAGCTTCAGCAACAACAACAGCAGCAACAGCAACAACAACAACAACAACAACAGCAGCAGCAGCAGCAGCAGCAACAACAACAGCAACCGCAGCCACAGCAGCCATTACCTCAGCCATCACACCATGCCAACACCCCTCGACCTTTCCCTCCACAAACAGCTCAAACTCCACAAGTTCAGTTACAACAACAACAGTCACCTTTAGGCATGTCTCCCTCAAAGCACCCTCAATTCCGTGGACCAGCCCCCCCACAACCTTTACCACTTCCTTCACATATGTCTGTGTTGCAAAGACCAACACCTAGCGAATTTCACGGACTGACTACGCTTCTCTCTACCTTACCTGGAAGTACGCAAGAACTTCAGCCCATGCAGTTTTCTCCAAATAACTCTTCTCCTGATACGGACAGAATACAGCTTGCTCCGTTGAGAGGTGACTCCTTTGGAAAGTCTCTGTCAGAACCTTCAGGTCTCATTGGTAGCACCACCGGAAAGAACGGTAGCACATCTGGATTGGCTACTGGAGAATTTCCAGCTAAGACTCCATTAACTTCCTTAGACCACACCTTCCAGACACCACCAGTAGTGGCCCCTTCAGCACCACATTTGCCACTACCACCAACGCAAGCGCCCCCAGTGCCTCAATTTGCATCTTCTATCACGGCTCAGCAATTATCTATAGATCCTAATCCTTCTATGGTTTCGAACCAATCGGTAGATGCGGAGTTAGTATCCATTGTAATAGGTCCTAACTCTACCTTAAAAGTAAACCCTAATGATGCTATAGATGTCTTTGCAAATACTAATTTCTCACTAGTAATAGATGGACCAAATTGGCAACAGCACGGGCCAATTTCCTATTCTGGCCTAACCAAAAGTGACCCTTTCATCAAGTTTTTCAGATCATATGCAATCACCTTGTTTAAAAGTGGAGAGCTTTCCAAGTATTTGCAACATAAATATTCAAAAACAAAGAAAAGATCCTCAAGTAAATTAAATGGTAACTCAAAGAGAAACAAGAGCCAAGATCTTGGCACTAATAAAGGCGAGGCTGGAGTAAAAGTAGAACTTGGAAAAGACAGTACAGGTGCTGATGGAAGAAAAGAAAATGGCGACCCTGAAGAGAATGAACAAGAGGGAGATGGAGACGCCGACACCGGAGAAGGTGAAGAGGAAGAGATAGGTGGCCTTGAAGACTCACTTGTTGTTAATAAGATTGGATTATCAAAGGAAGCAAAGGCGAGAATGGAATCCGAAGCAAATATTAAGGTGAAGCTTCCTGACTCTTATCCCGGAATAAAAGCATTCAATAAAGTCAAAAAGACACAAGACGATTTTTTTGAGAATATAGTTTTCAAATCTGCATTGCAAGTTTTACCGTCACAAAGAAGTATATTCATTTTGTTTTATAGATTCTTCAAGTATGTTTGTCCCTTCATTCCAATAATTGATGAACATTCCTTGATAGTCGATTTATGCAAAATTTTACCTGAGAAGTTTCCCAGATTTCAGACTCACAAGTATAATGAAATTATTATAAAGCATCCAAACGATATGAACACCTTGGCTATCTTGTTGCTTATAGTCAGATTGGGCTATATGTCCATGATTCATAATGACGAATTGAATAATGAATATACTGCAGATGAAAAAACAGCAGCTGATGAAATGAAGCCAATCAGTTCTGAAGAATACTCCAAGGTAATCTCTTTATGCATCCCCGATGAACTGACTCTATCCAAGTCGAGCTTTAAACTAATTCAAGCATTGACATTGCAGTATTTTTACAGACAAGTTGCACCAGAAGATTGCCATGGTTTGAGTGGATCTGATGCTCAATTACTATTAGGAATAATAATTAGACATTCGATTAATGTTGGTTTAAACAGAGATCCCAAAAAATACACTTCGCCTTCAATCAAGAATAATGAGCCTCTTATGGAATGTTGGAGAAGACTTTGGAATTACCTTGTGATCACTGATGCTATTACTTCAATTCATTGTGGTACAATCTTGAATGTGAGGAGCTTAGAAATTTCTGATGTTGAAGCTCCTAAATATGAAGGAAAAACCAAGGAATTGGAAGAGATGTATTACAATATTAATATAATCTGTGATTCGTATAGAAATCTTTCCAACAAGATAAACAATATTCAAACGAAACCTAAAGTGGTGGATATGTTAGCTGAAACAAACGAATTGGAGAAGATTTTCTTCAATTGTTTCGGAAAGGATTTCTTCAAAGATTATATATGCTTGCCCCTTGAAGATGAAGATGAAGACGAAGACGTGAATGTGGAATCTCCCCCTAGCGATGGAGATATCGATATGGATGGAGGACTAAATTCGTTAAATGGAGTTGCAACAGCAGCTGGTACTGCTCGAAGCGCTCATAACGATCCAGAAAATAAAGTTCCAAATGTTGATTCTAGTGCTAGCTCGACTGCTACTTTGGCTTCATCCAACTTTGAACAAAATAGAAGAAATTCATCAATTTCTACTTCTGTCTCTTACAACAAGAGTAGCAAACCCGAGAGCAAGAAGAGTATACATTCTAGCACCCTGGCCAATTTGGATCCTCGTATTAAACACGAAAAATCATACATTAAAGTTATCAAATTTATCACGTTTATTCAGTTGCGTACCAATTTGTCAAGTATGTACTACATGATTGCAGTGCATTATGAAAACAAATACAATGAATCGAAGACTCCTTCTATGAGTGCTGGAATTGAATTATTCAAGATTTATATAAAAAGTGTGGTTCAGCTTATCTATATTATGTCCTATGTTCTTGAACACCTGGTTACTTTATTTGGTAAGAACTATGATTACATATTGACATCTGCAAGTGAAAGGTGCATGATTAAAACACATGCTTTCATTAGTTCCTTTTTCGTCAGAATATTGCATCATAAGAAGGATCTTACTGTCAAAAGGGAACAAGCAAAGCAAGATAGTGATAAAATTAGTGAACTTAATATGAGATTGGGAGTGTTACATAATCTTTTCCTGATTGTTTTGGTTGAGAGTGAATTGTTTGTGGGTAGTTTCAAAAAATTAAGTCGCAGATACGTTAATTCTTACAGAATTCAAGTAATGCTTTATCTAGTATTAAAGCAATGTATGTCAAATCCCGACTTCTTCTTTGACCGTGCTATACAAAATTTGAATCACGATGGTACCAATATGCTTCAATTCTTCACATTAAATGAATTGGAGCAAGTTAGTAGAATGTGCGAAGAATTTAGATCGGCAAAGGAAGAGCAAAATAAGATTAAAAAGGAAAGATCAGGCAGAAGAAGAAGAAGCAGCTCTGTCACTACAAATGACACCTCACAAACATCGTCTGAAGATATTCGAATTCAATTGGCTTCATTATATAGCCATGGAAATACGGAACGAAATCTGTACGATTCCGGTATGGAAGGAGCCGAGAGTATTTCAGGGCTAGGGTTTGGTGCAAAGGGTTTCAAGGGTGCTCCTGGTGTAGGGCTGTCACTGGTTGATGGTACCGCTAATTCAAATGCATCCACTAGTTCACAGTCACCACTTTATTCTGATCCTTCTATTTTTTATGCACTCAATAATTCAGTACTCGGTGAAAATCCAATAAATCTCAATGAAGATTATATTAAGATATTTGATGTGTATAACGATATTGATCATGAGTAGAAAATACTATGTGTTTAGTGGGTGGTCATTAAAAAATAGAAAAAGTTAAATTGTAAGTATACTACTAATTATTAATGTATATTAATAACAACTTATAAGCTAATGCAATACTCTTAGATGTTGCTAATACTTGAAATATCAGCTTCTTTATTTTGCTTTGCAACTAATTTCATCGCCTTTACTTCGGTTTAAATCTCTTAGGACTTAATGGCTAGCATCACGTGCGCATTATGCATCATTCCGTATTATATTTTTATTTTTTTTTTGATTGCTTCGTGCCGAAGGATGCGACATTTTGGTTTAAGATCTCGGGCATAAGTTTCACATCTTTCTAGTTTCAGTCATTATAATTAACGAGTTCTGCCGTATATCACAATAAGTTGATTCAGTTAAGTCATTAGTTGTTTGAAGGGCATTATTTAATTTTGGACTTGGCTTTTTTATATCATTTTACCATAAAAGTTGATAATTCCGAGCGTGCTTTTACGATCGGCCGAGCTTTTTCTACTTGTTTGCTTAGTAGTCCATTAACTCCTAGCACTCTTGCTATCATGTCAGAAGACGTTAAAAAAAGAAACAGGTTGACCCTAGTTTGCTCATATTGTAAGAAGAGAAAAGTTAAGTGTGATAAAGGAAGACCATGCAGTGCTTGTATCAAACATAACGTGGGCCACCTATGTAGTTATACGGAGAATCCTTGGATTGATCTGGTTGGTGCGAAGCATGATGGGGAGACAGTAGGAAATGTGCCTAGGTTTATAGTTAAAAATAATACAACTGAGACTCCACCTGTTAACTATGGCCAATATGAGCACCAACAGCAAGTGGAGCGACCTTTGAACTCAAGTCTTCCTCCTGAGTATCATGGCCAAACTCCACCACTTCATCGTGGTGCATACCCTACCCAACCAACTCAAGCTCTAGCTCCATATTCATTACAGCAACCTCCACAAAGTGTTCAGGCGCCTGTAGGTTACCAGACAGTTACAGGAGTTACTTCGCAGTATCCACAGGTGAACTTGAATTCAAATGTGAAAGCCAGTGAGAAGACTTATTTGCCTCAATATACTTCAGCTACTCCAGCTGCAGAGCCTATAATTCAAGCTCAACCTATGGTTGTTCAAGAAGGTGTTGTACAGAGTGAACTTGATGCCCTTAAAGATAAAATCAGACAGATTGAAGCTTCTATTACAGTAGCGAATTTAGCCCAACCAAACACCAGCGTAGCTTCCCAGCACTTGACAACACCCGGTTCTCCTAAAGCAAAATCTCAAGTAAATTCTATGCAACAGAACTATAGTAACCAACTAAAGCCGCTTCACCAAGCAGTTGCTCCACAAACTCAAGCACAGTATTTTCAACAGCAACTTGGTGATACCAAAAGGACAATTTCTACACCATCATCTGCATTTGACCACACCAGTCCATTACCTGCGAATAACGTTGAAAAAGGCACCAGAAGTAATTCAATCCAACTACCTCCTTTAATGTGGTCAAATCCCCACCTTAGAGCATCAGTTTTTGAAAAGGACAGGGTCAATAATTCAAACGGAAGTGGTGGCAGAAAAGTAACTGACTCTTTGGCAGGAATGAACCCTGTAGAGTCTGACGCCGACCATTTTAATCTATACGAAGGATACACCCCAATTCATATTCGTGACTCAACTAGGAGGACAAATTATGGACCGTTCTCCTGGTTGTCCATTATGCGTAAAGATCCTGCTTTACTTATACTATGGCAATGTCTTGCAAATCCAACAAAAGAAGCAAAAGAGAAAAGTTTGATGCAGAAGAGCGGCGTATATCCCCATGTTATCGATGATAAAAAAGTTCAACCTAGCAATGGTTCCAAAGGTGTAGAACACCAAACTGATTTTACTGGGAATAGTGAGCATCCTTCTTCCAAATCAAGAACTATGGGTTGTATTACAATTATTGATATAGAAAATCATGAGGAGAATAGCCACCCCATTAAAAAAAGATTCAAGTATGCTGATTCTGATGATAGATTTAGGGAAATGGCACTTGATAGGGATGGTTACAACGACATTCGGCCATATCAAGATTTGAAACGACAATCTTCCTCAAATCAAGAAGAAGACGGAAAATCCAATTCTCTGGTAGCTGGTACTGAAATTCATGGACTGAAAGCTAACCGAAATGCTCCACCGGGAGGTGACACGGTCAATAGAAGTACCTTGGCTCCCGACAAAAGTATTCAGAAAATGAATGAGAACACTATCTCTCTAGGGCTCACTCTTTTTGATCGTAAGATTGACCAAGAATTAAAATTAATTGAAAAAATCCAAGTAATGCTTCCTGAAAAGAGAATAATATGGATATTAATTCACAAATATTTTGCCGTCGTCTATCCCTTTTTACCTATTATTGATGAGTTCAATTTTGTGAAGGAGATGTCCAGGATATTGGGCCCAGAGGAAAAGAAGGAAGATTACTCTAACAAAGAATGTGATAAGTTTGAGCTTCAAGTGGAAAAGCGGTTAGATTTTGCTAACTTAGGAATTTTATTGATAATGCTTAGAATCACCTATTTATCTTTATTTACTAATAGGAGTTCCTTAAACGAACAAAATTTAAATTCCACTGACACTTCAGCTAAAGCTACGGAATTGAAACTTTTATTAACCAATCCGATAAGTATGGATATTGTGTATTTGGCTCAGTTGTGCTTGGACCAATTTCTGTTAATGCAACAATCAAATTTGGAAGTTCTTAAATGTTCATTATTCATGCGTTTTTACCACAAGTTTGCACCAGAAGAGGGAGATGGACTAGACGGAGGAGATTCTCAAATTTCTACCGGTATGTTAGTTCGTATGGCTTATCTGCTTGGGATTAATAGAGAACCCGATAACTATCCTGAAATACTTCAAAATCCCAGAGAGAACAACATTACTAGGAAATTATGGGGACTGTTAGTAATAAGTGATTTGATTTTATCAATTTCTTATGGAAGTCCTTTGAACACTGATCCGAAACATAGCGATATCAAGGCCCCGTATCACGTTCCAGGGAATGAAAATATCAGCAATACAGACATAGAAAAGTTCGTTATTAGCACATTTGATAACGTCGCTAATTTTTATAACTACGCTCGAGAATTGCTCGATATATGTCTCTCCATAAAAGGTAAGATAAATTTGCAGTACCTTACATCTAAGATATCCGAGTTTGAAGTATATTGCGTCCAAACCTTTGGAGATATCGAGTCATACCTTGTACCATTTGATGAAAAAGTTTATTCGTACCCTTTCCTGAAGTGCCAAAAATGCAAATGTGCAATTATGATGAGAATTCTAGTAATTAGTCTCTTGTTCCATATCTACCTTTATTACGAGAAGAAGAATAATATAGATTTGACCTTCTTCTATATGAAAAAGCTATTGCAGATTTCTTTATGCGAACTATTACCAACTTATAGCCGATTAGTCTGGAATATGCACCGAGATTTTGGGGATGCTTCTATGTTATTTTTGAATCCAACTATTGAAGAAATAATGCATAAATCAAATCATCTAAATTTTGTGGTAATTATAAGACTTAATGCCACAATATACAGAATGAAGAAAGACCCTTTACATCAAAAGAGATGCCTCGAAGATATGAATTACGCTTTGAAATACAGTAAGTTATGCAAATTATCTGCCAAACTTGAAAAGTCTATAGCCATGTGCGTATCCACAATGAGTAGATTGACAAGTAGATACTACTACGCTTGGCGAGTAGTCAAATCTAACACCTACTTTTTAAACAAAGTGTACGAAGAAAATGCAATGAAGGTCTTTGAAAATGTACCAGAAGTTAGGTTCCCCGATGTGAGCGTCGACCAAATTGATGAGCTTATTGAACTTGCAGATGTGCCTTTAAGGACCAGATCGAAAAAGGATGAAAGAGGAGAAGCAGACCAGCAAAAGAATGAAGAGAACACCAATAATTATGAGGCAGATAAGACAAATAATATCGATAAGGATACAGGGCCACCTAAGCTCACTCATTCAGTATTGGGACTTGAAGGATCCAAACATCCGAACCATCTATTGAGTACAAAAGGAGGAACAGACCTAGGAACAAGTGCTTCAGAGCAAGAAGAAGTATTCGATAATGACACAATTGATAAACTATGGTATAATTTAGCTTCGAAAAAGGTCCAAAACGACTCAGACAATCATAATAACGGTCACTATCCTAATGTACAAGGGAAGAATAATAATTATAATGCACAGAATGTCCAAGGGGCATATCATGAAGCGAACAACTTCAAAAGTAATGGTGTTGCATTAGAGAATTCTAATTTACGAGGAGAGTACAATCGTATAGATGCAAATAATAATCCTCTGTTTGGGCCCTTAATTAATACTCCCTTTCCTGAGGAAGACCCAATTCTGTACTTGAGAGAATTTGATTTACTTCCTTTTGATATGGATGACTTTTCAAGAATATATCGACTCGATTAATATTTATCACTAATTTATAGCAAGTTAAATAATATAGAGACTAATTTCGTGACTTCATATAGTAATACTCTTGGTTGCAGCCTTTTGGCAATGGTTCCCAACGGTGGGTGCAACCCTATGTAGATGTTACCCGGAAATGAAAAATTTTCGGTGCGCTATTAAAACTATATAAGAGAAACCAAAGTCTCAAAATACTTTTAATTTTTGTTATCCTCTTTTCTATAGTCATATTGAAGATTTCATTGTAGGGGGAATGAACGAAAAGGAATTTTAATTGTAGGACTTGTATTAGTTCTAACTTTTCTTTTGGTTCATTAACCTTATATTTGAATGGTATGATTTCACCATACGCTATAATTTTAGTGCTACAAATATTTGAAGATCTATATGACGACGAAACGCTGTGCACCAGTCTGATGTACTCAAAACATGAACGACCCAGTATACCCAAATTTCTGATAAGATCTTTAATATTTGTTTTTACTTGATTGTATCGCATGGAACATACCAATTTCGAATAGTCCAACTTTTGACATAACAAGAGATGTAGAGCTGTAAATGAATTTTAAAAATTTTCAATTTTAGTTTTTTTAAGTTTTCAATTTTTTTGATTTTTCAATTTTATCTTCTTAGTTTCTGAAGCCAATTATAGAGTTAATGCTAATTTGATCCTCCCTCAGGAACCCTAAGCTTATAAACTCCACTTTCTTCGCACCATGAATCCTTTTTGGGTTCGTTCTCGCTAGGCTTTTACCTCTTTTGGGAACTTATTGAACCGTTGACATGTATACTTCATGTTCAGAAGGTGGCAGTCCGATGTAAGATCTGGTCCATACATGGGGCCACATCCAGCAGAAGTTGTAACAAAGCGTCATATGTACGCCTGGCAGAAATAATAAAAGGTGGAAATAGTAAAGTCAGCAGAGTCAGGCAGAGTGAAGCAGCTACAAGTGGTGCGAGCACTTCCACTCTACTATTAAAGTGCTTCCAGAACCTGAGGTGAAATGCGATACATTCAAAAAAAAATAAATATCAAGGTGGACTCTGCTAGAGGCGAAGTGAGCGCCAAAATAATAAAAATTATTCAAGGTGAAACTGTGCTGGGCAGAGAAATAGAACAAATGATCTCACCTATACTTTAACCTTTCTCCTACGTTTCACATCTGATTATATGCTCCTGACTGATGAGTTCCAACTCATTCCGTTTCGAATCAGAGAAGAAATATTTTACCCATATTTGTCAAATCAAAAACAGTAAATAAAGCATGGATCATATGGAGGTGTGCAGGTTTGCCAGGGTTCACATGTGTTCGAAGGTGGTGCAAGATTGATGGAAAGTAGGGCAGAAAAAAAAAATATTGTAGAAAGAACATATTCTTGTAGTTCTGGATTCATTCCGTTAATTTGATTTCTCCCCTTAAGTTATTCACGATTTTAACTAAGGGACTGCAAAAAATAAGATAGACTTTCAAATAATTTCACCCTTTCTGAAAGAGTCCCTCCCAGTCACGGTTCACAATTTCCCCAAAGTTGTTTAATTGACATGGTAACGTCAAACACCGAAATGACAATAGTCGACTACGCAGGGAGCTTGAAAAATCGCGCTCTGCGCGACAAATTAGGCTATATTTCCTTGCACTCCTTCATAAATTATTGTTTCTTTCCTGCGCATGTAAAACGCGTTCTAACGCCTAATTTACGTGGTACCTGAATAAAATTGGCGTCTTCTTACACAGTAATTAAAACCTTTTTGGGATTGCACCAGATTAGTCCACCTTGAACCTTTACTCCTTTGGAGGTATTGTCTTTAATTGTGACGCGAAATTTAACAACGATTCCTTTTTCACCGACTATGAAGCTCCTTTGAAACAGGCTTGAAAAATAAATGAAATAAACTAAGAAAATAATTTTACGAAATTTTTCATGTACAGTGTTGTCAAATGTTATATATAAAAGATCCAACTTCACATTTATTGATCTTTTTTATATTTCACATCCTTACTATTTAAATAACTTTCATATATTTATTTCTTAATCGGTGTTTAATTAAACATTACTCCTTTATACCCACAAAGTCATTTAGACACACCTATTCATTCCTTCTTCAAAAAAATGTCAGTCTCTAACACTTCACTCAAGGCACTTAACATTTTGGTCCACTCACCAGTCACTCAGGACATGATCCACAAGCTTGTTGTTGCTACTTTGCAGGTATTACCATGTCAGGATTCAAAGGACTCCTCCAAGTATCCATCACCACCAAGTTCTCCAGGTGAAATTGATCACAACAAGTCCCTCCCATCTCTCATGACCTTCCTTACCAAGTTGGTTAGATACACCAACATATATACAGGCACTTTAATGGCCACATTGGTTTATTTGAACAGATTGAAGAACAAGCTTCCAAAGAATGCTCAAGGATTACCATGCACAAGACACAGAATCTTACTTTCTTGTTTGATCCTTTCATCCAAGAACCATAACGATACTTCACCAAAAAACATCCATTGGGCCAAGTACACTGACGGGTTATTTTCAGTCAAGGACATCAACTTAATGGAAAGACAATTGTTGTACTTGCTCAATTGGGATCTCAGAGTTTCCAATGAAGAAATGTGCCAAAACTTGAGCAAGTTCTTGGAACCAATCGAAGAAGACTTGATCAAATCTCAAAAGATGAGAAGATACTTGAAGCAACAACAACAAATTCAACAGGAGCAGCAGCAACAACAACAACAACAACAACAACAACAACAACAACAACAACAGAACATTTGTATGCCTTCGCCAAGAAGAAGATCTTCTCAAGGAGAGCCACGCATTTCCAGGTCATCGTCGACTTGTTCAAACTTAAGTTTATTACACCATTCAAGACAAGATTCTACATCTTCCATCTCATCACAGGAGTCTTCTCCTGATGCCAATTCTATATCCAAGCAACGCAAAATGGGATACACCCACCAGGTCGATCCAAGAATTGAATTAACTGCATTAAATGAAGAGATGGAATTGAATAGAATGCTTGATCTGCTCTCCAAAAGCAAAGTATATTAGGTGTTTGAAGCATAAAAGAAGACGAGACAATATATTTAGAACGTCAAGGGTTTTTCAGTTCAGGGTTTATTATTATTTAGGGTAATTTTAATTTAACGGTAAGGGTATTTAAAAGAACTCCACTGTAGAACATTGTAATAGGAACCTAAGCAGGATGCCATATGAGTCTCCAGATCTAAGCGACATGATTCTGCAGTTCGAAGAGATATGAGTATCTTAGCGAACTTGAGTGCTCAGGGTATGATCTCCGGCACCAACAGTTAGCATCCTTCAACTCTAAGTAAAATCCTCTACTAAGCGACATGTTGCAGAGTGAAAAAAAAAAAAAAAAAAAAAAAAAAAAATGAAAAATAAAAATATGGGGAACACCACGGTCGTGCGAGTACAGACCAAATCATGGATTATCAACTATATACAGGAACTTAGAGATGTGGAAATTAAAGGGAATAGAGAAGGAAGCTGGTAGAGACGACAGCTTAACTCTCTAGGTATACTACATATTCAAAGATGAGCGGCTTGATGAAGAGTAGATCAAGAGCTCTACTAAAAGTGAAGCTCCAGCATCAACCCCAAATTATCTATAGTCGACGTTTTAAACTGAACGATAACGGGAACGACGTGAAGGGAGAGGCCAATGAGTCTAACACTCACACCGAGAACGGCGAAAGCGAAAGAATGGAAAAGAAAGAACAACTAGAAGAAGCATTAATAAAAACTCTTAATGAAAGTCCTGGAAATGCTCGTACCAACGGAAAACTGGAAGTGAGCACAATAGGTGAAAGTCAGGAGGGTAAAACTGAGCCCCATCACATACTACCTCTCACTCCTTACCTTCCAACACTCTTACCCTTGCATGTACAACAGATACTTGAAAAGGTCAATTCAATGTCTTTCAAAGAATTGCAAACCCAAAAGTTTTTGGATGGTGATAAGCCATTCCTCTCCACTAAAGCGGACGGGTTTCTTGTGAGAAAGAATCTTATAAGGGATCTTCCAGACAAGATCGATTTGTTTGACGAAGAAGATATGGATGAGGCGCCGTCGCCCTCTCTTTCAAGAATTTCTTCCTCTTCTCAACTGACTTCTCCGTACCCAATGGAGACCCTTAGGGATATACACGAAATATACTCAGATTTGAGCAAACTAGATTCAGATGAATCGATGCATAGAAAGTACTTTGAAAAGTATGGTATCAGGCCGGGCCAGTCAAACGACATTGTACAAGGTTTCAACGGTATAAATGAAAAGTTTCTGCTACTTAGAAGGGGAGAGACCCTCCAGTTAGGATTATCACCGAATAATTTCAGATTCGAGAAAAATATGTTCAATATGCCTTACAATGTTCCTGGCTTTGATGTGTCGTTTTCTGGCATTCCCTTAAGATTTGGGGAGCAGAAGCTTAAAAAGAGGCAGCTCCCACTAGAATTAGTGAAAGATTTGCGTATGTACACAAAGTCTGTGCCGATCAGGAAGGGAGATTTGGCTTTCGACACAGAGAAGGAGAAACTTAAGAAGGAAGAGGAGGAAGAAATGTCCGTAACCATTCACCCAAAGGTTGACACCGTGGTTATAATAGATAAGGTAAAACTCTTGGAGAAGGATTGCATAGAAACAACAAAGTCATTATCCCAATATAATCCATTTCCTTCTCCTGCAGTAACCTCGGCAACTAGATTATCTTCAGATTCCTCGTCCAACCCTGTCATATTCCCATCCGTAAGGTCTAAATTTGAGACATCTGTGGAATTCATAATTTCAAGAATGCAGAGATCCCTTGTGAAAGAGATTGAAGTTTACTTAGGAGGCGTTTATAAATCGCCAGATCTGATCTTCAAACCAAACCTGTTTTACTTATTCGAAAAGAAGAAACCAAAAGTGTTGACCCTATGGAATAAGCACGGAACTACTGAAATCAGTTTACCGATACAGTTGGCCAAGTTGAGCTCGTTACCATTAAGTGTATACTACATTAAGACCAAGAAGGAGAAAAGATTCTTAAGATTGCATTTATTCAAGATCTTTATGATCAATTTGGAAGGGTTGATAGACAGACTAATTACAATGAAATATCAGACGGAAGATGAAAAGAATTCATTTTTAAGCATCTTGGCGGATAAGGTATACACGGAAATTGACAACGTATTGTTGAATGAAATCATTAGGGAATTTAAGGTGCCCTCCAAGAACATCAAGAAGAATGACGTTGGAGTTATAATGTACTCTCCGTTCAAAAATGGTCTGTTTAAGAGAATAATCTGGACAAGAAACGGCTGGGGAAATTTGAAGCACCATCAAAGAAGCAAAATACCAACAATTCAAGTGAAGAAAGTTGAATTGGAAAAGGTCTTACAGAAATGAACAAGAAGGTAATTTAGTATTGCAATCGCATATCATCTTTATTTAGGAATACATATTCTTCCTTTAACCTTGTGTATTATAGCTTCGACTAAATACTTTCTTCTTCGTCATCGATTTGAAATTTTGAAAAATCATCTCTAGCAGGAATATTGCCAAGTTCGAATTCATCCACACCATTCTCCAAGTCAGGATCATCTTCACCTCTTATTGAAACGTATCTGGAACCATTTCCATTACCAAGCTTCGATTTTAAGTTTTGAATAATTCTCTTCCTGCCATCTCTTCCAAGTAACATTACCCCGAAAAATGCAATCAAAAGCATAAATATGAAAAGTCCATACCAGCGGTGTGGGTGTATGTACCAAGCCAGCTCAGAAACGTCTCCATTACTTTCAGCGTAGTCGGAATTTGGGGAATCCAGATTATCAGTATTGTCATGGAAGTAAGGTCTAGGAATGATACCTTTTTGCTCTCCACCATAGTGGAAATCATTCGTCGACGTCGTATGAAAGAATCCCGCTCTATCAACTAGGGGTTTATGCTTGCTTTTGTCTTTTTCTTTTGCGTTTAATGCACTAGTATAATTATTATATGCCTGTGAGAATTCGTCATTGGCATACAATTGAGCTCTGCCAAAAGTCCACGAAAATGAAAATCCATCAACCTCTTCTATTAACTGAAGCGATTTAAACTCCTTCTGACTCTCATGATCAATCCCGTACCTTGGGAAACCTAGCCCTAGGTGTAAGAAGTTCAACACCCAAGAAGATTTGAAGCACAATTCAGATAAATCATCTTCGGGCATCTGATTTTCTTTCGATTTAACACTATTTAAAGCAATTAGTTCTGCTAATGAGCTTGAGCAGATTCTGTTTGTTTCGTTGTAGATTGTTTTGTAGTCATAATTGTCAATCCCCACAGGTTCTAGTTTCTCATCTTCTTCATCAAATGCTAATAAATTCCTTATTGAGTCCCAATATCCACTTACTCCTATGAAATGATTAACCTCGAAATCAAATGCAGGGATCAAATCGTTCAATAAGCATGCACCAACTTCATCTTCTGTCTCAAGCTGCTTACACTTTCCGGTCTCAGTTCCCTTCGAAATACTATAAGTAGAATTCAGAATGACAGGGAAAATAGAATTCAAGCATTTGGCAAAGTCACTTTCACCAGTGAAAGCGATATTGAAATCATTATGCAGTGCTGTAGCCAAGTATCCCTTGGGCAAACATGGGTCCACGATAGGCTCCCTTATAGAATCATATGGATTGTTGGGGTCTGCAATTTTAGATTGGCCAATATTGGCAAGGTATTCATCAATTACATATGATAAGTATTTGTTATGGGCCTGATACATACCGAATCCCAAGAATGAATCTGAATAGACATTGAACTTCATGGGGTTGATTAAATCACTATCAGCATTTCCAATGTTGCCAGTTGCTTGATTTAAAGATATTTCGAAAAGGTTATTCTGGTGTTCTTCAATTTCGGTGGAATTGGGTTGGAACACCACTTGTGTTGAAGCTCCTCCCATGTCTAGCAATCCATAAGTGGTGTGGTTCTTACCATGCTGATGTTTATCAGGATGATCAAACGACCCCACCATATTGTTTACCGACAACCAACCAAAAAGACCCTCAATATCCCCATCGATAACATTGATATGGGATGCACAGTCAGGCAAGTAGAATTCGGATTTGCGTTGAACGTATTCACAGATATTGTCGAGGATTTGTTGTTGCTCCTTGGGAGAAAGCAACCTCATTCCCGCTGTTGAGTGAAGGAAGAATGGCGTACGATAATGCTGAGACTTGGGCACTACAGAGTTGGCAAGGGAAAGTAAATGCTTTATATGATGCTTTCCAATCTTTTGGGGGCTCTCGTTGAAGGTGGAAACACCCGGCTTAATCTTCTTGTGCCAATCTTTGTTGGAAAGAACTGGAGGTAAGAATGGAGCTGACTTTGAATCATTATCTTCCTGATCAGTATTTTCGTCATCATCACTCGAATCGGAGTCAGGATCGTCATCTCTCAATTCGAATCTCTTCACTAAGTTCAAGTTACGAGGATAGCTAAGTCCTTTATCCAAGAGGAACTTCGCATTGAGCCAGTTGTAGACGTAAACTCTAGAACCTTTCGAGCCCGAGTCGACTAGAACTATGTAATCGTAGGGGACACCTTCCTTGGACTTCACAGGTCCTGTAATCTTCTTGCCCATGTTACTCTACACGATGAAGAAGACTATGGTGCTTTCTTCTGATCATTCAATTTCCACGCGATTGCAAAACGCACCCAAAAAAAAAAAAGGTGAAAAAAAAAAAAAAAAAAATCTTGATACCCATTGATTAAATATATACCTAACAGACAATCCCTGGGTGATGCTGGTAATACCCTAGTTAAGAGTAATTCTAGTTTGTTTTCTATGCCTACATCACTTTCCAGCTCAGAGTGGTTTTATGTTATGTACAATCACATTGCTAGCGTGCAGATGGAGTGGATACCTGGAGTACGGGCCAGCTTCTATCGTGTAAGCACTTGCGAAAGCACTCTTCTTTTGAAAAGTTTCATGTTTAATGTTGGTGCCAGCGGTTGAATAGTATTCATTCAATCTTTTCTTTTCTTTTCATTTAATTTCTTTGTTTTTCTTGCTGTTATGTTATTTATTCTTATTATTTGTTTATCGTTATTCTTTCGTTTCCGGATTCTCTTTGCTTCCAGCCCAGGTCCACCTCACATAATCACACACTTATCTTCTTGCTTGACCGTTGGATTCTGTATGCTCTCAATTTCATCAATCAAGTACTCAAAAGTCCTGTTGATATTTATGTTATCCCTAACAGAAGTTTCTAAAAAGGCGCACCCAAATTGGTTAGCCAACCTCTTACCTTCCAGCTCTTCGACCTGCCTTTGATAGTTCAAATCATTCTTATTACCAACCAAAACCATAGGTATCTTATCTATTCCAATGGAGTTTAAGATCTTGTCGCGGATGACTTCAATCAATTCAAACGATTGTCTTGATGTTACCGAGTAAACCAAAAGATATCCATGTACACCAATGAGATGTTTCTGATTCATGATAGAGAATTCATCTTGGCCAGCAGTATCTAAAATCTCCACTTGATATTCTTGATTTTTATAAGTTATAGTTTTGGAGAACTGGTTTTCAATAGTTGGATAGTATGACTCCACAAAATGATCTTCAACGTATCTAACCGTCATAGATGACTTTCCGACGGATCTGGAGCCAACCACTGCTATTTTACGTGCCTTCATTTAAAGATATTTGGGTTATGTTATGAGCTTGGCAATAAGTTAAAATTATCAGTTGAAAAAATGTTCTAGAGACACCAATTTGAAATGATTGTCGATTCGATTCTATATATGCAATGTTCCAATCTATCTGTCCCTTTCTCCTGTTGATAAGGAGTTTCAGTGGAGTTCCGAAAGTGAGTTAAAAAAAAGTTAAAATTTTTCCCTTTTTAACCTGCGCACTGTTCTTTACACAAAGCTGCGGCAACACCAGGGCACATCGCTGCAGCAGAAACAAGCATGGAAGCAAGAGATGGATCTCAACCTGGAATGAAGAGGCCGAGTGACCAATTCAGGAACGAGACGATTCAGCCTCTCTACGAAATTTGAAGACGGGAAATAGCGTTATATCGTCTCAAAAATGATCGTCTTATGTCTCATCTCCATACTAACTTTATCTTATCAGTATGACAGGAAAAAGAAATAAACCTTGCATAATCCGAACCCGAAAGCGGAAAGCCGAATTGAGTAACATGCGGAGAGTCCAGAAAGGTCAAAAAAGATCTAGTAAGAGATGAGATGTGTGTTTGCAGTGAGTTTCAGAATGACCACGAGATCGCTTCCTGCTAACATACGGTCAGTCAGGTCAGCTAGTAAAGGCTAGAAGCGCCAAAATTACCCGATTACATAGTCAGTATATTTGTTCCAGATGTGCGTGCTGGGCTACTCGTTCCGTGCGATGCGGTCTAATGATTTCTGCCCATGAGACGAGTGGGCTAGACTCGAGCTCCTCTTCATTCAGGCTACTAAAAAAAGACTCAATGCTGCAACCTCGAACACCATCACTAAATTAAGAGAATAAGTCTATACAGTCTAGTGTCTTTCAAAGTCAGCAGCTTATTTTTGTGCTACAGATTCCTAAGTAGTATACCAATCTCGTTATCATTAATTTAAGTAAAAGACTACGAAGCACGGATAAAATAATAATGCAATGAAGTAAATGAAAATCTCTTTCTATCTTCTCTCTCTCTCTCTCGACCTTCGTGTGTCTGTATTTCTAATACCTGGCCCATTCTAAAACCTCTAAACTTGTAACTACAATGACAATAGTTGTTGGCAATGTTAAAATAACGTAACCCCAAAACAAAACACCGGACATTTCTTTTTGGTATATGTTGTTCAATTGAACGATCTGAGATAACTGAATTGCTGGAGGTGAGATCGTCAAGATAAATGCAACGATAAGGAAAATTGGATCATCAAGAATGGAAATTTTTATATATTTGACACACAACGTGATAATTGGAAGTAAAATCAACGGTGGAAGGATCATCCTACTAAGAAGAGAACCAATAACAATCTTGTTGTAGTGTCTTGAAGCAGGTGGGAGATCTTTGGATGGGTATAAGTTAGATCCCAACACAATCAAAATTAAAGGAATGGAAACTGAACCCAATTGCTTAATAGCATTGGATAATGTATTGTGGACGAAAGTGGTCTCATCAGTAAAGAACTGTCTCTGTAAGAATGGAACTGAGGCAACAATGATGGAGATGAGCATAGCATAAAGTGGAGGATTCATAAAGTTAAGAAATCCCACAACGATGGAGTTCTTACAAATAAAACTCCAAATTTTCGATAACTTATATCTAGACTTTACAATTATCGGTTTATAGGTGTCTGTAGATTCCTCTTCTCCGCTACTGGACAAGTAATTAACCGTGCTTGAAGAATTGTTGATCAAGTTATCGTTTGAGGTGGCAATGTATAAGGCGCCATCATCAGGGTCCAGAGAACTGTGATTCAAAACTCTCTCCGCCACTTCAGTGGACAGCAATGAAGATGCAGCTTCTATTTGCCTTTCAACATCTACCTCACCCCCGTACGATGTTAATTCTTCTACGGAGCGTTTCCTCAACAATTTATTGTAACCCCAAGACCAACGCAAGATTTGTCCCAATTGTTGAAAAATCAATAGGTACAATATACCTCTAGAGGCTACTTTGTCCGCAGTATCGTCATCAATATCTTCCCACAACAAATCGGGTAAAGTGTACGCCAAGGACAACGTCAATGACACGGGCAAGGAGTTGGAGTTACCGAATACGGCCATGGCAGTAACAAAGTCAGTTTCTGGCTCGTTCAATTCCAAAACTGAGCCAACGAGTCTTGAACACAAGAACGAGATCCCAGTAGATAAGGCATAAAACACTGGGATGATAACTACTTCAGCCATCTTCTGCAAGGAGAGCGACGGCGCCAACTTGGAAAAAACCAAACATGGTGTGAACAAGTCCACATTCAAGGCAGATATGACCTTTTGTCCAGAAAGAGACAACAAGCCGGTCTTAGCGGCAATGAATCCGGCAAAACATATGATAATGACTTCCACCACAGCTTCAAACGTGAGCGTGGTGATATCTAAGAAAGATAATTCAGGGTTGATTACTTCATTTAGCTGCGATAATGTTTGGAAAGCGGAATCAAACATCTATATTATGATTCTACTATGGTATTGTCTTTATATAAATATAAGAAGGTAGTACTTTGCCTGGTAATAACAAACAAGAAAAAAGAGTGAAGGCAAAAACGGTAAACTGAACTGCTTCAGGGGAAACTCCGAAAGTTTATATGCACTTGCCTCTGGCTAGACTGAAAGCCAAAAAAAAAAAAAAAAGAAAACAAAAAAAAAGTGTGAAGGATGAAAAAAAGCTTAAATGCATACAAGAAAACATGGTTGATCGGCGGAGCATAGGATGAATGATTGATGCAGCGGTGTTCCAGTAAAAGATGATCGCAATAGGAGAAATAGGTAAGACGGGTGGGAATGCGCAGAACAACGTAATGGAAAAAGAGAGGAATGCAATCGAAGGAGTGAGTTCGTCTACTGTGTGACACACCGAGTGACATCGGGCTGGGTGTGGGAGTTGAAAGAGAAAGGTAGTGATTTTTTCATGCTTTGTGCTTTACTTTCTTCAGGCTTTTTTTTTTTTTTTTTTTGTCTAATTTAACATACATCTAATCGGGCTAAAAAAATAAAGCTAATTTTTGTTCGGTGCGATAAGGAACTGATAGAGAAAAGGTGGTGAACAGCTCACATACCCCTCCCATGGAAGGAGAGCAAAGAGCAAGCGAAGCAATTGACTATACGCAATGAAGAAAAGTGGAGTAACTATAGAGAGAATACCTGCGCAAAATGGCAGCATGCAAAAGTTTTAGCGAGTTTGACTCCCCTTCTTTCAGGGCCCTTCTCGATGTGTTCCATCTCCCAATAGGCTGCATGATGAGACTTCACTTTAACCTTTAAGCTGATAACGCACGTGGGGCTGGAAAATGTAGGGGAAGAATGCAAACAAATAACAATAGAAAAAGTAAATGAGTGCAGTGCGCGTGCGACTGTGATTGCCGACTTAGTGATTGTCGATGAGACCAGGCTGTGGCGTGATTTGGGCCTGCACATACACAGGCCACACCAGTGCAGTAGTTAGCATGCTCCTGGAGGGTCGACTAGAGCAAACGGGTAGCCAGCTGGTAGAGGGCTAGGAAGCAGTTAGTAGATAGAAGAGAATTGGAAATCGACTCACATGTCAGTTGGATACCCCCCGCCACCGTTACCACTGCTACCACCACCACCACGACTGTGCTATTGTGTCTGTGCAGCCCCCAGCTCGGTCCAGGCCTCAACCATCCCGGTGCGCTTCTCTTTGGCTCGTATCCCCTCAACTCTATTTTCATGCACTGTACCTTCTTTCATCCGCCCAGCTCGCTAGCTCCTAGGTAATGGTCTTGTGCTAGCGTATCTCATCTCACCCATCTCACCACTCCCAATTAACCACCTGCCATCTGCAGTACGCTCATCCTCTAGAACCATCGACTCCAGACACCCGGTCACCCACGCTGGTACTCCTTATTTCTGAAATCAAAACAAAGCGGCGCACCATACAAACCAAAACTCTGGAGCTGCGAAAAAAAAGACCAAAAAAAATAAAATAAATATAAACAAACCCAGACCAAAAGGCTATTAACAAGAAACTACGTTACAAATACCACTGTCTTACCGAAGACCAGTTACATCGAGAGTGCACTACATCTTTAGCACTAAGCTACCTTCTTTGCCTCCTTTTGCAACCATATTTCGCCACATATCGGAACGGCATATAAATGGACTCAGCTCCAAAGTGGCGAAGACCACCCTCCAAGGGTCGAAGTAAAAATGACGATTCTGATTCGGACATGGAGGAAAAGTCGTTCGACTTTGATTTGGCTGGCGCCTCTACACCATTGAAGGTCAACCCCGAGACTTCTACCATATTTTTATCTCCCATAAAGAAATTGCATAACCTTCATTTGACCGCATCATCACCCAATCTGTCTTCAACAATGGATCCTATTGCAGAGAAAAGCAAGGGTAATGAAGCAGATATCGATGACTTTGACGAAGACTACGACGATGACTACTATTCCGAAGCAGAACAGACTATCCTAAGCGATGGAAGTGTAGAATTTAAGGATGAAGCAGAAAGTACCCAAATCATACCCAATCCTGTCTATATCAACTCCAAGAAAAGAGGAATGGAGTCTCCACTGGATATGATAATAACTCCACGATCCACGTCTATTAGTTCCATACCGAAGCTCCTGGGCCTGGGCGCCTCAGGAAATATGTCTCTCTGCAGTGTGAGCAATATTTCACAATTCAAGGTGAGCTTCTCCAATAGCGACTCTACACCATGCCCCAGACAACCCCGGAAAAGACTCAAGTTTAAGGAAATTACTCCGTCATCGACCCCACTGAATGTAAATAAGCGGAAGAATGTGTTGAACTTGCAGAACTCGACGAAGGCGTCAGCTTCCATCTTGAATCAATTGAACACCATCCAACGTCTCCCTGAAGATGAAGATGAAGAGGAGGATGATAGTGATCTGGATGGGAATGTAAACGGAAATGGAAGCGGAGGCAGTGAAAATGGTGCTGGTATCAAGAGTGACTTAAATTACTATGAATTCGAATCAATGGTTGCGTCAAAGACTTCGTCACCCATACAATCTTCGACGACTGCAAACACGTCAATCAACTCGGATTCAAAAGTGCACGTTCAGCGTCTGAGCACTCCGATTTCTCAGTCCACTCCTGCCAATTCTAGGGCCCCTACACCACCCATAGACGAAGTTTCTGAGTATGGTGAATCAATAAATGGATACAGGTTTGTGCGAAGCCAACCACCGCCGAGCAGTCTGGTATACTACAGCTATAAAACGCCTGAAAACAACAATGTGTATTCTCAGGAAATGAAGAATGCGTATATTCTGGGGAAGGCAGTGGAGCCTCGACAAAGCAGTGATCACAAGAGTGGGGCACAGGACAAATGGTATGAGATCGTTGGAGAATTCCCAGTTACATCAGCGGGACTAATGAACGAAGACGACGAAGATCTACACATCGGAGATAAAAGAATTAATGATCCATATTTGAGTGGGCCTGGGTCTAAATTAAAGATAGACACAACATTATCCAACGAAATGGATGAGTTGGATGAAAGAAGGCGCCAAGTTCGAGAGCAATACTTCAACTCATTTGAAGCTAAGCGCGATATCAAGCTCCCCCTCTTGGATCAGTTTCAACTCACGTCAGAAATCACGACCCGTAAGGAGGATTTACTAGCATTGCTAGACGACAAGAAATCAGTATTGGACTTCTACCAATTCATCGAAGGGAACGACGTTTTAGACTTAGTTAGAAGGGAAAGACTAAAGTGGCATCCAGACAAATGGAGACACTCCGAAAAATGGGAACATGGGAACAACAAATGGGTTACGGATCAGGATATTATAGAAAACCTAAGCAAGGCTTTGAATTTGCTTGTTGAGCGGCTATCCCTGTAGAAAGATAGTATATATATATATCATATTCTACATAGATTAATGACTTACGATTGGTTTAACTTGTCTTATTCTTTACTCTTGAGTACTTCCTTTATTTTTTTCTGTTTAATGATATTTGTATTTATATAGTATAGTTACATAGAATTAGCTTATGCCTGCACTGCATCAACTGGGGTTTCGGCTTTTTCTTCTACTTCTCCTTCTTCATCAGTCTCAATATCTTCTTCAATGGCGATATCCTCTTCACCGTCCACTTCTTCTACGTCTTCATCCTTTTCCGGAGCTTCTTCCTCTATTTCCACGTCCTCGTCGACGTCTACATCCACATCCACTTCTTCGTCCTTATTTTCGTCATTTTCGTCGACTTCCTCTACTTCTGCTGCTTCTTCTTCTTCTTCATCCTCGTCCTCTTCTTCTTCATCTTCTTCTTCGTCCTCCTCTTCCTCATCCTCCTCGACATTCTGCTCTGGTGGATACTCATCTGCGTTTTCATTATCCCACACGATATTAAATCGCGTCACTCTTGGCTTCTCCGCAAGGATATTTCGTACTACATGCTCCACTTGAACCTTTGCGGGAGGGTTTTCTCTCAATTCTTCGGAGTCATACTCATTGTTTACGTAGTACCCAACCCTAACGAACTCTCTATCTGCGTATGAACAACTCAACAAAATAACTGTAACACTGACCAATTCGCTCGCTGGAATCAAATCGGGAGATGGTGGATCCGCTTGGAATAAAAATTTGTTTACACCAACGGGAACTGGGCCCACCAATATGGAATCCAACTCTTGATCATGGTCCAAAGACTTGGAAGATCCAACGTACGTCAATTTCCACTCCAAGTCTTCCTTTAACGGCTCCAAACACTCAAATGTGATTTCAAATTCATACGGATCAGTGAACTTGGCTGGGTTGTTCAAAACCTCTATACCCAAGAGGGAAACAATTGACATGGTTAGTATTTATAGATATATAACTGTGTAGCAAGCACTCAACCTAACCATAAGAGACGCGATACACTTGAAAAAAAACAAAACCACAAGCGGAACATTCTTGGAGGAGAGGTGCGCGCGTGAGATGTATGCAGTACGTTGAAATTGGTTTAGAGTGAAGCGTAGAAGAAACCATGGAAAGAACTGACATGTACTCTCTTTAGCACTAAGTCTTTCTCAGGGTTTCAATCTCGCCAGGATTAGTAGCGACACAACTTTACGTATATAGAGGCATGTCTGAAATAGTAAAGAAAGAGGAAGAAGTAGCAGGGGCAGAGTTTGATGCAGGTCATGAAGATGTAGTGGAAGCTAGCTCTGAAGACTATAGTAAGTTGATGCAGCAGTATCAGGACAAATTCAACATTGCTTACATGAAGTCACAATCGCTTTGGAAAGCTGAAAAGTTGCAGCGCCAGACCTTGTATTCTTACCAGAGGAAAGTAAATTCCCTTTTGGACTTACTAAGCAGCTATGAAGTGGATCCTAAGAATGCCGATACTGAGAAGAGTGAACATGTGCTCAGAATTGAGAATTTGTTGAAGTCGAAGGGAATTAACCCAAAATTAAAAAGCATCTTGGAACCATTAAAGGAGTTTAAGGATACTACCAAGATACAGAATAACAATCACAGTTTAAATCTTTATTTGACTGAAACAATACCCGAGGTTGTAGGCGATGAGATTGACCATTTGGAAGTCAACCCACAAGATGCTGAGGCCTGGGTAAGGCGCCAGTACCCACACTTGGTGGTTAGTAAGTTCAAACCCGTTAACGTTTCTTCAACCTCCATTCAAAATACTGTAGAGGCCCCAGCCTCTCGTCCCGGTGTGAAAAGACGTAGGCGAACTCCAGTGACAGCTGCTGCTGATCAAGATACCGAGAGAGAAGAGACTGGCAGTCCGCAGCCAAAATGAAATGGATAGATAAAAATTAATACAAGTAAGACAGAGACCGTGAAGAAGCCATGGAAGTAAAGTAGAGCAAAAAATACAAAAGGCACTGGATAATGATCAAAATTAGCAAGAATGGTCACAATAATCGAATGGTAGGCTATCATCATTTGCTCAATGTCATAAAAGGTTCACCACTCTTCGAAGAAAGGTGTCCCCGCATATGTATATGTTCGTATGCTAGTGTATGGAAATTTTTATATTTGTATGTGTATGACTATATAAAAAATGCTTTATTGATCTATCCATCATCTCTTTTTATGCTTCTTCACCAAATTTTCAAGAATTCTTGAATCTAAGAACATGTTGAACACAATTCTTCTCACTCTTAATTTGTACTTCCCTTTATCAATCAATTTGATGACTTTAGAAAAGAAACTAGGACTGGCAAATAATTCTGGAAAGCTCTGCTTCAATGAGACTAATTCCTTAGTTGCTTTCCTCTCTATTCTACCTAAAATTGCACTGAGATATATGATTAAAGTTAAAACCCGATTTTGGTACTTTTGGATATCTTCTTCGCTCAAGTATGTACTGTCGATGTTATTATCATTGACAGCTACAGATTGGTCAAATAGCTCATAATCATCTAAGCCATCAACATAACCCACCATACCACCATTGTTATTGCGATAAAGATTCATAGCTCCATCTCCAACTCCACCCTCCGTGACATTGGTTGATCCGTCCACTCCAAATATAGTGTAGTACTTAATATCCTTATATGGATTTGTTACCTCAACATTGAACATATTCTTTAGTCTATTTTCACCGTTAGGGAAGCAAATGCTTTTCGGCTTATCAAATCTATCAAAAGTCAGAATCCAATTCAACTCATCCAAAATTTCAGTACCTTCAACCGTCGATGCAATTCGACCTAGCTGATACAACGCAACACCTCTAACATGCCAGAATGGGAAATTAGAAACCAAATCAATTATTATCGGAATTATTGGAACTGACAAAGTTCTACTGTATTCAGGGTCCAAAAGCTGAATCCCATACTTGGAACCAGCAATGTTCCCCAAAATCCAAAGGTTCTCTTTCAAAGTAAATAGCATCGACTGAACTTGATTTAGCAATGATTCATCATCTAATTGAAGTGGAGCATCCACACCGTTATATCGACTTTCGATTTCGATTTTGATCAAATTGGTATCTGAAATCAAATTATCTAAATACTGTTTGTTCTGATATTGTTGGAAATATAAAAGACCTTCTTCAGTTTGCAAAAGATGTGAAAAGAAATGCATGGGCATAGGCTCAATCTCATTTCCCAAATCTCCTTTTGTATTCCTATTGGTAACCCAATTCTTAGATCTTAAAATGTATGGGAAAAGGGTCTCCTCAAGCTTGAAGGAAACCTTAATAGCGTACTCTTTATTTTTGCGATCAACACATTCGCTAAATTCTTGGTCAATATAACCAATATCATCCAAGTATTTGAAGCCTTGAGAGGTTGAAAGAAACAACATAATTATGGACTCACCCTTGTGGATTCCTCTATTACCTTCAGTACTCTTCTTCAAGATACCAATTGAGGGTTTTAACAGAATGACGTACTTCAAGTTATCCACAGAAATATTGCAAAATGTATATAAAGTATCAATCACAAGGGTTCTAATTACTTCATTAGTATCATATAACCTTTGAACAAGCATTTTAATAACCCATTTTTCACACTCTGGAACTTTGATCAATTTATCGATCAATACAGTTTCAATGATAAAAATTTTGATTTCCAAGGTACAAATACTTAGCGCCTTTGATAAGATGATTCTTAAAGGGCTGTCTATGGTAAAATCTAATTTGCTTAATAATAAGATAATCAAGAATTGCGAATGATTATAGTTATAACTGGAGTCATTTATATCAGCGTCGTTAGAAGCATTAGCATTTGCAAGAGATTTCTTCTTCAATTTATCAGTTATTTTGCCTATGTTTAACACACTTCCTTCAAGAATATGATGAAACATTGTGAAGAATTGCCATTGATTCAAGATTTTCAAACCGCGTGCATCTTTGGATAACGTACCAACAAAATCAATGTACCCATAACTTAAGGTTCTCCTTAGTCTCTTCCTTGATAAAATAGGTTCCTTTGCTTCTATTCCACTAAATGGATCAACTTGAGCAAAAGTTTCAGACAATTGAGCTAAAATCTTATTTGAGGATAAGTATTTAATACCTTCATCAGTGCTTAATAATGCCTCGAATAGTTGGCAGCCAACTGTTACATAAATGTGTGTCGAAGGAATGTTATCTCCTTTCAATTTTTTTGAAGAAGTAGGCTTTATCATCGTATTGCAAAATCTAAACTTGAAAGGTCTGTAGAATGACATAATCCTTTTCAAGAATTTCGGTACATTCTTCACTATGTCTTCAAATTTCTTGGGATTTCTTAATGGACCTTGGATAATCTCTGATAGCTGAGTCCAATTCCATTCTTCATACTCTTTAACTGTCAAAACTTTACTTCTTGCGATTTTATCCTTTAGATCCGACTCCTCCATATTATATCTGGAATCTATTGCCATATTATGCATATGTTTTCTAATGTCATTCAATTTGTCTCTTGATGAAACGAAAGTAGGGGTGAAGGAATCTGTATGATCCAGAACAATCATAGTATTTGTAGTTATGTTGGTGCCTATAGAGACGTAGTCATTGGGCAATAAGCTCTTGGAATTTAAAAGTTCTTTAGGGAATAGTGAGTATGATAGCATGTAGATGTTTTTAGATAACTCAGTTGCCTTTTTAGTTGTTTCTGGATTTAAATTCTCTTCAATAACCGACAGTAAGATGTGCATGATATTACATTTATTAACCAATATATCCAATAACAAGCCAATATAATGGTTAATAATCGAATACTCCAAGGTATTGCTCTCCAATTCCAGATACTTCGTAAAGCTTCCTGAACTGTATCCTGAAACTTTTTGAAATTTCATCAAAGTTTCTCCAATGGGGCTATTTTTCACCCAAGGTAATGGTTTGATCCTTAGAATATCGAAAAATATATCCAATACAACATCTCTGATTTTGTTATGCGGGCGAGTTAATGTGGAGACTAATACTCTCCACGATTGGAAATCTTGCTGTGCAAATGCCATGATACCATTCCAATTTTTGAGGAAAAGACAGACCAAAAAGGCAGCTCTTCTAAGTTTATGTATCGACTTCACGTCACTTTTTGAATGGTTACTTGAATTAAGCTGTTGCAGCTGGACTATGTCATTATTCAATTTTCTCTCTGTATCGTTTAACGTGGATGGTGATGGTTCTTCGGTTTCGATGTCAGAAAATATAGTGATAAGTCCAGAGAGATCAAAACCATCTCTCAAGAACACCCTGGTATCCCTTGAATCTAATATCTGAGAGAAGCATAATATGCAATTCATAGCCAAATCTGATGGACCATCCTTAATTGTTTGGAATAGTACAGAGAACCCACCACTAAGGAAAACTAGCTCCGTCTTAATCAACGCAATCTCAAGTATAGTCTCTATACAAACATTTTTAAAGCATTGAAGCTTTTGTTCATCGTCTACATTGGGATCCAGGTCTTCATTCTCGATTATGGCTAGGATACTTTTAATCACCCCAATGGATAAGTTGTTGGCACCTTTGGGGATGTTTATGAACTCTCTAACAAGTTTTAAGGCTTGTTCCTTTTCGACATCACAATTTAATCTTGACATGGTTATGATGATGAAAATCAAAATTTTAGATTGGACCAAGTTAGTTAAGGAGTCATAATCGGATATGATATACCTTGCTATTCTATACCCTGTAGCCCTAACCTCCAGAACCTGATGGCATAACATGAACAAGATTTTGCTAATAAAAGTCTTAAGAACAAGGTCTTTCTTTAATTTAGGGTACTGTGAAAACAACATAACAAGGTCATTACCTCTAGATACGAGGAAATATTCATCGTGATCTTTATTTGCACTTAAGGACTGTAAGATGTCACTCAATAACCAGGTCGGACTACTTTCGTAACCTTCGTGAAATTTTTCGTCTGCAATAGGAGAATCTCCCGATATATTTCTGTTGCGAGTATAATGTAAGTTTTCTAATGACGAATGCTTGGAGCTAGGGGAATTTCCACTAGTTAGGTTAGGAATCAGGGGTGGCACAGGAAACGGTTCAGCAGCAGTCGTACCTGTAACTGAATTAGAGGAGTTGATTCTGCGTAGAAAGGGAGAAGGTGACTGCAAGGAATTTGAAGTGAATGTAGATGAGTACACGTTCGGTAGTTGTTGTTGCTGCTGCTGCGGTGCTTGAAACTGTAATTGATGTTGTTGTTGCAAAATTTGTGGTTGATACTGAGGATGCTGCTGTTGCAACTGTAAGTGTTGTTGCTGTTGTTGTACCGGGACATTCGTAAACTTGATGCTATCTATCGAATGTATGGCGTTCTCACCAGAGCTGAAAGTGGATGCTGTATTGCTTCTTGATCTCGAGACTATGGGGGAGCTTTGCTCAGATGTCTTTTGGGACGATCGTACAGGGACAATAATTTCAGGCTTCTCTTGTGACAGAGGAGAAGGAGTGGAGACTGGAGGTATAGCTGTTTGATCCAGCAGTTGGTTGACTTGGTACAAAACTTTCAATCTTTTCTCCAATTGACCAATAGATGCATTGACTTCTTTAAGTCTTATCTTCAAGTTATGTGTATATACAGAATCACTCTCTGCTTTTCCATTGTCTCTTTTGGTTGTTGCCTGCAACAACTCTCTATCTATTTCGCGTTTTATCAGTTGAAGGCTACCTAGAAATGCCACCAATTCGTCTACACTATTGTTAAATGAGTCTGATTTCGAGTTTTTAACACTCGTTATAGGTAGCTGTTGCGTCAATGATACTGACCGGAATCTGTTGACTCCAGCCATTGTTTATTGATGAGTTTAGCACTTTTGAACCTGGTTGAAGGTAGCTATGCCTTTTATTGGGCCATACTCGATCTGTTTTTCTCGCTAGCAAAGAAGGTTAATATGCAGGAGATAACTATTCCAGGAGGGAAGGTGGAAGTACTCGAGAGTAGCGGTTGCAGACGGTAGCTTTAGAAGGTGAAGGTTTGAAAAGGGAATAGTCGTTAATAGGCGGTAGCTTCGTTGGAGTGAATATACGAGCTTGCTGTGTCATTTGCGTGCGTTTTATTTCTGAGTAGGATTTTGAGAAGGAGGAATAGGGTGCTAGTATCTCCATGATGAGATTAGGGTACTGCATGAAAATAGCTACAGCTAAGTTACTCTACACACACTTGTAATATACAGAATGAGAGAAACGAACACCTTGGGTTAATTGGAACTGATGAATCGAGTAAGCTACGTATGTGCTATTTCGACTCTCAGTAATTATTCTCGGCGTATTTAGGTCTTCCGTCAGGAATGCACGTTCGGAGCAAAGCACACTGGGGCATACGATCTCTATGCCCTACGATAGTCCACCAGCCTTTAACAAAATTCTACTTAAGCTACTATATTTTTATGAAAGTCTGCTTAAGCTGCCACTTTTTGACATTGTAAACAGCTCCTTATATTCATCTATGAATCCCGTCGGAGTCCTTCTCAATAAACTGGAATACTTCCCCAGTAGTGAAACTAATATGCTCAGTCCACCACTCAATATTGCAGCAATTCAAATTGCAACCTTTTAATTTCTTTTTCTTTTTCTTTTTTTTTTTTTTTTTTTCTTTTATTCTGAAAATTATCGATCTTCTATCTGATTCACTGTGTTCCAAGCAGCATCCCTAGCACCGAATTGCAGTACTTTTCTGCAATTAGATAGTCTATCACTGTGCTGCACTAGCAATATCATCGCTCTATTTTTTTTTAGTATGGCGTGCTTCAATACAAAGATCGCCTGGGCCAGCAACCACAGTTTATACACAGGAGAACTAGCTGTTCGTGGCCCATCGTCTTCCACCTTACCGATCTATTTCGGAGTGTCTCCGAACTAGTGCTGTGAATCAAACTCAGCATTAATACCTGGAATTTTCTCTCAAAGAGAGAAAAAATCTCTCGAGCCGGAGTCATGGACTGTTTCTCCTTACTGTCTCTTCCTTCTCTCCCACCCCGAGACTTTTTCCATCATGTATTGCATGTACGCTTAGGTGATGGCTAGCGGTCCGACTACCGCTTATTTTTTCCCGATTTTGATTCATGGGGAACTTTTTCGCAATTGATATAAAAGAGAACGAGTAGCTGCACCCATTAGAGTTTGTTGAAGGTTAGATCAGTATACAAGAACATTTTATTATGACTACTATAGGAGAACTGATCAAGATCACTGACAACTCTGCTGTTGTTATCCCGGAGACAAATTTGACTTTGACTTACAGACAATTATCGTCGTACATCGGGAACTTCCAGACGTTGTTCAATTCCAATGAATCACCATTGTTCAATTCCAAGAAACAGTTGACTATTGCTACCGCATTACCTAACGGGTTAGAGTTCCTTGTTGCCTTCTTGGGAACCACCATCTCGGGTAACGTAATTGCTCCATTGAACTCCAACTACAAGCAAAGTGAGTTTGAATTCTACCTCGATGACTTGAAAGCTGACGCTATCATCGTCCCTCAGGGCATTAAATTGAACAGTGAGGTTATCAAAGCTGTTTCCAAGTTCCCAGAGATCCTCATTGTTGAAATCTTCGAATCGCCAGAAAGATCCACTGTCGATTTCGCTGTCTACTACCACGAAAAGATTAAGTTCACCTCTAAGGTCAAGACAGCCTTCCAGAACTCAACCAAGCAGTACCACAACGCCAGAGCTACAGATAACCAGGTGGCTATGATTTTGCACACTTCAGGTACCACTTCAAGACCTAAGCAAGTGCCATTGACGCACTTGAACTTGACTACTTCTTTCAAGAATATCGCCAACACTTATGATCTTTCTCCAAAGGATAGGTCTTACGTCGTGATGCCTCTATTCCATGTTCATGGGCTCATTGGATCTTTGTTATCCACTTTGTATAGTCAAGGTACTGTAATTATTCCAGAGAAGTTCTCAGCTAAGAAGTTCTGGGATGATTTTGTTACTCACAAGGCAAACTGGTATTCTGCAGTCCCCACCATTCACCAAATCTTGTTAAATGTTCCTAAACCATCCAAGATACCAGATATCAGATTCATCAGATCATGTTCTTCTGCCTTGGCACCAGCTACCTTTGAAAAATTAGAAAAGCACTTCGAAGCGCCAATTGTCGAAGCTTATGCAATGACTGAAGCAGCTCATCAAATGACATCTAATAATATTCCCAGCAAGGGACAAAGAAAGCCAGGAACTGTTGGACAACCTCAAGGAGTTGAAGTCGTAGTGCTCGACGACGCTGGAAAGATTTTACCACAGGGCCAGATTGGAGAAGTCTCTATCAAAGGTTTAAACGTCACAAAGGGCTACATAAACAACCCAACTGCCAACAAGGAAAATTTCACTGCTGAAGGTTACTTCAGAACTGGAGATCAAGGTAAATTCGACAAGGACGGTTTCTTGAGTCTTACTGGTAGATTAAAGGAGTTGATTAACAGAGGAGGGGAGAAGATCAGTCCTGTGGAATTAGATGGAATTTTGTTACACCACCCTTCTATCAACGAAGTTGTCTTCTTCGGTGCTTCGGACGAAAAATACGGACAGGCTGTTCAAGTTGCCATCGTTTTAAAAGATGGAGCCAAATTGACAGAGGAAGACGTGAAAGAATACTTAAAAGACAAGGTAGCAGCATTTAAGATACCAACTAAGGTCTTTATTGTTGATGTCTTACCAAAGACTGCTACCGGTAAGATTCAACGTAGAAAGATAGCCGAATTCTTTGCACCAAAGGCCAAGTTATAAGAGAGGGAGAGAGGGAGAGACATCGAACTAGCTAGATTAAATAAAACAGATGAAAGAATCAGTTAAACCAGTAAGCGTGAATTAAGGAAGAGAAGTGTGACAGGAGTTGTTCCGGAATAATCTCTCGTGAACTTCGTAAATCTTTATCGGTATTACCTTTCTGGGCCAATCTGCCGAGTGCGCTAATTTCATAATTACTGTATTACCTCTGCAAGCTCTTTAATCGGTTATAATGCACCTTTTCACATCTTCCCCGTTCAGCAGAACCGGAACTTGTCGGAAACCCTATGATGTTCGGCGTTCACTATGTCTATATTCAGGATTACGTAATGTATTCAGCCACAGCCTTCAAAATGTTCAACTCAAAGCTTAATTAGCTATGACATTACCGCGCAGGAAAACTGGGTTAAAGACTAAATTCTATGGAGAAATTTTGAGCTTTGCGTAGGTGCTTCTGCAAGTATATGCGTAACCGGCTCTTATTTCTTGCGGATGATAGGGCACACTAAGATAACAGCATGTCCATAGAAAAGACTCATACGTTACTGAAAGTCAATTCCCCTTTTAAGATGAAGCAGACATCCACAATCTGCGTGCGTCTTCAAGTTTGCGTGATCAGATTAACATCATAAGCCAACGCACGAACCCCTGGCTTCGAACGGTTTACCTTCACCTGGTAACAGATTTGCAATATTATTTTTTCCATCATGTACGTGAGGTAATCACAAATAATAAAACAAGAAAAAAAGCGAGTTCAGAAAGTTTACCGGAGTTGGGGCCCCACAGGTAAGGTGGGCTAAAACGAAGTATCCTTTGCTAGACATTACGGATGAACCCAGCGTAAAATGGGATGAAGGAATGCAGGTCAGCAGAACCTAGACGGAAGAAAAAAGAAAAGAATTAAATGAAATCGAACGAATACAGAAGTAAATAAATTAATAGAAAGAAAAAAGAAAAGACGTAAGAGTGGGAATAAGAATAGGAATAGAAAATTTGGTAAGGAATGGAAAAGAATGGAACGTCAGAAAGTTTCTGGTAGCTAGTGTGCTGCTTTCATATGTGAGTCGTACTTCTCGGTCCCAACTTGGTAGACAAACAGTTCAAGAAAATTGCGACCACCTGCGCAGTGGATACTCTGGGGTTGGTGCGAGATTTAGCGTGGAATCTGGCCAATGATAGCCGGGAAATGCCATTCGGCACGCCTGCGAGCGCTTTTGGATCGCTATCTTACGTAATGGACAATCGGTATTTTTTAAGTTGACTTGGTATCATCCCCTCCCCTTTAAGTCCCATATCCTGCAGATTTGATAAGGGAGAGCAAAGGCTTACCAAGCAAGAAATAAACAACGGAATAGCATAGAAAAATCCCCAAATCATTTTAAGTCACAACTGAATGATACACGGCACCATTCTGGCCATACAGCAGTACTACATTATTCACAAAACCCCCATTTCAAGCGTTCCTTCTGGCCGCCTGCCTATTTCAAGTATCGCTAACTTTGTTCGCCAAACCAGCTCTCCCTCTCTTGTCATAAACTTAAATTTTTTTGATGCCTTACTTCAACCTCTGTCAAGTGCATACGCATACTTTTGTCTGCCTAGGTGCTCATTCTTAATTGATTATTTTCCAAGGGGACAAGCAATAAGCTAAAAGAGAAAAGTCAAAAAAAAAAAAAAAAAAAAAAAAAAAAGAAAAAAATAGTGATAAACTTTAAAAGTGCTCATATTCCTCTTCTACATTTTCTTCTTGTGCTTCTACTTTTTTGCTTCTTTCGTTTTCTGTTTTGCTTGTTGGCTTGTTGTGTTGCTTTCAGTTGTCACTATCAAATCACGTTTGAGATAATCAGACTCCTGAACCCTGAAGAAAGTTTATGAACTGTATATTTTTAATAATTGATAAATAAGCAAAAGTCCCGTAACATTGGTACTTCATATTGACTAGGCTTATCTATTTTTCGTACTGACCGACCTTTTACAAACGTACTAAGGTTTTATAGCTCTATTGTCTTTTTTTTTTCGTTTTACTTTTTGTTATTCTATACTGCTGTTATATGAGTTGAAGCTCATTCATATCCAGTTACCTATAATACACTCTACACTACTCCACGACCATGACTACTGCTACAACATCCGATAAGAGGACCAACATTACTAATACAAAACTTTCAGAAGGTGCGGGCGCCAATAAAGATCAAAATTCTGATGGCCCTGTTAAACGCCATTTAAGTTTATTCTCGTTTGGAGAGGACTCAACTACTCCTACTGCTGCTGGTACTTCTGCTGCTGGTGCTGCTGCTGGTTCTAATAGTAATAACGACAAGGATAATACCATCAACACCAGCGGAGCTAAAAACGCCTACAACATATCTACCTCCCCCTCAGACTCGACTCAACTTATTTCACCAGTGAACTCTCCTGAATTCAACCAGTCTATTCCATCTTCAGATATCTTTGAGAGGTCGACCTTCGAAGGCTCGTTTACTGGTAATCTGATCCCCAAGTGTAATAAATGCAGATGTGTTCCTTCCAAGTCGAAACTGTGTGCCCATAACTCATCGATATCACTTCAAGGAGGACAATACTTGAAACAGGAGGACTGTATTCCTGCTGCCCTTGATGCCACTACTTCTGCATTAAATGACAAGGAAACCAACTTGGATGAAGTCGAAATGATATACTCGACGAGAAGAAATTCTTCTGTGCTTGGGTTAAATATGGCTCTTGGTAGACCATTTGCTCCTTCAAGGAAAAATTCCACATTCTCAGTTAGCAGTTTACTGCAACAGCAACCTCAACAAGTACTACTGCAACTGCAACTGCAACTGGGCAACCCACAACTCAACTCACCACCCAAGTTAGCACATTCTAGGTCATCGGTGAGCTTTGTATCTTATGCGGATATGCTTAGTAATGATGAATTTTCATCTAGAAGACCATCAATCTCTGCTGGCTCACATTCTCAAAGCGCAGTACCAACATTACAATCCTTACAAACTAGTGCTGCTGCTAACTCCACTTTCCCAGCTAGCAATTCCCCTACTGTTGGACCATCTTCACCTTCAAATGGTGGATCCAACGGTCAAGGTTTACGTTTCAGATCAACCTCATCACTTGCAGGTTTGGAAAGGTCCAACTCCAACGCTTCGAGTCAATTCTCGCAGTTATCCAAGCAAATCTTGAAGCAACAGCAAAAGAAGCAACAGCAACAGTCACAACCATCAGTACCACTTCAACTGTACATTAACGTCCAACCACCAACGCCACAACAACCACTGATGTTGAACAAAAAGTTCTTAATCTCCCCTGAATCTTCTGATAATGAAGAGCTAGCTGACTTCAATGCCGACTCCATCAGACGTAACATGTCTGTTAGTTCCAGCCATTCATTTAAGCTGAACAAGTCTAATTTTTCACAGAATTTACCAGATTTTAATGACGCTGAGAGTTTAGTTTCTACATCAATTGGTGACTGCTTAAGAAGGACCCATACGGAACTTAACAGTTAAGTTAGATACAGTAAAGATGAAAAAAAAAGTGATGAAATTGATATACAAGGATAGTGATTCTATTTTACGCATAGAAACATGAAAGGATTTAAGAATTATTAGGCAGCTGTTTAAAGGAAAGGGACTGAAGAATTAACCAAAGCGAAGAGATGAATGGATGGTGATATCCAAGATGAATTCGTAAAACTTGAGAAACGTGAATGGATACTGGTCTCCGAACATATAATGAAATTACATAATAAATACCGAACAACACAGTGTGATAATCAGAGTAAAAGTTAGTGATAAAAATATGAATAAATTGAACTAAAAAATATTACTGAGAACTGTGTAAGAGCATATTATGTTTACCATGAAATTTTTTTTCAGTTTCTCTCTAATCTTAAAATTGACGCATTGAGAAGTCCTCATTTACAAATCAGGTAGCGTTTTAGACGCCAATTCATAATTCCAGGTACACCATTTTGATACCCTTTCTACGACGTTCCATCATCCCTTGTAATCTTATCTCAGGTGGGGAGCTGGCCATATCTCTTAAGGGTGGTCACGCCAATGTGGGGCCGATGCGAAACTGGATTTCGTAACACAAAAACGCCTGGGGCCGAAAAAGAAAAGTTTAATTTTCAAGTTTTCGGTTTCTTAACAAAAAAAATATCATAAACACATACCTAAATATACACATTCGGGATAATAAATACACACAGGTATTAAACATAGTATTTGACTATAGAGAAACACCTGTAGAGTACGCTAGTAAGCAAGATTGAATAAACTAGGGTCAAAAACGCAAGTTATAGCGGTTTAGTAGTGGGAGCGTAAGCAAAACTGAACTTTTGTCTTGCCACATTTTTATTTGTTATTTTTACTTGTTGATTTAGGCTTGGTTTTTTGCAACTTGGTGGTGGTTCACATAAGGTTAGCATCTTGATAATATCTTAGATCTCAAATCAGGAATATCCAGTAGGACAAAAGAAGATTGCCAAAATGCCTGAGTTTGATGATGTCACTCAGCCTCCTCATTATCGACCACAGCTTGACTATAACCCTGTGTCTGTAATTGATAGGTACACGGTATTGCTTAAAGATGGTGAGACAACTGCAACAATTTACCCGATCCATCTGATAAATGAACTTCCACCTGGCTTGTTGGCATTTTTATGTGATGAGTTCAATATGGAGATCGAGAGGGGAGATACTTTCCCATTCTTTGATACTTTGCACATCGAGACTTTCCAGAACTATTGGTTTGGCTCATTTACTGCAGTGATGGTGTTGGGTGATATGCCCACGCTACAGGGCGCAAGACAGTGGGAAAAGGAATGCTTAGGGACATTTTTCGTAAAACCAAATTATCCTGGTAGATGTCTGCATATATGTACCGCTGGGTTCCTTGTGAATGCAGGTATTCGAGGGAAGGGTATTGGTAGAACATTGGCAGACTGCTACTTACAGTGGGCTCCCAGATTAGGTTATACGTATTCAATATTTAACTTGGTATTTGAAAGTAACGTCGCCGCAAGAAGGATATGGGAATCCCTAAATTTCAAGAGAATCGGTAGAGTTAAGTCAGCTGGGATCTTGAAGGGCCATGATACCGCAGTGGACGCGATAATATATGGCAGGGAATTAATTAACTCATCTGATCCTGCCATTGGAGCATATAGATTCGACAAGATCAAGTTCTACTTGGAGACTGGAAGATATCCTGCCATGGCTGATAGGCAAGAAAAGTCAAGATTACGTTCATCTGCTTCACATTACAGATTGGACAATGGTAGATTGATGTTGAAGGGTAGAGAAGTGATTTCTGATCCAGTAAAGCAGTTACAAATATGCAATGAAATTCATATGACAAACCATGGTGGTATCAATAAAACTACCGCGGCGATCACTGAGAAGTATCATTGGACCAGAATTAAAGATACAGTTGCTACTGCCATTAAAATATGTCCAGAATGTAGAGATCCTACGAAGGACCAGCAAGATCAACAGCAGCAACAGCAACAACAGATTCCTTCACATGCCCAACATCTTTCTCAATCGCAACATCTCAGTTCTTTGCAGCATCTCGAGCAGCGTCCACATGTAATAAAAAGAAACAATAATTTATCTCAAGGGGTTAAGAAATCTGGCCCTAACGGATCCAGTTTGATATCCAATGGACATCACTCCGTTCAAATGAGAAAGACTAATGGAAGTGGAAATAGCAATTCCGCTAATGTTAATAACTCCAATGGTGCCAATAGTAGCACTAACAGTAATAATAACATTGTTAACTCTGATAATAGCGGCTCCGGCAGTGACAATGGTTCGGGTGGTAATGATTCGAATAATAATAATAATAATGACAATCGTAACAATAATACTGATGGTGGTAACGACAACAATGACAATACTGGAAATAGTACTAACTCAAGATTCCGCCGTAACGAGCATGAAGATGTTGAGGCAATGGTGGCTGCAGCTCAACTCCATAATTTACCAGGAAGACATGATACTAATGATAGTTTATTGTCGCATGATTTGTCCTTAGATGACGGTATTATTGCGGCTGTTGAAGCTGCTCAAAGAAGCCAACAACAGCAGCATCCCCAATCATCTCACCACTCAGCTCACTTACAGCAACAACTTCTTCAACATCATCATCATTCTCAGCATCACCATATATCACACCAAACCCAACCACAACAAACACAGCCTACGTACGCCTCCGTTGCGGCGTCTGCAGCAGGTCAGAATGGTGGGTATGGCCAGTTCGACACTGATTATAATCCTGAAGATTTCACTCAGCATGTACACCAGTCTCCAAATAGAAGTGATAAGAACAAGTCTAACAATGATAGCGACAATGTAAATAATATTCCTGTTGATCCAGAAGTATCAGCATTTGATGCTCATGGAGGTGGACATGATGATGGTGGAGAAGAAATAGAAATTGCCAGAGCCTTGATTCAGGCTAATGAGGTGGATGGTGATGGAGGACAAAATAACGATGAAAATGATAAATCGAATAGAGTTGAAGATGAAGCAAACATTTTCTTTAAAGAAAACCAGGAGTAATAACTTAGATTAGAACATATATGGAAATTTTTTCCTTTTGTACAGTATGTATAGTAGATCACAATAGTAAAATAAATAATATTTTGTTAATTCTAAGCTTACTTGTAAAATTGTAGTGCTTTTTACTTGACCAGATCTATTTTAAATATTGTTTATTTGTTTATACATGTAAAATACAGAAACCATAGATATATGAGAATCAGAACTAAGTGAATTTTAAATCCCCCGATAATAAATTCACTAAGTATGAACCTTGACTAATATTGGATTCCTTTTCCAAGAAACTCAAGCATTTTTTTTTTTTTGCAGTTTTAATTGTATTTTCTTTGTTCTGTCGTTATTTTTTTTTGACTTTTTACATTTTGGTTATTCTATTTTTGTTATCTACTTTAAGTAGATTGTGACTTCGATATTCCCCTAATTCAATCTTAAAAGTCAACTCCCATAACCATAGCTAATAAGGCCATTCTAACGAATAAGCCATATCTCATTTGTCTAAAGTATGCAGCACGTTGATCGAAATCAACTTCTTCACGAATTTCATTGGTACGTGGCAATGGGTGCAAGACACACATGTGTTGTTTAGCAAAAGATAAAATCCTATTATCAACAATGTAAGTATCCTTTAATCTTTCGTATTGTTCTTTGTCGGCAAATCTCTCTTCTTGAACTCTAGTACAGTATAAGACATCAGACTTGGCAATTATTTCTTCGGTCAAAACGTCTGATTCAATAACATGTAATCCATTCTTGATCAACATGTCACGGATATTTGTTGGTAAACGTAATTCCTTTGGAGCAACAAGTTGAACACGAACTTGGTAAAGACGTAATAAATGACATAAAGAGTGAACTGGTCTACCGTATTTCAAGTCACCCATGAAAGTGACAGTAATACCGTTAACAGTACCCAATTCTTCTCTAATGGTGAAAAGGTCGAGAAGTGCTTGAGTTGGGTGTTCTTTGGAACCATTTCCTCCATTGATAATTGGAACTGGTGAGTATTTAGCAGCAATATCAGCAGATTCTTCAGATGGATGTCTTAAGACAATAGCGTCAGAGTAACAAGCCAATGAACGAATTGTGTCTTGCAAAGTTTCACCCTTCTTGACTGAAGATGAACCAGCTTCAACGGCAACTACACGGCCTCCAAGACGCTGCATAGCAGCGTCAAATGAAGAAGAGGTACGAGTTGATGGCTCATAGAACATGGTAGCTAATAAACGACCCTTTAAGATATCTAAGACACCTTGTCTTTCAACGGCTAATCTCATTTCTTGAGCAACAGTGAACAAAGAGTGCAAGTCAGATCTTGTGAATGACTTAACAGACAAAACAGAGTTACGCAAGAACTTGTTGTTATTACGGATATAGTTGACCAAAGCATTAGTTTCACTGAGAGAAACAGTTGGAGGTTCAGAAACTAAAGTAGATCCCAATTTTTCAAAAACAGCTGGTTCTTTGTTGGTAAAAGATGGGCGACGGCCATCAGTGAAAGACATTCTAGTCTTTCTAGATAATTGTGGAGATTGTGTAACATCTGAAGATGAAATGTTAGTGGAGTTGGATGAAGGACCGGAAATGGAACCAAAGACAGCACGAGATCTAACTTCATTCTTACCAGTTCCTTGCTCGCTCAAAATTTGGCCATCAAGTACGACAGTTTCACCAGCAACAGTTACTCTTTCAACACCACCTTGTAATTTTGGTGAGAATGCTGAGGAAAGCTCAAACTTGGTCCATAAATCTAAATCGATTTGAATAGAAGCTTCTTCTTGTTTTGGTAAGTTGAAGATACGGATTGGGTTGGTGTGGAATTTGGCGACAATGGTATCAATAGTGAGACGATTTTCTCTTACTGCTGATAAAAGTAATGGGACGGCTTCAGAAAGACCTAAGCCTGGAATAATCTTCTTGCCTTGATGTTTTGCTAACAAGTATGGAGTAACACCAATGGAAAAACAATCCACGTCTTTTAAGTTATCCCATAAAGCGCTTTGATCTTCTTCAGTTGGCAAGAATGAACAGCCAGAGAATTGAGCTTGAGACACAAACAATGAGTAAACTGCAACATCACAAGTAACTTGTAATTTTCTGTCCTTTGCCATACGAATTAAATCTAAATCTTCCTTAGAAGAAACATTGGTAATATGAATAGATCTATTGTGCAATGAAGCCAATAATAAAACAGAAGCAAGATCGGTAGTTCTGGCATCGGTAATGATTGGTTTGTTTTCTGGCCATGAAGCAAAGTGGTTAGAAATTGATGAAACCTTGGAGTTAGCAAATTCGTTAAATGGTAAGAACAAAGCTCCGGCGTGTTCAGAAGCAGCAGCAGTTGCTTCAGAGTTGGTTTCATTTGCAGCAAGTGAGAAAGTGAAATCAGTGTAAGCACCAGAGGATGCAGCATCGACAGCTTCAGCCAATGATTCAGCATCAGTTATAGAACCACCATCAAGAGTTTGAGGTAAGAAGGCATTGAAAGTGAAACCAGATGCCAATGCAGTCTTTGTTGTAGTTTCAAAATCATCTAATGTAGGTACAAAAGATGTGATGTTGACTAAACCTGGTAAGGAGGCAGTTGTGTGAGAAGTTTGAGCATCAATATCAGAAACATCTAAGGTGATGTTTCTTGCAATAGCTTCAACAAGTAACTTAGCACACTTGACATTAGTAACTAATGGAATAGCATAATCAACAGCCATACGACGAGATTCGTAACCCTTGGACATGTAAGAAGCTGGACGACGGAATCTGTTTGAAGATGGTAAATTGACGTACAAGTCAATCAAATTCTTAGCCAAATGTTGAGTCAAAGAGTATTCAGACTTTTGGTCTTCTTCTTTACTCAAAACTTCTAAGTAATGAACTGGGATATCGTGTTCCTTGATGAAATCAGCAGTACCTGCGGTTGCAAAGATTTTGTAACCGAGTTCGCTCAACTTACTAATGGATGGTAAGAGTTCGATCTTTTCCTTGTATGAACCAATGGAGAACAAGATGTTCTTCTTTGGTAAAACGAATCCAGTAGAGATCAAAGATTTCAAGTAAGCTTCATATTTGTTTCTACCGAAAGTAGCGACTTCACCAGTAGAAGCCATTTCAACACCCAACACAGGGTCAGCTCCAGCTAATCTTGAGAAAGAGAATTGAGGAACCTTAACTGCACAGTAGTTTTCTGGTAGTTTTTCACCTGGATAAGGAGTTACTGGCATGTCCATGATTGCCTTGGTTGCCATTTCAATCAAATCGGTACCAACTACCTTTGAGATGAATGGGAAAGAACGGGAAGCACGAACATTACATTCAATGACCTTGATATCATTGTCTTTAGCAATAAATTGAATATTGTAAGGACCGGTGATGTCCAAAGCCTTACCAATTTTAGCAGTAGCTTCTACAATTCTTCTCACGGTCTCAGGGTCCAAATCTTGAGGTGGAACAATTAAGGTGGCGTCACCAGAGTGAACACCAGCATTTTCAACGTGCTCAGAGACAACATGCATAATCATCTTACCATCCTTAGCGACGGCGTCCATTTCAATTTCCTTGGCATTCTCAATATATTTAGTGATAACGACAGGATAATCTGGGGAGACATCAACAGCTTGAGATAAGTAACTTTCCAAATCATCACGAGAGTACACAGTATTCATAGCAGCACCAGACAAGACGTAAGATGGACGAACAAGAACAGGATAGGTGACCTTTTCAGCGAACACTTCAGCTTCTTTGAAAGAAGTCAACTCTTTCCAAGCTGGTTGATCAACACCGATCTTATCCAACATACGAGAGAATTTATATCTGTTTTCAGCCGAATCAATCATTTCTGGTGATGTACCCAAGATCTTAACGTTTTGACGGTGTAAAGTTAATGCAATATTGTTGGATGTTTGACCACCCATAGAAATGATAACACCTGCAGATTGTTCAAGGTCATAGATATCTAATACTCTTTCCAAGTTAATAGTCTCAAAGTATAATCTGTCAGCTTCATCATAATCGGTAGAAACAGTTTCTGGGTTGTAGTTGATCATAATAGTCTTGGTACCATTTTCTCTTAAAGTTCTGATAGCTCTAACTGCACACCAGTCGAATTCTACAGAAGAACCAATTCTATAGACACCGGAACCCAAAACAATAACACCATGGTCATCGAATTTAACATCATTGGAGTCAGCATTGTAAGTAATGTACAAATAGTTAGTGTGAGCTGGGAATTCAGCAGCAACGGTATCGATTTGTTTAACAAATGGAATAACACCTGCTTCCTTTCTCAATCTTCTGATGGCAACTTCATTAGAGTTCAAGAATTTAGCAATTTGACGATCTTCGAAACCTAACTGTTTAGCTTGTCTTAAAATAGAAACAGGTAAGTTTTCCTTGGTTCCAAATGATGAAATCTTGTCAGCGTACTGGATCAAACCATTCAACTTGTTTAAGAACCACTTGTCAATATTGGTTAATTTCCAAACCTTTTCGACAGAGTAACCATCGGCTAAAGCGTTAGCGATAGCAAACAAACGTTGATCTGAAGGAGTTTGTAATTCGTCATCAATACTGATAAAGGAGTTATCGTTTTTACCAAAACCTAAATTGTGGTAATCAGTAGATCTGATAGCTTTCTGAATAGCTTCTTCAAAAGTTCTACCAATAGACATAACTTCACCAACTGATTTCATCGAGGAGGATAAAAGAGATGAAACTCTGGTAAATTTCTTTAAATCCCATCTTGGAATCTTGACCACAACATAATCCAAGGAAGGTTCGAAGCAAGCACAAGTAGATCTAGTGACAGAATTCTTAATTTCGTTCAATGGGATATTTAAACCCAACTTAGCAGCAGTATAAGCTAATGGGTAACCAGTGGCCTTAGAAGCTAAAGCTGAAGATCTAGATAAACGAGCATTGACTTCAATAATACAGTATTCCTTGGAGAAAGGGTTCAAAGCATATTGAATGTTACATTCACCAACGACTCCCAAGTGACGGATAACGTTAACAGCAGTAGTTCTTAACATATTGTAATCTTCGTCAGATAAGGTTTGGGATGGAGCGACGACAATGGAGTCACCAGTATGGATACCTAATGGATCGAAATTTTCCATATTACAGACAGTAATACAGTTGTCGAAAGCATCTCTAACAACTTCATATTCGACTTCTTTCCAGCCCTTCATTGATCTTTCAACTAAAACTTGTGGAGAAGTAGCGAAAGCTTTGTTACAAAGAGCAACTAATTCCTCTTCATTGTCAGCAAAACCAGAACCGAGACCACCAAGAGCGAATGCAGCTCTGATGATTAATGGGAACCCGATATCCTTTGCAGCTTGAACAGCCTCTTCGACATTGTTACAAGCTTCAGATCTAGCACACTTTTCACCAATTTCTGCCATAGCAGAGGCAAATAATTCACGATCTTCAGTGGTGATAACAGTGTCAATAGAAGTACCTAAAACCTTAACTCCAAGGCTTTCAAATTCATCTTTCAACTTAATACCTACACCCAAAGCAGTTTGACCACCAAAAGTACAGTAGATACCATCTGGTCTTTCAAATTGAATAACCTTACGGACAAATTCAGCAGTAACTGGCAAAAAGTAGACTTTATCTGCTAAACCCTTAGAAGTTTGGATGGTAGCGATATTAGGGTTAATTAAAACAGTGTAAATACCCTCTTCCTTCAAAGCCTTGATAGCCTGAGAACCAGAGTAATCGAATTCACCAGCTTGACCGATGGATAAACCACCGGAACCCAAGACTAACACCTTCTTTGGTTGGATTCTTGGGTGAGCAGCTCTGTTTTCAGCCAAGTTACCACCTGGGAACTCAACGGCCTTCTTAACACCAGTAGCATTGAAATCTTGGACAGATTGAATGAAAACATCAAATAAGAATTCAGTGTCCCTTGGACCAGGGGTAGATTCAGGGTGGAATTGAACGGAGAAGACCGGTTCAGTTTCATGGTAGATACCTTCATTTGAACCATCGTTAGCGTTAACAAATAATTCCTTCCAACCTGGGGCTAAGGTGTTGGTATCAACAGCATAACCATGATTTTGGGATGTGATATAACAACGACCTGAGATGGTGGAGGTACATGGAATGTTATGACCACGGTTACCGAACTTCAACTTTAAAGTGGAGGCACCGCTAGCTCTGGCCAATAATTGATGACCAAGACAGATACCAAAAACTGGAGTCTTACCTTGTTTCAAGACAGTTCTCAAACGATCAACATTTTCAGTCATAACAGATGGATCACCTGGACCGTTAGAAATGAATAAACCATCGTATTCTTCCTTGGTATAATCATAGTCCCATGGAACTACCAATAATTCAACACCACGTCTAACAAAACAACGGATTTGGTTGAATTTCATACCGACATCAATGGCAACAATTCTGAGAGTCTTACCGTTCTTACCTTTGAGGGCAGTTTCAGGCTTAGGAGAGTACAAAACTGGCTTCTTAACTGAGACTTTAGCAACTAAGTTCTTGACATTTGGATCATCCCATTCAGGAATTTCAAAATGGTTCCTCCATAACTTGGAATCAAAAGCCTCTGGGCTTTTAGAGTTTTGTAAAGCCAAACGACCTAAAGTAGAACCCTTTTCTCTTAAACGCTTGGTCAAGGAACGAGTATCAACACCGTAAATAGCTGGAATACCCTGCTCCTTTAACCATTGACCCAAGGAGGACTTGGCTAAGAAATGGGAGTATTCTTCAGTGTAGTGAGCAACAACCAAACCAGCAATATGAATCTTACTAGATTCAAAGTAACGTGGCAATTCAGGAACATCTAAATCTTTCAATTCACGATCTGGCACACCATAGTTACCAACCAATGGGTAGGTGATAACCAAAATTTGACCCTCGTAAGATGGATCGGTGATGGATTCTGGGTAACCAACCATACCAGTTTGGAAGACAACTTCACCAGCAGTGGAAACTGGAGCACCAAAGGAGTAACCTTGTAATGCAATTCCATCTTGGGTTTCTAAAGTCATTAATTGGTCACCAGTGGACTCCATTGGAGGAGTGATTGGCCCTGAGAATGACATTGTGTATATTTGAAAATGGAAAAAACGGTAACCTTAAAGTAAAATAGGCCAATAGTGAACAGACAACAAAAATGAATGGGGTAGTGAATCTATTGATCTCTGAGTTTTGTTTCTGTGGGGGGAATAAAAACAAACTCTAAAGAAATGACAATAAACTAGCAGTATCGGCAAGATATGGAGCGATAGATTATCTGTGCTGATTGGGGAAGCAAGATAGAATTTAACTAGCAAATAACTGGGGATCTGCTCCTTTGTAAAATGATAATTAAATGTGAAAGATCTGAAATTTACGTTAGTCTTCAAAGCTCATCGCGATCTGAAAGAGTCAAAAAAAAAATTAAAAAATAAAAAAACACAACCCGATGCCATGAACAGTTCATCAACACTCACAGTAGAGCATGATCTAGGTCCAGAAACAAGTCAGTTTGGGTGCTTCTTGTTCTTAATGGTAAAGAAGACTCATTCAGGGGTTAGAAAGGGGTAGAAATATGCTCAGAGAGGAGTTTGGACTTTCACTATTTACAAGTAAAATCTTACTACGGTTTCTCTTCCAAGATGAAAATACTGATCTCCAACTATAAATGGGGTAGTCCCAACTCAAAACTCTCGCAAAATTTCTAGGTGAACAACATACTCTTTAGTCTCAGTTAGGGGGGTTAATTCCAAGACAGGGAATACTTTTCAAGTAGCTTATTGTGCGAGAGAAAGAGAGAGAGGAGAAGAGAGAAAGAAGGAGAAAGAAAAATATAGTAATAAAAAACATATACTGACTTAGGCTGATATTTATATTTTCAAGAAGAAAGAAAATTTTGTTAGTGCACCCTCGGTTATGAAAATTTTTGTATGGGAGAAGGTACTCAATTCACGTGTTTGATGCGGACTTGCTCATCTCGAGCCCTCGGAATGAGCATCTACGTCAATGCTTTTGCATAATTAGAACTGACTCAGGCGAAAACGGTTGAAGGCAAGAGAAGAGGGTAGCTTGAAGGCAGAAGAGAAAGGCGCCTTTGCTAGGGTATAACCGTTATTGTAAGCTAATATTCCTGTTACCTGGATCTCTTTTCTCTTGTTTTTTTTGCAGCATTTTATTGACTGGCTCTGCTTTGCTTGGGTCGTTCCTCAATAGATGCTCAAAAGACTTGATTGGAAATGCAACCAAAGAAAGCCGCACCACAGCTAAGTAAACACTACAGCTCTGCAGCCTAATCCAATATAGTAAAAATGACACTTACACGAGTCTATACGTAGCTGTGAGACCGAATACTCTTGCTGTAGGTAACTGTGGGTCGACAATGTTCGAATTGCAGCCTAAAGTGACTTACTACTGTAGTTTACATACACTGCCTTCTTTACTTTACGTATCATATAAATTATTTTTCAACTAAAACTAGCGTACCGGGAAGAAAATTGCAGCCATTAAAAGCATCAAATAGGGAAGGACCACTACATGTAATAATAAAGCTGAATGTTCAGCTATTCAAAAAAGTCCAGTTTACAAATCTTATCTAAGTACATAAACTCTCACTCTTCTTCTACATCAGCTTCAGCTCTCTATTCCCCCACCATTTTGGCTACTTCCCAGTCACTTGGACAGACCCTAGTAACCTACATGTATTGTGCGACTTTGTGTGATATTCGAGCCCAAATTCCTATTTTGCGTCATAAAAATTCATTTTACCCGGCGTCTCTTCTGGGCTCCTGCATACGAGCTACATCTCGCAGTCGATGCCCACAGTATAAAGCCAGCAGCAGAGCTGAAAATTTTTAGATTGTTTTAATTTCTTTTCTTTGTCGACGTACTTCATAGGATCATTTCTATAGTTTACGTCCCTCTTTGACTCTTCAAAAGAGCCACTGAATCCAACTTGGTTGATGAGTTGATACCCTTGTACCCTCAAAGTGAGAATATTATTTTAGCTTGTCTGTGGTCCTTAGCGACCTAGTCATCTATGTATATTTTGCCTTTTTCTCGAAATATCTAGTTTACTATTTGTTTTCATAAAAGGAGCGATGATCTTTACCCTTTTCTGTCTACTTCTTCGGTTGTGATGGGTTAGGGTGGGTACAAGTGGCTGTCTGACAAGTTACGAAAAGTTTTAAGATTTGTATTGCCAGTGGCACGATCAACTTTAAACTTGAAGTAGCTGTAGAATCAATTCAATGCTTGACGTCGACCAAACATAAACCTCTCAAAAGCAAGTTTTCACGTTGAGTGAGCTTAATCTGTAGACTATATTTCTCTATTGCATTCTTTGCATTAATAACTGTGTCAATGGAGATATTACCACTAACTCTTTATTATTTGTCCTAGCGTATCGCAGTATTATTACTACCACAGTTTATTGTTCTAAGACCATGCTTCACTGTAGAGTAATTCTTTTTTTTAAGTTCGAGCCAAGAAATTCCGCCGCTCGTAATTAATTACATTCTTTATGTCAAATTAAGGAACCTGCACTAGACTATTTCTTCAGTAGAGGCACTGCCTTAAACGATAAGAGATTCGAATGAAAAGTAAGTACTATCGCTTAACGATTAAGCCAATTAAGAAAGCTCATCGTCTAACATTCACTTCACGTAGCTTCCTGTTACAAGTCTAATACCATTAAAACGTTTTGCTTCGTTAGCGTCAACCTGCAAAAAAGCGAAGCCTGACAAGTCGCTAAGCCTGCGAAAAATTAAACCAAAAATAAAAGAAGAAAAAAAAAAAAGAAAAGCATTGAAGTCCTCAAAGCACGCTGTAGCTATTGTCCATTTTTCACCCCCACAAACTCACTACCGGACCCTAATCTCCATAGAAGGAGGGAAGGAGAGATATACTCAAGCAACTAGTAGCTTTCTACTAAGACTTCTCCTATTGTGTTTGCCAGTATCATGGACAAATTGCGTCAACATATTCGCAGTTACAATCGATGGAAATTAGAGAGAAGCTGGGGTTCAAGAATTAGAACCAGAATAGATAGGTTTGGCAAAATTGTGCTACCATATATCAGAAAAGTGATACCGAACTTCAGAGCTGCGCACTATGTATATATTATATTTTGGCTGATCTTCGGAACCTTTTTGGTTTACCCAGCAAAGAATATGGCGTATATCGATGTGCTCTTCCTCACCACTGGTGCTGCCACTCAGGCTGGGTTGAACACAGTCGATGGTAATTCGTTGTTTTTGTACCAGCAAATCATTGTATACATCATCACCACATTGACTACGCCAATTTTCATCCATGGTTCCATATTGTTTGTAAGACTTTATGCCTTTGAACGACATTTCGATGGCATTAAGGCTAGTTCGAAACTAAATTTCAAGATGAGACGGTCTGCTACCTTGGCTGCTAGAACCAGATCGTTCGATTCTACGTTAATCAACACTGTAAATAATCAAGGGTTGGGTTTTGGAGTCCTGGACCCCACTACTCAGGTGAATACCAACTTGAATAGTGGACTAGCCACTCAATTGCCTACCAGCGCAACAAAGGACGATTTTGACGGTGACGCCAATGTAGAACAAATATCACCTCCTACGTCAACTTCATATGTTGATGAAAGTGGTAAAACATACCACGTCAGTGAGCCTAGTGACAGTGATTCACCGGGACCTAGAATAGCTCCAGATGACATAGAAATAGACAGTGAGAGTAATAACGAAATAAACGAGGAAGCAGAACACGACAAAGAGAAAACTCACCACGATAATGAAGGTATCAGATTTGGGAACCTTCCACAGCCATCCAAGTTGAGAAGAGGTCATGACGTTAATCCTTCCGATATGTACATGTCTATTTCCATGTTGCTGAAGAAACACAAGAGCGATAAAACACATACAAAGGATGATAGCAGAGATGGCAATGGTGATGGAGTGGATGATGATGAAGTATTGGTGATCAGACCTCCCAATGAAATTGAAAATGATAAAAATCCCATTTTCAAAACCAAGGGGAAGGACAAGAAGAAAAAATGGAGAAAGAAGAAGTGGACTAATTTGAAGAAGAGCTTTTCCAATACTGGAGGAACGTATAGCCATAGGATGGCATATGATACCAGTCAACATCATGAGGATGACCAAGATCATGATGGAGATGATGAACATGAAGGTGGGCACTATTCTGAAGAAGAAGAAGAGGAAGAGCGCGGTGCTGGCGACGACAATGGTACCCAACTGAACTCAAACAAAAACAGGAACCTTACTGTAGAAATCGACCAAAACAATAGCAATAATACGGGACCTCTTGGAAGATCTCCTACCTTTGAAAGATTAATGAAGCATAAACTCAGTAGGAAGAATAATAGCAAGATATCTGGTAGATCTAGTTCGAATAGTGCCAGACCCTCAATGAGTAGAAGGTTGAGTAGGTATAGTTCAATCGCATTGGCAACTGATGACGATGAAGGTTCTTTTGATAGTGAAAATAGTGATGACAATGATGAAGAGGATGAAGAAATTGATGCTATTCTTTCAGATTCAGATCTTAATTATACGACTACAAATCAACCCAGTGATTTAAACTCTCTTGGTAGAGTGGTGAGCAAGAACTATTTGTCCTGGGAGCCTACTATTGGTCGTAATTCTACTTTTGTATACCTTTCGGATCAGCAGAAGGAAGAATTGGGAGGAGTAGAATACCGTGCAGTTAAATTATTGATTAAAGTAATTATTGTGTATTACGTCGGATGGCACTTAGTTGCTATGTTACTACTCTTACCATACATTCTTAGCAGACCACACTATGAGACTTCCCTTCGTGCATTTGGGATTCTGCCAACTTGGTGGGCGTTTTTCACAGCTCAATCAGCATTCAACGATTTAGGATTAACAATTACCCCAGATTCTATGATCACCTTCCAGCGTTCCATCTTTGTATTAATAGTTGTTTCATATTTTATTGTCATTGGAAATACTGGGTTCCCTATTATGCTTAGATTTTTGATCTGGATCTTATCTAAATGCGCAAAGCCCTTGCTGTTGTTTAAGGAGTCATTGGAGTTCTTATTGGACCATCCTCGTCGTTGTTTTACATTACTATTCCCTTCTGTGCCAACGTGGTGGTTGTTTTTCATTTTGGTTGTATTGAACGGGATCGATTTAATTTTATTCATTATTTTGGACTTGCATAGCGATTATTTGCTGGTTATTCCGGTTGGAAATAGAATTTTGGATGGATTATTTCAGGCCTTCTCGACTAGAACTGCAGGATTTGCTGTAGTTGACTTATCAAAATTACACCCAGCAGTTCAAGTTAGTTACATGTTGATGATGTATATTTCGGTGTTACCGTTGGCTATTTCTATTCGTAGAACCAACGTGTATGAAGAGCAATCACTAGGTGTCTATTTAAAGGCCAATCCCTCTAGAGAAAATCTAGCTGAAGCAGAAGGTGAGGGAGATGAGGAGAGTGAAAGCAGCGCATCTAAGAAGAGTGACGATGATGAAAGCACTCCTAAGTCTTTTATTGGTGCCCATTTAAGAAATCAATTATCTTTTGATTTATGGTTTATTTTCTTAGGGTTGTTTATTATTTGTATTGCTGAGGGTGGTAGATTGGACAGTGAACCAATAAATTTCACTATTTTCAAAATTCTTTTCGAAATCATCAGTGCTTATGGTACTGTTGGGTTATCATTGGGCTATTCTGGTATAGATGCATCGTTCCTGGCAGAATTTTCCACAATTTCTAAATTAGTCATAATTGCAATGATGATCAGAGGACGTCATAGAGGGCTACCATATTCATTGGATCGTGCTATAATGTTACCCGATGATAAGATGGAAAAGATTGATGCTGTACAAGAACATCATGCTATCAGAAGAAATCAAACCAGTGAGAATCATCACACCAGTGCATTTGACGATATACCGTTAAGAAGAGTCTTCACTCGTAGACCTTCAAATCTTGGGTTTGATAGAAGAAAAAGAGGCTCAATGAGTTCGGAAACAGGATTCCACTTCCCAAGAACCAATACTACTCAAGATAGGCTACCTAGGCAGAATACTAATCAAGAGAGATTGGCAAGACATCATACCACTCAAGATGTTGGCAATCAACATCCAGTTGAGTCCCATGAAATGAATACATTAAGACCAATGCCGACGACATAGACAAAATAACGAATCTCGCCACCTACCTTAACGAAGTGTACTAATAGTAAATTTTTTGCAACCTTTATATATAAATTAATGTGAAATACTGCATACAAACCATGAAAAATGTAAATTAAAGATGAAAAAAAAAAAAAAAAATAAAGAAGAGCATCGCACAGATGAGAAAACTGGCACAGCTGATTATCAATCTCCAACTGTTCTTATACATAGCTGATTAACCCAAATGATCCGTAAACAAGCTCGTGAAAGAAGAGAATACCTCTACCGTAAGGCTCTCGAACTCCAGGAATCCAGTCAGACAGAAAAAAGGCAGCAGTTGAAGGCTGCTTTAGCTAGTGGTAAGGCATTACCTAAAGATGTCGCAGATGACGAACAGTTAAGAAAAGATTTCATCTACGATGAAAGTCAGCAAGAGGCTATAGATGACGAATACCTGGCACTCTCTGGTATATCTGACCCAAAGATAGTGGTTACGACATCAAGAGATCCATCAACAAGATTATCACAATTCACCAAGGAAATCAAGCTCTTGTTCCCCAACTCTATACGATTAAACAGAGGTAACTATGTGATGCCTGAATTGGTCCAAGCATGTAAGCTGTCTTCAACGACAGACCTTGTTGTCATTCATGAACATAGAGGTGTACCAACTTCGCTTACCATATCACATTTCCCTCATGGTCCCACTGCATTTTTCACCTTACATAATGTTGTCTTAAGACATGACATCCCTGACGTTGGGAACCAGTCCGAAAGTTACCCACATTTAATTTTCGAAAACTTTTCAAGTGCATTGGGTAAGAGGGTAGAGAACATACTAAAGCATTTATTTCCCCCCGGAGTCAAGAAAGACTCGTCAAGAGTGATTACATTCAACAACGATGGTGATTTCATATCTGTCAGACAGCATGTATATGTGAAGACTAGAGAAGGTGTAGAGTTAGCAGAAATTGGACCAAGGTTTGAAATGAGATTGTTTGAATTACGCCTCGGTACTTTGGATAACAAGGATGCAGACATTGAATGGCAATTGAGAAGATTCGTGAGGACTGCCAATAGAAAGGACTATTTAGCGTAAACGATAAGACCTTAATGAACGAGTAAGATATTCGATATAATTAACTAATAGTGTACTGGTATCGCCCTATTGCCATGTAGTGTAGATTTCTAGTTCTCTTTTCATTTGACTTGTTCTATATATTTGCAATTATTCTATATATCTATCTATGTTTCCTCTAATGTATACCCAGTCTAGAGATCCTTACCATAGAGATAAGCACCCACTAAGTTCTTTTCACCTTTCAAGACTGCTACATTCTTGACATAACCGATTCTCTCGAACCCTAAACCGTCCCAAATTCTCATACTGGCAGGGTTAGTTTCAAAGACCAAGTTAAAAACGGAATAAACGTATCCGATTTGGGGAGCATAATGCAAGTACTTCCTACCCAACTCCTTACCGAGTCCCAAACCTCTCTTCACATGGTTTACAATAAATCCGGCATTGCAAACGTGAGAACATCTTCCAGCGTAGTTTGGTTTGATGTAAAAGTTTCCTAAAAACCTTGTGGTCCACTCTTCTTGGGTAAGTTGTTGATTCTTTAATTCGGCACTTTCAAATCCCTCTGGGTAATCTCCTTCAAGCAATATAGCTACGAAAGAACTGAACCAGTTTTTCAAGAAATCCTCATGATTCAACGAGTTTTCGTAAGGGTACGTTCTTCCTTCTTCAACCACGAAGTTGAACTCTTCTCTCAACACCTCGATTAATTCTCTAGGAACAGCATCAGAGGAAGTAACAGGAATGATAGTAACAGTTCTAGAGGAGTCTTTTTCGAGCGTGAATACTACAGGCGCGAACGTCTTAGACCCGACAGTTTCTTTTTTAGTGAATGGGAGTGATTCCAACTCTGAGTATTTTTCCTGAGAAACCATGATGAGCCAACAATAAGCTATGAAGCTATGAAGTTTGTTCAATTAAGTATGAAAGTAAAAAGAAAAATGATAAGTAAATTCAATATTCTACAAGCCGTCCTCTGTGTTTCCTGCGAACGGGTCCTCGTCTTCTATATAAATTACCAATCAGCAGCTTTCAGGTACGTATCGATCTAGCGGTTCTTACCTTCTTCCACCTTCTTTTCACTTCTGTTGACTTTTATATGACTCGTTCCTATGCGTCATAAAAATGGGGTTGGATTTCCGCGACTCAATTGGGTGCAAAATCGACAATCATTATCCGATGATGTTAGTAACGGAGCGTGCACTTAAGGTTTGGAATTTTTTTTCGTACTGTTTAGATTTTCCTAAATGGTGCACTGTGCAGGAAAATAATAAAGTCGAAATTTCTCAAGATAGCTAAGGAGAAAAAGATGAAACAGATGGGACGAAAGGCAGTGATACGGAGCACTACAAAGAGCAGTACGACTGAAAATGGAAGAAAGCAAGAAGAATGGAGTATACAATGAAAGTATGTAATATGAGAGAGTGGGTGTACGAGATTGGGGAGTTAATGGGCGTGGTGTTCAGGCAATTTGTGGTGGTGTAAGAGCAGTTGCTTGCTGAAGCACAGACACACCACAGAACGTGGGAGCTCGATAGATGCCTAGAGGGTGGGGTGAAGGACGTCAATTTTTTGTATCCCGGTCTATGTAGCAATGCTGTCTCAAGTGTGAGGTGTTGATACTCTGGACATTTATGGTATTCTATTGGCCACTCATTTGATATACTAACTCATATTTAGGTCTCTCTAAAAGAGATAAACGACGTCAACAAATCTCATCGAGGTTAAACAAGCTTGAGGTGAATTTCAGCAACGATAAGGACAACTTTTATAAGCTACTGTTGCAGAACCTTCAAAATACACTTGCCACTCTTCAACAGGGTACCAACGATGATTTTGTAACCAAAAAGGAGGATTTGGAAGAGGTTCGGGATTACGAGCTTACCAAGCTAAGACTCTGGGAAGAATACCAAGTGAAGCGAATAGAGACTGAATACAACGAAGACATATTGAAAGCCAAGCAGAATCACAATCGGATGATTAAGTTGATTAAAGAGAAGCTTTATGACAAGTTGGAGAAGCAGATTCAACAATTGAAAGATGATAAGTTGTTGCTTAACTTAGTGAATGCCAATTCATGGAAGGGAACTGAAAAGGGGCTCAATGGTTCCTTGGCATCGCATTTATCAGCATCAGAAATATCGATTTCTCTGCATGAAAGGAGGTCTCTTAGGAAGAGAGAGGTGAGTCTGAGGTTCACCGCTGGAGAGGCGGACGATTTGTCTGACGATGGTAGAATGTCTGGCAGTAGTGGATACATAGGAAATGGATATTTTTCGGCTACTGGAGGCCAGCAGTCCGGGGGTGCTGGAGGATACTCTTCATCGTCTAAAAGACGAAGGCACTATGCTACGAGGTATTCTTCGAACGACGAATCATCAGGTGCTGTGAAATACGGCGGAAGAAATGGTGCATCGAATGGAGGGGGAGATGCTGGAAGTGGCGGTGGAGGAAATGGTGGAGGTGCTAGCAGCGCAAGTGGGTACACAAGCCATGGAGGGTCACATTACCAACATGGAGTCAGCAGTGGGAATGATAGTAATCTCAGTGACAAAGATTATGACACTTTGAACAACATCATAATGGGAAACGAAGACGGGGGAGCATCCTTGGTGTTGTTGGACAAGGCCAACGGTGGTATGAGCGAAAGTAATAGCGCACACGGAATTGGTCAATCTTCAGGAAAGGCAAGCACGAGGAGTTCACACAAACAGTTCACGGGGTTATCTGGGTTGAAGCCCGAGGAATTGAATGACGACTTAAGTTTGATAAGAAACGCCATCAAGAAGTAAAAAAAAGGAAACGAATGCAATAAAATATCTAAAAGAAGTTTTTCTAGCTTGGGCTAAGATGATAGGATATGAACGAAGGTGCTGAACGATGGGCGGAGGAGCCAAACAAAGACCCTAAGATCTTTTTAATTACGGTGTATGTACAATTAGACAAATAGACGTAACATTCAAACATAAGAGAACGCAAAATGGACCGACAGTCTATTGCATTCCATTTGTATCTGATTTCAATATTCTCTACTGACCTGCCTATGGTGAGCATTACTATACTGTCCAAAAGTCACAGACGCCACTCCAAAATCCTCCCCTTTTCGAAAATAGTAGTTTGATTACCACGATGCAGAAACCACTCTCGACTATCTAGCATTACATCTCCAAACTGATCCGAGGTAGCACACCACAGCTCTTCTCCAGGTTTCGTAGGTCCAGTTCTGCAGCATTTTGCTGCATTCGTTTTTTTTTTTTTTTTTTTATTTCTCGATTTTTTTTGTTTGCACCCGAACGGAAATCACGATCTGATTGCTTAACGTTTCTATTGCAACTCACTTAGTTTAGGTTTAGGAATATCATTGAGTCATGGTCAGTCGAACCCCTATTGCAGTGTTTGCACATTTAATGGGCCGGAAAATCATAAGAATCAATAAATATGTGGTGGTACGGTTGTGGTTCCTCGTGCTCGTTTTGCTACTTGCCCTATCGAGTCTCGTAGTCCTTAATGAAGACTTACAGGAAACGACCATTAGTCCAATACGGAACTATTTGAAAAGCTGGGACCAAGTGGAGCTAGATGTAAGCAAAATGGATCCCAGAGATATTCCCTACAGTTACAGAAAGTTTGACTCTAAAGTTGACAAGCCTTTTCTTAAGGGAGGTGGATGCCAAGTCCCTTCTCGTCTGGAAGACAAGGCCAATGCGGCGTTGGTTGTACTTTCAAGAAATAAAGAGTTGAACGACGTCGTGAAATCAATGAAATCTCTAGAGCGTCATTTTAATCAATGGTACAATTATCCGTGGGTATTTCTCAACGATGAACCCTTTGATGACGAATTCAGGAAGACTGTTGCTCGATACACAAAATCCGAGATTGAATTTGGTTTGATCCCTAAGAAGGAGTGGGACTTCCCCGAGGACGTGGATGCAGCAGAACTTGAGGAAAGTATAGAGTCCCAGGGTGATAGGAGGATCATGTATGGAAACTTGGAATCCTATCATAAAATGTGTAGGTTTTACTCGGGATACTTTTATGAACACGAATTAGTGAAAAAGAGGGATTGGTATTGGAGAGTAGAGCCTGATGTAGAGTTTTACTGTGATATCACGTATGATCCTTTCTTACAAATGGAAAAGAATAACAAAAAGTACGGGTTCACGGTCATGATCAATGATTTATACTACACATTGCCGGGTTTATTCAAAGAAACAAAGAAATTTATTAAAAAGCAAGAAAGTGCGATGGGTGAAAGGTTTAAATTGGGTAGTTTATGGAAACTATTCATTCATGATTCCAAAATAACCACTGGGAACTACGAAACGAGAAAGAAGTACGATGACTTATCGAACCAAAAAGAAGTCTTTATAGAAATGGAGTTGAACATATTAACTGAAAAATTTCTTGCCTTGGAGAATAAAAAAGATTCCATGGTGATGGGTGATGGTGGAGTGTATCAAAGAATTGTCGATCATATCGTCAAAAAAATGAAGCTGCGTCCGAAGTTATGGGAGGATAGGTTAGACAGGGAAGAGTATAATCTATGCCATTTCTGGTCAAATTTCGAGATAGCGAGAACCGACCTATTCAATAGCCCGACGTACAAGGCATATTTTCAACATTTAGATGCAAGTGGTGGGTTTTACAAAGAAAGATGGGGGGATGCTCCTGTTCATTCGTTGGGGGTTGCAATGATGCTTGAACTAGACGAAGTTCACTACTTTAGAGATATCGGGTATCGTCATTCAGTTTTATCACACTGTCCTAAAAACTCCAAAAACCAATTACCGTATCAAAAGAGTGATCTGTATATTAAGGGTCTAATGACGCCAAAGGAGGAGAAGCATTGGATTCATTTCGATAAAGTGAATACAAATATAGACGGAGGTACTGGGTGTAGGTGCAAGTGCCCAGGAAACAGTGCAGAAACTGAAGATAAAAGAAACATGTGCATGCAGAAATGGTACGACATCACTAGGGACGACTACACTATTGCTAAACCTATTGATGTCGATTATTGGGAAAATGAGATCCGGAAGAGAATTGATAGACACTTGAAAAAGGGTCATAAATTAGGTGAAGATCGGGTAGTGGTATAACTACAGAAGATTTATGGAATTTATTCAACTACTTTATCGAATTTAAAGTGACGTACTCAAGCAAGCCAGAATGGAACTTACCATTGCGTCAACAAAATGCAACACTGTGGAGCCAAGATGTCTAGTGTTGGGCCGCATAAATGCAACATCGCTAAATCAAAGCTTTCATTTATTCTTTGCTCCCACCCATATCCAACTTACATTCATGGGGGTGCATCGTAAATACATATTAATACATATTAATACATATTATTAACACAATCGAAATAGATCTTACCGTCAACGCAAATACCAGCAGCCAGCTTATTGTGACTATTATAGAATCAGAGGAGAGAGTATGCTACATTTCAAACGATTCTTTCAAATAATATCAATTATTCTAATATACAATTGGGCATCAGAGCCACTCGAAATAGAAGTACAATACAGTAGCAGCAGCTTGTTTAACCACCGAAACCGTACAAGGTTCTACCTTGTCTCTTTAAGGCGTAAACGACATCTAAAGAGGTAACAGTCTTTCTCTTGGCGTGCTCAGTGTAAGTAACAGCATCTCTGATAACGTTTTCCAAGAAGGACTTTAAGACACCTCTGACTTCTTCGTAGATAAGAGCAGAAATACGCTTAACACCACCTCTTCTGGCCAATCTTCTGATAGCTGGCTTTGTAATACCTTGGATGTTATCTCTCAAGATCTTTCTGTGTCTCTTGGCACCACCCTTTCCTAAACCTTTTCCACCTTTACCTCTACCGGACATTGTTAATATATATGTATTGAATTAAAAAGTTAAAATGTTAGTTCAATAACTATAGTGAGAAAAGAAGGAAAGTAAAAAAAATTCTACAAAAATCTCAGTCAAGACAATCCTCTTATATATTATTAGATCATTTGGATCTATTTCTCTGTATTTGTTTTCATTTGCATATCATGTTTGCATGTTTAGATGCAAAAGTCACGAAATGCCTGATCCAACAGTCCAAGAAGACGATTACTGTTTTTGTTTAGGTTCTGATTTCTACTGCGCGACAAGTAAAACGCAGCACTTCAACTACTGCGCTTTCATATCGGTGAGCAGCCGCGGGAAGGTGTTTAAAAAGCTAGTTTCGCGTTTAGATGCAGGTCGCGGATCACAATAAGCTGCGAAATGCTGCACTTCCACAGTATTTACTCTTCGCTGGAGATGTTTACCTTTCCTTTCCTCGATGAAGAAGAAATGTTTACCGAAGTCACGGGAGGGAACTCCTATGTAAATACACGCACGCGAGCATTTTGGCATAATGAAGTGTCTTCTAGCACGAGAGTAGTCAAACCAAAACAATAACAACCATTCACCTACCCACAGTCCTGGATATACTGTAGCAAAATGATGTGAGGATTGTTTTGTTTTGCTTCGGTTTGTTTTTTTATTTATTTATTTATTTTGACATGATACAGAATATTTTTGATATTTAACCATATCAACCCCCCGACTAAATACCAGAGAATTATTTACTTTTTCCTTTTTTCTTTTTATTCTTTCCTTTTATACATCTATATCATTTACAATGGCTAGAACCAAACAAACAGCAAGAAAGTCTACCGGTGGTAAGGCTCCAAGAAAACAATTAGCTTCTAAGGCTGCTAGAAAGTCTGCTCCATCTACCGGTGGTGTCAAGAAGCCTCACAGATATAAGCCAGGTACCGTTGCTTTAAGAGAAATTAGAAGATTCCAAAAGTCTACTGAACTCTTAATCAGAAAGTTACCTTTCCAAAGATTGGTCAGAGAAATTGCTCAAGATTTCAAGACTGATTTAAGATTCCAATCTTCTGCTATCGGTGCCTTACAAGAATCCGTTGAAGCTTACTTAGTTTCTCTTTTCGAAGACACTAACTTGTGTGCTATCCACGCTAAGAGAGTTACCATCCAAAAGAAGGATATTCAATTAGCCAGAAGATTAAGAGGTGAAAGATCTTAGGGAAGTTGCGTGCAACTTTTTGTATATTAGTTATATTACTGTTTATTATGTGTTGAATACATATTATTAAGAGAAGAATTATTGCTGTAGCATTGTATCGTATCCTCTAGTAAGCCAGAGTGCAACACTGTGTAGCGCAATCGTGTGGGGGTGAGCCAACTGTAAGTTCCAGTCACGTGGCACAAACTTCTCTGCATGGGGAGCACAGCACGCACGCAAGCTTCAGCTTGCTCTGAAATATCTCCATCTTTTCTCCATGTTCCAACTAGAAGATTCTTTTCACCTTTTTAGACGTGATTCTTTCTACGACTAGTCAATTCAATTCGTTCATTCACTTTCGAAACTACTTCAAATTAAGGAAAAATGTTGGGAAACATCGAGGGTATCAAAGATAATCTCTACACCATCATAACTGACTCTGCCAGTACTCCATACCCTGCATGGACCCTTGGTGGTTTGCTTCTTGGAAGAGGTCTCACGATCCAAAAGCCAATGGGTCCATTGTCTGGTACCAGCGGCTCCTCTTTGAGATTGAGCCACACCTTAGCTACTGCTAGACCCACTAAAGCTTCTTGCTACCTCTTCGGTGCTGCTCATTTGCTCGGTGGCTGGATAGTGTACGACGGAGATATTACTAATGGTGCAGGATTCAACTTTGCATGGTCCACGCTATACTTAATTGTGAACGGAAGAGCAGGCTTGAAAAGTGTGATACATGGTAGGGTTAACCCATTGGCCTTGTCTATATTGGCTCTAGGAAATGCTGGAACCTACGGAAAGAAGTTCTTCTGGCCCTAATTGTTCATATATAAAAATCTAAACGTATGCAGCAACTATGGAAATTGCAATGGTGAAATTTCTAAAAAAAAAAAAAAAAAATAAAATGAAAAATGTGTAGTGACTCTTGTAGGGTGTGAAAGTCCCATTTTAACTGGTGAAACAGTGGTATCTGCTGTCTGTCTAGTATATCCCAGGTGAATTGAAATGAAGTTCTAACCAAATTATTTCAAACTAACCCTCGTCTGTCGTCTATCATGTGGATAGCCTGATTCATTGGTGAGCTATGCTGTGCAAGTCAGTCCCATTTCAATGGTAGAAATTCGTTCTCCTTTGCAAACTTTACTATTTCTCTCTCGTCGTACAACTCTATAAATTGCTGGTCCATTGGACGTTCTTTTGGTGCAGCGAACTTTCTATACTCGTCGAATATGATAGTCAAAGACCACTTCTGTAACCTCCTGAGTACTCCTACGAGGCACCCTGTTCTATGCTTACCTCTATTACAATGGATTAAAATAGGCTGGTTCTCTGGATCTATCACAATCTTGATCGCATCAGTAATCAACTCGGAAGATATTTTTACAAATGGCTCCTTGTTTCCTGACATACCCAATTGAAATAACTTGATACCCTGCTCTTCAAGAAACTTCTGATGGAGTAGTGGGTAGTCTTCCGGTATGAGGCACAAGATTGATTTCAATTTCAATTTTTTTAAAAACGTAAAGTTTACTGGTTGTGGGAATGACGATCGGTATATGGTGTTTATCACTGGAGCAAAGTTCTCTGGAGGTGTTAGCTCGGCGCCTTCGTCGAGAATGGGGCTAGCCTCAGCCCCTGCCTTCACTTCAATTCTGTTACCTTGTGAATGGGGTATATTGCCGTTCTGTGCTTGTAGCTGCTCATTGTACTGCTCTGTATCAAATTTATCATCGATGTCTTCATCATACACCTCTTCCTCATCTTCTTCTGTAGTATTATTGTTTGCCGCGTTGCGCTCTTCAAGCTTGATGTGAGCTATTTTGGATCGTATTTCTTCACGGTCTTGGTACATTATCAGCTGTGAGTGGTAGGTGGGATCCTCGTAACGCGGTGTGATGTCTTCGAGGAGAGCGCTGTTTTTTGTGGAGGGATCACCACCAGAGTCATTCTTGAGGTCTTCATCCATTTGAAATGGATCTTCGGAGTACTCGTTCATTCTGAATGGCGGAGGGGAAAGCGGATTAATTAAGGAGCTGCTGGGGCTAGTGAAAATGCTAACGAGTGAATTCTTTACTAATGTATCTATAAAGTGGTCTGTTCTTGTTTAACCGAACCTTCACCGTGACAAATTTGGAAAGGAAGCGAGTGAGACCCATATTGGGATTATGTGCAGGACACAATCAGCTGAATTCAGAAGACCGGGAGACAGGCTTATCTTCAGCTTCTACGAATGCAATAATGAGTTTGAAAGATTGGGAAGGAAAGTGTTAGATCAGTAGCCGCTATGTCTATTCACAAAGAATAGAATAAGAACTCTTCAATTGAGCTGTATTTCAGTTCTACCTGGTGAGCGTTGCACATACTTCCATACTTCCGCTTGGAAGTCCGTGCACTGCGTGCAGGTTCTCACTTGCTCAGTGCGCTTTCTGGGGCCACAGGCTCTGGAGTCTGTATCTAAGAAGCCAATGTGCAGGAATTGAACTAGAGAGAAAGGAACAAGATAGAGAAGTAGTGGGTAACAGTACGACACGATGTACTCGCAAATACTGGATAAGAAGTCAATAAATGCAGTCCTTGCGCTCTCCTCAGATCAAAGCTTGCCTAACAATTTCAACAAAATGGTGGCTGGCCATTCTTCCATGTCAGCCTAGGTTCGGATCCAGAGTTTCCCGTGCCTGTATGCAGTCCATTCCATAGCTTCTCTGTTTTAATCATTTTTTTTTTCTTTAGATTCTCTGCCTAAGAGGCTCCCTATTTCCGTCTACACCACCTGCTATTGGCTTATTGACGCAATAAACTATATATACACGGTATCTTGTTGATTTTCATTTATTAATAATGGTATGTAGTGGTATATCTGCAACCGAAAGAGGAATATTTTACTAACCCCTTTGTAGTCAGCTTTATTCAATTTCCAGTCGCTCTTGCAAGTGATATTATTGCTTATTTGTACTTGCACTTACATTCATGCTACATGGCCGCAATTGCTAGATAAGAACAAGACCGGAGCATTAGGGATCTTCTGGAAGTTTGCCAGAATAGGTGAAAGGTTAAGTCCTTATGTATCCATTGGATGTTTCATAATTGCCTTCAACACTTTAAGATCTTAGCCTGTTGAGCAGTTCAGAAAATGACTAAACCAGGAATGCTCGTACCCACTTCACTCGTACAGTGTTCAAGAACAGCTTAGAGAATTGTATAAAACATTTCCAGAAAGGGGTCGTCTATGGAACTTTAAGCTAATGACCACCCAACCTTGTATATTAAACGAATAACAATAAATGCGTAACGTAATAGGGAGGTTGTAGGCTTTGTATTAATATTTATATGTATCTATATAAATGCATATGTATAGGGGGAGCAAGAGAGTAAGCTGACGGGATTGTGAAGGGTTGTTAAGAGTATACAAATGAAATCAGCCAAGATCTTTGAGCTTCACTGACTTTGCCTTCTAAATTACACACTGTGCATGGTGCTTATCTAAATTCGAACATTTCATTGACCGAATTGCACAACACGGAGCATCTTTCAGAGCCAACTATCCTCTCTAAGGTATTTGCATCCCATTTGGAATACAAAATCTTCATAAATGAGAGATCTAAGTCTGCATCGCCCTTGTACACTGATTTCCCGATGAATCTGGCTAAATCCTTGTAGAAAAGCGGGTTGCTCGGCAATCCATACATCAACAAGTTCTTCACACCACCAATCTCAAATCTACGGAAGTAGTGTAATCTTTCAGTGTATAGTAAAACCTTTAGCTTGCCGCTAGCAAATGCAGTTCTTGTCCTAGACAACTGAGCTTGAGAGGAATATTCATCAATACTGCCAAAGGTTAACTTGGTGTGGTCCATCATATGGCTCTTAATTCTCAAGTAGTCATAGTAAGATGGAATATAGATAAGAAGTCCATCCTCGTAGGAAGTTGTTTTAGTAAGCGAAGGCAAGATGGAGTTGATGAAGAACTTAAATCTTAAGTCGGGGTCCTGCATTGGTGACAGATTGGATTCAAATCTGTGATATATTTGCTTCAATTTCAATCCAATGGAGTTCATCATGCAAGTGTCATTGGTGTTACTAGGCTTAAACTTCAATTTTCCTTGCAAGTTCATCGACTTCAGAACGAAATTGTTTATATTGGGAGATGCATACTCTGAGAATATTAGGTTTTGTCTTATCAACTTCAGCTGATCGTTGATAGACCACATTCTTATTCTTGAGAAATCTGCGTCGTGGAATTCCTTGGGGATCTTATTCACATACTTCAATACCGTGTTGACGTGATCCCAATTTTGCATTTCAATTTGATGGGCTCTGTCGATAATCAATACTTCGATAGACGAGAGGAAATCATATTGTCTTTTCTTTTTATCAGTGTTTTCTAAAATCATAGATAAACCAATAGGAGATGCTAGAATTATATCCGATGTATAAAACGAAGAATAAAGCTTGACAGTTTTCCTGGTGAATTTCACACCAATGCAGAAGAAATCACTATTATTACCCTTGAACGCATCTCTGAAATCCTCAGGCTTGTACTCAGGTGGGACACTATCGTTATGGAACTGTTTTTTGAATTTTCCCTTGTTTTCTTGCTGCTCACTACCGGACAATTGAATCAACTGCTCAACTAACTCATAGCACGATTCACGAGTAGGTAAGAGGATGAGCACCTTTGGTCTAGTGAACCCTTGGTCTCTAAACTCTGGTTCTTCTACTTCTTCTTCCTCTTCCAGCTCTTCGCCCTTTCCTTTCCTCGTTTTCTTGTCTTTGAGAGATTCTTGGTATGCTCTCAATTTGTTGTTGTTCTTAATCACTCTGTCTCTGGTTTTATTGACATGGTTCAACACATGTAAGAGATACAATTTACGGTATTGCTTGTTTTCAAATGATCTATAAGGGTAATTTATGTCTGTGTAGTTTAACATGGGTTCTAAAAGCATAGACTCTCTGGTAGTAAGGGTACCGCTATTAGATTGCAAGTAAGATTCCCTAACTCTCTGTTTGATATGCTTGAACGATTCCAAATCGTTTTGGGGTTTCAGACTTGGTGTCTTCGCTTCCGCTGAGGGAAGACTCTGAAAAAGGGAAGTATATTTTTCCAGGTCATATGCATTCTTGGAGACTATGGGCCATCTTGGATTCAGCCGAAGGATGGTTTCCTGTCTCAGAAGGTAGTCGTCAGATTGAAGATTGAAATGTGCTTCAAAAGGATCGAGCTCATCATCAGAATCGAGATCTTCTTCAAAATCAGATTGACTTTCTTCTTGGTCGCTTTCAAATAATTTGGCACCAGCTACTTCATCCTCTGCTTCTTCTTCTTCTTCTTCTTCTGCCTCGTCTTCGTCCTCATCACCATTTTTATCACCCAATTCCTCACTAACAGTTGAGCTCCCGTTCTTGGACTTGGGCGCTCTCTTCAGCTCTGATTTCAAAAGGACTAACAAAGCATCATAGGCTGCCCCCGTTGGAATTTCGCCCATCTTTTTAGAACTGACATCTTGTTCGATCTCATCCTCAATATCACTATCTTCTCCCATAATATTCTCTTCATCTTGTTCTTGTACTTCACCAGGCCTTGGACCTCTTCTAGTGGTTCTGGTGACATTTCTCATCTCTTTCCTTCCATGCTTTCCACGCTGCTGAAAGTTTCCTCCCTTTTTGTCGTCGGAATTGGATCCTGGATAAGATCTTTTCTTTCCGTACTTCATGCTATTGAGTCTAGTACTTTTTGACGGAGATATCGTCTTATTCACGTCCTCTTCACCATCTCATCTCATCTCTTCTGTGCTTCGATGTAACGCACTGGAATTTTCAGTACTGCATACTGGCTCCCGAAGTAAGAAGCATCTTGATCCAAAAGTACTGCATACGGATCCCTTCTCTACTACTTCTCCTGCTGATAAGGGAGCTTCACTACAAGTATAGCAACTTACAAGGAGATGACTCTCGTTGACTACGCATGACGTAAACCTGGAAAGATGTAACTGAAACGATAAGAAAGTGAAAGTTAACAAGTGGGTCCTTGAAAAAAGATGTAACTAGAACTTTAATTAAGGTTAACCAAATGATGCATAAAGTATAATCTCTATTGTAAGACGTAGCACTAATATGCCAGAAAGAAGCGGAAGTAATTCATCAAGAGGGAATGTGTATACGTTAGCCCAATTCAACGCTCAAGCAACTAGAAAATGAAGGTAAGAAAGGAGAAAGAAAAAAACGAAAAATGAAAAAGAAAATCGTCAAGCATAGAGATTATAGCCAACTCCACTGCCGAGTCTACCCTAGAATGACTGCTTTGAACTATTGCACTTCTTGCAAGCTTCATTAGCTTTCGCTAGCTTTTCTTAGCTTTCTTTTTTCTGTATCCACCCTTTCTTAGCAACACAACCCAGTAACGTCACTCTTCCCAGTGCAAAAAAAAAAAAAAAGAATATGCCGCAGAGACTATGGGTGCAATTTAGTGAAAGATTCACCATGTGGAGTACAATAGCCCTTAAATTATATACAATAGATACATGATATTTACTCTATACATACTCTATACATACTCCATACATATCATATAAATACCATATAAATACCGTTTTAATACCATATGCATGCCCAGCACGTACTCATATCCGCTCATTTCTTTCTACACCTCTTTCTACACACTCACCTTGTCTTGCTTTACCTCGCACGAGAGCTTCCCTTCCCCAGAGACTCCACACTTCTCGGTGCCTACCACAATTTGGCGCTAAATTTTCTTACCCTCACGCGAAGCTCAAACTAAATTTTGTCTCAAACTGAATTTTGTGTGTACCCCCCCTTTCCCCTTCCAATTGTAAAGGGAAAAATTGTAAAAAAAAAAATCACCAAAAAAAAAAAAAAAAAAGAAAGAGAAGAAAACGCAAAAAAAAATTGACTCTCTCCATTACATCACCTCACCTCATCCCATTCTTCTTCTGTTTAGTTCAGTGGCCCATCTAACTACATACATGTATATTCTAGTGTCCTGTTAATACCTCCAAACACATATTCCCTGATGAGCATCGTTGCACGACGCATAAAACACGGTGTACGTCTAGTACTTTCCATCATTTACTTGATCCTTATTATCTTATCCATACCACTTGCCTTTGATGTCGGTGGAATAGATTGTGGGTTGTCATACTCGTTTACTATATTTGCATTATATTTTGTGTTGACCACGATAAGGTTGATCACAAGGAAGAGTCGGCACTTCAAATGGGTTTCTTTCTTGTACTACTTGCAACATCTTGTGTTACCTTCGTTGCTAACCCTCTTCCTAAGCTATTATAGCTCAAACACCGTTTCCGCTGATAGTTCCAGTAACAAATATACTTTGATTAAAGTATGGGAGTATTTTATTGTCAACTCCACACCAATATTTACCATCTTGGAAGGCTTTTGCTCGTTGCTCCTTATCCAAGCCGTTGGCCAAACTGTCAATTGGTTGACTGTTTACAAATCTGATAGCTGGCTCATTGTCAGCTTAATCGGCAGTGGATCCACCATCACTGCAGCCTTATATTTTTTGTATAGAATCTACGTGTACCCATTCACCATTGAAACAATTGGTGCGTCGCTATTGGGCTCGCTACTCACCTTGACTGTTGGGTTGGGACTCTTTGGTATCGTCAGTGGGAAAGGTTCAATGATTGAAAGTTCGTTATTGTTTGCATACATTGTTAGATGTATCTACGAAACTTTCCCGATACTCTCCGAAGAAGCTAGTAAGGCACTCACTTCTCTCTTCACTCACACAACCTACCAGTTGAAGAATGAAATTCCTATGTTGCCTGCACAAATAACCGATATAGCTTCACAGTTGGTTCCATTTTTGGCTTCAAACATCCCTGGGTCATTCAAAACGATTTGGGAGTTCTTCATCCTGGCCACTCAGAAATTAACGTTACCTTTGCTTTTGAATTTGGCCTATAGAATTGGTGTGTTCTTTGCAGCCACTAAGATTATCCCTTCATTGTATCATGGAGCAAGCTATCCATCTTCCACTACGCCGCCCATCTCACCATCGATAGCATTATCCCGTCAGCCATCAAACAATCATTTAGATCAGCAACATCATGCTGATGAAATACCGACAGAGCCCTCACAATTTAATGTTGCATCAAGCTCACCATTTCCTCAGCATACGCAACAACCATCGACCATAATTAGATTAATCTATTCATATTCTCCTTGCATCATAATAGCAGTTTATACACACTTGATGATGCTGTATAATGGAGCGTTAGGGACAGAGCTAAAGCTTTGGGGTTTTTGGGATGATGAATCATTGGAAATAGTAGTACACCCATGGCAATTTTGGAACTGGATCAACATGACTACTACGTTGATTCTCTACGCAGCTGAACTTATGGGAAACAATGGAACCCAAGGAGGAACTGCCTTAACAAGTCATTGGAAAGTAGAGTAATTTCAATTCTTTTAATTTGCTATTCCTGTTTTATTCTTTTTTTGAGATTCCATATTGCTGATAGCATCTTTATCAGTTGCATTTCGTGATTTCGAAGGCTGGACTGGGCTTTTCGACAGTTGTACTATATTCAGTCCCCTATTTGTTTAATGAGAACCTACGGTTTGAAATAGTAATGATATATAAAGGCTGCACCAAGGAGTGCGCTACATAGAGAGTTCTTTTTGCAAAAGCTGCTCATCGAGTAATGACTTTTGAGTTACAAGAGGCTATCAAGTACACATTTACAGAGAACTTACAACCCTCATATTTTATAATTTACGATTTTCTTTAAATATAAATCCATTTGTCCTTTAGTAAAGCCATTTGATGAAAACTTATCTGCAAATTAAAACCTTCCCTTTCACTTCTTTTAAATTCTATCTCATGATTTTTCAATCAGAAAAGTTTGCAAGTCTCGTCAACGAATATTGCAACCAGTCATCTTTCCAGACAGTGAAGCATTCTCTGAGCTTGACTCTATGTTGCTTGGATGTTTCATCATACGAAAAATAAGTTAGAATACCCAAAAGGAAAGGAGATGACAAGGTTCTATGATTCAAACAAGAAGTAGTATCAAATAACTTTCAACTTCGACTGAAATTAAAAGAGCCAAATGGAAGACTTAAAAGAGGCTCGGCATATTTGACTATGCGAATTCTCGATTCACTAAAGCAAATCAGATCAAGCCTTTGAAAATTTAGAGACGTTCATGACCCAAGAATAAGCTCCATTGGGTTAATCAGAAGTGAACTGATCATTTGTTATAACTATCATTTAGAGTACAAAACCCCGCTGCCGAAAGTAATAAATTAAACACCACTTTAAAAAAGCAGGCATTATGATAATAAAGTACATGAAACAAATGTAAAACAGTCATTTCCCCTACGTTTTGCTCCCGGCTCACGCAACTTTTCAATCCACCCACAATGTCTCATCTCTGCTCAGTCAGATCCATGTAAAGAAGTACCGTCATGTACACCAGCGTCAGAGCTATAAATAGATAAAGGTTCAAGAGGAACCTAACGCCGATAACATGAGCACACCTCCTTAGAGAATGCAATTGAAACAAAAATGAAACAAAGCTTTACAGGCAGATATACTCAACTACATTCCTCGAAAACAACATACAGGAACACCATTGAACATTTCTAAACACGACTTCATTGATCAAACGAATTGATGATTCGCTACGTTTCCGCATATCTGGCGGGAGACTTTCCCCAAAGCATTATGAAACTAATTAAAGTTCTTTTGTAGGCTTCGATAACAAATCTTTGATCATGAACGTGAAGAAGAAAAGAAGCAGTGGTATAAAAATTTTTTCATTCCTCGATGTCTGTTTATAGAGTAGCAAAGTCGTGCGCGGGTGAAATGTTGCAACACATTTGCTTTGCCCTAAAAGCTCCAAGAGCTGGGGATGTAATATGACTAGAAGGACGTTCAACTCTGTTATGATCCGGTTAATTTGTCTCTGATTGAATTTTTGTTTGAGTTTAGAAATAAAAAGGCAGGCTACACTGAAAAAATATACAGAAGTGGCTAAAATAAGGTAGTATTAACTGTGCATGTAAGTTTCGTATAAATCAATGTAGAGCTCTTAACGTTTCAGGTCAATAACCAGGTAAGAAAGTCACCTGGTAACAAGCTTGAAATCCAATCATATGTACGGGCACCAGTTCCACAGAAGACCGTAGTAGGATTCAACTTCAGTTCGTCCTTCGGATAAAGTAAATCAAACAATTGGTGGTATAAGTCTCTTAAGTTACTTCCACCACCTCTTATAACTCCCAATCCTCCAGCTGCACCTCTAGAGTAATTCTTAATTGGGTTCGATTTATATTGAGATTTGGAAAAGCTTTCCCCATATAAATCTTTCATATCGTCGTCCCAACCCCTGATTTCTGATTGGATCAAGTTCGCAGTTGATAAAGATGGAGAAGGTGTGCTAATTCTCTTCGAAGCTGCCCCATTGGAAATATTCAAATTCCCAAGCTTAACTTGAGTAACGGAGATATTGTGTTGAGATATTTCCCTACTCAATGAGGCAAACAAATTCTGTATTGATTTCTGGTAAAATGTCTCCGGTGCATGGTAAGGCAAATTTAATGAGGACAAGATGTTAGAAGATATCACAATCACTTTGGAATGCGGTTGTTGTTGCCTTGCTAAAGAAATCAAGCCTGAAGACAATAATTTTAAGATAACATGGTACCTTTCCAAAATTTTGGCCCAAGATGCAACCGTTATGTTCTCAATAGGACCAATTGGGAAATACAAACTCGGTGTGAATACGCAACCCTTTAGTCTCAAGTTATGTGGTTTGGCTCCTGAAAAGGGAACAACTGGAGTATTCAAGAATTTTTGGAACTTGGTCAATTGCAATTCAAAGCTATACGAATTATTCAAATTGAGATAATTTAGATCATCTGTTATAAGATTCAGCTCGACATATTTTAGATCCTTCTCGTCTATGATTGTCAAGTACACAATAAACCCCCTCTTCTCAAAGTCCAATGCAATTAATCTTGTTAAAGGTTCGGTTGGCGATCCAATTACAAGGATCAAATCTCTTCTAGCTCCATTATAGAGCTTGGGAACTCTTCTCTTTACTGAGATATTTTCTGCATTGGGTTTCTTTTCTCCCACCTTGAAGCCAACCCCGTTGCCCCGCATCTTCTTGAATGAATATATACCGATTCCAATGGTCAAAATGGATGAGTATAGTACTACTTTCTTCTTGGAGAAATACCTTTCATTGAAAAACAGGAGATATCGACTATTACCCTTCGTATTTATCAACTTGGGTTGTGGAGATGACGTAGATGAAAATGGATTCAATGCTAATACTTTATCTACATACTCATTCTGTGAGATGTAGTCTCGTTGATTTGAAAGGAAATTGAGGGACAAGTCATAAACGTGAGTAATTGTTTCTACCGTTGCTTGAACGGGTTCGGCAACCATCTTTTCTGGAGTATATATTCAATTGTGGGTCAAAGAAAAATGTAGAGAGAGCTATCAGTGACCTTTCGATCTTATAGGCTTGTTAAAAAAAAAAAAACCTGCTGGTCCCAGGAATCGAACCTGGGTTTGTTCGGCCACAACGAACTGTACTAACCACTATACGAGACCAGCGATTCTACAATTGTTTCATTTTTCGCTAACGACTAGGCAGATGTGGGGAACGGTAAGTCCATTAGAAGACCTTGGTAGCCGAAGCTATCAATTTTCTACTACATTTCGTACAACGATGTTTCCATATTTGAAATCATCCGAGAATAAGAACATTCATTAAAGCAGTAATATCACCTTATTTGACACTTTCACTCTTTACTGAGATAGAGTCATTTTTTCTGTCTATAAGTGAAGCACCCTCAAGCTGCATCTCATACGAAGCCTCTGAGTTAGTACCTTCGAAGTATTGATCTTCAAGCTTTCTTTCAGCCATGGCATCACCATTTTCAAGGTCAGGCCCTTTCTTCTGAGTCTTCGTAAACATAGAATAAGAGTTGATAGCAGCTGAAATGGCTGTATTCTCACTGGATCCAGATGAAGATCTGGAAATTAAGGAAAGAGCCGAAGATGTTGGGTGCAGGTTATTATTCAAAGAAAATGCCCACATTGACGACAATGGTAGGGATAGAACTGTAATTAGCATACCAATTGTTGGGGTATACGACGAATCTGTTGTGAAACCGATTATTAACAAGACTGAGGGTATGATCATGGTTTGAGTACTCATGATGACCAAGACGTGGAAGGGACCAAACTGCTTCAAACCAAGAATCTTCCTTGATCTGATAGCCATAACCAACTTGAAAATGAAGATGGTGGAGCTGGCTATAACCGAAGCAGAAAATAAAGTAAATGGCAAATTACTACTCCAACTTGCGTAATAACCTGCCTGGTGAGTTGGTTCGTAGTAAACTTTCAGCTCATCAGCAAACGCTACAATGCTATAAATATAGATTGCCACAATTACAACTGCTAACGAACAGAATATACCGACCAATATGAACTTGAGTTGCTTGAATTTCTGAGTTCGGAAGACAGTGAATATTTGATAAATAAGCAGAAGCTGAATGCATGTCACCAATGGGATTTCAATTGCTGAAGCAGCAACTGTAACTTGGTAAGCCTGATAAGGGTCAGAAATGGTAGAGCTATCAAAGAGTACCATGTAGCTCATTGCGGTAAAGGGGCCCCTTAAGTATGCTATGAAAAGTGTAGATCTGATAAGCATAAAGAGTAATGTCAACTGATTAAGTATGAAGATGGGCGATGTCTTCTTACTTGAGCAGATCCACATCATTATAACTGTAATAATGCATGAACCTATAGCAGTGCCATAAACAAAAGCATATTTCATGAAGTAAGAGTGATAGTAGTCGATTTGAGCGAACGGGAGTGAATAGGTCTCCCCGCTTAGAGTAAAGTTAAGCAACACGGTGGACATGGTAGATTTGGAATGCAATAACAGAAAGCCTTGACCCACGTATCCAATTTTGTCAGAAAGCGTCCATTTTTATACTCATTAACTCATTTTGGTGTAAGTCCATCCACACAACTTTGTAACTTGCAAAGTGGTGATAGACTTGTTCAGAGTTCTTTCCTCTTTGAGATTTTCAATGTAAGAAAATAATTTTGCAGCAAGGTGAGTGAAAAACGAAAAGTAGCTTGTAGCACCTTAAGGAAGGAACAAGTTGGCTGAGCTAAGTGGAACACGATGCTAAGAAGTTCGATACTCAGGAGCTCGAAATATGAACCAAATTACTCAAAACATGATACTAGAGAACTCATTCAACAATGTGCAACCCATTTCCTATCTTCAACATCGACTATGGCGCAGAGTATGCCTTTCTATTTTTGGCTTCAGTAACTTTTTTGGCTCGAGTTGATGCGGCCCCTAATCTGCAGTTTGATTACAGGAAATTTAACACTTCATGCATCAAACACATGCACGAGCATTTTTAATCCGATTGGGCTAATTATGGAATAGGTTTAGGTGCAAAACTGAAACACGAGTTAAATGTCAGGCTTCTTTTAGCTTATGGTATCATTGGCTGCTAACAAAGTATTGGTTGGCAGTTATCTGATTACTCTCTGCGTTGCTCAAATCAAGTGTATTATCTAAACCTTTGTAACCAATATCTCTTCTTTCCATGGGATTGGCCACTGTATGTACTACCTCATGCGAAAGTGTAAGATTCGGCTCTACCTTCAGATATGAGACGAATAAGCTTTGTAGCAGTCTGTTGCAAGCTGAATACCAGCTGAGTTCCGGCAGCTCTAAGTTAATTTCACTTATATTCCTTCCAAACTGAACCCATTGCCTTATCAGAAAATACTATAGTCCTTCCATAGTGAAGCTCCAGATGTGCACACTACCGGAGCCATGCCAAAGGGAAAATAGACACATTTCTAAATCACGCATTTCGTAAACTGCAGTTTCCCTCACCCAAACGAACATTAATTTGCATGCACTGAGGGAAAGGTCTACAACAGCCGTAACTTTAATTACCTGGTATCTATATATGTCAAAATTACCAAGGCTCATTCAATTGTGGCTCAAACAAACGTCCTTTCTCATCCAGACCCTGCCACTGTAATTGCAGTTCCATCTTCACTGGTTGGACAGCCTGCAGGTACTCTTATTTCCCTTTTCACGGCTGACTGAATTCTGTTTCTTATTTTTTTTGGAAGTCGGCCCGCCTTTCAATCACGCATGCTTGGCTCGCACTTCCCTTCCCTTCAACGTTCTGTTGTTGAGAAAAAATGACAACTTCAGTTAGAAAGCGGGAAACGAATTTGTAAAAGTTGATAAACGTCCACTAAAAGGTTATTGGATTATCATTAGAAAACTAGCCAGTTTTTTGCCAGATTTGTTCGGAATAGCACGGAAACTTTCCAGGAAAAAAAGTAAAAACCATAGCACAGATTTATTAAAGAGTAAAGGACAACAAGTTCCTTTGGATAGAAACAGCTTCTTCTTTATATTTTTTTTTTTTCATTTATTCACTTTTCTACTTTATCTTCAATTACAAACACACTGCATCAGAACACTAGCATGTCCAACTCACAGGATTCTAAGGATATATCCATGGTGGACGTGTCGAAGGTTTTAGAATCAACCGTTCTGCAAGATGAAACGCAGACTCTTCAACCTCCGCAACGTAGAAAGTCCACGCTTATCTTAACAGATGAAATGGATGTAGACAACAGAAATCACACTGAACAGAGTAGCGGTAACAGTAGCACGAATGCCCTGGGACTTGAAGACAATATGCAAGTTGACAACCACGACTCAGAAAGTGGTGGTCGTAGTCAGCAAAACGAAGAAAACAAGCAGCAACAACAACAGCAACAGCAACAAGGCACTGAGGTAAATGCAGACGGCCAAGCAGCTCCTCTACCAGACCCAAGTGTCACTATTCCCGTGGACATCAAATGGGTTCAAGGAGGTGAAAAAGTTTACGTGACTGGTTCGTTCACAGGCTGGAGAAAGATGATTGGGTTGACCAAACAGCCTGATGGTGACTATTCTATCACGTTGGGTTTACCTCTTGGTACACATAGGTTTAGGTTTGTCATTGACAACGAGTTGAGGTTTTCCGACTACTTGCCCACCGCAACTGACCAAATGGGTAATTTTGTGAACTATGTAGAAGTTACTCATGAGAGCATTCAATCACATTTAAATCAGTTAGACGACCTGCAACTGCAACAACAAGATCTGGAACTCCAACAACATCAGCAAGTTCAAGAAAATGAACAAGATAAAGGGCCACAAGAGCAGCAGCAAGGCTCATTTGCTCGGAAATCGTCCATGTCGGGCTCTAAATCTAGAAGTAACTCTATATGGGGATTGACTAACGATGACGACGACATGGGTAATGGCTATTCTAGATACCATGAGGAAGTTGATAATGATAGCAACAAATTCCAATACATTACAGACATACCTCCAATCTTTACAGACCCAAAGGTAATGGAGCAGTACTACATGGCTATTGACAAGCAATCTAAGTCTCAGAATGGGCTGCAACAGGCTTGGTTACACCCACCACAATTGCCTCCGCATTTAGAGAGTGTTATCTTGAATAATTTCAACTCTATGGATAACAATTCAGGTGCATTGCCTATTCCAAATCACGTTGTCTTAAACCATTTGGCTACCACTAGTATCAAGCACAATACACTTGCAGTTGCTTCTATTGTGAGGTACAAGAGGAAATATGTTACTCAAGTTCTTTATGCTCCATTACAACAATAAGTTTGTAGAAAACATTAATTTCACATTTGCATTAAATATCACAGACTAGAAGTAGAGTAGAACACATCAAGGGTGTAGGAATTTTACTGTGTATGAAAAGAAGAGGAGAATCTACGTTTACTTCATTGATTTCATATCTTTTATTGTGATAAACACTTTTGTGATGTATTATGGAGTCTTAAGCGCTTAAGACTACCAGCCATAAACATCTAATAGTCGTCATTGTTGTTACCACCACGGCCAGATGATCCGTAGGAGTCGGAGTTGTCACGGCCAGATGATCCATACGAGTCGGAGTTGTCACGACCAGAAGATCCATACGAGTCGGAGTTGTCACGACCAGAAGATCCGTAGGAGTCTGAGTTACCACCACGGCCAGAGGATCCGTAGGAGTCTGAGTTGTCGTTACCAGATGATCCATATGAGTCGTTTCCTCCACGGCCAGAAGATCCGTAAGAGTCGGAGTTGTCACGACCAGAAGATCCGTAAGAGTCGGAGTTGTCACGGCCAGAGGATCCGTAGGAGTCTGAGTTACCGCCACGGCCAGAGGATCCGTAGGAATCGGAGTTGTCACCACGGCCAGAAGATCCATAAGAATCATCAGAGTCCTTTCCACCACGGCCAGAAGAGCCGTAGGAGTCTTGGTTACCTGATGATCCGTAAGAATCTTGGTTGTTACCAGAAGAACCGTAAGAGTCGTTGTTGTTGTCGTCGTCCTTTTTACCTAAACCGAAAACCATTTTGAATTGTGTATATATGTATATGTATATATCTTGAGAATGAATTGAATATTCTTTATACAAGAAGAGAAGAAGAAATGTGAAAAATATGAAATTCAATTGACGAAATTTCCTTCCTTATATACTAATATTTTGATGCTCAATTGCTTCAACAACTACCTTGCTTGTCGAATTTTCAAGACACGGGGGTCCAGGTGAGGCGCAAATTGAAACCACCACACATATACTTGGAAAGATGTGGGGCATGTATCATCATGACACCTGTAACAACAATGTCCTATAAACTTAAATAATAAAGCAACCTTTATGTGCACTACAACCCTGAAATATGCATAATTTAATTCCTCACTAAGCCTGTTCTTGAAAAGGGGATCTTGTAAAGTTTATTCTTAGTTACCGTTGTGAATTAAACCTTCTTTAACATTCTTTGCTTGGAGGAGGCTGCACAATGACATGGTACCAATTACCCTACCATTTCATCCCCATGCAGCAAAGAAGTCATTGGAATGTATCTTGTATTCATTGCACTGCCTCATAATATGTAGCAGATCGAAATCATTTTTCCATTTCATGTTCCTTTTTCATTCTATAGTCTTTTCTGTTTTCGAAAGAGCATGTCTTAGGTTGCACTTACACCACCTTGCATATTGTGTGTATTGCCGAATTGTTAAATAATACTTGAGCAAGAATACACCAATTCCCAATTAAAGTGGCTTTTCGCATGGAAAATTGACCCTAGGAGTCGGTCACAGAACGAAGGCTATTACCGTTTTACGGGATTACCATCAATTGGGCGGCAGGTGCTCCAACAACATGGCAATTGAATTAATTCACCGAGCCAAACGTCTAAATGTGGGGCCACGAATATTTTTCATCCACAGATATTTTTCAAAGACACCCTCACACGTGATTGGTATTTATGCGTCTCTTGCATGAATAGAAGGTAGGCTCTTCAACAACTGCCATCCTATTATTATATTCTAAATGTCAAGAGAACTCGATTTCTTCAGTTAAGTGGACACGGTTTTGACATGTTCCCCTGTTTGCACGGAGGACTGTTGATACTGATGGAATCCTTCTTAGTGATCCTGTTTAACTTCTAATAGAATTGCTTTTTTTAAGATCAATTTCTTGATGAAGCAAAAATGTTCTCTTGCCTTACCCCTTAATTCGAAAGAAACGTCATCATGCGACACCGCATATGTGGGCTTTGTGTCATAAAATAATTGGTGTTTATTCTAAGCCTAAAAGCAACAATCATCGTCTAAAGTCTACCCTTAAAAAAGGTAACAAAAAACAAAATAAGATGTAGAGCATACAATGTAGTGTACGCGGTCATCCCCCTATTGTAATATAATTCGAAATTTGGTCATGAATAATCTTGTATCCTTTTTATTTTGCCTCAATTTAGCTTGCATGGAATTTCGAACTGTACCATCATCTGGGTTTTTGTGCGACAAAGTTCCAAAGCTCTAATTTTTCAGTTTTAGGTTGCAACCATTCTCAGCTTTTCACGAACGATGGAGAGCACAACCGCTGTTGAGTGTTTGTTAACTGAACCGATTTCGTAGGACAGGTAGCTTAGAAAACGGTACAGTTAAGCAATTACACCTACACATCTATACTACCTACTCTTCTATATGTATCTCATCACTTTGTACTTCACCTACTCTCGCTTATACAGTTTTGAGAAGAATAATGCCGAGCGATGCTCTTATAATTAATTCACGAGTTGCAATACCTCAATATAGAGCCTTACAAAAGTGATTACATGTTACATGAACTCTTACCTGCATGTTTTACGCTTAATAAAAACTAGAAAAATATATTATAGGTAATAGTTACCCATAGCTACTTATAGAAAGAGATAGATATACTTCAATTAATTGATAGGCATCTTGCTATCACAAAGGCTATCACGTTGAGGACTCCAATTTATGGAAAGTGTCCAATTCTAGGACCAAAGTATCCATCTGGAGCAGATTCGGTAGCATTGAGAATTGATTGCTGTCCATATCCACCATCGACTCCGACATATGGGACATTGTTACCCCACCAGTTAATAGATTTGTCGTGATATTGAACAGCAAAGAAGATAATAATACTACTGAACGCAACACCAGCGTCTAATCCACCAGATAAAACAAAATTATACTTTTCCCACCAGGTCAAGTAGTGTTTCTTAATGTAGTACATAAAAGAATAGGACACATACAAACCTGGAGTATAGTATGACAAGTTATATGGTGCATAACTTATGAAGCCACCCATGAAGAGAGTTGGCTGGAAGTATCTTGTCCATCTCTTTGGACCATACCACTTGAAAGCAAGAGCTGGGAAAACCAACAAGAATCCGATTAAGAAACAGTATTGCAAGACTGGATACAATCCACCAAAGACTCTCTTTGGCCCGATTGTACCCCACAAAACGGATGCAGAAAAGAAAGTTCTCGAGTTTGGACAAGTGAATTTTTGTGATTGGCCTGGGTGACAAATATTTTCAATAGAAGTAAATTGCCAGTTCATAACAGCCAATCCAATGAAACTACCTACGAAAACTGCAAGTAACTGACCTCTGAAAAGTGCACGGGGTGGGATCTTGGCATAGTGTGCCATCTTTTGATCTGAAACATAATTTTGTGCTTGACCATCAATATTGTACCCGAATGCTTTAATAATCATTAAAGCTTGGGAGTTACCTGGGAGAGCATATCCAACAATCAATTCAACTAAGACATTTAATCCGAAACCCCAACCAGTGGAACTAACAAGATATGTCAATGGAATCAAGAATACAAAATTAATTCCAACAGCGAAGAAAATAGCCCACACTGGTGTCTGTGTTGGATATAATTCAACACACAAAATACCTAACACAATTGAAATGACTAAAATGACAAGGAAGCACCATTCTGGTACTTCTGGGTAACGGGACATCATCTTGGAATGTGGATCGTGAAACTGTTCAAGTATTGGCTTTCTGAAATCTTTAAAAGTGTCGATGATATCAAAGTAAGATTGCTTAAGTGCTTTCCATCTAACAGCACTTTCGTAAAAGATACCAAATGGATAAATAGCGAAGAATGCACCATAAACAACTAAGTTACCAGCAGTATAAAATGGTGGACCATATTGTTGATACTTTTCCTCATCAAGTAAACCTACGTCATTCAAAACTTCAGCAACTTGGTAAGTCTCTCCTACATTGTTGAAGAGACCATTAGAGTTCAAAGGAAGATAAGCTGACCACTTACTATTTGTCCAGTAAACGGCACAAATAACAGGTAATGCAAGAAACGTACCAAGGTAAACATTAAGCAGTGTATACCATGGCACGACCAAAGGAGTAGTATATGAAATAATATTCCAATCAAAAGTGGTGATTGGGTTTAATCCAAGGCCACCAACACTACCTGTGATCATTGCAAGATTGAAACTTTCAGGCTTGATCCAAGTCATCCAATTAAAGTATGACAATGCTCCAAACAAATAATCTGGGACCCAAAACCAAAGGAACGAAGCTCCAAATGTGGTGAAAAAGAAATAGTATCTCGAAACTTTCCATCCATTGATGTTTTCTTTCTTGGTAGGGTTGAGTAAGGCCTGATTCAAAGCAAGAGTTGGTAATAATGTTGGCCAAATTGCTTTGATTGGGTAACAAGCAAATCTTCTCAAAACACCAGCAAACCCGAACCCTAAGAAATTAGTAGAGAGTGACAATAAGACTTGATATCCCCAGGTTACCCAAGTATTACCGTAGAATACATCAACCTTTTGTGAATAGATGTTATAGGAGATATACTGACTACCAGAAGCAACAGAATAAATAATGGTAGCAAACATTTGTTCTTTGTATGTCCATGGACCAGGGTTCAATCTAAATGAGAATTTTCCAAGAGGAACAGTGACATCAGGAAAGATAGTATACCAAATCAAACCACTTGGGTAAAGGAAAAGTTGAGCAACAGCAGTTGACATTGAAATAGAAGGTTGTCTTTCTGCAAAGAATTGGTTAATAAATGCACCGATTCCTAACCAGATTATACCAATAACATATGCCCTTAAAGTTTCAACAGGTGTATTTGGATCGTCGAATGGAAGTGTAACAGATCTTACTTCTGGGTAAGGTGAGTGGTAAGCGACAATAGCAGCTTCTAATCTTACCTGTAAGTCCCAGTCAACAATTGTAAGGTAATCATGTTGGTTGGCTTCTAACTGACCATCAGCATCTGAATTAATGTTGACTGATTCGGTCAGTACCTTTTCAACATCCTTTCTATCGAGCTGATTTGCCAAGTTGTTTCTGACACTGTTTTCGAAATTATCAGGTGTGTGTTCAATTAACCTTAAATTTAAATCTAAATCCTCAGCTGGGTAGTTGAAATCATCCTCAAAATCTTTATAGTTTTCCTTTAAGATTTCTAAAGCTTCCTCGACCAGCAAATTTTCGATTTTTTCGATCATAAAGGTTGCTCCAACTGGAAGATCTTCCAAAGATTCTAAGACGTCATAGTGCAATCTCTTCAAAATGAAATGTTTCTGTTCATTAGTCAAGGTTACACCAACTTCCCCAATAGAAATCGCTTTAGATGTAACTGCGGCTAAATCAATCTCGTGGTCTTCGACCTGCCTGAAACTTGCGGCACTAGTGATACTAGTGACACTATTAATTTTCTCTTGTGACGCCATTCTGCTTCCAGTACTTGAGGTTAAATTGTCTGGGAAATTTTTAGCAAAGAGTTAATTAATTAAGGGAAATTAAGTTAATCAAGAAAGGTCTAAAATGTGTTGGACGAGTGCTTTATATATCATTTGTGGGAGAAGTTGTCAATCAATCTTTTGTGCCATGCTATCTTATCTTTCAACTGTGGAGTGCAAATTTGGAGTGGCTCATTTAGCAATATGCACCTAGGTCGTAAAGTAGCGAATATTGCATAAAAAGAAGGGCTAAGTACGATAGCGCTGTATTATCCTAGCTTCTTGCAAAAAATGATTAAATTGCCATGCAGCAGTACGGCTTCCTTTACACTTTCTCCTTGGTTGCAAACCTTATTTCTATCTGCACAGTCCGGACAAAAAGGGTTCAGCCGTCGAGCGCATTTTTAATTTTGTTATTTTCTTGTAATTTCTTAGCGATTTTAAGCCCTCTTTAACAAAGCAAGCTTCTTGAAAGATAGCAAGAGAGTAAATTCTTGATATTAATAGTATGAATTATGATACTTAATCATCACTTAGTCGATAATTAGAAGATCAAAGATAAGATATTTTGATTCAGTATGCAATAATTGATTGTCTTGTGTAAGACTCGGAATTAAGAATTTTTCTGTGACCTCATAAGAGAGGGTTATCAATCTAAGCTGATAAGGAGGGTCTGAACACTATACTTGATACAACTTTAATTGATTTCAGGAAGTTTCAACAAACTGGAAGCATTCATAAAAAGAAATATTTGAGTTATCATGATGGAAGTGAGTCTAGACACCGAATAGCAGAAACAATAGATTCCTCAAATTGAAGTAGTTTGCCTTGAAGGTTAGTGAAATTTGATGAAACGTACCTGGTAAACACTCTTCGAGATATCTTATCTGTTTCCGGAATTTCATTTGGTAAATCCCTCATCCTTAACAACGGGATCAAAGAGATGATGCATTAGCTAAAGTGCCTGTTAATCGTAAGGCACCTAGTATCATAATCTCTGCCATTCAGGCTCGTTCTAAATATTCATCGAAAATAGTTCGAATTCCCGTTCTTTAAATATAAAATAATTTCAGATTCTTGTAACTGCGTTGAACGGGGCTTTTTCTATAGTCAAGCCACTTCGCATAGATAATATCTATTGTGATACCCACAACTGAAGAATCGTGATATACTATGTCGACGATGAAAGGTATTGTCCTGCTCGAGACTATAATTGAAAGCGATTGAATGAATTAACTAGCTGTGTCTTTAGAACACTACTGTTAACATTTGAGGTCGCTTCACAGTTTTTAATATAAAGAATCTCATTTCTAACAACAAAATCTAACTGAACACGGCTTATTGTTAAGTTTCTATGCATATTTCATGCAGTTGCTGGTAAATTATTTAGACTAATGAAAAGTTCCATGCTTCTGTCAATCTAACTTTGCTGGACAGAAGAAGATGAATTTAAATGCCGATTCTGTAATACGATATAGCTCGCACAGCATATTCAATACCAGCACAATACTGTATTCAAAGCCGGGATCATTTTTCCTAGTTGTTCACATCAATGTGTCTAATGGTGACATAAAGAGTTGGAAAAGCATACTTTAAGATTCTTCTACAGCAAATACCTTATTAGATTATAATTTATTGGCTTTCAACTACCCTAGTGACTACAATTTGATTGATTACCTCTTGAAAAGAAGTACCATCTCATAACCATTTATGGGAAGTTACCCTTTCTTGGACCGAAATATCCATCTGGCGCATTTGCGGCATCAAGAATAGTTTGCTGACCATAACCTCCATCAACACCTACCCAGGACACATCATTACCCCACCAATCGATACTTTTGGCATGATACTCTACTGCAAAGAAGATAATAATACTACTAAATGCAACACCTGCATCCAATGCACCAGATAAAACGAAATTGTACTTCTCCCACCAGGTCAAGTAGTGCTTCTTAATGTAGTACATAAATGCAAATGATGCGTAAACACCTGGAGTATAGTAGGACAAGTTGTAAGGGGCATAGTTTAAGAATCCACCAATGAAAATGGATGGCTGGAAGTATCTTGTCCATTTCTTTGGGCCATACCATTTGAGTGCAAGAGCTGGGAAAACCAATAAGAATCCAATTAAGAAACAGTATCTCAATAGAGGATATAATCCACCAAAGACTCTCTTTGGCCCGATTGTACCCCACAAAACGGATGCAGAAAAGAAAGTTCTCGAGTTTGGACATGTGAAGTCTTGTGATTGTGTTTCCGAGCAAATATCCACAATAGAAGTAAATTGCCAGTTCATAACAGCCAATCCAATGAAACCACCTACGAAAATAGCAAGAATTTGACCTCTGAAAACAGCACGAGGTGGGATCTTAGCATAGTGTGCCATCTTTTGATCTGAAATATAGTTTTGTGCTTGACCATCAATATTGTAACCGAATGCTTTAATGATCATCAAAGCTTGTGAGTTACCTGGAAGAGCATACCCAATAATCAATTCAACTAAGACATTTAACCCGAAACCCCAACCAGTGGAACTAAGAAGCATAGTCAATGGGATCAAAAAAACAAAATTGATTCCAATAGCAAAGAAAATGGCCCACACTGGTGTTTCGGTTGGATATAATTCAACACATAAGATTGCTAATACGATTGAAATGAGTAATATGACAAGGAAACACCATTCTGGGACCTCTGGGTAACGAGACATCATCCTAGAGTGTGGATCGTGGAATTGATCGATGACAGGTTTTTTGAAATCTTTAAGAGTCGCAATGATATCAAAGAAGGATTGCTTAAGTGCCTTCCATCTTATGGCAGTCTCATAAACGACAGAGAATGGATAAATTGCAAAGAATGCACCATAAACAAGTAAATTTCCTGCGGTATAGAATGGTGGACCATACTCTTCATATTTGTCAACGTCAAGTAAGCCTTTTGAATCTAAAACAGAATTGACATCGTATGAGGTACCTACGTTATTGTAGAGACCATTGTCATTGAGTGGAAGGTAAGCTGACCATTTACTATTAGTCCAGTAAATGGCGCAAAGGATAGGGAATGCAAGCAACATACCAAGATAGTTATTGATTTGTGAGTACCATGGATAGATCAAAGGATAATTGAAGGAAATAATATTCCAATCGAACGTTGTGATTGGATTGAATCCAAGTCCCATATAACTTCCTGTGATCATTGCAAGATTGAAGTTCATTGGCTTAATCCAAGTCATCCAATTGAAATAGGATAACGCGTTGAAAAGGTAATCTGGAACCCAGAACCAAAGGAATGATGCCCCGAACACAGTGAAAAAGAAATAGTATCTTGAAATTGTCCATCCATTGATATTCTCTTTCTTACTTGGGTTAAGTAAGGCCTGATTTAATGCAAGAGTTGGTAAAATGGTTGGCCAAATTGATTTAGTTGGATATATGGAGAATCTTCTCAAAATACCAGCAAAACCAATACCTAAGAAATTAGTGGAAAGCGACAATAAGATCTGATACCCCCAAGTGGCCCAGGTGTTACCATAGAAAATCTTTTGAGAGTAAATGTTATAAGAGACATACTGACTTGCATCAGCGACAGCATAGATAATAGTTGCGAACATTTGTTCTTTATATGTCCATGGACCAGGGTTCAATCTAAATGAGAACTTCCCAAGAGGAACAGTGACATCAGGAAAAATTGAGTACCAAATGAAACCACTTGGGTAAAGGAAAAGTTGAGCAACAGCCGTCGACATAGTAATGGCAGGTTGTCTTTCAGTGAAGAATTGGTTGATAAAAGCACCAATTGCTAACCAGATTACACCAATAACGTATGCTCTGAATGTCTCTGCTGGAATACTGGGGTCATCGTAAGGAAGTGTAACAGATCTGATTTCAGGATAAGGTGAGTGATAAGCTAAGATTGAAGCTTCTAATCTCACTTGCAAATCCCAGTCAACGATTTTTAAGTAATCAGCTGCGTTAGCTTCTAACAGTGAATCTTCTGCGTTTGAATTAACACCGATGGACTCAGTCAGTACTTTTTCGACAACCTTGGTGTCCAACTGTTCATCCAATTTTGATTTGACATGCTCTTCAAAACTTCCAGGAGTATGATTGATTAACCTTTTAATCAAATCCAAATCTTCCTCTGGGTAGTTGAAGTCATCTTCAAATTCTTCATAACTTTCCTTCAAGATTTCCAAAGCTTCCTCGGCCAGCAAGTTTTCAATCTTTTCAAGCATAAAAGTTGCTCCAACTGGAAGATCGTCCAAAGATTCTAAGACGTCATAGTGCAATCTCTTCAAAATGAAATGTTTCTGCTCACTAGTTAAGGTTACACCAACTTCTCCAATAGATATCACTCTAGAGGCAATGGCGGCTAAGTTCACTTCGTGATCTTCAACCTCTCTGAAACTGGTGGCACTAGTAATACTAGTGATTTGATTTAATCCCTTCTCTGATGGTGGCATTCTGCAAGTAATACTTATATTTCCTTAGAACACCTTCAGGTTTTGATATTTTAGAAGAGATAATTAATGGAAACCAAAAACTAAATGTGCAGCAATGAAGAAGAAGAGAGACACCTATGGTTTATATAGGTCGCTGTAGCGAAGTGATTAGCTAGTGCCACTTTTGCCGGGATTTTGCGTTGTGGTTCTTATCTTGGTATTGTGGAGTAGGGAGTGGAGTGGCTCATTCATCAGTATGCAACTATATTACACACTAATCAGTCATAAGATAAGAGGAGTGATTGATTCGGTGCAACCTTCTTTCATTCTCCCTCGTAAAAAATATTATTATTCACTGCCATGGACTCGAACGGCTTCGATAAAACTGTCAGATTGGCTGCTAAAACTTCCTTTTTTTTCGGGGACTCGCGCTGTCATACCTAAAAGATAGCCAATCTTGCATGAGATCGCGGATTATTTTTTCACAGTCACCGGTACCTACTGTCCATGATATCTGGCTCATTACAGTTAAGTGTCTACGTTGGCGAACTACGAGATCATAAACCAGCTGATACCAGGCTCTGAAACTTACTTTAGACCTGTATGAATAGCATAATACCGAAACTTTGCAAATTTCGGCAATAATACTTCTAAGCTCTGTGTATGGATTTAAGGTTTTAGGAAGATTTTCGAAAGGATCCCCATTTTGGAATGGCTCAAAAAATAATTGATGCGTTATATATGGTTGTGTGTAAAATTTAGCACATAATTTTGTATTGATGCACCTTAACGAAAGAAACACCCACAGTTTAATGTGACGGCTTAACAACCATGACAAGTGATGTGAGTTATTTATGCCTTTTTTCTGCTGAATATGCAACATTTTGTTTGAGATGTCAATTGTTTGATATTGCTGATTAAGGTCTCTTCGTTAAATCCGTTGGTTTTTTTGACCAAAATTTCTAAGCGAAATTTTTAAGTTTCTCTAATCACTTTGATAATCCCGCAACTGAACGAAATTTATCTAAAGGGCTTGCATCATACATGCACAAAACCAGAAGGAGCCCGCCGATCGCATGGCTAGTCTAAGAAAGTCTAATTCAGAACTTTTGGGAAAGCTTTCAAACGAACGGAAGTGCCAGAAGCAATATCCAGCTTATGCTTCTTGAAAATATTTTTTTTATTATACACTAATGATTTAAGAATGCATCAAAGACAGTCAGTATTCCATTATGTTATCGCAAGGGTTTTCGCTTAGCCGGAGAATAGGATTTCTCTCTTATCACATATTGAATGAGCCCAAACCTGAATTTCATTTAGATTATGGTAATTCTCACTGATATTTCTCTCATTGTAATCGGCATATGGAATTTCAAATACCTGGAATGGTTGCAATTTTTTAGGTGGATTACAGTGCGATGTGTCAAAAGCTTAATGATCTCAATATAAGAAAGAATACATTCGCTCAGATTGCTGAACTTGGACCATCTGTGCGGTGTGTCCAGGAATCACGATGAACCTTGTCTGTTTCGGAATATGTCTAGGATTTACTGGCTACTTCTTAACATTAAATCAACTTAAGAAGGTATGTCCATACCTATGATACTTGCCTACTCGTAACCTATTGTTTGCTTACATGAATATAATGAATTTAATAACATTGTTCATTGTTCTTTATGGAACTTCTTGTAACCTCCCAGTCTAACGATTCCAATTTATGGGAAATTACCAATTCTTGGACCAAAGTATCCGTCTGGTGCCGATACAGAAGCATCAAGAATGGTTTGATTGTAATATCCACCATCGACACCTACCCATGACACATCATTGCCCCACCAACTGATGGACTTGTCATGGTATTGAACAGCAAAGAAAATTATTATACTGCTGAATGCAACACCTGCGTCCAATCCACCAGATAAAACAAAGTTATACTTCTCCCACCAGGTCAAGTAGTGCTTCTTGATGTAATACATAAATGCAAATGAAACGTACAAACCTGGAGTATAGTAAGACAAGTTGTAAGGAGCATAGTTCAAAAATCCACCCATGAAAATTGAAGGTTGGAAGTATCTCGTCCATTTCTTTGGACCATACCACTTGAAGGCAAGAGCTGGGAAAACCAATAAGAAACCAATTAAGAAACAGTATTGCAAGACTGGATACAATCCTCCGAAAACCTTCTTTGGTCCAATTGTACCCCAGAAGACAGACGCAGAGAAGAAGGTAGTAGAACTGGGACATGTGAACTTTTGGGATTGATCACTATGACAAATATCAACAATGGTGTCGAACTGCCAATTCATGACACCTAACCCGATGAAACTACCTATGAACACAGCAAGTAATTGACCTCTGAAAAGTGCACGGGGTGGGATCTTGGCATAGTGTGCCATCTTTTGATCTGAAATATAGTTCTGCGCTTGACCATCAATGTTATAACCAAATGCTTTAATGATCATTAAAGCTTGGGAGTTACCTGGAAGAGCATACCCAATAATCAATTCAACCAAGACGTTTAATCCGAAACCCCAACCAGTGGAACTAATAAGATACGTCAATGGAATCAAAAAAACAAAATTGATTGCAACAGCAAAGAAAATAGCCCACACTGGTGTTTCGGTTGGATATAATTCAACACATAAGATTGCTAACACGATTGAAATGACCAAAATGATGAGAAAACACCATTCTGGGACTTCTGGGTAACGAGACATCATCTTGGAGTGTGGATCGTGAAACTGTTCAAGTACTGGTTTTCTGAAATCTTTCAATGTCTTAACGATATCGTGGAAGGAAGTCTTGATTTCCTTCCATCTGATAGCTGACTCGTAAAAAACAGAAAATGGATAAATAGCAAAGAATGCACCGTAAACAACCAAATTACCTGCAGAGTAAAATGGTGGTCCGTATTCTTCATACTTTGCCTGATCAAGTAAGCCTTTATCGTTTAAAACAGATGCAACTGTGTAACTTCCACCAACGTTGTTGAATAATTTATTTGAATTCATTGGAAGGTAAGAAGTCCATTTACTATTTGTCCAGTAAATGGCACAAATAACAGGGAGTGCTAGTAACGTACCAAGATAGTTATTGAGCTGAGTGTACCATGGGTAAATCAATGGATAATTAAAGGAGATAATATTCCAATCAAAGGTAGTAATTGGGTTCAATCCAAGTCCTTTATAACTGCCTGTAATCATAGCAAGATTGAAGTTATCAGGCTTAATCCAAGTCATCCAATTGAAGTATGACAATGCTCCAAACAAATAATCTGGGATCCAAAACCAAAGGAAGGAAGCTCCAAATGTGGTGAAGAAGAAATAATATCTTGAAACCGTCCATCCATTGATGTTTTCTTTCTTACTTGGGTTAAGCAAAGCTTGATTCAAAGCAAGGGTTGGTAACAAAGATGGCCAAATGGCTTTAATTGGATAACAAGCAAATCTTCTCAAAATACCAGCAAAACCGAACCCTAAGAAATTGGTAGAGAGTGAAAGTAAAATTTGATATCCCCAGGTAACCCACGTATTGCCATAAAATACGTCAACCTTCTGGGAATAGATATTATAAGAAATATACTGAGTTGAAGCAGCGACAGAGTAAATAATAGTAGCAAACATCTGCTCCTTATAAGTCCAAGGACCTGGATTCAACTTAAATGAAAATTTTCCAAGTGGGACAGTAACGTCTGGGAAAATCATATTCCAAAGATAACCACTAGGATAAAGGAAAAGTTGAGCAACAGCAGTGGACATCGTAATGGAAGGTTGTCTTTCAGTGAAGAATTGGTTTATGAATGCACCAATTGCTAACCAGATTACACCAATGACGTATGCCCTGAATGTTTCAGCTGGAGTATTTGGATCATCATAGGGAAGTGTGACAGATCTGACTTCAGGATAAGGTGAGTGGTATGCCACGATAGCAGCTTCTAATCTCACTTGCAAATCCCAATCCACAATTTCAAGGTACGCTGATTTGTTAGCTTCTAACGGACCATCCTCTCTTGAGTGTACGTCTATTGATGTTGTCAGTACTTTCTCCATGTCCTTACCCTCCAACTGTTCGCCTAACTTGGTCTTGACGGTGTCATCTAGCTGGCCAGGCGCTTGGTTAATTAATCTTAAGATCAAGTCTAAGTCTTCCGCTGGGTAATTGAAGTCATCTTCAAACTCTTCGTAGTTTTGCTTTAAGATTTCTAAAGCTTCCTCAACTTGCAAGTTTTCGACCTTTTCAATCATGAATGTTGCATCGAGTGGTAAATCGTCTAAAGTATCCAAAACATCGAAATGCAATCTTTTCAAGATTAAATGCTTCTGCTCGGTTGTCAAGTTCACCCCAACTTCACCAATAGATATTTGCTTTGAAGTAACTGCAGCTATATCAATCTGATGATCTTCCACCTGTCTGAAACTAGTGGCACTAGTAATACTAGTGATTTGATTTAAATTCTTCTCTGATGGAGGCATTCTATATCTTATTGTTTTAAATATGAATGTCTTCAAGAATATTCAAATAAAGGAAGAAATTAATGAGAATAATTATAGAATCTACAGAGTTCAGCATGAGAAGTATACTACTATATATATACCAACTGAATTGAGTTTATCTAAAGTGTTTTGCTACATCTTGGAAACTGTCGTTATCGTGCAGCTGTGGAGAACACTTTGGAGGTGGCTCTCCTGTCTTCATGTGGCTAGATAAGAGAATTTTCCTTAATGGAATGATTCACCGGTGGAAGTCCAAGAATTCCAAGAATTTTTGTTGGCCACGAACAAGTACGGCTTCCTGGTGGTACAGTGCATTCAATAGCTGCTCGCGCAAGTGATGTCCTTCTGCCACAGATTACACGGCAACCACTTGAGTGGGTAGAGCTCACTAAATGGTTGCAAATTACTTGATAACCATGGTGCATGCCAAGCAAAAGAGATCTGAAATTCAAAACAAAGCTACATCAAAATCTACTATCGGCAAGTTGTAGAGAATTTACAAGAATGCTCTATCAGATTAGAATATGCGCATAATCAGAACTATACACTGAAACTGACGCCCATATACTCGATAAATTGACTTTATTTACTTATTGAAAGGTATACTTTGAACTATATTGAGTTCTTGTGGAGTTGCAGATGATAATTCTGGGTGATCATTCTGTAATATATTATATAATCAAGATACGAAGTCAATGTATCTTGATTCAAGTTCCAAGAATAAAAAATATAAAATTTTTTAGCCGCACTGCACTCGGGCCAATGAAGATTTCTCCTTAGTTTGGACCGGTGATTAAATGCGCCCTGCCATTCACCGAGATAAGACAATTCACATTTATTCCTAAAATGCACAAAGTTTACTTACAGCTGCTACTGTCTTTCAGCATTTGAAGAGAATATATGATTATAACAATATCTTAGCATTGCTTCATTCGCATCAGAACTCATCGGTTTCTGTCTGAATTTGCGATTATCACAAAAAATCGCCTACCATCAAGCGGCACCAAATTAAGCTCTTGGCGTTAATGCATGTATTGCGAAATATTAATGAACATACTACCGTATTATTTGAACTAAAGTATTTTTTACCACTTTTCGCTCAGGGCGGTATTAGCTGCTACCAGATTAGAAAGAAAAAATGGTCAGCGATGATATTGGTTGTTTAAGGCCATGTAAGAAGGTACTCAGATGCCGTTGCATGCCGCAATTGATTCAAAGAGTGAACGAACACCGGAAGCCCAACCCTCTTCTTCTGGAGTGAAATGTATGTTCAATGGATGACCTGAGGTGTCACCTGACTTCAAATGAGAATTGGTTTGCATTCTCAGTTCTCTCCCGTGACCCTTCTTTGCTATTTGACTTGTCATTTGAAGTTTTACAAGGCTTATGGTGACACATTTTGATACAAAAAACATTCAGAGATGAGTGGCATAGAAATTTAGAGCTGAGCAAACTGTTTCTGCAATGGTTCAATTTTCCAAACTTTACTCTAGTGCAATACAGATCAAGTTAAAGCTTGGGCTAATAGTATGTTGGAACTTCTACTGAAGGCAGTGGGTACTCTATTACTGATATGCAGTTCATTCTCTTGATTTCAACTGTTCAGTACCAATTATCAATAATTTCCTTGATCTCCTAATCATAATTTTTCCAACATTTCTGAATGCAGCACTACTATGTATGTGTAAAAGTTAACCTGCGAGCATTTCGTACAAGAACCACTAACATTAACCTATCATTTCTATCCCATCAACACCAGTTAAGCAGCAAATAATGAGACTAGGTAATATAGTGGGGATCGTACGCGAAGCTCTCCAGTGGTTATGTCTCTTCTACTACTTTTAAAAAATGTAGACTTCTTTTTTTCAATTGTTAGTATTCCTTAACCACAACTATAAACTCGAGTCTCAAGTACATCAATATATGAGCTTCTTAGTTCTCAATCCTTATCTCTGAAACTCATCCCTTTTCAATTTGAGTCTAAAAGTTTAGTACCTTGTTGCAATACTGTATACTATAGTTTATATCTTCAGCTAAGAGAGAGTATGCCATGCAAATAATTTTTTTACCAACTAGAATTTTGGACCAATATCTTCAATTCGTCTCACTCCTCACCATATTTGCGCTTATCTCAATCTAAAAACTTTGTTCTGATATCTTCGTATTTATGAGGCGTCTAGTTGCATATTTTGACATATGATCCACATTAAAAGTCATTTAAGGATTGAAAATGGCAATTTTATAAACGCTAGGACAGAGGAATTTATCGTTTAGTTCATTCCGCTTCGAATTAGCGACTTCGAGCCTCGTTTAGTATGGTTTGATGCAAAGCATGGCTTATTGTTGGATTTTGAGCTATTTGCAATATCAAGTACTCATTAGATTGACTTATGCAATGTAGTCTCATAGATCTGATACTAGAAAGAGTATTAACAAACCAAACCTTTGCTGCAATTGAGCTCTAGTCTGGCCCCGATTCTGGTATGGAGGGTTTTTTTCAGGAAATTTCAAGCCATCGTGGTCGCCCGAGTAATAAAAGATACAAGAAAAGGAAAACATAGTGTGTAAAGATTAAAATCCACGGAAGGCAGGATGTGCGTGTAGCCACTCCATGAGCTGGACATAAAGTATTCCGATGGAATCGGAATTAAAAAAATGGGCCGCTCAATTTTCGAAGTCAGTATGTGGCTTTAGAAAGAAGGCTTGAATATGTCAATCATTAGAAATGTTAGAGGTGGGGCTCGCTGGTGATGCCTCATGGATTTCTTTCATACGCCATTCAAATCAGAGCCACGAAGCGAGTGTAAATTCGGAATAACTGTTGAGTAGATGTAGCATGTGCTCTCAAACACAGTAAACATATATCTCGCAAGCCAACATTTATTTTTTGTAAATAATAATACATGCGAAATTATATCCCACTAAAACTAATGCTGGAAAAGAGCCAGTGACTTATTCTGCATTGTCTTATCCCATTTCGAACTATGCCTAATATTCATTTGGCTCGACAATAAGATCAAGTGTTAAAGTCGTGATGGTATAACTTCGTAAGGAGAGTCAGACCTCGACAAATTTACGGTGGAACATTGAGCCTTAAAAGATTATATGTGTATGCATGTGCATGACTAGACGTGCATGATGCATTCCCTTCAATAGATATAGACGTAAATAGTTTACGCTTTCCTGAGGCTATCTTACTCAAGTCCTTAATCTAAAGCTAACACTAAATTACATCCAGTTTCATCATGACTTAGTGATGACATATTTCATTTGATAAGGGGATGCTGCTTATATAAGCAGCGCATTTTGCAAAAATATAGCAAGGGGCAGCTAATTTAAGCAGTAAACGAAAATTATAACGCTTCGAGTAGGTATAGTATATAGTGTACTCTATTAAATAGAAGAAGTGGAAACAGAGGAGCAAAATGTTTTTCCACTTGCATTTGAATACGTTTAAGAATCGCCTTCGCATTGATCTCTCATTAATGTCAGAAAAAGCTTTAAATGATGAAAATATCACCAGCCGATCCGCAAATCGTTCTCTTAGCAAAGCACAAGGTGTCTCTCTACTTTCGGAAAAGGAATATAAATATGATGAAAACACTTTTAGTAAATCTAAAATTCGTCCTCGTAGAAGAGAAAGGGTTCAAAATATTAAGCAGTGTTCAATATGCACTGAAAACCAGCGAGCATTCGATGCCATGTACAAGTAAATGAGATGGCAGGAGTCCAATGGACTCAATTAGAGTGCGTTGTGCACATAATCGTCAAATAACTAGTCTATGAATTCAAAATGGCTCTGGAGACCTTAAATATATCTATGTTAATATACTTTTTCTTTTTATTCATAAAAGTAGAATTCTAGAGAAGTTGGTGAGCCGATTGTCTCAGGTGTATTCCTTATTTTCTAATCAGTGTAGCTTTTGTAACCTTCATGCAAATCCAAACTTTATATAGAGGTTCCCTATTCAAATCGGTATAAATGATTAAAATTTAGGCTTTATAGTTCAAGGGATGGGTTAACTAAAAAGAGCTGGCCAATTATTTATGTGACATGTTGGAATACGCTTATGTATTAAGCCGGAAAGGTGTAGAATACATGGTTGCATTAAGAAAGGATAGGGACAGGCTGCATAAAAATATTTTTGAACACTTTAGGGGTAGCTCAGCTAACCCCAATGAAGCATGTTCGAAGTACTAGCTTTTTGATTATACGATCATTAATCCCGCACAGGCTCTTACAGAATGGCAAAAGAACTCATGATTCTGCCAAAGTTCGTACGTTCGAAAAGAAATATTAGCCTATGCCGAAAGCAGCATTATCTAGTTCTCGTATATATTATTATAAGCCTAGTCGCACCGAAGACTTCCAATTAAATGAAATTAAGTATAAAATTAAACCATCGTAGAACAACGGTTGATAACAAGAATAGTGACCAAACTACTAATATTATTGAAACATGGTTACACACAAGAAGCAACCAAAGTATATGTATTATAGAAAAATTACCCAAACGAGCGTTTGGTCGCATCACTTACGTAAGAAGGATGCATGCCATATCGTTAAGTCAAGGTGCTACTTGAAAAGAGGTATTAATTTTTTTCTTTATGATCTCCTCAGGCTCTCTGAACCTTGTGGGAAAGCTCCCCTAAAACCTTTCTGAGATGAATTCTTATCTTTATTCTAGATTTCGCATGGGCTCTATTAACCTGTTGTGAGTATTTATCGGATTCACTTATTGTGCTCGTCGGCATACGCATATTAGACTTCACCCTTTTCAACTTTACCATTAAGGCCTCAGCATATGTTGACGACACATTAACTGGACGTACAATCTCTCTCCAAACAAACGACTTAAGTAGCATTTTCTTGGCTGTGGAAGGGTAGTATTCACTTTGGGTATCAGCCTCGTGCTCACCGATGAAAAGGTGGAAACAAGGTGACAGCCTCAAATTCAAATCCTTGAGGAAATACTGCAGAGTGAAGTACCTTGGGTCTGAAATCCCACGGTCAGCCTTGTAAGACCTACCTAGGTGGAACAATCTGACTTGGTCGATGTAGTGAAGATTCTCCAGTCTATCGTGATTTAGGATATAGATGAGCAAGTGGTTCACCGTTAGACTTTGAAGCACTTTATCTCTAGTAATCTTGTATTGTTCGATCTCTTCGTAAAGTTCTTTGTGCACATAGTCGACCAAATCGTTCAAAGTAAGAACATATCTCTCACCAGTAGAAGATCTGAGGAGTTCTATTTTGGTGTTGGAATAAGTAGCGCAGGCATCGGCAGCAGTAGAAGTAGAAGTAACAGATGCATCGATGTCTGTTTCCTCATCTTCATTCTGCTCAGTGTGCAAGTTTCTATTGAATATTCTATCAAGAGCTCTTTCACTATAGGGTATACTGTTCACCACTTGGGATGTCATTGTGCACATGGACGAGCACGGAGTCAAATTTCTCATGAACTCATCATAGGCGGAATCGAGATCGCTCAAGTCAATATCAGCCGGCTGATAGGCTTGAGAGGTCGGTTCCAGGTCAGATTCTAAGGAAGGCTTTGAACGACCTAATGTACCGTCTTTTGCAGCACCCAGTTCGGCCCCCTCTTGTGGCTTGGAATCTGACCCACGTTTAGTTACCTGGCTTAGCTCTCGATGTAGATCAAACTCAGTCAGGTATATCTGCCAATTCAATATTGGGTCCTGGGGATCTATTTCGTTCATAGTGAGTAGTAATAAGCGGAACGAACTCTAATAGTCGATAAATAGTGAAAAAAATCACCTATATATATTTCGGTTTCTAGTGAAAGAAAAATAACAAGACTTTTTAAGATTAGATTGAACGCCGTTCCACTAAAAAAATATATTGTACTACTAACAGGTGACCTAGTGTGTGAATGTTAACAGTATTGTTACTAGCATTCACTGTATTTGGGACTAGTTGTTGCGAAATGTTTTCACTGAGTGTTATATGCTCTCCACAACTACAATAGTATCTCTCAACAAAGAAAAACGCAGTAAGCTAGACATTTATTTCCTTTTCGAATGGCCATTCCTGAATGATAAATAATTCGATCTATGGAGTGTATGGGGGCGGTCTGCAGGTATCCTGCACTCCACATCGAACTTCCCAAAAAGGTAATGACCATACGAGGAAAATAAAATTAAAGTTTTGAATCGCTGAATTGAGCTGAAGCGAGAGGCATGGGCTGGGAATAATACGGCTCGTAATTATGTAAGGCTCTTCCTTGATATGTTTTATTGACCCGAAAATAAGCGGATGAAAGGTACATTGCTAAACCTATTATCATGTAGTACCTCAATACCTAAGATGATAATGTAGTGCACAGGGAAAGAAAAAAAAAAAGAAAAGAGAAAGGCTTACACGGCATCCCCACGCTTTGTATATTGAAGTAGTTGGTTTCGCGAGAATGCTCTCCCTCATGCACCCCACTTACCCAAAGCAGCGCTCTCAACAAAACCAGAAATGGATGCTCCACCTAAGTACACTATTGGTGTAGAAACCTGTTATAAATGAGCCTTTTTTTGGTTTTGGTTTTTTTCAAATACGAAAGGTCAGCCGTATCTGTTTCTTCAGGTTAGGCGGTCAAACATCAAATCAGTCTTTTGGTGCACTTTTTTTTGGTGCAAGTGCTCCCGGGCTGCTTTGGGTTTCATTGTAATCTCCCCTTTATTCATTATCCGCCTGTAGCTACACGTTGTCCAGGAATAAGGTTTTGGTTGTCATACGCATTGAACTCAAAACTGATTTTAAAGTACGGTGGACCACCATTTTAAAGATTGAAGGTTAACGTGCCGACTTACCTCGGCAATTGTGCTTTTTCTTTAGGCACCACTACACAATTTGGTGCGAACAATGTGCATAATCTACACTGAATAGAGAGTATACTCTTGCCTCATCATCTTAAAAGCTAAATTTTCTTATCCACAATTTCCTTATTTCTCGCATCTATCAGTCCATCTTTCAGGTCCATACATGATTGCCTTTTCCTAGCTTTTATTTTTCTGCTCCCTAACTAACCTTAATCAAATCACTACAGTGCAACGAAACAAAGTAATTAAGCTCGTCTAAAATAATGGCTTTGAAATCATGATTCGCTTCGGATTTTTTCAATGTCATTAGGATTTCTACAAGATAACAGTTTTTTTCTGTGTAGTCACTAAACCCATTGGAGAGTATCTGAAGTAACCCCTCCACTATGACAATAGTCTTCCTGTTACAGTCTATTCCAGATAAGTACAGTTTCAAGCTGACAATGTCATCTACTTTCTCATAGTTGAACTGTTTCAAAATGGCCTCCTTGTTTGATAATTTACTTTGTTTTACCAAGTAGAAAAGCTTATCACTGATAGTACCGTTTACGTAGAAGATCGTCAAGTCACCATGCTCACTTTCAGTTAGGACAATATCCAACGCACGTTTAATGCAATCAGACACGCTTTTACCGTGAATGAGAAACATCCATAAAGTAGAGAAGAGATTAAGGAGATACTGAGCGGAGCGGTTTTTTATGAACCTCAGTTATAGACAGCCATGAATTTCTCCTCTCTACTATATACATGATATCTACTTCACCAGGCCCGTTCTACACACAAAGCAAAAAGACTGCACTGGTTAGGCGTGCGTGAAAAATAAAATTTTATATAGCGGGAGATCCGAAACTGAGTCAGCTTCACTCACACACTCAGCTCAATGTGGTACTTTCAATACCGTCTATGCAAGTATCAGTTAGTTGTGATATTCCTGTGATTCAACGTTATTCCTTTCTCTTTTTCGATGCATCTCGAAGGTTTTGATTTAGTTACCCCCAACTTCTATTTACGTCTACAGTATTATTTCATCACTACTCGAACTACGTCTCTCTCCGTTTTCAAATGTTGATACCTATTGGATCGTTTCTTTAATATTTATTGCTCTTTTCTTTTACACAACAAAATTATACAAAAATTAAAATTACCCACTAATCGATCAGCTAAAATGATTTTCTGTTATTAACTTTCTTGCTTTATTATACAAAAAAAAAAGCTGTTTAGTAACCGAAAGTGGCTAATTGCTTAGCAACATCAGATTCAGCAGTGGAAGCCTTAGCTTGTTCAACCTTCTTGGTTAAAGCCTTCTTCTTGGCGTAGTATTCAGCAGATTGTAACTTTCTCTTTTCTTCTAACTTGTCAACAACAGATTCGTATTTCCAACCGACGGCGGTAGATAACTTACCGACAGTGGTGTACTTTCTACCTGGCTTTAATCTTAAAACTCTTAAAGCTTGTGGAACGACAACTCTCTTCTTCTTGTCGTATGGTGGTGGGACACCTTCGAAAACCTTAAGTCTTTCTAAAGCAGCCTTACCTCTTGGGGTCTTGTGGGAAACCATACCTCTGAGAGCCTTGTAAAAGATTCTTGATGGGGCTCTGAAATGGAATGGACCGTGGGTCTTGTTGTATCTGGTAGCCTTTCTTAAGTAGTCGTGGTACTTCAACTTGTTTCTGAAGAATTCACCAGAGATGTTTAAAGCTTCACATCTAACGACAACAACCTTTTGGCCGTTTAATAATTGCTTAGCAACAATAGAAGCTAAACGACCTAATAAGTGGCCCTTACCGTCAATAACAACAACTGGTTCGTAAGTAGACATATTTAACAATTAGTTGACTTAAGTAAATAAGAAGTGAAAGTTTTTCAAAACTATAAGAACTTTTAATGAAATTTTTTTTACACTTCGAAACTGAAAAGAGAACGGTACTGGGAGGAGGAGGAAGTCCAATGCTCGCACTGGCTCCAGTGTATGCGCAGAGCTCGTTAGTGTGAAGATTTTTTTTTTTTTCACTATTTTCTTCCTGCATTCTGGATGAATTTGGTGGGAAATTGAGGTTGTGTGCCGGATAGTGAGAGAAAAACAGGGATGGTCATGTGACAAAGGCACAAAATGTGCGAAAAAGAGTCACTGGTGATGTGGGCGGGCTGCAGCCCTAGGTGGAAACGTGATTGTGTGTTTACGAGTGGGCAGCTGTGGGAGGTGCAGCATGAGGTGCAGAATGGTTGCATTTTGATAGGCGAGGTATCTTGGTTAGCTCAGAGCAGTTGGCCTAGATATTAGAGCAACAGTGCAAATTCAGGCAAAATCTGTGCGTGGATACGTTCCAATGGAAGTGGCCAAATGGAGTTTAGCTATGTAAATCTAATGAGATTCTTTTTCTCTGTATTTGGTGTGGAGTCTTTATGGCTACTATTCCGTCCTACGGTAGTACCTAGAGTCTTAGCTGCAAATATTTCTTCAATCACATGGGGCCTGCCGGAGCTCAACTGAAAGTCCTTGATATGTAGTCTTGGTGTGCAGTCTTTACCTGCAAATAGTGGGCTTTGGTATGGAGTCTTGATATGACTTCAAATCACTCCTACAATCGCACCGGGAGCCTCAGCTGCAAATTGTCGACCTTTCTACAGATTCATTACCGTTAACATTTCCTATTACTATAAAACTTTATTTATGACTTTCTTTTTTTTGATGAAGTTGCTTATATATTAATTGTTTTGTCCCTTTTTCTTCTCCATACTCTTCAGGCGGAGATTTGCTTGGTTTCAATCAATGTGTTCACAATCGATACAATGGCTTGCATGGAAGCTTCGGAAACATCAGATCTGATACCACAACCCCATTGCTTAACCTTGGTTCCCTTGTCGTTAATGTAACTTAATTCTATGTATGTAGCAGCCTTGACTTGACTACCGGAGCCTAAAGAGTGCTCAACGTAATTTACTACTTCAAAGTGAGTGTTAAATCTTGAAGAGATAGCGTCAACAAATGCAGAAATTGGTCCATTACCCTTACCACTCACGTTTGAGTTAACACCATCAATTGAAATCTCTGCATTAAGGATACGTCCTGTTTCATTGTCCTTGTTCTTAGAAACGTCATAATCAACCAACTTGACAACTGATGATTCTTCAGAATCTAAGTATTGCTTCTTGAATAATTGAATGATTTCCTCGGTCTTCAATTCTCTACCAACCTTGTCAGCTTCAGTTTGAACAATAGAAGAAAAGTCAACTTGGAGAGGTCTTGGCATGTCTAAACCTAAAGAACGCAAGATAACCCAAGCTGCACCACCCTTACCTGATTGTGAGTTGACTCTAATGACCGCTTCGTATGATCTACCAATGTCCTTAGGGTCTAATGGTAAGTATGGGATGGCCCATTTGGTATCACCTTGGGCTAATCTCTTTTCAGCCTTGTTGAAACCCTTCTTGATGGCATCTTGATGAGATCCAGAAAAGGCGCAGACAACTAATGAACCACTGTATGGGGCTCTTGGATGAACTTGGATCTTGTTACATCTTTCAGAAACGTCAATAAGAGATTCAATGTCAGAGAAATCCAAATTTGGTGAAATACCTTGGGTGTACATGTTAAGAGCAACGGTAATCAAATCGACATTACCAGTTCTCTCACCATTTCCGAAAAGACATCCTTCAACTCTGTCAGCACCAGCCATCACACCTAATTCAGCAGCTGCGACACCACAGCCTCTGTCATTGTGTGGGTGTACTGAGACACAGACCTTTTCACGTTCAGAAATTTCATTACAGAAGTATTCGATTTGATCGGCATAAATGTTTGGAGAAGCAACTTCAACAGTGGCTGGTAAGTTGAAAATGATTGGATTCTCTACTGTTGGTTCCCAAGCCTTCTTAACAGCTTCACAGATTTCTACAGCGAACTCAGTTGGTGTGTCAGAGAAACATTCTGGAGAAAACTCAAAAGTCCATTCGGTTTCTTGCATATTTGGGTCATCTTTAGTTAAAGATCTGACCAATTTGGTGGTTTCGATGGCCTTGGCGATAGCATCCTCTTTGGACATATTGAACACAACATCTCTGAACACATCAGATGTAGCCAAGTAGGTGTGGATGGTTGCCTTCTTGGCACCCTTGACGGATTCAACTGTTCTTCTAATCAAAGGTTCACGGGATTGGGTCAAGACTTGGATAGAAACATCTGCTGGAGCGTTCTCTACAGCGTATCTGGTGAAATCAAAGTCGGTTTGAGATGCAGAGGGGAAGGATACTTCGATTTCCTTGAATCCAAGTTCAAGCAACTTGTGGAAATATTCTTTCTTTTCAGGGATTGACATGGGATCTGGAAGAGCTTGGTTACCATCTCTAAGATCGGTGGAGAGCCAACGTGGGGCCTTGGTGATGGACTTGTTTGGCCAAGTTCTATTTGGAAGCGATACACCTTTAAAAGGCTTATACTTGGAGGATGGATCCCTCAACATATTAGCAAAAGGCTGCTTAGCAGCCTTCATGAGGCGCATAGATTTGAACATCTTTACTTAAGTGCTTTTGGGAAAAGAAACAGTGAAGAAAGATCTACAAATCTGAACTGAAATTTTTCACTATCTTCTATGAACAACATGTGGTGTAGTTCCTGTAGCGGGAGAATTTTTCACGCTTCTCTGCGAAAGCGGGCTGCATTTTTTTTTTTTTTTTGGATGAGGTGATGAAGTGGAGAAGTTAGAAAGCCTAAGCGAAGAGACTTCAATATAAAAATCGCCAGGCATTACGAGGGTTTGGTAGGTGAGGGGTACTAGGCAGTAGTTAGTTGGAGTTGGAGAGTAGTCAACATAGTCTATTTTATGATTTTGGTATGAGGATTTTTGTGCCTAGTGGTCTTTTTCAATCAGCGTACCTGTAGGTGCTCGTGGTCATTACCAATGTAGCGACTTTAATTTGCCTATTTCTTTTTTCTTCGTAAATGCTGTAGGTAAAGATGAACTTTCCTGGCTGAGATTAACGCAGACTCTTCTGTTCGATTAATGAAACAGCACAGTTGATGTTTGGGAACGATTTGGTTCATTACTTGAGTAGAAGGTATATTATTGTAGTTCGATAAGAAGCCCGCTGATGTAGTGTAGATAGAGGTGGATGGTATTCTAGTCATTTCATGTATTTTCACTAGAAACTGATTAGTTCGCAAGCAATATTATACCTTATATCCTCCAATCATCATCCAAAATAAATTTACTAAGAAGTGGCAGAAGATGCGAAATAGGAATGTGACCACAGAGAATCGGGAATACATAGTCAGAGTTTTTAACCTGCCGTAGTGATATCCGTCAAATGTATGGATCTGAATTCACCATCTCCCCTTCTCTCGGCTGTACATCCCCAGAATTCTGCAACACTCATCTGTGCGAAAATTAGTATGCGACCGAAACGAAGGCATCGCACTCAGAGATGGCACCAACTGCTAGGACATACCTCAATATATTTACGACAGAGTGTAATTATCTCGTAATTGGAAAGACTCACCTTCGTTTCAGCTCTCAAAGTCTCTAGGAGTACATCCCTCTTTCGAATCTATTGCTCACAATCCCATCTACTCTGTCTCTTCCACGCCCATCATTTGCTCCACACTTCGACTAAATCACGAGACCACAACGTTTTGTGTAACCTCATCTCTTCTCGATTTTTTTTTTTTTTTTTTTTTTTTCACTTGATGCCCTTGGTAGAAAAAAATTAAGCTCATCTTGTTTTATTGCTGTGCTCTTCTTCCTCTTCTCTTGATATTATCGAAGCTTATATATACACAATGGGTAAATCATCATCTAAGGCTGCTAAGGCTACAAAGGTCTCCAAGAAGGAATCCAAGAAGGTTGTTAAGAAGGAAGAATCCTCATCTTCTGAATCTTCATCAGACTCTGACTCCTCATCAGACTCATCTTCCGATTCTGAATCTGAATCTGAATCTGAAACCGCTAAGTCTGAATCTGCTAAGTCAGACTCTTCTGATTCTGATTCTTCTTCAGGCTCAGATTCCGACTCCGACTCTTCAGACTCCGACTCTGATTCCGATTCCGATTCCTCCGACGAAGAAGAAGAAGAAAAGAAGGAAGAAGTCAAGGTTGTTAAGAAGGAAGCTAAGAAGGAAGTCGCCAAGAAGGAAGAATCTTCTGATTCTTCAGATTCTGACTCCGACTCCGACTCTTCATCTTCATCATCTTCTGATTCCGACTCATCATCAGACTCCGACTCCGATTCCGACTCAGATTCCGATTCCGACTCTGAAGAAAAGGAAGCTCCATCTAAGAAGAGAGCTGCTGAATCATCTTCATCTGAATCATCTTCTGCCTCCACTTCCCCAGAAGCTGAAGCTGCCCCAGCTCCAAAGAGAGCTAAGTTGGACGAAGAACCAGGTACTTTGTTTGCTGGTAGATTATCGTGGAACATTGACGACGATTGGTTAAAGAGAGAATTCGAACATCTCGAAGGTGTTGTTGGTGCTAGAGTTATCATGGAAAGAGCCACTGGTAAGTCAAGAGGTTACGGTTACGTTGACTTTGAATCTAAGTCTCAAGCCGAAGCTGCTTTACAAGAAATGCAAGGTAAGGAAATTGACGGTAGACCAATTAACTTAGACATGTCCACTGGTAAGCCACATCAATCTAACCCAAGAAATGACAGAGCCAAGCAATTCGGTGACGTCCCATCCCAACCATCAGACACTTTATTCATTGGTAACTTGTCATTCAATGCTCAAAGAGACAACTTATTCAACATTTTCGGTGAATATGGTTCAGTTATTTCATGTAGAATTCCAACCCACCCAGACACTGAACAACCTAAGGGTTTCGGGTACGTTCAATTCTCCTCATTAGATGAAGCCAAGGCTGCTTACGAAGCTTTGAACGGTGAATACATTGAAGGACGTGCATGTAGATTAGACTACTCTACACCAAAGGAACCAAGCCAAGGTGGTTTCGGTGGAAACAGAGGTGGCTTCGGCGGTAACAGAGGTGGAAGAGGTGGATTTGGTGGTAACAGAGGTGGATTCGGTGGTCGTGAAAGACAACAAGGACCTCCAAGAACTGGTGCCAACAATGCCGAATTCAAGGGTACCAAGAAGACCTTCGATTAAGCGAAGTCATAATACAAAGAGTAGCATAGAGGAGCAGAATTTTCAATAATCGAGAGAAGAAAATTATTTTTTTGTACCATATTTTATAAAATAAGGATTTGGTATCCTTTATATTGCATATATAGTTTGAATTAAAAAGAGAAAACAATAAAATAGAAAATATAACACACTGTAGGGGGAGATAATGAGTTTGATGGTGCGTCAGATGAAACTGAGCCTAAAGGTGTACACTGACACGGGATAGGGCCCGGAGTTGTACAGACTGAAAGTTAAGGGCCGGGACGTCTGCGGAAAGACCAAAAGAAGAAAGAGCTGCACAAACCGCGAGACACTAACACTCACCAGCTGCAGAGTGGGTAATGAGAGTAATGAAAATATGGCTAGCACCCAAGGTGAAACTCTGACAGGTACCGCACTATACCACATCTCTCATCAAACTGCAGCACGACCTGCATATAGACAAATTTCTTTCTTTGTTTTCTCTGAATGCTGTTGGAATGAACGGGTATTTTTTTTTTGAACAAATCAGCAGTAGAAACGTCCAAATTTAGGCATCTTAATGCAGGAGGGTTGAATTGTTAGTAGAGTAGTATTCCAAAAAATAGATCCACCTTTCATAGCGAAACTGAAACATGTACTTCAGTTGAATCACCAATGCAACATGTACTAAAGGAAAAATTTTAGACATTCGGTAACTTATGTATTGTCCAAGACTTTTAGATCTGATTGGCGACATTTCACTATCTAATTTTTTGCTCCTTTAGGATTTTTGACGTGAGCTAAGGAAGGAATTGGTTGGGGAAAGCAGAGGAGACATTAGAGAGAAATCCAAAAAAAGTGAAAAAAAAAAAAAAAAAAAAAAAAAAAAAAAAAAAAAAACAAAAAAAAAAAAAAAAAAAAAAAAAAAAAATGCTATAGACTTTGACAAGTCAAGACAGACACCGTCAAGTTTGTTAGGGTTTGCTCCTACTATGTTCCTGCTTACAGCTTCGCTATTGCTATCATTACGTAAATTAAATGCTATTGAAAGATATACTTAAATTGTACATCAAAGATCATTAAAATTAGAAAAGTGCTCTTGCCCTTTCTCCTAGCCAATTGCTTATCAAAAGCAACCAAACTCTCTCAAATAAAAAACCGTTTAAACATAATCAGGGATATCCAAGTGGAAAAATGGAGTGTTGGTTTCAACAGCTGCATAGTAACCATGGTCAACGTTCTCGAAATTCTTACCAGCTTCAAGATCGTATTCAGTTCCAATGTGAACGTAGGCAGTTTCACTGATTAATCCATCAGCTTCATAAGAACCGAATCCTGCATTTAACAAACCTCTTCTGATCCATGGGGATAAGATTCCTGAGAAATGGAATTCAACTTCTCTGTCGGCATAGGCATTTAATGCCTTTCTTAAATCGACAAGGGACTGGATGGATGTAGCATCGATGGAGGCAACTGAACTGAAATCAAAGTGAACAATTCTTAATGGAGGTCTGTTATCAACTTCGTCGAGTTGGTCCAACTTAGAACCAAACTTTTCCTTCCAGAAAGGTAATTTCCAGGTTAATGGACCAGGGTCATTCCAAGGTCTTGAACCAGTATCTTTAGCGTAAGGTTTACCACGTCTAGTGAGCCTCTTGGCTTCGTCGTTAACCTTGTCTGTTTGTCTGGATGCATTTGGATATGTGAAAGTTTCAATTGGCTTGAATACAAGAACACCTTCTGGTGGTGGCAATACGTTCAAGTGCTTGTTTATATTCTTGTGGTTCAACGGTACCCATCTGGTGTGAAATTTGATATTTGGAGACTGTTCAAACAAATTCTTGGTAGTGTTAGGATATTCAACCTTGTTTTCACCCTTAGATAAGGTAGTATCTTTCTTGTTTGAGGTGGAGTTATAGTTAGATCCATTACTCAACACTTGGTGAATTTCAATATCTTCGTCAGATGTCGAATGCGAATTGTTAATTGAAGTCGATTCAGGTTTTCCTTCGTATTCTTCACCAACGCTAATAATCTCCGAATCGCTGGACTTCTTGGTAATAATTGGGTTGACAACTTCGGTAACTTGAATTCTACCTAAGAACACACCTTCTGGCTTAGCAACTCTGAACAATAAGACAACGACTGATGCACAAACGGCAAAGTAAACACCATCTTCAATGGAAGCAAACACGGTAATTATAACTGCAATAAGGAAAATTCCGCAATCTAATGGAGCAACATTCCAGAAGTTCAAAGAAGCCTTGTAACTAGCGATTAAATCAGAAACAGCATGAATAATAACTGCACTCAAGATAGCTTTAGGAATGTAGTAGAATGCACTGGTCAATTCGTATAAAGCTAACAAGACAACACATCCTGTAAAGATACCAGCCAAGGGAGTTCTGACACCACACTTAGCCTTTAATGCAGATCTAGAGAAAGAACCAGTAGATGGGTAAGCATTAAAGAATGTACCAATCAAGTTATTGACACCAATAGCAACCAATTCTTGATCTGGGACAACTTTATAATCGTTAACTCTACCAAAGGACTTGGCAATAGCAATATGTTCTAATAACAAAATGACGGTAGAAACAGGAATTTCTCCAGCCATTGACGATAAAATACCATGTGGAATCTTCATAACACCAACGTCACGTAATCCTGAAGGAACAACTCCAATAACAGAAATACTTGGCTTGAATGTTTTTCCGGTACTGCTGTGGAACTTCACCTTTTGTGGGTGAACGATACCCCAAGAAATAGCAGTAGCGACGATAATAACAATAGCATTTCTTAAATGTTGTGTGTAAAAGAACCAAGCCTTGTATCTTGGCCAACGTTTCATACCGTAGTTGGTAGAAAACTTCCACACATACAAAATGAATAATCCTACCAAACCAAAGGCAGCATCTTTTTTACTATGTTTCAAGTTCTTCAAGGTATTGATAACAATTTCATAACTTGCAGCTCTAGTGTTCACCAAGGAACTACTAATACCCATTAAAGCTGGCACTTGACCACAGATAATATTGAAAGCAGAACCACTCATGAAACCCATGATAGCAGGAATTGAAATGAATTCCAAAATGAAACCCAATCTCAAAACACCAATAGCAGCAGCGATACCACCACAAATCAAGGATAAGAAAGTAGCAATTTCTGCAGCAGAATACTTGTCACCTTCCTTTTCTAAGATTCTAGCAACAACTTTACCAACTTGTTGGGACATAACGGCAACTGGACCAATAGAAACATCCTTGGATGTAGCGAAGAATGAATAAATGAAAACACCGACGAACGACGAGTAAAGACCATACTGAGGAGCTAAACCAGCTAAAGTGGCATATGACATAGATTGAGGCACCAACACGACACCAACAGTGATACCAGCGACAAGGTCACCATAGGCCCACTTATAGTTGTAATGCAAAATCCACTTAAGAATTGGGAAAAGTGAGATAAAGTATCTGACAACCTTACCCAATGGATCAGCGAAAACCTTTTGGAGCCACTGGAGGGCAGTTGGAAGTCCTTCATCGTATTCTGGTACAGCGATGTTGGAGTGCTCACGTATGTGAGTTTGATCCAAGCTTGGATCGTACTGGTGGGAACGTTGTGCTTCAAGGTGGTGATCATCCAAGTGATCAGCCCTCTGCAAGTGAGGCACTTCCGATATAGCACTCATACTTATTTTATCTTTTATTATATATGTAAGTGGTTGATGAGAGACACTGGATGTGCGATGACTTATACACTAATAGTAGTAATTTAGGTTATAAGAAAAAATACCTGAATCGCTAAATCCAAAATATATGAAATGAATGCTGCTTGCCTTAGGTTTATATATGCTAGGCAAACTTAAATGTGTGAAAATTTCTGAGCTACAGCTGTAATTAACCTTCTCTGTAAACTAGCGTTGGCCGTCTCTTTTAATTACGGTTGATCTAGGTACTATGGATAATATTAGTGCTTTAAAAATTGTGGTTCCCTACAACTTTAGCTTTTTAGCAAGTTCCATGTCTTTTATTAAGAAGAAGGTGCCATTATGGCTTATAAAGCATCCACAGTTAGCTATATTCACGTGACCCATCCACAGTTTTATGGGCGAAAAGTGAAAATTTTAGCTCAAATGGTAACAAAAATTAAAAAGAAACTCTGCAATGCTGCAGGGCATTCCGAGGGAACAATACAGAGAGGTTGCAACCACGATGACAGGAAGAAGGAAAGAGAGAGATGCGGTGTCAGCCTTGCTGATGAGAAATTTCACAGAGATGAGGGACTACAGGAGGAAGGGAAATTCCACTCCATTTTTGAGTTTTTGCTGCGGGCTAAAGATGCTGATTAGTAACTCAGGTACAACAGTCTTTCCAGTAGGTATAGTCTGTCTCGCTGTCAGTGTCCCTTACTAAGTTGGACCAGAAGAAATATCTGATTCATAAAATACACTCATTTCACGTGAGGTGTTGCAACATTTAATTTGGCGTTCCTGCATGTTTAATTGTTGCAAAATAGAACAAAAAAAATAATAGAGAGAAAAAAATAAAAAAAAATAAAAAAAAAAAAGAAGAACAAAGAAGGAAATTTACAGATCAGAATTGGTCTGACGCAGTAGAGACGATACGGGGCCGCATAGTCAACTACTGGGGTGGAGTGCTTCACGGCTATATTGACAGGTGCATGCTTTCAGCAAAATGCCCCACCTTCTGTGTGGGACTCTTAGCGACTCTTAGCGACTTCGGGGCTCTCCGTCAGTGTGTACGATAGGGTACAGATTTGTGGGTCTCATCGATTCTCACAGTACCCACACCTCACTCTTTTTTACACTTCTTTCCCTACCCCATTCAATTGAATCTCTTGGCGAGGTTAAATTCCAAGCTCTAGGTGCTGATAACCCACCTAAATGAAACTGCCTGAACAGTTCATAGTTCAAAATTACGCTAAGGGGCACAATACGACAAGTAATTTTAGGGCGTTCCCTAAATCTATAAAAAATACTTAACCGCCCGAAGTCTAAAGTGTTGAAATGACGACTTTTTATTCACTCATTTCTTTTTATTATTTTACCTTTCGCAAATGCCCTTCACTTTAATTAAAGATTAGCCAGATAAGGTTTATTGACGAGCTTACGTTAAAATTTTACGAAATAATGCATAGCTTTTAGTGGCTAGATAGCGCCGTATATATGTTTACATATGCTCTGGGTGTAAACATGGGGAAAATAATACAAGATATTGTGTTGATTGCGTTGTTGACTTTTGTTCTCTCAGAAGCAAACGAAATATCAACCTCCCAACTACAATTCCATCGATAAAAAGAGTACTTCTCTCTTTCGCCTACAATTTCATTTCTCTGCAATACGTTGAACTTTTTTGTTGCATTTCTACTGAATAATTCTTCAATTATATTAACTAGTGTTTAGCATTTTACTTTCATTCTTGTTTCTTTTCTGTTTTTGTCACACGGTCATTTCATATTTGCTATTTAAACCTTCAAGCCTTTGATATTCTCAGATTCTACCAAATCAACCAACTTTCTATACTCTTGTTGCTTGGTGCATTGCTCGAGGAAAATCTCGTACTTAGCTGCTAACAACTTACGATCTGGATGATGTGGATCGGATGGTAAGACAACTTTCCCTGGTCCCGTCATCTTTTCCATCACCTTCCATAACTTATCACCAGGATTAACCTTCTTAGAATCAAGTGTAGACAAAGGCTTGAGTCCAAGTTTATTTAAGCTTTGAGATAAGCCCTTTTGAACATTTGACTTTGAGCCGAAAGACAAAGTCTGTTCCCCATCGTCATCCAGGTCATCACTTTCAGCGAATGACTTTGATTGCTTGTGCTTAGCAACTGGTTGGTTAAAGTAATCAACATTTTCTTCTGCACCTTCGTCCATAGGAGTCATAAGAGCATGAGATCCTGTTGGATAAACTAATGAATGCATGTTAGTTGTAGATGCGGTAGCTGATGGGGCAGTGTAAGGAGAATGAGGTTCTTCTTGTTGGTTGTTGGTCAAACTTGTCTGGGATTTCTGTGTTGACAAGATAGAAGATCTTCTGGACCTTCCCTTTGGCTTACTGATGTGCTCTTGGACGGATTCTTCTGCTGCAACTGCACCTAACAATGCAGATCCGAAAACGACCGCAGCATCAATATATCTTGGAATAACGACTGGTAACCCGGTACAATCAGCTAATAATCTCATTAATAACCCGTTTCTACATTGACCTCCTGACATAAAAATGCAAGAAATCTCATGTCCACCCTTCGTCATAGCCTCAACAATTTGTCTAGTTTGCTGAGCAATGAATTCACAAGCACCAAAGTATTGAATTGCTAAATCGTTGACACTCGAATCCATTGATTGTCCAATGATAGATGCTCTCATTCTAGGGTCAGCGATTGGAGATCTGTTACCGTGAAAGTCTCCGTAGAAGAAAATATGCTTAGCTAAACTGACCACTGATCTGGATTTAGTTTCACTAACCAAATTCTCTAAAATTAAGTTTAGATAGTCGAATTTTGAAATATTGGAGTCTTCCAGCAATCTAGACAATTCCGCAGTTGCTGGATGGATAGCCAATACATGGGCCAAAAGGGCCCCAGTACAAGATTGGCCACCTTCTGCAAGCCAAAATCCTGGAGCCATCACATCCTTGTATGGGCCCCAGACACCATTGACGAAGCATGGATCTCTGGTCATTGCAATGTGGCATGTTGAAGTACCAGCGACAGCTGCTAATCTACCACATGAGGTACCAATAGAACCATCTGATTTCTCTGCCAACTCTTGCAATGTTGGAATATCGACTTTGGCGGCAACTGTACCAACCCAACCTGCATAAGCATCAATTACTCCACTACCAACAATACATTCAGTAGTTAAACCTAATTCTTCGGCTGATTGAGCAGTTAACTTACCAACGATATCACCGGCCGATAAATATTTCCCGTTTTTACCTTGAACACCTCCTAATTTTCTGAAATTGTCTTCAACTAATTCCTCTAAATCAACAGATTTTAAGAATTCTGCGGACCATCCGGTGGTAGATCCATCAACACCTAAGGGAACAAATCCCTGCTTACAGACAGTAGAATTGAAAGATCTAGCTTCTGAGCCAGTGGCTTTGTGAGTCAAGTAATCAGGTAAGTCGTAAAATTTTAAATCAGTCAATCCCTTTGGTAAATTGTGCTTTAACCACTTAATCTTGGGCAACTCCATCTCAATGGACATTTGTCCACCGACATACTTCAAGGATTTATCGCCTGTAGCATTGATTACATTTGTTTCGTCTTCTGCTCTGTGATCCATCCAAAGGATGATATTTTCCTTGTTGTCAGTGAAATCTGGACCAACCCCTACAGGTGTATCTTCCAGCTCACTGATTGCAACAAGCGAACAAGTTGCATCAAACCCGATACCAAACACTTCGGAAGGGTCAACACCAGAATCTCTAAGACAATTCTTCACACAAAAGCAAATAGCATTCCAAATTTCCGTAGACGATTGAGTAATGTGGTTTGGCTTCAACTCATGTCTTGTGATGGGCCTTTCACTCAATCCCAAGATAACCCCGTTCGTGTCGATTATGCAGGCCCTTGCGGAACCTGTACCTACATCAACACCGACATAGTAAACGTCGGCCTGAGGTGGTGGTTGGTGAAAGTTGAAAACTGACGATCTGCGAGAAGCCAAACTGGTGTGTGACTTGGATAATGGTGGCATAAGGGGCTAGTAGTCAATTGGAGTGTTTATAAATTATACTCGGATTCTTTATCTGCTACTTGGTGCTGAAAAATTCCAATAAATAGGTATAATTCTACAAAATTCAAAAAGTTTGTCTAGTGTAGTTGGCAATTGAATAGCTATATAGGAACCTCTTTCGAAAATAAAGTTGCTTTTTTTTTCCCGGGTTTTCAATACTAAAATCAGTTGCTTATTAGTTTAGAAATGCATCCCCCCATGTTTCTTTATAGTCTTCCTAAATTTTTTGCGGAGCAAAATTCGCGACTCAACGGAACAAATTCCGGCAAGATTCTGGTACCATCTCAGGCGCCAAATGAACAATAGTGTGGTATTTTTAGACTGGAAAAGAAACGCTGCAATTCATGCGTATACCTCATAGGCCAGGTGGGTTCAGTCAAGGTCAATGGAGGTGCTTGTGGCATTGAAGATACTTTCTATTCAAGTAATTGTATCGTTTGCTTTCCCCGATAAGTCTTGACTTTTGGTTCTCCTGCAGGGAGGTGAACAATGATATCATACTGCAGATATGAAGGATCATCGCCTACCTAAAAACATACTCAGGTTACTCATTTGCTTGCTTACAGCTGTACCTACAGGGGTCAGTTTGGACGTGAGTGTTATATTTGGGTATAATAGCACATACTTTAGGGCCCAAAGAACAAAAAAGTAAAAAAAAAAAAAGAAAAAAGAAAAAAAAAATTATATAGTATCAGTTCACATAACTCTAATCTAATCTATTGTACAACTAATTAACAACCAAACAGCAGCAGCAGCATGCACTGCACCGAACCATCGCAATATTTCCTAGGTTCCAGCGGTTCTGTCACTGCTCGAAGTTTTTCCTCGTCTCCAGTAATCTCTATAAAGCTCCAATTCCTTTCCTCTCCCTCAATCAATTCTTCAACGGTGGGTACTTGTCCATCGCATCAACGAGGAAATCAAATTGGTCAGTATTTTCCACCGCTGCTCGCACATGAGATGCTCCAATCCTGCGTACACCATTTTTTTTAGCCTCTATCACAGCGGCCTCAACCAAATTGGCCATGAAAATCTCCAAGGCTCTTCCAACCACAACCGGTGTAGCCTGGGCAACCTTCCCAATATCTTCGTCAGACTGCATAATCTTCTTGATTCTTGCAGCCGGGAAGTGTGTCTTTATCTTTTCAAATGAGTCAAGAATTGTTTCTTGAGGTACCTTTGTATCCTCTGACATCGTTATTTCTTATAGTACTGATTTATTTTTTGTGCGTTTTGAGCGTTGTGTTTTCTGCTTCAAGAAAACCACCTTTGTCCTTTTATTTGGGGAATTTCTCGTTCTTAAATACACCAGATGCAAATTCAACCAGATGGCCACTAATATAGGTCGTGCGCGCGCTAAATGATCTAAAGTCAAAAAAAAATAACAGAGGAATAAATAAAAATAGCGTAGAGATGGATCTGGAATTTGGAGCAACTGGCTGGATCTTACCTTATAGTAGGAGCATATTAATTGAAATGAGTAGTATTTTGTATACAAAGACATAAACTGGTCCCCACAGATAGTTGGAGGCAAAAAAATGCCTTCAGCCAGATTCGAACTGACGATCTCCTCATTACTAGTGAGGTGCCTTACCAACTTGGCCATGAAGGCGGTATTTTACTTTAGAAAATATTCTTGGTGATGAGCGGTGTGTGTAGACTTTGCTGCACGGTTTGTCCCACCGCTTGTTGCACTTAAAGACGTGTAAATTAGAAGTGAAGAAGTAGAACCGGGCGACTTGCGTTTGCTTGGTGCAGGTTCTATGCTGGACTACTGTATCGTCCCATTCTTTCTCTCTTTCTCTGTTTCATGTGGTAACTTCTACCTTTACAATGGAAGGTTCGGGATTCGAAAAAGTGTTTCCGTGACTTTTTGTGAGTGTGTGAGTGTGTGAGTGTTTATTAGTCTCTACTTTTACTTGGAGTCCACCGTCTATATAAAATCTCGGTTACTTTGTACAATTTAAGCAAGGAGGCGATATCACTTACCTCAGATAGCTCAATGTCTTCTATCGGCTCATCCACATAGCACAACACCAAATTTTTCTTCACTCCTCCGACAACTCTCGCAACACTTGAAACATCAATCCAGTTGATGAATTCTTGTTTAGTTGGAATAATCAATATACCAAATTCTGCGTGGCTGAAAGGCGGGCCACGTTTGTATAAAAGCATGTCACAACCAAATTTGATTCCTGATCTGGCACACCAACCTAAAGATCTAAAATGATGGTAAACAACATAGTTTAGCATAAATTTAGAATCGATAGAGTTACATTTCTTGAACAATTCAAGCGACGATAAACTTTCATTCTGTTCAAAAATGTCAATCGCGCCCAATGCAAACTTTAAGTAGAATGATTCGACTGCCTGTAACTGAAGGTACTCTAAATTGTCTAATCCTTCAATCAACAAAACCTCATCTTCTTCTCGAAGAGAATTCGATGTAGTAGAGATGGCCTTCCGAGCAGGGACGATTTTTTTGAGGTTGTTCAATGTCTCTCTCAAATCGTTTAGTTCTACTTCTTCATCTTCATTTAAGGCTCCTTGTCTTTGCTTGAGTTCCAAATTTTGGACTTTGGCCCTTTCAAGTTTGAATCTTTTACGTTCCTCTCGTCTTTGCTTTGTGATTTCTTCACTGGCATTCCTGCCCTGTTGAGTATCGTCATCTAAGCCAAGTCTTGCACTTGTTCTGTCGGCCCAGTTAGGGTCGGACCGAGACAATGAACCCTTACCAAAGAATCCATGACTCCATAGCCTATTCATATCAGTTGGATCAAGAACTTTGAAAACATCGTCTTCAAAGTCGACTCTCACAACATTTGAAGGTATCAGCTTGGCTTGAATTTGTAGGTACCTCAATCCAAATATCAACCAAGAGATAGGGTTGTGCGGGATAATATCTGGCAAATTTATTCCATAGGCATCAGTTGATAACGTTATTGGGACAGGATTAGGGTATAGCTCTTTGAAATTCTTACTTCGTTTTCCCATAGTACTATTTCTGAATGAACGTTAGTAAAATTGATAGCACCAATATTTTTTCTTTCCTTCGTTTAAAATTTCTTTGGATTTCCTCTTTCTTTATTTTCAGATACCGTTGTAGTCTATTGAGTGCTTACACTGATCAAGCGATCTTAAAGACACTAGTATAGTTTTATCATCACTAAAAAAGAGCCCAGAAAATTTCCAAAAAAGAAAAATATTTCTCTCCTGTTTGTTTACTTACTAGTTAATTAACCATTAACGTGATCCTTTAACAGATCAGATCATGTTCTTTAGATCTCGAGTACTCAAGGAAGAATTGATGTCCTAGGAAGAACCGCCAGTCGCTTTTTCATTTGGACGCTAAAAAAATTTCTCAGATGGTTGCCAAAAAAAAATAGAGCGATTCGATGTCCGGGTAATATAAATTGATGGTATTAGGTATGAGAAATCTTTGCAGGCATGTACTGTAAGGAAGTACCTTGTGCAAGAGATTGGGATATAGGGCAGATACTTTCTGCTTGTAGTCTTAATCGTAGCAATTCTAATGGGAAATGGAACAGTTGACTTCGTTATCCAAAACAATGCTTCATCGCAAGAGAATAGCCCTCATATGCTAAGAAGTCTCTTTTCCCAGCCTTATTTCTCCCTGTCAGAGAGTAATTATATTTCGCAGCCATTTCGCAGTTCAAAGGAAATATTCTACACCGTCACAATGTCAACAATTGGGAAAGGAAGAAGTATAAATAACAGTTCCCAAAAGAAAATGAATTAGATAGCTAATGAAGCTGCTTTTGAAAGCTCTAAGTTATGTCTTCAGGGGAGAAATGTAAAAAAAATGCTGGTCCCAGGAATCGAACCTGGGTTTGTTCGGCCACAACGAACTGTACTAACCACTATACGAGACCAGCAGTTTCTTGATGTTGGAAATTCAAAAAGCTGATGGGCTACGACAATTACGTGAAAACAATAAAAGGCACCAAATAAAGGCATTGGCTTCGAAATTACACTAGAACGAACTGAGAGAACCATTCTATGACAACCACTGCCTTTCTTTTGAATTGAACCTGGGCCTTTCCACCGTTGGGGCAGAAAAACAACTGGCGGTCCTGTAAACGCTTAACTACTATATGCAGTACACAATCAAGCTCATTTCAGATAGATACGAGCTGACTTGAAGGATATTGGTACATTGGTTGTCTAAATACACTTCCTCGTCATCAGTTATGCCAATAAATACCCTCAAATGCCAGAAGTGCAACTCACCACTTCATATAGACAAATCTTTGCTTGGGTTGAGCCATGCCCAGCAGAATCTTCTTGTGGGAAAGATTGATTATGCAGACAAAGGCAAAGAGAGGTTGAACCCTCAAGACTATATCCCGCCGGATAGATTGAAATTGTACAATGAAGTGATCAGTAATAGCAACAGCAAAAATAATAATAAGAAGGCAATGTATGATAGTTTAAGTGATGAAAGCGATGAAGAAGCTAAAGAAGAAGAGCACAGCGCAGCGCAGGTGAAACAGGAAAGTGGGTTCGAGGACCATGGCACTGGTGCAGACGACAAGAGCCACCTTGAAAACTCTCGTTCATTTGTATTGCTAAACTCAGAAAATGATGACTCTCTTTCGTCATCCTTGGAGAGAGAAACGACCACAGATCCTTCCGCTGTTAAACAGAACAATAACTCCAAGGAAACTTCTCCAAAGAGAACTGCTGGGTATGGGCGTTCCAATGCAGAAATCCATACCTTTTCACAACGTACAGCTACACTCGAAAACATCTTTAAGATTCTTTCTTCGAACCAAGACATAGACCACCCCTTGTGTCTTGAATGTTCCGACTTTCTTTTAGTGAACTATAAGTTAAAATTCGATAAAGACCAGAAGGAAAAGGAAAACTACCTAGCATTTTTGAGGAAGTTGAAAAGCCAAGAGAACGCTTTCAGCACCAATGACTTGGAAGATAATTTAAAGTCTACTGCAAAGGAATTCAAGCAGTTACAGAAAGTGGAATCTAAGAAATTAGAAGAATTGAGGAGCTTAGAAGCTGAAAAGTTGAAGTTGGACATTGAATTAAATGCAGTAGAAAGAGAATATGATCAGCTAGTCAGTGGACAGTTGAATGCTGTCCTTCAAATGAAGAACCAAGCCGATTTTGCGCTTTCAAATAAGGTGAACGATTTAGACAAGGCGAGGGCGTCGTATCAAAAAAGTTTGGATCATTTGGATGAATTAAGAGGCTTGAATATCTACAAGAAAATCTTTAATATTACTTTTGACTCACAATATGGAACCATAAATGGGTTCAGGCTTGGTTACAAAGTTCCCTGGCCAGAAAATAATGCGGCATTGGGGCAAATTGTATTGCTCTTGTTGTACTTGTTAAAGCGGTTCAACTTGAAGTTGCAAAACTATAAATTGACTCCCTTAGGATCGCAGTCCCATATAGTGAAGATCACTACACCATCTGATGCTACAGGTAGCACAAATGGAGACCCTGGAGCAGGGGTAAACAGTGTATATATAGAGCAAAAGACTAAGACGATTTTGGATCTTCATACATCCAATGAATTTTCTTTAGGGAAGCTTTTCAATTTCAATAAGCTTGATGTGTCTATGATAGCGTTGCTAGATATTGTGAGTCAAATTGAAACTAAAATAGTATCGATTGACTCTGAAATTGTATTGCCTTACTCGATCTCCCCCAAGAGAGATGCCATCGGAGGAAAAAGCATAAGAGTAACAAGTAACGGTGAATGGACCACGAGCTGCAAATTTTTGTTGATCAACCTCAACTGGCTCTTGCTGCACTCATCGGTACATTAAACTCACTTGAAAATATCGAACTGAACCGAACTATCAGTTCATCTTCGTCGACCTAGTGGGTGCAACATTGTTCAGTGCATTACGTGCAGCCTGCCACTTTGTCTACTATTTTTTTTTTTTTTTTTTTTTTTTTTTTCTATTTAAGGTCTTTTTTTGCAACAATTGGATTTGTTAGGGACTTGTTTCATAACTTTAATAGCAAGATATATAAATAAAGGGAAGTACAGTACCTAGGAAAATGGTGTAGAAGTGACGTAGAACGTACTGTCAGTGTTTAGGAAAAATGCCTAGTAACTATTCTGAGAAAATTAGAAAGGTTTCGAAGAATTTGAATCTGCATTTTGAGCGATTGGTGACGGTGGGCCTGGGGAAAGAGCTACTGAGATTGACCTCGTTGCAGTCTCCAATCGAAGTTGGCACCTGGGGCAAAGAAAAAAAGAGAATGAAAGAAAAGGAAGTTGGAGATGACGGCAAGAGAGAAGAGAACCCACCCGTGCAAGTCGAAGCACCTAGTAGCTCGATGATAAACTTGGCTCGGTTTAGGCAGATCAAGCAGAAACTAACTAGCTTCAAAATAAAGCCCATAAGAAGAAATGTGCCTCCAGCACTCATGATGAGGTCAAGAACTTCTACTAAGTTGAAGCTAAGGTACGTCGCAGAGCACATGACTGACAGCGACATTAGCAATGTGGTCGTAAGAAGTGGTGCCAACCAAAAGATGATGGAAGACCCCTTTGGTGGACCTCCAAGTGACCGTGACCCGCTAAAATAGTGGGAGCTGTGCAACAGTGAGCGCCAGTGCGACAGTGAGCGCCAACGCGCCCTAGCGGCCCAAAGCCCCTAAAAAAAAAATTCTGTGGGGGCCATGCTCCGAAAAATGAACGAGTGAAAACTATATGAGTGAATAAAAGTAGAACTGCAAAGGGATCAAAGAGCCGAAAAGCGGCGAGAAGAAAACACATTAGCTGAGCTAGCTAATTCCACCACGATAGGAAAATCGTCACAAGACGGTTTTACCACTTTCCTACGGCTACCTTCACACAATTGGGCTTGTCATTGGCTTAGTTTCCAGTACTGTGTATAGTCCATTCTTCCCCCAAAAGAGGTACGCATTTTTGACGTAATGTGTGCGCGTTTTGGGAAGCTGTTTGGGACACGTCCAATCTGAATTGGCGGATGAAGAACAATGCCAAAAAAAAAGTCATTAGGAAATGGAAAACCTATTCGACTTAGTGTTGTTTATTCCTGGCCAGCTACTAAACTAAACATCATCAGCAGTATGTACTTGTATCAGCTAGTTGCGTCGTTTATCTGCTTGATAGGCTTTGCGCAAGCATTTTATTTGCCAGGTGTTGCTCCCACCAATTACAAGGAAGGCGACAGCATCGAATTACTAGTAAATCATTTGACACCATCGTTGCACCACATCTCAAAAAACAATGCCAAGGTCAAGAGTAAGACTTATGTGTATTCGTATGATTACTACTACCCTAGATTTAGATTCTGCCAACCTGAAGGTGGTCCTCAGAAGCAGTCTGAATCTCTCGGATCAATTATCTTTGGTGACAGAATTTTTAACTCGCCTTTTCAAATTGATATGCTCAAGAAGGTCGAGTGTCAGGCTGTATGTGACTCTGTCTATCAAAAAACTGATGCAGTTTTTGTTAACAGAAACATCAGAGCAGGCTATAGCCACAATTGGATAATTGATGGATTACCAGCTGCTAAGCACTTGTTTGACAAAAAGACCCAACTGGAATTCTACGGTTCTGGATTCCCAATCGGTGACGTTGACGAAAGGAACGAAGCGCACTTAAATAATCATTTCCAGATCAATATTGAATATCACAAGAGATCTGATGAAAACTATAGAGTTGTTGGGGTCACTGTGAAACCATTTTCCTTAGATAGATCTGAATTGGACAAGGACGCTGGTCCTGAAAAGTTATGTTCCGAAGAATTGAAACCGTTACATTTATCCAAGGAGAGTGAAACCAGAGTCAAGTTCACTTATTCGGTAGACTTTATAGAATCAGACACTGTGTGGGCCACCAGATGGGATAAATACTTACATGTTTATGATCCTAAGATTCAATGGTTTTCATTAGTGAATTTCTCCATAATTGTGATTATCTTAGGATTCATCATTGCTCACATCTTAACTAGAACTTTAAAGAATGATATCATGAAATACAATGAAGTCAACTTGGATGATGAAATTTCGGATGAAAGTGGATGGAAATTAATCCACGGAGACGTCTTCAGACCTCCAAAGAACAAGATGTTGTTATCCGTTGTTGTAGGTAGTGGATGTCAAATCTTATTAATGACTTTTGCTACCATTGTTTTTGCACTTTTCGGTTTGTTATCGCCTTCAAATAGAGGAGCATTATCTACCTTCATGTTCATTTTGTTCATACTCTTCAGCATCGTGTCAAGTTTCATCTCAGGTTACATTTATAGATTCTTTGGAGGTGAAGAATGGAAATTGAATATGATTCTTACCCCAATCTTAGTACCTGGATCGTTGTTTGGAATTTTCGTATTATTAAATTTCTTTTTAATTTATGTCAATTCCTCAGGTGCTATCCCAGTTGGTACAATGGTTGCAATTATAAGTATTTGGTTCCTTTTCTCAATCCCATTATCCATTGTTGGTAGTGTGCTCAGTGCCAAGAGAGAAATGATATCAGTTCCAGTTAGAACCAACCAAATCCCAAGACAAATTCCAGAGCAACCATGGTACTTAAGGACTATTCCAATTATGCTTATGTCTGGTATTTTCCCATTCGGCTCAATTGCAGTGGAAATGTACTTCATTTACTCTTCGTTGTGGTTCAACAGAATCTTTTACATGTTTGGATTCTTATTTTTCTGTTTCGTATTAATGTTGTTGACTACTGCTTTAATTTCAGTCTTAATGATTTACTACACTTTATGTTCAGAAAATTTCAAGTGGCAATGGAAGTCATTATTTATTGGAGGTGGTTGTGCTATTTATGTGTTCATTCACTCATTGTTCTTAACAAATGGTGAGAGTCTCGCTGGGTTGACCTCTTTCGTTTTGTACGTCGGATACTCGTCTGTCGTATCCCTCTTGGTCTTCTTGTGCTGCTCATCTGTTGGCTTCATCAGTAGTTTATTCTTCATCAGAAGAATCTACAGCGAAATCAAAATTGATTAATTTTAGGACCGGATAGACTAAATGACTGGAGAGAAGAAAGCTAATAAGTTGAAAATTATAAATTAATTTGAGTGTAGCTTGTGGATTTGAATGGAGTTCTATTCTGTATAGTCCAATATAAAAAGAATTTCATTGCGTAACAAACTCAGTGGTTAGCAAGAACCACGTCTGTAATTAATTTAAAACTCTTTTCTCTATTAAGGACATCGGACAGAACTATAAAGGGAATTCCATTGTGGGATAAAGTAGAATTGGGCTCCGTGGCTAATTAGAACCACCTTTCTTCTCTAGTTAGTAAAGCACTCTTCCCTGTCAAGCACGTTAAGGAAGATGAGATGACATAGTAGCAAATATCCTGCATATGCACCAGATACATAAGCTTCTCTTCTGCCTAGCCACCTAGATTTAACTTCAATGGCGTATTCTTCTTAGATTATCATACTTCTAAGGACATTGGAGTATGGCCCCGGAATTACCTGGCTTCTACTATGACAAAGACAAAAAGAAGTACTTCAAAATTGTAAATGGAACTTCGGACAAACACACTAGTCGGTATCACAACAGTATAGTGCAATCAGAGAAGCGGAAAGCGGATTTTGAAAGGGCTACGAAAGGTTTCCCTTTGAGTAGACCTAAAGAAAAGAAGGGGAAAACTCAAAAGCAAGAGGACCTTAGGTTAAAAAATGCATTGATCAAGCAGAACAGAAGGTCAATTGACAAAATACGGCTGAACAAGATCGATCTCTTGGCCCTCAAATTGCAACCCAATTCGAATAATTTTGATGTTGCAATTTTGGACATTGGGTTGAATTTAGAGCTAGTTGAGTGCAAAACAGATCTGAAATTTGCCAGGTGTACCAATCTAGCTGTACACTCTTCCAAACAGGTACAGGAACCGGTGTTAATTAGTGAATTTGGAATGGAGACAATGGAAGCTCAAGAAGTTAGTGGAAGGGTGATACCTATGGAATGTATGTCTAGCGTGAACTTTGCGAATTTTGTCCGCACATTGGGGGATGATGTACTAGTAGAATGCTATACTAGCGCTATGTCTTGTGTTAGCAATGATAGTAATACCCTGGTGCTAAGGGTTTCTACTGCATACGTGCCTTCGGAGCGCTACGGCCCAAGATCAGTGATACTAGCTGATGTCTACAATATTGAAAATCACAATCCTCGATGGCACTATGATATTACTCGTGAGTTGAGGTTTCTAGGTCCCAAGAGGCCACATCTATTTGGCTTTGATATGATTGCGAATTTAGGACTGGAGCAAGCTGTCGAGTCAAACAATAGGATTGCAATCCAATTCCAACTACCAGCAGAGCGACAAGAGGGACATACTTCGTATGTAACTTCTTCACATCTATATGATACGAACCTATTTCTCGGCACAAGTATAGGTGAGATATATGTTGTGAACCTAGATGTCTACGGTATTTCATTCCTAGAAAAGGAAAACTATATCTTAAGGTTATTCACAGTTCCCATATCTACAATCTGCTCTGTCGATTCCGTATCCAGGTTTCTTGTATCAGATGTATCAGGAAACATTTGTGTGGTGGATGAGGGAAAACCATTCGGAGAAAGAGAGCTTTACATATCCCATGAATCTAAAGTTACGAACTTTTTCCCTTTTGAGAATCATTTCATTGCTGTAGGTCTACAAGGGATTAGTGCGTACGACTATCTGGGAAATGCTATACACAAGGTGGAATACTTCAATAACAACATAACAAATCAGATATCCATAAAGTTTGGGATTAATGGAAAACAAAGAAGTTTTATATTGGTGAATGAATCTAACAACGAGTTGAGGTTGATTCATCTCGAGACTTTTCGATCAAGAGTATTAAAATTACTGGAGCGTCATAACATGGGTCACAAATTGAAGAACATGGTTGTCTTTGAAGGTTCGAAAGTCTTACAGGCGTTCTTCGAACATAATGGGAATGGATATAGAAAGGTTTATAAGTTTAAATAACGGATAATAATGAATATTTAATGAACGAAACAAAAAGGACTATGTATGTAGAGTAGAGCTGTTGACAAATGCCTGATATTTTGGTACTTGTCTAATGATTTAAAATGATTTTTTTGAGAATGAATCTTCAGATAATTCAATGCAATATGTCTTACAGTTTCCACTACAAATGAAATATCCCGATATAATTATATTCCAGTAACTAAAACCAACCCTCAATATACTCTCTTTCTATGAACTCAATGATCTTCATATATTCACTTTTCCAAACGTCAATACCTAAACTTGCCATTTGATTTGATATTGGTGAACCTAAATTCAAATTGTAATATTCAAGTTTACTCTTAATCATGTTCAATGCCATAGATCCGATTATTGGATTGCTCGTATTCAAATTACTGTTTAACAAATTGTTAGCAATAGACAAATCATTGTTGATCTTTAAACAACGATTAAACAATTCATTATCATTGGTAGTCTTCACTATACTATCAGTAATTAGTTTGGATACTTTAATCAATTTATATGACTGGCCAAAAGAAATGTTTAGCAAAGGAGTAGTTAACTCGTTTTGACTTAAGTTGGTAGAATTGATAGTGTTGTTGCTATTTTGGATACTCATTAAAGTACTGTTTGATGAGTTTGTTGGTATATAGTTTGCTAAGTTGACGATAGAAGCAGTCAATTTCTTAACTATCCTACAGAGCTTCAACTGGAAATCATGCAAAGTTTCTTCATCCATACTAGGCAAGTCTTTAGCAATTTCATTCAAATAATTCAAGACCTCAGACTTGTCCTTAGTTAATTCCACGAAGTAAGATGGGAAGAGCCTTCTTTGACCATTGTCAATGTACCTATTCCAATTGATGGAAGAGTCCACAAATTTTCTTTTATCACGTAAGTTTATAAGATCATTAAGTAATTCCATCAATTTGAAATTGCCAATGCCATGGACCAATTGACAATCTTTGGGGACCAATTTATCCATGTTCGAGATTAAATTTTGACCCAAAGCATTTTCAATCGGAAAAGTCTTCTGTACTGCAAATCCTAATGAATAGATCGAATCCAAAATCATAGTACATAGGTAAATCTTAGGTAAATAGATTTGGACGCTGTCACTAGATGGAATGGCCTGTTCACCACCACTAGTGAGTTCTGCAAATTTCTCTAAAACTTTGAAATCGTTCAATATACTTATAGTGACACCCAATCCTATAGAATATATATCACCATTTAATAAAATGGAATAATTAATCAATATCAAAGAAGAGAAGAAAAATATTAACAAATTGTCACTCAATTTAGCATTGAATGAGTTGAAAGGGTACATACTCAATATTTTGTTCAAAAGGACCATATTATCCCTCAAACTAATCGTATTGTAATTGTTCAAGTTGTTCAACGAGCAGTTGAAGAGGTCAACAATCAGCTTGGCAGAATCGTCCAGAGTTAACGACTCAAGAAGATTTTTAATATGAGATTCGTTAAAAGACAAAATGGGGAAATTACCATGAAATTTGATGTAATAGACGCTCAAGTTATGTTCTAAAGTAGCAGGTGGTGGAGATATGTGTGGCAATTGATTAAAGGGCGCACCATTATTATAAGGACCTTGGGGAGGTTGCGGTTGTTGTTGCTGAAGTTGTGAATGCTGTACTGGTACTGAATAAGCATAGCTAGTCTGTTGATATGGCGGATTACCAGGCATAAATTGGAAGCTGGGAGCGTACATTGGTTGATATCCAGCTGCCAGCTGCTGTTGTTGCTGATGCTGAATAGAAAAGCGAGGCGGCGGAGCTTGAGGGTGTGGATGTACTTGAACATGAGGTCCCAGAATAGGATTTTGTTGCCCAAATGGCGGTACCTGATGCAGTTGATTGCTCTGTGACGGAATTTGAGGGCTTTGGCCAATGTTTACATTTCCAATTCTACCATTCAAGCTACTCATTGAACTTACACTATTCCTTGGTGATAGCGATTGGGAGGATCTGGATCTACTGAAAGACTTGACACTATAGAAATCATCTTCACTATCGCTGATGCCAGTCTCACTTGCTGATACACTTGCCTTGAGAGAAGGTAACCTGGACCGAATCAGTATTCCACTAGCACTTGAATTTGCAGATGATATGGATTCAATTGAAGATCTTCTATTATCCACAGAAGAATTCGAGGGCATTTCATAGGGGACCTTCCAGAAGGGACCTTGGATACGAGGGCTTTCTGTTTGTGGAGGATTACCAGCGCCAGCTGCTGAGCCATGAGAAGCCGGGTTTAGTATACTGTTGAAATTCCCATTTCTTGGAGAGGCCGGTGATATTGGATCAATATTATTATTGGAGCCAGGCTTAAGGTTGTTATTAGTATTAGTATTAGTATTAGTATTATTATTATGATTATTGCTGTTGTTGTTATTAGTCGTAGTATTATTGATATTATTTTTGTCCACTGCAATTTGGGTATGCACTTGAGGGAAAGTTCCAATTAGTGGAGGGAGAATTATTGGAGAAGTACCCTGCTTAGAGCTTATTGAAGTTGATGCAATTGGGTTGGCTAATGTAGGAGGAGGGTTACCAGAGTTCATCGAGATGTTGGACTTAGAGCTCGAGTTCGAATTCGATGCTTGGTGCTGTGGATAAGGCAAGTGTTGCTGGTGAATGGGTATAGTGGATGGATGCATCAGGTCTGACGAGCTTGAACTCGATGTAGAGTGAGAGTGGGAGTTGGGCGGCGAGAATCCATTCGTCTTAGTGCCAACTGTATAGCCAGTCGTTGCCGAAGACAACGACAGCTTTCTAGGTCTGGAATGCTCCAACTTTTCTTCCAAATCTCTGATGTAGCCCTTAGAAGGACCTCTCTTCAAAGGAACCCTCAGAAACGTGCATGTGTCATGGTTCTTGTGGCAATTGGTACACTTCTTGATTACTTGGTTGTGAGTGGTTGAAAAATCACCATCGCACTTGACCTTCTTCCTCCTACAAGCGTCACACGCTCTAGAGACTTTGGATCTCTTCCGAGGAGCAGTGTCTAGCATCTTTTCATCCGTCATTCTGTGAGATAACAACGGAGCGGAAACAGGGTCGATGAACAGGTCAGTGAAGCAAGTGTTGCGTAGTTGGGTAGCAGGGGGTGCTGGATCGTTCACTTGTGGTGTTTCAGCTGAGTGGAAATATTTTTGCTTTTGCAATTTTTCTTTCCCCTCCGGTGATACTTATACTAGTCAGAGTGCAGGTTAGTTTATGCCGAAAACAGACAAAGACAACGTCGTTTTACTGGTACTTCAAGAAGAAACAAGTGGGTAGAGTTGAAAATAACGGGGTGCTTTTACAGCTAATTATTTTTCTTCGGGGTGGTAAAAAGGAAAGGAAACTTTTTTCTTCCGGAGGCCCTAAAGGAGAAGCCAAAGTTAAAGAAAATCTGCACTGGGGAAGCCAAATTAGAAGAAAATCAGCAGTGGACAGGAAAACGCAAAAAAGAAAGTCAGGCAAAAAAAAAAAATAAAAAAAGTTTTAAGCCTATTGGATTTTTCACATAGGGAAATGGTAAAGCCTAAATTGAATCAAGGGAAAGGGTTGGCTTACACACCAATTATAAAGGAATTATAAACGCTCGGAGTGTTTTAAACTGTGTTGATGCATGTGGAAATCGACTGAGGTAGAATAAAGTGGTGGTCGATTGACCCATTTGGATTAATTTCTTTTCTTTTTTTTGTTTTATTTAATTTTTTTTCCTCTTTGCTTACTGTACCCCATGTAACTCTCCGGAAAAACTGATCACTTGAAGATCCTGGGGTGCAGTTTTTCCCTGGTTTCCGGGTAAAAGGCTGCTTGCGGGGTCGGCTTCCGCAAATGCCCCGGTAAAAATGCTGGAGAATCAGCCCTTGCGTACTGCACACATTGGAGAAAGAGTCAAAGAGAAAGCCGCGAACTCACTTCTCTAAGGGCCGCCAGCGAAGCTCGCTCAGTAGACGCAGCGAGAGCACCACTGCAGTACACTGACATCGCATGGCCGCTTGAAGTGGATTATGATGAATGTAATGCAGCAGTTTGTAAATTATTTCAAGGCAAACGTATTTGTAAGACGGTGTAACGTAGTGGGGGCAGAATGGGGGACAGCAGTGGCTTTGTCTTATCTTATTTCTTTTTTGTCTCACCTTCCACATTGTGACCCTGGTCATTTGCTCATATACTTAATATACCTCTGCTATTGCTTGACAATGCCTTGCTCTTGAGTATCTTCGCTTTTGCTCTGATTCACTCTGCTCTACACTACTCTGCTCTGCTCTGCTTTGCGCGCGCCCTACTTCTCTTTCACCTTTCTCTTGTGGAGCTATTTTTTTTCCGCTTTAGAGCGGATTAACACATGCCTCTAAATCCTCGAAGTAAGGTTGATCGGAATATGTAGCTTTAGGATTTATCTAGCGGAGATTACCTATTTATTATAAGTAAATGAAGTTGAGGTCTTACGATTCAGAGATTAATGTTAAATGGTACCATTGTTAGAAATTCAGCGGAAGAAAATATCTTGTTCCACGCAAAAAATAAAAAGAAAGGAATTGACACGGACAGGAATCGAACCTGCAACCGTTCGATTTGGAATCGAAAACTCTACCATTGAGCCACCGCATCACCCTTGAATGTTAAACTATACTGCTGTGCTTGACCAAGTAGAGTAGACTCTACATATATACCCCATCTCCATCTCCATCTCCACCTCGAACTTAGTCCTGTTAAGCAGCCCTTGAATAATAGATGGTACATGAAGCACAAATATATGATTCACAATAATGTATAACTCAATTTTCCGGCTTGTTTACCTTGAAACTTGCGCTTTTGAAGCTGCTAGTCTTGTTCCTCCTCTTCTTCTCCATTTTCAAACAGAGTCCGTCAGGGCTCACCCGAATGATATACATGCGATTCTTTTCAGATATTTTTCCCTTTTCTCGAACTATATTGAGAGTATCCTCAATCTTACACCTTTTGCAATGAGCAAGTATCACATTAAAATTATAAATTTACATCCCACTAACCTAGCGACATTACAACATCCCACTCTCTCACCATATCCATCCACGTAACATCTTCTCCGACATCTCTCCTCTTCCAAACCTCATAAATAATTTGCTTTGCTCTCCAGTAGTTACCCTTTCCACTAAATTCGTCACTAAGCCAAATTCTTTGATACTGGCTTCTGATCTTTGGGTCCAAAGCATCAGCTGCACAGACCAAAATTTGCCAAAATGAAGGTCTAAATTGAGCCTGCTCTCCGTCACTTTCACCATCTCCTCTACTAAGATTATTCAATGAAATCAATTCCTTTAAATGGTCCAAAGTCATATGAATATGGTTTTGGAAACTCAGTGTTTTCAGTTGCTTGACAAGTTGATAGAAATACACTATTAATGAATGATGGAATGACTTAATGTTATGATACATTGCCTGATGGAAATTCAGAATAAATTGGTGCTTATCATTAAACAAGGTCCAGTATTTAGATTCATCCCACGACAACAAAGCGTCTTCAATATCTGCACATATAATTGGGAAATTTCTGGGGAAGACCTTCTTTTGCAGAAAGACCTTCTTATGATTAGTCAATTGTATCACTTTATAGAAGATATCAATCAACGACTTGGGAACTCCGAACAGAATGTATATCAACTCAGAATTGAAAGTGTTATACCCCATCTTATTAGGATCTGGCACATAGGGATATAGTACGGGGCTATCCGTATATATCAAGGTGCTTTTAGAAAGAATTGGCAAAGTCGAAGTCGTTTTTCTTCTCTTTCTCTTGGATTCATCGTCACTCCTTTTACCCTGGAAATTTATACTGAACGATAAGTTATCATCATTAGATGAAATCAAGTTAGAAATTATAGGCTTCATCAGGACCTTCCTATGACTGTTAATAGCTGTATCAACTATTTTGCTTACCTCACCATCATTATCACTTTCACTATCACTGTCGCTGTCACTGTCACTTTCACTTCCACTCTCACTACCACTTTTATCCCCATCTCTATCTTGAATTAAATTATAGTCTTCTCCGATATCTCTGTAGACTCTTTTTAAATCATTTTCGTCCATAGAATAGTTAGACATATTTATTGACTGAGTAGATTCATAGAATGTGTGATAATAATTGAATAATCCAATGAGATATAGTGACATGTTCAGCACATTTTTGATGTTTTGCTTGAAAAATTTTTCCTTAATCAAGAACTCTCCTATACCATATAGATAGTCATAGTTTTCGAACACCGAAAAATAGCTATCTATTTGAAGCTGAAGTAATATTCCGAGTAGCAAAAGTTCTTCATATTCTAAGTCAAAATTACTGTCACAACTAGTGCTGTCGGTCCCTTCTTTATCGGGCACAATAACTTCGTCATCCCCATACTTATCCAAATGACTGTTTATAATGGTTATAGTCAATTTCCTCAATTCGATACTTAATGTTAAGTAATCCTGATTTTCAAAGTGCTGTTGAAATGCTGCTATACATAGGACTGAATACACTATGCTACTCTTAATGTGGTCTATCTTTTCCTCCATCGACCATGGTTCCTTTTCATTATCCTCGTCTTCGTTATCAGTATCTGATTTGTTATCTTCTCCTTTGTTTATATCCAAGTACAAGAATTCTCCAAATGTCTTATATATAAATGGAACAATGGTCTTTTGCCAATAATTCTTATCATAATTTATTCTCATAAAGCATGAGACATTATTCTTAAAGCACTTTAAAAGTTTATTGAAGAGTGGAAAGACAGTTATCCCATCAGAAGGGGAATATTTGAATAACTTGTTCAATACAAGCACGTTCGCTTTCCAGTCATCAGAATCGATATTAGGGAAGAATTTGGGATATAAAATATGAAGCATGTTTTGCTCGTCAAAATTATAATTAATTCCTTTTATAGCCAATATTGTTAATTTGGCATAGTCCAAAAGCTCGAAGTGTACCCATGAGTTATTGATATTCTTCGAGAATATTGAGGGAGAGTCCTGCTGTTCCCCATAGGAATCGGTGAAATCAAGTATATTTTTCTTTTTTTGTAAGGAATGTTTGAATTTTAATGTATTATCTTGTGGTCGACCAGCAGGTTGACCATTTTTCAGGTTCAATCCCAGACTATTGCTCCAGTTTTCCGACTGACCAGGGTCCTGTGCCTGTAGCAGGCAAGGTGACCGAAACACAGAAAACGGCCCAAACTGGTATTGTTTCCCGTCAAGCACATTCTTATTGTTTCGTACTATCCAAAAGTCAACTCTTTCAATAGCATCTTCAACTTCTTTGAAAGTGGTATACGCCAGCAGCTTAGGGAATGGTACTGCTGCAATCTTTCTTCTCTGAAATTCATTATTTATGCTTCCATTATCCAAAGACAGACCGTCCTGTATTCGGATGGTAATCAATTCATTATGAGAATCGATAGTTAGTGGGTCCGACCATCCCAATTTTATGTCATAACCCTCACACTTGAATTTTGCTTTCACACATCGGTTACACACTGGTTTAGCTAGGTCGCACTTGACCTTTCGGGACCTACAGGTCCAGCACCCTTCAAAGTTTCGACTTTTCTGGGGCATTCACTTATCTCTGTAGATTTGGAGAGTTAAGCTCGAGCAAACTCCAAGAATATCAATATCAACACTGATAATAGCGTCAAATACACAGCAGAGATCAGATCTTGATCGGATTTCTTTCTCTTCTTATTTTTATTTTGCACTGATAACGGTTTTGATGTTTTAGGAAGGTGTGCGCGAGCTGGTATAAGATGAGAGTCGGTGCAATAAAGTGCGGGATAAGCTTAACCACAACAACCACCGAAGGAATGAAAAAAGTCAAGACGCAAAAAATACAGCCGTGAGGTTATTCTCTTCACATTTCATTAGTCTCTGCTAAGGTAACAGTGACGATCAATCGACAAACATAGTTACTATTGCTGATAAGAAATTCAACTTCGTCTAGTGAGCTTTTTATAATTCACATCACTTTTTTTTATCTAGTTGACAATATGTCGGTCATCATTTCAGAGGAATTCAATCCACAGATACCTTTGATTCTTGCTCATGATAAAATCTTTCAAATCCAAGTTGGTACTAAAATATATAGACTTTCAGGAGCTTCCCTTTCCTCAGATGCTCCTTCTCACTTTACAAACTTTTTTTCAGTGCCAGTAAACCAGGACAAAATCTTATTTATAGATAGAAGTCCAGATATCTTCGATTTGATATACCAGCACTTACAGGGGTACCAAATAAGTGTAGATAATGATTCCCAATTCATTCAAATTTACCTGGATAGTTACTATTTCAGCTTGAGAAGATTACAGAAATTTCTTGCTGAAGAAGATGTATTTGCCAACGTTGGGAATGAATCGTTCAAGATTTCCCGATCTCTATTCACTCAAACTGGTAACTTCCCAAACTATTTCACTATTTCGTTAAGTTCATTATTGACAGATAATATAGAATCAATTAAACTGAAAAACATGATCAGACCGCCTCCACAGAGATCTGTGACGGTACCGAATAGATCTCCCAAATTATTTAGAGATTTATTGGAATTGCTTCGGAAGAACTATTTGGTCATTGAAAATGAAGAGCACAGAAACTCGTTGCTCAGAGAGTGTAAATATTATAGATTTCTAGAATTGGAGCAGCAAACTATCAAGCATAAGATCTTAAACAATCCCTTTGGCACTGATAATAAGCAAGAGATTGTCATTGGCTTGAAAGATTTGAGCCCCAAGGGATTTTTTAACGAATCACCTCCTGATGGATCTAGAGAGGTTGCATTGCAATACTGTAGGCCATACATAGCAAATGAGCCTAAGCGTACTTTAATATTTCAAATTGATTCAGGCTGTGATACTTACATAAAGGACTACAGTGAAGTTAAGTTGATCGTCAACAAGGCAGTGGGAATTAGTGTTGTAAATATTACGAACAAACTAAGCAATAGAATGATTCAATTGTTCAAGGGGATATGTGAACCATTTGAAGTTAAAACTAACGCAGAAACAGGATCTCAAGAGATTTCCGTACTTGTCGGCTTGAAAGATTGTAAATCTACCGTGAACGGATTAGCTATGAAGACAAATTGGATCTATGGGTTACTAAATGAGTCTAAAGGTGCTGAAAATGACGAAGAGGTAACCACCAAGAAAAGAAAGCTGGAACAACCTCATGGTGATATTTTAGAAATTAGGTTAACGAAGTCATTATGGAAAATGATGTTTAGAGGAAAGAAATTAAGATTGCACTGTATTTCTTTTGAAGGATTGACCGATGAAAGTGCTTTCATAAAGCAAGAAATTGACTTTTTATAGAGTATTAGCAAGTGAAGAGTAGTAATTGTATGTATCACTATTTAAGCTTTGTACTACATTTTTTTTTTTGTCCGATGTTTGTTCCTTGCGGCTGAATGTCATTTATTAGGGGCTCAGATATGCTGCATCGTAAATATCGCTGACGCATAAAAAAGTGTTCCAAAAGAAGAATTCAGTAATTCAAGCTAAACTTTGTAAGTAATGGCCTATGGTCACTGATTAAAAGACCACTAAAGTTGGAATTCAAGACATCGTGATTGATGACTGTAGTCTGGTGATCAGATTGGTAGAATGTAAAGTCGATAATCTTTTGCTTCTCATTGTTGAACCCTGTCCAAGTTTCGACGAATCCAGTGTCTAAAGACTTTTCAGTTGAGGCGTCAATCAATGTACCATTGATTGTTTTATAAGCATCTTCAGTAGGTTGACTATTGAAGTCCCCCGACAAGTATGCAGGTAATGGGTCCGTGAAATTTCCAATAATTGAAAGAACTTCTTGTGCTGAATGTAAGCGAGCATCAGCACCATCTGCATCAAAATGAGTATTCAAGTAGTGCAATTGAGCCCCAGTGGCTCTGTGCCTAAACTTGGCAACGCTGACGATTCTATTGAATTTGGCATCCCAGCCCTTGCTCGGAACCTGTGGAGTTGGACTTAACCAATAGGTCGTGAAGTTAAGATTTTCCCAAACGTCATCTTGATAAAGAATTGGAGAATATTCACCAGCCTCTTTCCCATCATCTCTACCAACTCCGAGACTTTTCCAGCTTCCGCCCAAACCACTTGTGATATCTACAAGTTGGTCATGAAGAACTTCCTGAAGTCCAACTAAAGAAGGTGAGGCTAAAGTATTATTTCTAATACTTTCGATTAACAAGTCTTTTCTCTTACTCCATGGTTGTTCTCCTGGGCCAGGGTTACTGTTCTCTACCTTGATATTATGATCATAAATATCGAACTCAAACGCAGCTCTTCCAACCAAGTCGATAGGAAAAGAGGTTACAAAACTGAGACCAAAGAAGATGAAAATATAGAGTGATTTACCAGAAAGCATCGTGTAATTGTTTTAGAATGTTATAATAGTGTTTAAAAGCATTAAATCTCCATTTTAGGAGAGGAAATGGTTCCCTTTAATACCTCTCCTTTGATCAAACATGTAGGGTGGTTAGAAATACTTAATACCTAGTACATGCGGCTCACACACCTTTTTCTTCTTCAGAGAAGTTCAATTATTGTTGCTGGAGACATCACAGTGGATGCAAAACTCTTCATATGTTGTCATTACAGTTAATTTGGCATCATAACTAACTATATCCAACGTTTATCACCTTGTAAAGAGTTAGAAACATGCTGCAACCACAATCATGCACGTGTGTGACAAAACGTTTCTGTTCCAGGTTACAAACCCTGTTGCAACCACGATGTATTCCATGAAATTTCATTTTTTTAGTAATTGATTTGAGGTATATACCAACTTGTCTAATGTATCTGGAGAGGAGAATCAAGACTATGCACCATGACTTATCTAATGGAAGAAAGAGATATCTTTTCAAATCATTAGTTGAGGGTACGTATAAGTGTTCATGCGCACACAATATGTCAAAGCGACAAAATGTAACATTTAAAGTTTTATGACAACATGATGCAAAAGAATACATCTAGTGAAGTTTAATTTCAAGGGGAACCATCTTGACTTCAAAAACGTGCTACTAAATTACTGGATTTGTTTAGAGTAAAGAGAAGAGCAATTGCTTCATGTAATATAATTAGTAAGGAGCTAAAGGATGCTGTTACCAGGTGTAACTACTCCTTCTGCATTTCAGACCGATTTTCCATGTGAGTACTACGAATCTTCATGACTGGTTTCTCATGTAGGTACACCAAATTTTCTACTTAGATATACAAATTAACCATATTCTTAGGTAAAAGTACACCAGGCAAAAAATGGGTTACACTAATTCATAATTTTATTGAGTACATTGCTCTTTGAAGATTTTCGTAAATGTGTATTCTATAAATGCGGAAAGAGGTAGCTCCTCTCCTCTGCCAAATTTCACTAAAGTATGCAACTAGCTTTCAACTGAAAGTACAATAGGTTAATTAAATCATAATTTTGCATACGTCATTATAATATGTTACTCTATAGAGATTGCTATAAATAAGATTTCTTTTGTGGCGGAAATAAGGAAACCTTCACTAAATATATCTTAAACTTTAACCAATTTGAATCCTCTGTACAAGTATCTCGACACATATGCTGACACTGCACCTAAAAACGACAATACTGAGATAAAGATCACCAAATGATCAAAACCCAGCACCAGTTCATTCTTTCCAATTATGGCACCTCCAATGGGAACCCCAAACAAGTCGCCAAAACTTAATATGAAGAAAGCAGTACCAGCTCTTTTTCCAAAATCCTTTGTCTTACAGATCTGACCTATGCATGCAGGGGTCAAGGATAGCACGGAGCCACTAGTAAATCCATAGACACCTGCGAAAATGTAGATCGACACTGTCTTATGACCAATAGGAGGTGGTAACCAGATTATACAAAATGCAATAGTAGAGGTTGTGGCAATAATGCATAATGTGTTAAATCTACCGTACCTGTCGGCAAATATTCCTGGAATTATCCTTCCTGGAATTGACATGGAATTAAAAACCACCAACAATAGATAAGAAGAATTTTGGTTTGCCCCATTGGCAACCGCATAGGAAGGCATGTAAGTCAATGTAATCAAAAAGGCGAACCCATTGAAAAGAAGTGCCAATACTAATCCCGAATAAATGGGGTCCTTAAACACTCTAAAGTCAATAGATTTTAAGATTTCTGTAGTAATATTATCTTTCTGAATAGACTCTTTGTCTTCGCCATTCTTCACATGCGACTTTTGTATAATTGCTTTTCTATCAGCAACTAAAAGGAATCCAGTCATCAAGAATCCAAAGACCATGAACGCACCAATTCTTATCGTCCAGCCGAAGCCAACCTTTGGAAGTAAACTTCTAAACAATAAGGGAAAGATGATTCCACCTATTGCACCTCCTACGTATGCAAGTCCAACAACTTGAGCTCTATTTCTATAGAACCAATGACTAATACACCCTAAGAGCGGAGCAAACGTAAATGAGGTACCTAAACCGCCTAAGATACTGAAACTGAGGATAAACTGATAAAGTTCAGTGCTTAAAGACATACACATGAATCCAGTAGTTTGCATTATTAAACCTACCAACAATGGGATTTTGCAACCCAATCTGTCAAAAACGGGACCCAGAATCAATGTCATCCCAAAAGAAAGAAACCCGTAGATTGAAAAAATCCACCCAATCTTTGACTCCGAAGTGCTCGTAAGGATATTGGTCGTGATGTATGTTTGAAGCACCCCCAACGAGTTCACAAAACCAAGGGTCCCAATAAATCCGATGAAAGCTCCGACTACTACTGTATAAGCTCGCAAACCTCCATCTGGAAATAGGTTTGGATCATCCAATAAAACTATTCCGTCATCACTCTCACTGTCTTTGAAGTCATTCGGCTTTTCCACTTCAAGGCCCTTACTTTCAAAGTCCTTGAAGTCGTTTGGGTTATCAACTTCATGTTCTTTACTCTCATATAGCACCATCCTCTATCTATAACCAGTAGCCAATAAGTTGAAACAAGTGGTATTGAAAAATTAAGTATTTTTCAGTTATGTAAAATAAATGTGAAATGCCGAAGTCTTTTTTTTTTTTGATTGTATTTCGATTTCTAAGCCATAACTTTAAACTTTGCAACCATTATGTTCTTTATGTGTTTTTATACTCAAGCCTCTCGTTTAGCTCAGAAACCGAAATCGGAGAAGACTTTTCCCACGTATAAAATATGTCACCTACATGCTGTGACACCTTGAGTAAGTGCGAGATGGAAGCTCATTTTGCCACTGTCGGTGTGAGATCAGCCCTCTGCGCACGGCCCTATCATGTCGGGAATAAAGCTTAATTAATATGGTCCTGAAATTCTACATTCCAGATAGTTTAGCCATGGATACGACGCGGTTAGAAGCTCACAGATTTCTGTTTCGAAACCGCCGTATAGATGAACAGTCTCAAGAGTAGACTCAGGAACGACCGTATAGGCAGTTTATAGGTATGCATGGTATACTTTCTTATCTCTGCTGTCTCATGCACAGAAATAGGACAATATGCAAGAAGTGCTTTGACGCAGTTTGCTGATGCATAAAACGGTTGCATTTTTTCAATGACTTGGGTGCCTTCTAGATAAGCTTGACTGCCACTCTATTACGCTTACAGTGACCCAGGCACATTATCATATTATTAAGCACTTCTATAAAAGCTAAGCTAGGCAATGATGTAAGCCCCAAAAAAGAAAAAAAATTCTAAAAAGAAGTAAAAAAAAAATAATGACTAATTGTAAAATCTCAACTTGGACGCACACTGGATATCTCTGTAATTCAGAGCACCAGCAGCTTGCGTATTAACTTGCTCGAAATATATTTCATCTTCCCACCGCTCTCTCTGCGTTAGCTTACTCGGAATATATTTCATCTTCCAACCGTTCTCTGCATTAACTTACTCGGAATATATTTCATCTTCCCACCCGTTATCTTCGTCGTCGCCAGCTCTCTTTGGCATCAACTCACTCATCAATACTCCACCAACTTCTTTCAACAATTCATTCACTTGCTCCACCACTTCTTCGTCCACTTCGGAGTCATCAACCTGAGAAATTTTATATCCATTGGTCAATGCAATTCTGGAATCATCAATGAATGCTTGAATTTCTGAGTCCCCCACGGTCTTAGGTAACTTAATATCTCTATAATCTTTCTTCTTTCCTTCCTTTACACAGTATAATCTTTTAGCTTCTAATAAGTTGGCTAACCCCTCGTAATAGTAAGCATCTAGCAAAGACTCGTCTATGTCCTGGGAACTGGATGCAGCTTGGATAGCTATTTCGTAGAGTTCCAGTTCAATGGCCAATTTGGATAGTGTTAATAAGGGTTGTAACAATTCCACATACTCCAAACCAACATCAAAGTTATCAGCATCAGCATTGGTGGTTTGCTGTTGTGCAGCCTCTTCCAAGTCGGTTTTCTTTTCGTTGAAAAGCTCCCACGATTTTGCCAATGCTTCCTTTGCATCTTCTGGTCTTTGTTGAGAGATTCTAATGGATGCCAATAAGGACCAACTTTCAGCGTTTTTATCGTCTATAGCCAAGGACTTTGTAATCAAGCCATCGCACCTCGATTCTGCTTCTGGTTCCATGCACAAGTCGGTCATCCAGATCTCTATTTCGGCGAATATACCTTGATTTAGCTTCTTAATTAAGTATTTTGCAATTGCATCTTTGGTAGTATAGATTTTACCAAGCTCTACAAGGATCTCATCCGCTTCTACAGACTCATCGTTGCTGGTAACAATGTTCAACTGTTCCTCGAATCGCCTTAAGCCTACGTCTATATAATTTATACCGTCCTGACCTCCGATTATTTGCCCCAAGTACAAGAATTTTTCGACTCCTTTGGAGGCATTGGGGTCAAGATCACACCCGTGGGTCAACACTTGGTATGCTGTTTCGACCTGATTATTCTCGAGCAATGTTTCTCCAAAGGCCTGAAGGTACAGGACATCGTTCTGCTTAGCTTCGGCGTGAGGAGCCAAGAGTTCTAGTGCCTTTTCGGCCTGTGAAGACTGCAACAATGCAGAAGCAAGTCCAACCAATTCGCTAGTGGCTGACATAACGTGAATTTTCAATACAGTCCAATACAATCCGTTCTCTAGCTATAGAATTGGCGATGAGTTTGGCATTTTTATTTTTTTTTCAGTGCCTGGAAATTTTTCAGTGCTCTTCTCAAAATATGCAGAACCAAGGTGAAGAGAAGATGAATGGCGATGGGTTTCTTCTTACAGAGTTAATATAGAATGATATGACCGGTTCACCATTCTTGTCGCTTCAGAATGAATTCTATATACTCCATTTGTTGTACCATCGAAATAAAAACCAGCATAGAGCGCTGTGCTGGTGGAAGTACTTGAACATGATGCATCGCCATTTGAGAAGCATCTTAAAGTTGCATGGCTCAAATTCGCCGGAGGTGGTCAGGGCAGTCCAAGATTTCCAGAGAAGGAAGATATTGGACAAATCGTATTGGGAGTTTAACAGTATTGTTGCCTTGGGTCAATTTGTCGCTTTGGGTATGACTCTTGTCGGGTTGGTTGCTAGGGTGTGGGTGATTTTAGATGAGATAAGTCCGCGGGACATGGTTGGGTTAGCTGACGGGCCGGCTATAGCTTCGGTTTCTGCTTCTAAAGCCAATGCAGCTGCTGGAATTGGCAAGAACTTCCAAGGACCTCAGCTTCAGTCAAATGTAGAAGTTGATTTTGGGGAAGAGCTAACGGTTTCTGATTCGCTGATACTACTGGAACCAGTAGCGCCGGCTCCTTCGAAACGGGCACATGAGCTTGACGAATTTAGTGGTCCAGTCAAAAAGAAGTTGAAGCCAAGGGAGAAGAAGAAAAAGAAGAAGAAGAGAAATGAAATGGACGACATTTTTGGGTGATGTGAGTAGGAAACCTGGTGGTCGGGAACTACCAGGCTGTATACGAATGGATAGCACTTACTTACTGTTAACAATGTTATGAGCTGGTGTGAGCGTTCTCAGTGGGTAGAGAAAGGTTTTAGAATACATGGTCAGCTCGGCCTTGATAGTTTCCAATATTAAATGGTGAGTAGTCTACTGGAGCAGTATAGATGAATAAAGAGAAGTAATTTCATACATGGAAAGTTCAAACAGTAACCTGCTAGTGTAGTGATCAGGTGGAGTAATAACGCTTGCACTTGGATTAGTAGAGAGAAATAATTGGATACATGGACGGCTCTCCAACTCTGTAATCTGATCATGTAGTAATCTTGTGGAGAAACGCTTTACATCTTTCAGTGTGGGACCTAGACTGTATCTATTCAAGAAGGTACTGACTATTACCTCTGTAACTCTCTATACTACCAACAATCACAGCATCTCTTTCTCTTTCTCTTTCCTTTTTCCTTTCGCTCTCCTGAATTCCTACATTCCTACATTCCTACACTTTTTATTTCAATTCCATCATCTATTCCTCGTTCATCCTATACTAATATAACCTTAGTTCATTTCCTTTACCCAGGTGTTTCGTATTGAAGATCTCTCCTTATTTGAGTTTTAATATTTTCTTCTTTATTTTTTCATTTTTACATTTTGCTTTTTTTAACCAGTCCCATATCTCTTTGTTTGTGAGTTGTGTGATCCATTACGGCCACTTTTGTCTTCCGTTTCCCATTAATATACATACTTGCCTGTTTTACTTAAAAGTAAGCTTCCCCGCTAATTGCAGTGTTCACTTGGTTGAGGTTAGAGTTGCTAACAAACAATTGATCAACATCCAAGCAATATTCATCATCGTAGTCTTCAGCCAAGCTATTATGAACTACCAGACCGTGTTGAAATTGGTCAAACTGGAGGAATGGCTGTTGCTGTTGCTGGCTTTGTTGCTGTTGAATGTTCATTTGCTGGTGTTGGAGTTGATTTGCATATTGGTGTTGCTGCATATTCATCTGCCCATAGTTGATTTCAACTGTGGCCTTGTTAGGAGGCGAGGGAATAGGGTATGTAGTAGATGGTAGCGAATTAGGTGTGTTAACATAGTTGAACGCCATGTCAGAATTTGATGATAAGGCAGGTGAGTTGGTATTATTGTTTGGAACCAACCCCGAGTTCACCTGTGGGTAGTACGCATAGGATTGTGGAGTATCATAGTTAGAAGGAGTCTTTGAAGGGGAGGTTAAAAGAGCAGCGCTCATGTTGCCTTCGACAAGCTGTTGCTTACCGTTCTCCTTCATTCTTTGTCTTTGCTCCTTTCTTAACTTGTTCTTGATTCTACTCTTTCCCTTGAACCCAGTAGGCAAGTGTCTACATTCACCACCTTCAATGTGAATCTCGCACCATATTTCGCTGTTAGGGAAGTATTCATTGCACATTCCACAGTATCCAGGAGAATTTGTTCTTTCTTTGGTCTTAACTCCCTTAGGATACTTGAAATGTCTAGACTTCAAGTGTGTCTTGTAGGTATCTCTTCTGGAGAACCCTCCGTTAGGGTGGCACTTGTGTGTGAGGTTGTTCTCATCAACGTAGATGCTGTAGTTGTAAAAGGGGCACAGGTATGCTTTCTTGACAGCGTGCTTCTTCAAATGACGAGTCAAGTAGCCTCTGATCTTGAAGCTAACATCACAGTGAGGACATTGGTGTACGGTTCCATCCTGTTCTCCTCCACTCGAAGTCTTTCCTTTGTCATCTTCTTCACCCTCGGAAAAGGACGAGTTGTTGGTCAAAGGGGTGTCATCAAGCTTCTGGATGTTACGATACTGACCGTTCTCTATGATAGAGTCTGAGTTAGATGAGTTCGAAGTGGTTGGAGTAAGTACATCTCTCTCTGGCTTTCCTTCCTTATCCAACTGATTACTAATAGAGTCAGACTTGATCTTGAATACGTCGAGTTCGGATCCAGGGAGCGACAGGTCGTCAGTGAACGCCCATTCGATTTCCCCGTTCTTGTTCTTGAAAGGTAAGAGCCTTGTGGTCAAGCCAGTGGAGCAGGACTTGGCTGTGACACCGTCTGTTTGAATGATAACGTCGGTTATCGATGGGAACAAGTCTGGGATGGTCTTGGATTTTTCAACACTGGCAATATTGGCCACTTCCTTTGATTTGTCATCTTCCCTTGGCTCTTCTGCCTTAACATTACCGGTCTTGGTACCGGCTTCCTCATAGGCACTGTCCTTAGTAGTCTTTCTGCTCTCTTTAAATAACCATACTATGGCCAAGAGCAACAAAATGGACCTGATTGCTGTGGACGTGGTGAATTGCAGTAAGGTGCCACCGAACATAACTACAGGTGGTACCATCTTATCAGCTACTTGTTCAGCAACTTCAGTCCATCTTCGACGGCGTTGGTTGTTCAAGTTTAAAGGATCTGCAAGAGTTGTCATGCTGTCCTTTGATGTCGTAAAAAAATGTCAGCTCTGTGTTTTCGTTTGCTCTTTGTCACTACTATGCGCTTTTGTCTTTGAATGTTTTAAGTGCAAGTTGTACGCAAAATTACTTGACTTATGATTTAGCTAGCAGTGGTTATATGTGAGTTGCTCCTGCTATGATGATCTTATCTTCCTTATAATAGCACGAAGGTGTATATAAGGTCGTTATGAGTTTTTTTGGATTATTTTTTGTTGTCACTGTCACTAAAATTTTCAAATCTCCTTATGTAATTAACCACAAAAAAAGAAAAGAAAAAAAATCCCCTTTTCTAAAACTATGTTTGATTAGAGGTTTACTGATGTTGGCAGGGAAACTAGGTTTGGGCCAACTCGAAAGATAATCTTCTCCTTACTCTGTTATTAAGGATAAGTACCGTTACTAGTAATGTACTGTAATGCACTATTAAGTGAACTCTAGTTTGTCGTCGGCTGCACTGTTGTTGTTTCTCTCAGCAAGGGTGACTTTGTTACCGTGTGATGGTAATTTTTGTCGGTGGTCCCTGGATCGTCTACCTAAAGTCGTGCACGGAACAATAGTCGTTCAAGGAAAAAATAGGAAAAAAAGGGAAAAAAAAAGCAGTTTCCTCGTCTACTCGGAAAAAAAAGAAATTTAAACAATGCACTCACTAACGGGTGAAAAAACGATACGAAATGAAACAAGTGAGATTAATTAGTACCTTGGTATTCCATTTGTATTTTGGCTAAGGATCTATACAAGTGCGGGAGTGGCTGTTCGTCCCTGTATACGACGGGGAAGCAATTATGTTGTCTTTTGTGTGGTGTGTTCTTTTGGGTGTCACTGGCTCTCTCTTGGCTGACCACATCCGGGCTTTTTTTTTCTTTTGTTTCTTTTTTTCTCTTCCATTTTTACCTTTTCAGCTTTCACTCTTACCGACATCCTTACACCCAGCAGTTTAACTAAGTTTTTGAATTTAAGTTTCTTAAGTATTCTAGTTATTCGGCACTTGTTGTGATAGCTATAGGGCGATAATTCTGATGGTTACGGAATGTGAACCTCAATTAGTCGCTATACGAGGTAAGATCAGAGCGTTGTGCTCTCAAAGCACTGCGTGCTTTTCTTGGGAGCTCATTTGTCCTTATTGTTCTTCTCCGCCCTTCACATGTATATGTGCAACATTTCGAGCCAAATTAGTGTCAAGTACGAGAGAAAGCTGGGGAAATTTTTGAAACATACAGCAGCACCTTAAATGGGTGCCAAGTAAAAGTACACCTAAAGATAGAAATTGAGTTCAAAGTTAGAAAAGAAACGAGACTTGAGAGTAGAGAATAAGACTTGCGAAGCTAAATGTTACCGTTGACGGTCCATGCAACGTTGCAGCAACGGTCAGATGTAATTTCATGGCTATGTATCACCCACCTTCAGAACACGGCATCTTGAATTTGTATACAGGTCAATATGTGGAATCAAGCACACAGTGTTGAAGCTCTATGAGGACGGGGTAGGACTCTGTGATTCAAACTCACCTGCAGTGCTTGCTCTGTATTGCTCTGGCTCCAACTTGGAAAATAATGGCGAATTCACTCTTGATTTCTCATTTTTCTCCCATTGACGGAGCCCATTCTCATGGCAATATGTTTTCTGAGTCTAGTCGTACTATGTACCACTTTGTAGTATGCGATTTTTTATGAATTGTGGACAAAATGAAGGTTCTGTTAACTCAAGAAAGGGTATTTTAAAGCAATATAGTAACACATTGCTTGTATTGGTAAATCTCGGTATCCTTTCGTTTTTCTTATTGCACATCTCTATATGTCTTCTATACTCCAAGAGCTATAAACTTCTGAAACAAAAGGCAGAACGAAATGCCAATTACTAGTACCATTTCTCCTTCATTTTAAGAATTCCACGATTTGCCTTTTCATAGTTACATGTTCTAGCAGGCTCGCTTTTCTTCTGAACCAGGAGCTAGGCTTTAACCGAGACTGCTTTAAATATATTTAGCCCTCATTCGAATTTGCACGCTACAAATGTAGAGTGAGACATGTCATATATCTAGTTATACTCTTGCAGCAATAGATTAAACCATTCAATTCGGCTGAAGTACGTTTTCTAGCCAAAGGATGAGATATTTTTCTTCAACTAGATCAAAAGTAATGATGTAGAAGGAAAGAAACCTCAGCTGGAAGTACAATCACTGCTTGGATTTTCCATTGCAACACACATCTTAGTCCATTAAACCAAGCTAGAGCATTCCGGACTTCTTCTAACATTCCTAACTAGATGTGCAGCAGGTGAAGCCTGTTATTCTTCGACTAACGAATATTTATTCCGAGAGGAAGGCTGAAGTCGACAAACGTAGGAATAATTCCGCCCAGAAAATGATCATAGATTTGAAGCACAAGATAAAGATAACAAATCCTCCCAGTTGAAGAGCATTATGAAATATACAGATAGCTACAAAGATAAGCTTAACGAACTGTAATTAGATGCTGGTTCAGTATAGTCATTTACTCACATTTAGGGTTTGATTCATTCCTGAAACCAACATAATATACAATTGCTTGTTCATATGAAGAAATATCAAAGGCATCGATGAATGATGTAGGTACTATGAAGAGATTACAGTATCCGGGGGTAATCTTCTGAACCATCGGACTTTCGTAAAATGTTTGCTACGATTGCAACTAATTTTCCGTGATGATATGCATGAGTATTTGGTTGATGCCTTGCGTCACTGCAAGTTGCATAATTCTACTTGAATTACTACGTACGTGGAATGTTTTTCGGACACCGAGAGCCAGAAGAAGCTAAATTAGAAAAGAATAGTTTTGCTGCGGAATGTCATACGTGGTATATGGTTCAATAAAATAGTTCGGAACGCTTCTTCCACTTAAAAAAGCCTTGAAGTATATATAGAACGGACTAGATTACTTTGGAATGAGCTCGAGGAATGTATCAGTTGAATCTTGCATAAGCGTTTTTTTTTAGGTTATAACGCCTGTTGAGCAACGGATATAATTCCACTTACGGAAAGCTGGTAAAGGAACCACATGAGCAAAACTCTATAAAAGAAATAGAAACTATTTTTGCTTCATCTGTTGATGTTGATTGATACTAAAAACTAAACGTCTCGATATGGTCGACCGTTGAATACTTTCAGATATTTTGCGGGAATTGCCGTATTGTGTGACTGGAATTTGCTTTGCATCAACCACCAAAAATTGCGATTGCAGATCTTTCAAACGGTCGATTGAGAAATTCGTGAATTTATTTTTTGTAGTGCGGCTCACCATCCGAAGTAAAATTTAAAAAGGTGAAAAATCAAGAAATCTGAATGAAATGTAACGCATATTATTATATATCTAATTATTAGCCATGAAGTGTGAGATTAGAAAATATCAGATGACTGGCCCGAGTTGTGGGGTCCCAAAACAGAAAAATGATACAGAATCCGATAAAGTTTGAGCACATCTGACTTAAGAGTAATTTGTCGTATACATCAATACATACCCTAATTGCATGCAGCCCATACATTTTAATCGGGTCCCGATTAAATTCTATGTTTCTCTAAGCGAGTACTAAGTGAAAAATGGAATATATACGATGTCAGAATTCCTTCTCAAGAACTGTAACGAATCCAAGACGTGCTTCTACGTCCACAGTTCAAAGGGGGGATAGGAGCCGTCCTTTGATTATTCCCCTAGTCAACAAGTTGCGTGTTAGCTCATGCACAACTATATATTTATTTTTTAACTTTTGTAGGAGGAACTTTTCAAGTGTGGTACTCTGAGATAGATAAGTGCGAATGGTATCGATTCAAATGATACGTCCCGCAGTTACGCTTCTCCTTTTGAAGGCTTCATTTAGGCGAATGTGAAAACACAATTCTCGGCTAGGTACTTCTGAGGGGGTTCACTTTGAAGCACTGCAGCGTCTGCATTTGCTGGTAAATTTTAGAATATCCATATCTTGCATGTATAATTATCAAAACGCCGTGCTATCAAGAGATAATGGACTTCTAACCTCAGTTATTAATACAATAATTGCTTTTATTAATGACCAACGGACTTTCTCCTTATTTTATCTTAATATTGTGCGGCGCAGCGCATTCTTTTTGCAAAATAGGGTTCACAGGCGATATTTTCCTGCAAACTTAGTAAGAATCATGTGTTCAGTTTCGAAACAAGAACCACAGTACGGTCTCTTTTCGAAGTATCTCTTCATGTAGCTCGGTGCAGGGGAGACTTTTTTTTCTTATTGTCTTTTTTTTTCTATCGGGCCTTCTTCCGGAACAGTCATGAAGATTGAACTGAAGAAGTTGAGTCCTCAACAGTCATAAGTAATAGCCAATTGATGAAAGACTCAATTGAGTTGACGCTCTCCCTGTATTGCTCCTGTCAGCAATATCCACTTCAACAGCTTTATTTTGTAGGGTACCCGAATGAATGCAATCTATTCGTATTGATATTTTTTAGACGATGGCTAAGATTATTGCTGTTCTCAACAATCGCCTTCATTTGCGTATAAACTAGTTCTTGCATATTCATGCAAGTATTCTGCAAAATTAGCCGAAAGAGGAAAGTCCATCTTGCGCTAAAAGAGTACAACTTTTGACGAGTTTGCGTTGATGTAGCTGTGTGACTACCAATGCAAGGAGTTATAGTAACTAGCGCTAACCTGGGGCTCCATTTACTTTATTTTATTAACTAACCCCAATTGCTGTTAATAAGTAAATTATGGAAGAGGGTAGGAGTAGATCTGAAAATCTCAAATTCTCAAAATCTTGATTGCATCAGATGTAAAAAATAAGATATTAAAAATATTTCTTAGATGGTCATCTATGTAACTAAGCTTAAATCCAAAATCTAAACAGTCAATATTTTTCCGTACTTCTTCAATGGCAATACTATTGAGGTTGTCAAGTCGAATCATTCTATTTCATGTCATAGAATGCTGTGATTTGTTCTTCCAATTGTTTCTTCTTCTTCAGTGTTGACTTCGACTTTTTTTTTTCCTATACCTTGAGTTATTTTTTGACCTTTCCTGTTTAGTCGTGCAGCTGTAGCGGCTGCTGCAATCCACCATATGTTAAAAGATCTGCATGAGTTTTTTTTTTCAAAATGTTTCACCTGGATCCTTAACTCCTAGGCTGCGAACCTCATCATAAACATCATATACGAACTTAGTTCGGAAAGGGACAAAAGCTAGATATAAATGTAGTCTATATCCCAGTTTTATTTTCAATTGTAGGCCTCTAATTCAGAAAACTTGCAAAAAGATGATAACTAGGGTGTATATAAAATCGTACTTGAGATGCGTCAGTCGCTTGATAACCAGAAGCAATACGTTCCATGATAATACACTTCAGTGTGAACAATATCTCTTCCTTATAGTTAATTCCTTCGAATTGAGCATGTTAAATCTCTTTCGTAGTCTTTACTTCTTATATAAATACTCTCAAAATCAAGTAATTGCAAACGACAATAGAATTGAATCAAATTTGCATATATACTTGATATTGAGCTCTCTCATTTTATCGCAAAGTGAGCAGAGTAGAAAAGGGTACTCCTTAACTACATGGAAGGATATCAGTAACGAAATTTCTGAGTCGAGTGGCTTGAAAATTCAGGTTGACACGAAATTGCTAGAAATGTTGGAATCTTATTTCCTAGCTTGTTTAGGAGGTGAAATAACCAACACGCCCATGGATTTAATTGAAGACGATACAGGGTTTTTGATGAATATAGAAGAAGCTGTGAGGTCAGGATACACTCAAGAAGCCAGGAAGTTTATTATCATGAATAGTGAGAGAGGCATGCATTCTAACTACAATTGGAATGCAATATCACCAATACAGAGAGCACATACTTCATTCAGTACCAATAAGAGCGACGAATTTGATGAAACAGAGACAAGCTCCAACGAAGAAAGAGATATTGAAAGTCAAGAATTCACCTCAATTACGCCATATCTTAAATTTTACGAACTCAGAGATTTAAATGTATCCAAGAATACAAAAAAGTTTAGATTTGTACAGCCACTAACTGTGAATAAGATGACCGAAGGCTAACTGGTCACACACGAGTGGGAATATAAAAGCATTGCACGAAATGCAACAAAATAAAAAGTAAAAAAAAACTGGGTAATTACCATATTGAATTAAATGATCATGGTAACCTATGGCATGAAATTGAATAGGTGGACAAAAAAGGACTAATAAGTGAATAAATAAATAGATAGACAACGTATATGTACCGTTGAATAAAAGTGTAAATGCATTGAACTGCAGAAAACGAAAAAACACCACTTGTAGAGAAATTTGGACAGGATTTGAACCAGTCTAGGAAATCTTTCGGTAGTTTTCGTTAATATTTCTTGTTCGAATATGCCAACAGAGGTAAATTCAAACTCTCATCGGCATAATAGTATTTCAATATTAACTTTTGAAATGTAGCGGTGTGCTGATATTTTCCACCTAGATTCATGAATATGAATTTCTTTTGCATTATACATTCAAAATATTAATGAATATTGATCAAGTGTGTGAAAAATTAAGGGTTCCCCACGCCTGAGCTTCGTGACAAAGGAAACATGCTTACAAAATTCTGGAGAAGGAATTATTCATTTTTGCCCGAGGATGTTCTGCTCGATATTTTTTGCATCATAAGATAGATCTGCTCAGTATTTCTTGAACTACGAACAGATTTACTTCATCTGTTTGTTGAAACACTCGAGATACGCACGTAATATTACCATCTGCAGCCAACAATAGATATAGTAATCTTTTCTACTAAGGTTGCAGCTTCCTGATTGGAATACCCTCAAGAAAGTTGCAGGACAGCTGGTAAATAATATTTCGAAAATCAGCCTACTTTATGAGGGGCACTATGATAAGGATGGCACTTTATAATTCAAAATGGTCTTGCTGCACTAGGCAGCCTGCTTTCTGTGCTGGATTGCACAATTCGTAGCCAGAAAGTTTATTTTACAGTAGACGCTCTTTCTTTTTATGCATTGATGATAAATAATTGGAGATCTCTAGATCTAAAATATTGTACAGTGCTCAGCACCACTTCTTATTCCGAATCCACTATGCGGGAAACATCGTTTACACGCTTCCATACGTCATCTGGAAAAAAGGTTAATGCCAAAGACTCGATGGTGTTTAGAGTGGAAAGTTTCTCTTCTTCCCAGCTTGATTCCTTCAATTCTGACTGATTTTCAACTTCAAATGCTGCAAGAAGCTTGAAGTCCTTTTCCTTATTCGTAGCCATTGCGTCTTCTATAAATTTTGGAGTATCTAGTACGTAGTCATTGAAATAAGTTTTCAAATCATCGGTGCTTTCTTCCTCTCTATTTCTATTTGTACTTTTATTGTGATCATCATATGTAAGTAATGATTCTATTTTGAGTCTTTCTCTTACCTGTCGTACATCCAACTTCATTCTCTTTGGACTTGGTCTTCTGTCTCCGACGCTTTCTTCTTTGAATTCTACGCTATTCAACCTTTGGCACACTGAGATGGCACCTGCTATAATCTCATTTACAAACCACCATTTATTTGAGAATTTCTTTAGCTCTTTGATCAACTTGTAAGTAGATAAATCGAGATACTTATAAGTCTTTTCATTCCATCGAGGCATAAACCTTACAAATTTAACATTTGGTGGAATTGGTGACTTGCGAGCTGCTCCTCTAAATTTATGTCTCAAGTGGATAGACACCCCCAAACACAAAACTGTTGGAAAGAGAGAAATGTTGATGATGTCTTCATGAGTTTTGAAATACTGGATATATTTCAAAGTATTTAAACTGACAACTAGTGGAATATCACTTATGCCAGTACAGTCTTTGGAATTCAATCTACTTTCCAATGTGTGCTTATGCACCAAAGAAATTACCAAACAGTTGCAAAACCTTTCTATCAAATATGTCATATTTGTACAATACTTCCGCAATGCTATGGCCGGTAAGAAATATTTAGTAGCTTTAGTATAATTATTCCTTTCAAAGGCGGACTGGAAATTGCTGAGGAAATCTGCTTCATGTCTTGCGAGTTCTTTATCAATATATTCTGTTGTCTCCAAGTCCAATTTATCAACTTGTGGCACGAGTGTCTTAATGGCCATTGGGTATAAGATTTGAGTGCATCTAACTAAAGCCAAAAGATGCTCATTCTGAGGCAAACCAAGCTTATCCTGTAAGGAATCTTTCATCACTAGACCCCTGGTATTTACAATTGAGCCAATTCTATCAAAGAAGTAGGAAATCCACCATAATTCAGCTAGATAATCGTCCCTTTGACTTATGTATAAGCCTTTTATTATATTTATGGAATCCGTCAAATCATTGAAGCAGGCATCTGTTCCAAAGCGATCAAAATTGAAGTGTAACACAAGTAATAATTGGCAAACCAGCCTATTTAGTAGGTCATTGTCACCAAGTTCGGGTGAAACCAACAAAAGCATTCTGATTTTCAATATTAGCGATTTAAAGAAGGTTTGCAACAGTTTATCGATGTTATTTCCTTCGAAGACATTATTTTTTATGAAAATCTTTTCAGCTGACTTATCCCTAGCAATTACCAACACAATGGCATTGATAATAATGTTGGGGACGAGATTGTTATGAAAATCTTTCCAGAATTCGGATTCTTGTACGATGGGAAAGATACTATTTACTTTAAAGAAATACAACTCCAAAAGTTCCAATGTAGTCTGATAATCCAACTCCAATGTAAATGCTTTTATTGAAAGTAAGAAAGTGCACATCGTTTCACTTTCAATAGCTTCTCCCTTACCTATTCTAGAATCTTTATCTCCATTCAAATTAAGTAACTTCCGAACTGTTACCTTAGTTTCGTTCTTGTTTCTCTTCTTGTGCTGAGAAATATTGAAATTGAACCGTTTCTTAAGGTAATTGGCTGTTAGGGGTTCAGTAGGCAAATTGGAAGAATCACCACATTCATTTGCAGAGTGATTCTTCAGCTCATCGACATGTGCTTCTATTTTGTCTTTATTTCCTCCAACCTTCAGAGGTAAGTTCGTCTCTTCCACCTTTTTTTCTTTTCCCCTCTCATACAAGTCTGGATTCACTTTACCCTCACATTCGGTATCGTGAACTGAATGTAACAGAGATCTTCTTACTTTCTTTGTAGGGCTCTGATTTCTGGCCGTAATATCAGGCATATATTCCTCTTGGAAGTTCATTCCAGACCTTTGTTTCAACTGAAATGGCAGAGTACTACTTCGATATGATGAGGGTGGAGCAAGTGGTGAGCCGATATGCGCTGGTGACTGGCCAGTGAGATGTTGTGCTTCAGGTGTCACAATGGGCCCCACTGTAGATGTGTGTGCCGTCGTCATACTCAATTGAGGCAGGCTTTGATACGGTGCTTGAGAGTCAGGGTATTGCTGGAAGTGTGGGGTCATGTGTGTTGGGACAGTAACAGGATGGAATAGACCTAACGGTGCTCCGTTCATCTGCTCATAAATCTGCGAAGGAGGTTGTTGGTGATATAAGTGGCGGTGCAGAACCTGAGACTGATGCTGAGGTTGTTGCAGATATTGCTGTAGCTGATGCTGGATGGGGTATTGTTGTCCAATCTGGGGAATGAAATAGGGACTAGAAAGATTACCTCCGTCCTCCCACTGGGGAATGGGTGTTTCTCCTGGAAACTTCTCGTGCGAGGAAGTGGAAGATGTCTTCGAGTTGCTTCTACTAGTTTGAGAAGCAATAACAGTATCTTTCGTAGTTGTTACTATCAAGTCGCATTCCACTCTATTCCTTTTACAATTATCACAACCAAAAGCCTCATAATTTTCCAGCTGGATACACCTCATTCTCTTCGTACGGCATGTTCTGCAGCATTTGAAAGTTCTCTTTCTAGTCTTATAATTTGAGTCAAAAGCTGGAAACACAAACATTCCGCTAGAGAATTAAGCTTCCACTTTGAAAATGTAAAGAGTATTCTATCAATGCTATTTAGCCTTACTCCTCTCTGCCTCAGCTTGTCACTTATTAATCTTCGTTTTTTTTTTATTATTAATTATTTTTTTCTGTTTTCTTTCGTATAATGTATAAGAATGAATCAGAAAGCGACAAAATATACGGATATGAATTAGCCCTAGAACCTGGCTATACTTAAGAACACCTAACTAGCAAGAGAATGATAAATCCGCACTAAGAAGAAAACAATTATATCGTGCTAAAAATGGAAAAAAAAAAAAAAATTCAGCCATCCCATTACACTTCATGCAGATTTAGAAGATTATTTTTTAGATCTGCAGACTTCCAGACTTCGAATGTGAAGTTTTAGAACGTTCGACTTTTCTAGACCAACTAATTAGGCGAAAATCTAATATGGCCACTCACCACAGTCTGAAGCAAAGTGGCATAGCCATAGAAGCAATTCAGATGCGCAGAATATATGTACTTCCACCACGAGCATCACCAGTCTTAATGCCAGTGATAAATTATGCACCATGAAGCATTGCACTATTTGGGCCCGGATCTTATATTTAGATCGCGATTTCCATTTACGAAATCATTGATGCAGGAAGGGAAGAGTTTAGAATTTCATTCAAAAAAAACACATACCAAAGCGAATTTTCAAATACCCTCGTGTTCTGAAAGCACATGCATTCAATGAACTCATCTAGCATTGATATATAAGTAAGCAAGGATATTATTTTAAAGCATATTAGTATAAAATATTATCCCTGCTCGTCATTAATACGTTATGCAGAAAACAAAGCAATTGAGCAAAAAATTATTTCTCAAATTAAGGTTTCGGCGTTACAGACGTCGGAAAGCTTGCAATTGTTCTACACAGTTCAACAATTTCAGATTCGAGCGAATTCTGCGACACTACACTGCCATTTGTAATAAAATACATGTCTCTATCTAGAATTATCTCATCGAGGAGCGGAAATTACTGAATTGGGGAGCGTACCACCATAAATTCAAATGAAATCTGGCACAAAACGACGCTTATGCAAGGACGTACATCAGTAAAGTTGCAGTGTGGAACACTCAACTGCCTTCTTCTTATACAGATATCTTACAAATCAAAGAGTAATTATTTTTTCTTGCGCGAGGCAGAAGACGCAATGAGTGATTCCAAAATTCGTAATTCAAGTCGATCCGATCGGTAATAAGGTGGGCCCCGGAGAGTGTTTCTGGGAATTTTGACAAATGCATATGTTTTGAAGTAAAGTATGTGATTGCTGCATTGCATATATGACTAGAAGAAATTGTTGGCACCTCGAGTAAATGCAGGTGGGTACACCTAAGGGTAGTGGCATTACATAGAATCTCAGTGCAGGTAGGACAACAAAATACCAGTGGCATTACATGGAATCTGAGTGCATTGCAGCTCATATGCAAGTCGCTCTCATCCATTTGGTTCTTTGTTCAATGCAACCTTGCATTGCAAAGCTTGGGCGGATAATAGGGGTGCCCCAGTTTAGATAATATTATATATATATATATATATAGATCTTGTTTGTATACGATATAACCACGAAGGTGTCTTACGAACCAGCTTCTAAAACCAAGTACATGGAAGCTGGCCCTACGCGATTGTTCGAAACAGGAAATGCAAACGCACACACGGTAGTCACCAACCCATATAAGGAAGGTCTAATCGTTGCCCTGTTAGTAAGCTGTACTACCCACATTTCAATTATTTTTTCACTCTTCACATATTATTTCACACTTAACCAGTGGAGCTAGGTCAGCCTAATTCTTGACTTAGTCGCCAAGATCTTTCGCTAAGATTGTAGCACGAAAAAAAAAATAGTGTATTCTTGAATTCCTAAGACCCCTTCCCCAGATCTTCATGCCCATCACGTAAAAAATTTATTGGATCTTAAGCTGGAAAACGGTGTAGGTTCAATGCAATGAGCAGTGATCCATCTCAGTAAACTGGACTAAAGCCATTTCGGTTTCGAGATCACCCATACCTTTGAGCGTCCTCACGCACATTTCGAATTACAGCCAGCCCACTTATCTTTCCATAAGAGTGTCAATTATCAGCCTTGAACACGGACTTTCGCCTTTGTCTGTCTGACCTCGGCCTCTGCACTGCATAGTGGCTACTTTACTTCTCTGTGCTTTTTCCTATTTTTTTTTTTCGTTTTTCACACTTTTCAAGATGAGCGAAGTGTGTCAATCTGAAACTTATCAACTGAAAAAAAAAAAAAAAAAAAAGGAAGGTAACCACCAACTAAAACATTTTTGCAGCAACAGTTCATCGCCATGATCGATTTGGCTACATTCGAACACCCGGCTGTGACTACCATAAACGGTAAGCATTGGTTCCACGAACTCTCTGAAGAAGCCTTCCCCGGCCAGGCATTCTCGCTCGAGATCGAGGAAGTATTGTACCACACTAAATCAGCCTTCCAAGACATCCTCATCTTCAAGCTGAGCAAGTTTGGCAATATCTTAGTTTTGAACGGAATTATTCAATGCACCGAAAGAGACGAATTTGCGTACCAAGAACTCATTACACACTTGCCTATGTTTTCGCACAAGGCACCGAAGAGAGTGCTAGTTATTGGGGGAGGAGACTGCGGCGTAGTGAGGGAGCTCATCAAGCACTCAAATGTGGTAGATAACATAACCATGGTGGAAATCGATGACATGGTGATTCAGTTGTCCATAAAATACCTCCCACAAATGGCCAAGTTCCATAACCACGAGAAGGTCAAGATAGTTATTGACGATGGTTTCAAGTTTCTCTCGAATCTCTCACAAGTAGACGAAAGTGAAAAATACGACGTGATCATCACCGATCTGTCGGATCCCGAGGGACCAGCCGAAGAATTCTTCCAAGTAAACTATTTTAAGCTCTTACTGAACTCATTGCGTAAAAATGGGATTGTTATCATGCAATCTTCTGAAAACATCTGGCTCAATTTGGACTATGTTTCAGATTTGAAGCATAAAGCTCAAAAAGTGTTCCCCAATGTTGAGTACAGTCAATGCTACATGCCCTCATACACCAGTGGTCAATTAGGGTTGTTAATTGCAACACACGATGTTGAGAACAATTTGAAGGTACCTACCAGAGATATCACTGAGGAGAATGAGATAACGGACAAGTTCAAATATTATTCCGAGAAAGTGCACGAAGCCAGTTTTGTATTGCCTAAATGGGCCGATAGCCAAATCAACAAGTAGCTATGCATTAGATATAGAAATGCATTGATGCTATGATGTGTGTAAATAGAAGAAACACGCTACTGCTGTGTCGAGTGGATACAAGCAGCTATGAGTTAGATGTAGAAAAGGATCGATAGTGTGGTAAGCACGCTAGTGTACTGTTGTATCCAGTAGAGGCACGGAGAAAACATTAGTATATAGTCGCGAGATGTGTAGATGTGCAGATGTATAGAAATATATGTGAGGTACCTTGGAGAGAGGATAGGGTTGGTAATACCGTGGAGGAGTGATATGAATGTACTAAGAACGAACAGAACATGGTTTTCTAATAATACCTCGAGAAGAGGACACAGCTAAAGGATGTGGCCTTAGTGACGTATACAGTGTCATGCACAGCTAAGCAGCAAGTACAGTGTAGAAAAGTGCTGAGACTAGTGTTGCATGTACCAATCAACAGAAACATGCAGCTAGCTAGACGTGGTCTGAAAAGACCAGACTTAGACAGGCTTCACTAGAGTCATATTTAACACTCCTAGCGAGCATATGTTACAGGTACAGAGTGTTATTTATAGTATAATATAGTTTACTAGTAGTAGTAGTTAGCGTTATGCAGCACTGCAAGCCGCATACAGTGAACCATACAATAGAGAACAGTAGCCGCAGCCATTCACCTCATGGCACTCAGCTCTACCTTCAGCTCTACGCTCAACTCTACGCTCAGCATTGAACTCAGTATTACATGCATGACCCACGAAAGAAAGCTCTCTACTTCCTACCTTCCATACCTCCCAACGTACCTACCTCCCACACTCTCCTACCTTCCCTACCCCTACCTTCCTGTCTTCCGTACCTTTTCCAATCACGTGATGCATCACCTTCCACCCACTCCCGTCCCGCGCCCACTCCACCCCCTCCTCCTCTCCTGCACACGCCCGACGTCGTGGGCAATCCATATTTCATTTCCAAATAAAAACAACACCAACCACACTACTTTTAATACTCTTCCACGACCTCTTGTACCAAAACTGCACCAGGAGAACCAAGGGCTGCAAAAAAAGGAAATTATGACAAATCCAGCAGACTACCACACAGCTATAGACGAGCAGCTTCTCGCTGTTGCACTGGCCAAGTCCGACGGCAGTTCGGCGCTGCCCCAAGAAATTGAGGCCACTCGAGTGAAATTGGAAGAGATCGCTCACGCTGCTGCAATGAATAAGCTGCAGCAGAGCGTTGCGCACCACCAGAGGGTTGACCAGGCAGCACAGCAGGCAGCCCAGGCACAACACCAGTTGAACCAGTTGAGGCAACTGCAGCTGCCGCAACTCCACCAGCTCCAGCAGCAGCAACATCAACAGCAGCAGCAACATCAACATCAGCAGCTCCTCCACCATCAACAACACCAACACCAGCAGCAGCAGCAACAGCAGCAACAACACCACCAGCCACAGCACCACCACCAGCACCACCAGCAACAGCATCAGCACCAGTTTGACGACGACCCTTCTCAATACAATATCCAGATCCCAGACCCCATCATCGACGCCAAGCTGAGGATATATCCTGTCAGCGAGAACACAATCACTGCCGAGGGGAACCTCATCACCAGACCATACCCGGAGCAGGTATTCCAGAGCCGTGACGACTTGAACGAGTTCATCCACGAGTTTGCTCGCGACAATGGGTTTGGAGTGGTGATTGCTCACTCGAACAAGAAGGCCATCTACTACACTTGCGAGCTTGGTGGTAGATATCGTCACAAAAAGTCCAAGAAGAACGCCAACGGTGTGCATCTGGAAGGCGGCAACGACGGTGTGGACGCAGAAGAACTCGGCGCTGACGTTACAGATGAAAATGGATACCTCTTAGACCCTTCCACCAAGACTAAGAAGTTGCGTTGTCCCTTCTCAATGACTGCCAACTTCAAGAAATCTACAGGAGTTTGGACCCTCAGAACCACTTGTAACGAGCACAACCATCCACAATTGGACCCACTCTCGAACCATCCCATGCTCCGCAAGAGATCCGATGAGTTGAATTTGCTTATATTGGATTTGTACAAGATCGGTACTAAACCGCTGCACATTGAATCTAAGATCAAAGACCAGTATCCCGACGTGTTGATTAAGAGAGAAGACATTTACAATGAGATCCGTGGCTACAAGAGAAAGCTCAAGAAGCAGAATAGATTCCTCACCAGCAACAACTCCCGTCACTCGTTGTACAATAGTAATCCAAATGCCAAGAAGAGGTCAAACGCATCGTCATTCCAGCAAGTTGGTTTAGATGACGATGACGATCAAGGTGACCAAGTGTTAGACTACGATCTACACCAAACGCACCAAGATGTTGAGTTGCAACGTCAATTGGCTGCTGCTTCTCAACAGCTGCAACATCAGCAACTTCAACTTCAGCAACAACATCACCAGCAGCACCACCACCACCAACCTCAACTGCACCACCAGCACCATATCGATGAACAGCAGCTCCAGCAGTACCTGCAGCAATTGCAGGAACATGACTTGCACCATGGAGGTGGGGATCCTGATTCTGACAACACTGCAGCTGCTGCTATTGCAGCTGTTGCCAGTGCCACTCAGCAGCACCAATCTCACTCTCACCATCATGACAGCGAGTTATCAATGGATAATATCGACAGTAGACTTGTTGGAGAATAAGTTGATTTAAATGTATAGTAAGTTTTGAGTTGTATAATATTAATAAAATTGGAATAGAAACGAGATGTAATGGAAAGAAGACTGAGGTGAATTTGAAGCATATGAAAAGAATAGAACATAAGAGTGAACTCCTACTTTACTGTAAGTTAAAGGGTAACTTCATTGGAATCATATTTATATATACATTCTGTCTACATAGTACTCAACACCTCCAATGCTTCTGCTCTCTCCTCGAAGAGCTTGGCCAACTCCCCTACCTTCCGCCCTCTTATCACCGGTTTCTTAACTGAACTTTGGTTTAATTTTACGTTTTCGAATTGTTTCGCTAATTGGTAAGAGGTTTGCACGGAAGGCAGTGATTTTTGGAACTTGTACTTCTGGGGTGGGTATTGTACTGTTATGTTGGAGACATCTTTTAAGGTTGGTTCCTTTTTCAATTTGTGGTTAATGCCGACTGTTGACGAACTAGGAGAGCCTGCCGGAGAAGGAACGACAGTGCTTACTGATCCAATACTGCTAATTGACCTTGACACAGTATGACCATTTTTTGGAGTTGTACTCCCAAGGCTACTTGCAATATCCAAAGAGCTGCCGATAGACTTGGATGTTGAATGCGAGGAGCCTGGTGATATTGACTTTGGTGGTATATTCGTGGGCTGTTCCGCCAAATGGGAGCTGGATATATTCCCACCGATGCTGCTGCTCTTGACGTGGCTATTTACACCGAAGTTTGGTGGAGTTACTTTAGCAGGTGAGAACAGGCTTCTCTTCTTAATTGCTGGTTTCACTGGTGTTTTCAACTTCGGCTCAGGCTTCAATTGTGGGGACTCTAGGCGACTCTCGGCATCGATTCTTTTCAAATTTTTGTCATCACTCAAGATATTCGTGGTGTTGAAAGCAACACGGTATTCCAAGTCTTCCTCATCATTGTCTATGGTTAAATCGTAGCTTATATCGTAGCTATTGAAACTTTGTGCTGTGCTTACTCCTTCTACCTTCTTTCTAACAACCACATCTACACTGGGGTACGAGCCCACGAGTTCCGTCCTGATTTCGCCCCAATGATCGAACACATTCTTTAAGAATCTGTTCACAATGGAGATACGGTCCTTGTTCAGCAGAATCATTTCATGGCTGAGGCAGTGACTCACGCTCTTTGCAAGTGATGCTGAAGTATGCTTAGTAATTTCGGAATTATTGAGGATCTTATAGCACAATTCTATGAATTGAAACAATATCAAGTGTAAGTAGTCCTGCTGTTGGCTCGAGCTTCTCAATATATGCTTCAAGCTAGTTTTAGTGTATTTCAAGTTGTCTTGTATGGGCAATTCTATCGAGTTTATTGAGATTATTGGCTCAGGCAAGTCTGTCAATATCTTTTTGAATGTAGCTCCAATACACCACAAGTCCCAATCATTAATCCATATTCTCTGATCACGATTTATGCACTGGAAAAGTATGTCAGTGTTCAGCTTATTACCTGGCTTATGAAAAATCAACTCTACCTTATCGGCATAGTTGTTTAAAATACTGAATATCTGGTAAAAATGATGGTGGAAGCTTTCATGCGAGAGTGTAGGGACGAAATTGGACAGCTTCAAACCTATCCCATCGTTCTCCAATAAATTATGCTTGTATATGTTTAAACTTATCTTTAATTTGGTTATGTCGACGTACTTCGATAATTCCGAGAGGTCTGCGCAACGAATGATCTTGGAGCTTGTAGTACTACTGTTCGAAATCATCGAGTCTAGTCCATTAGTTAGACTGAAATTATCAATCATTCTCTGCAACGACTGGATATTTTTCTTGGTGTTGAAGATCTGCGTGATGGACTTCACAAACCAACTATCATGAACGGTGTATATCTTTAGCAATTTGCTCAAGTTGTCGTACTTTTCATCATCCAAAAACTGCTTTAAGAACTTTATTCCCCAAACCCACAGGATCTTGTTTAGACCACAGTTGAACATCACCAAGGCGTAGGGCTCCAGTGGGAGGTATTTCATCATGGTGGGGATGAATGCGTCATAGTTTATGAGCTCTGTGGATGGGAGATACGAGGTATCGAATATAAATATGGGCAAATCAGTGTAGGGGTCCAACGAGTCTGATTTGTAAAATATCCTATCCATACTGTTGAGGGTAGCACGTAGCCAAAGTGAAAACGAGAACGAGAACGAGAACGGGAACGAGAACAAGAACGACAACGACGAAGATGTGGAAATGGTAGGGCTTGTAAGGTAAGTAGAGCTGTTTTTTTCGATTCCCCTGTTAATGAGCCTCTCTCTACTACTTGAATGCAGTCCTTTCTATATAATTTTTGCCTACTGGCTCCTTAATTCAACACCCTGTTTCTAATGTGCTTTATCACCTTAGATCTTGAAAAAAGACATACCGCTAAAAAATATTAACACAAATAGGTAAACAAAAGTGATCGAATAGGAAAAAATGCGAACTAATCCGCACTGGGTCACATGTGCAGCAACGCGCGAAATGGTTGCAAAAGGGAAGTGGTGATGGGCAGGTGAGAGGTGAGCCTATAAGGAATAGCGTGGGATCTTGGCTAGGGAGACTAGAATGAAGGTTATGAATGGGAAAAGAAAGGAGTTGATGCTTGTAACAGAGAAAATAGAAGCTGGCCAAAACGGCATCGTTGGCATTTTTTGCTTCTATTGATTTGGGTATAGGTCCGGTAGGTTGGGTGGCCTCTCTCACCCACACTCTCTAAGCTTACTAGGAAAGATAGGAAAGCATCATTTGTATCCACTGATGTAAAGGTTTCAGATCGAATCGATTTCTTGCCTAGTGTAAAGTTTTAAACGCTCAGGTATGTTTAAACTGACTACAATCATGTATCCTGTCCTCGTCTTGTGTCCTCAACTTATTTGGTGTACGAGCTAGCAAGAGGGACACTGAGAAGGCTGCGAAAAGATTGAGAAGGTTGCGAGAGAGACACACGGTACAATTAGCCACCACGAAACCCCAGATCCAGTAATAAAAGAGCTACTTGTTCCTGCTACGTCATACATATCCATCAGTACATCTGTCTAGACCACCACACTGTCTATCCCGCTGTTCATCCCGCTGTTCATCCCGCTGCATCCCTCCAACGAGCTGTCTCACATACTAGCCCACTTCAACCATTACTAACAGTTCTCTATATGCACACCACACTTGTATACACTCTACACAGTTCTATTCTCCTTCCACTCTCACCAAATCCTCCTGACACAAAGTCGTTGGTTATCGTTTGCCTTCCTCCGAAAAATCCAACGACAAGACGTTAAGTTAGCTGCTCAGTAACACATTTATTCAGTTCAAATTACCGGCATTCGAATCAATATGGCCGTCAAAGATGACTTGAAGGAGGATACCAAATCCAAACAAGCCAAAACAAAGCAACCCAAGGAAGAAGAACTCTCGGAAGAAGACCAGCATTTAAAGGATGAATTGGAAATGCTTGTGGAGAGATTGAACGAGTCGGATCATGACACAGAATTCTACGATCAATGCTTGAAGACTTTGAAAGATTTCATCAAGGACTCTACCACATCGATGACTGCAGTTCCAAAGCCATTGAAATTTTTAAGACCACAGTACCCTGTGTTGACTGAGATTTATGACAAATGGACCAAGAACTCCAATCACTCGGATGTTGTCATCAAGTTGGCTGATATCTTGTCTGTATTGGCTATGACTTACTCTGACGATGGTAAGAAGGAATCCTTGAAGTATAGATTGCTTTCATCAGAAATTGATGATACCATCGCTGACTGGGGTCATGAATATATGAGGCATCTTGCTTTGGAGATCGGTGAAACTTACCAAGAAAAGTTGGGAGTTGACGAAGATTTAATCCATCAATTAGTCCAGTTATCCTTGAAGATTGCACCTTTCTTCTTAAAGCACAACGCTGAAGCCGATGCAGTAGATTTGTTGTTGGAAATCGAGTGCATTGACAAGTTACCTGAATTTGTCGACGAAAACACTTACGCTAGAGTCTGCCTTTACATGGTTAGTTGTGTCCCACTCCTTGCTCCACCTGACGACTCATCCTTCTTAAATACCGCTTATTCAATTTACTTGTCCCACAATAAATTAACTCAGGCCTTGACTTTGGCCATGAAGTTGGACGATCCACAGCTCATCAAGCAAGTGTTTGAAGTCACTGATGACGAATTGATTCACAAACAACTAGGCTTCATTTTAAGTCAACAGATGCCAAGCTTCAAATACCCTGGTGACAACGAAGAAGTTCAAAACACCATCTCTAATATCAAATTGCACGAGTACTTTGCGTACTTAGTCAAAGAATTAAATCTCTTGGATCCTAAAGTTCCGGAAGATATCTATAAGTCTCACTTGGAAAATGCTAAGTTTGGTATTGGTACTTCTGGATCTATCGACTCTGCAAAGCAGAACTTGGCTGCTGCATTTGTCAACTCATTCCTTAACTTGGGTTACGGTGTTGACAAGTTGATCCAAACAGAAGAAGACAACAAGTCTTGGATTTACAAAACCAAAGGTAACGGTATGATTTCAACTACTGCCTCCTTGGGTTCAATCCACCAATGGAATATCAACGACGGTTTGCAGGTATTGGATAAATATACTTACTCTTCGGAAGACGAAGTCAAGGCTGGTGCTCTCTTGGGTACTGGTATTGTATCTGCTAACGTTCACGATGAAATTGAGGCTGCCTTAGCTTTGCTTCAAGAGTATGTCAACGATCCTAAGAAGATCTTGCAAACGTCCGCAATTAATGGATTGGGTATTGCTTTTGCAGGCTCATCTAACGAAGAAGTTTTGGGCTTGTTATTGCCATTAGTAAGTGATTTGGATATATCTATCGAAGTATCATCCTTGGCTGCATTGGCATTGGGTCATGTTTTCGTTGGTACATGCCATGGAGACATCACATCAACCATTTTACAGACCTTATTGGAAAGAGACTTCACCCAATTGACCAACAAGTTTGTAAGATTCTTGTCTTTAGGTTTAGGTTTGTTGTACATGGGTAAGACCGAACAAGTAGAAGACGTCTTAGAGACTATTGATGCTATTGAACACCCAATCAGTAAGACCTTGAAAGTCTTGGTTAATATTTGTGCTTATGCTGGTACTGGAAATGTATTACAAATTCAAAGTTTGTTGCAAATGTGTACTGCCAAGCCAAAGGATGACAGTGAAGAAGAAAAGAAACTAGCTGAAAGCGAAGAAGACGCAGCCGTCGCCGCTGCCGCTGCTGAAGGCGCCGCTGAAGGTAGTTCTACTGATGCTGCTGCTCCTGATGCTACAGAAACTGCAGATGCAAATGATGTTGAAATGAAAGATTCCGAAGACAAAGAAGAGACCAAAAAGGAAGCCGAAGACAAGAAGGATGCATCTGCAACCACGGACGAAGAAGAAGAAGAATTATATCAAGGTTTTGCCGTCTTGGGTCTTGCTTGTATTGCTATGGGAGAAGAAATTGGACAAGATATGTCATTGCGTCATTTCTCACACTTGATGCATTACGGTAACCCATTGATCCGTAGAGCTGTTCCTTTAGCTATGGGACTTGTTTCCTCTTCCAATCCACAAATGAAGGTGTTTGATACATTATCACGTCATTCGCATGACCCAGATTTGGAGGTTGCACAGAATGCTATATATGCTATGGGTCTCGTTGGTGCTGGTACAAATAATGCAAGATTAGCACAATTATTGAGACAATTGGCATCTTACTACATCAAATCGACTGATACATTGTTTATGGTCAGAATTGCACAAGGTATTTTACACTTGGGTAAGGGAACATTGTCATTGAATCCATTCAATAGTGAAAGAACCATCTTATCAAAGGTTTCATTGGCTTCGTTGTTAACCATATCAGTTGCATTATTGGACCCTAAATTCTTCATTTTAAGTGATTCCAACACTGCAACCAGTCATCAATTATTGTACTACTTGACCCCAGCTATAAAACCAAGAATGTTAATAACAGTTGACGAATCATTAAACCCAATTAAGGTGAATGTCAGGGTTGGGCAGGCTGTTGATGTGGTGGGACAAGCAGGTAAGCCTAAGACCATCACTGGTTGGGTAACTCAATCCACACCAGTTTTGTTAAACTACGGAGAAAGGGCAGAATTAGAAAACACCGAAGAATGGATCAGTTTGAGCAATGCCTTGGAAGGAATTGTAATCTTGAAGAAGAACCCAGAGTATATGGAGGTTGATAACTAGACTCAAGTATACTAATGTGTATGGATATATTTATAGATATATTTATATATGTAGATGAAAGAAAAGAAAAGAATAAAATCATAATAATAATAATAAATAGATAACGAACCTGGCTTGTAGACTGTATGGCATATAACCCTTATTGTTATTTCGATAATTTGTATATTATACGGTTCTATAGACTATGAGATAGTAACAATTGAAGTGAAGTGGGTGTTTTTGGACTTGGTAGCATTCCTAATTTTTTATTTGGTTATCCCTTTTTGTTTTGCCTTTACTAGATGTTGGTCCTACCCAGCGCAGTCGCAGTGACCAGGCAGCACTATATTACGCAGAACCATGGCTTCAGTAATACTACAACTAGGCAACAACTGGGTCCATGGATCAGACAGTGGCTAAGCGGTGACAGCAGCAGCAGCAGCAGCAGTTGAACACACTAGGCAAATTCTTGTGCCTTACCCGCCATCAACAAACCAACGATCAACCCGAACAAACCCAACACCGATCCAAAAATTTCAATAACCAAAATCTTCACGAAAAGCGAAGAGTCGGCGGCATCCGAGATAGCGGCTGTGGAGCCCGTGATACCAACAGCTATACCACAAATTAAGTTTGAAAGTCCAACTGTCAACCCAGCCCAGAAGAGCGAATACCCAGTGTATAAATTTTCCTTCGTGTACAATTCAGAAGAGGCAACACTGTTCAACTTAGCTGAAAACACAATCGCCATGATTAACCCGTAGATTGCCACAACCTCACAGAAGATAATGGAGATCAAATTCTTGGTAGTGATACGTGGAGCCTTGACACCGGCTCCGATAATTGATGCACCTGTGATAAAGATCCCCCAGGCAGCACCAATGACTGAAAATCCAATACAACTGGCGACTCCCAAACTTGCCCACATATAAGGAGAAGTGCTTTCGAGGAACCATCCAACGTTGAAGGATTCACCTGACCCTGTGAAGAGCATGTAGCCCCCCACGGTTAAAAGAGAGGCTGTAACAAGATAAGAACCAACAGACATGATAAGCGGACGTTGAAAAAGATGAGAAAGCAGCGGTCAATTGTATTCAGAACTGTCTAGAACTGCCCTCCTTCGATAGCGATAAAAGTTGTTGATAAATTAATTTGGTAGGTGAGAAAATGCGGCAAGGGAAGGGACTATATACAGGAATCTAATGATGAAAAGCGAATGGAGTGGGCAGGAGTGCATAGTAGCACAAGCTGAGAGATAGGGACATAGGCAGAGGAGAAGGAGGAAGAGGACTGACCGTTTGGGCTGGAGAGGTGGTTTTGGGGATTTTGGAGAAGGAAACTGAAATTCAAGTGGACGTGGGATCGGCGTGAGCTATTTATTTTCATGTTTTTAGAGGTGGAAGGTAGAAATGACGGAGGGTTATTTTTCACGGTTATCTGCTCTTCGAAGAGTGAGCGCTAGGTTCCGGTGAGATTGGCGTCAATTTTGTGATCGGTTTCCCAATTCGCAGCCAAATTTTATGCACACCCAGAGAAGCAGAAAGTGTAAGGGCCAGGAGGAAGTGTTTGCATGGGTTATTTTGCTCCAAAACCTTAGTCAAGGATGGCTAAAATTGAGCCAATTGCTTCTCTCCCACTCTTGTTGTGAGCAGCATTTGCTGTGCGTGTTCGCTTGGGGCTTTCGAGCAAGACAGCTTGCGCTTAGCAGACTTCAGTTGCTTTCTACAGTGTTCATTGAGAGTAATTTCTTCCCTTGTTTTCGAAATCTATACACTAAATTGCATAAACAAGCACCATTTTTTTTTTTTTGGGCTGAGCTCCGGTCCTCCATTTCATACATTATGCTTTGATCCAGTTCCTTATTACATTCCTTCTGCTTCATTTACTGTTCTCATTACGCTAACCCTCTCTAGCTCAAATATTTCGACAATTCGAACTTCCCGCTCTTCAATGCATCGTTGGCTATTTGCCTGATCTTCCTTTGATTTGGCTTTAAATCATCAGTGATGTCAAATTCCTCTAAACCCATGGATTGCAAACCTTCTCTATCTGGAATATCTTTCACATCTGCTCCCTGGAATTCTACAGTATCTTTAGGAAGTTGTGACCGATAGTCCTCTGGAGACACATTTCTTGTAAACGCATCCTTAGTATCAAGTAAGGTGGGGATGTTCGTAATCGACAATGGTGTAACACCATAGTAAAAGACACTGGAGTGCCCACTTCCATTGTGCTCCTTATCCACTTCATGGAGAATATCAGCATGCCAGAATACAAAGTCACCCTTGTTAACGTCTGGAATTCCTACGACTGACTTGGCTTGATTAAGATGTGGGTAAAACTCATCTAGCAAAAACAACTGACCAGTAGATGGAGTGGCACCTGGGAATTTTGGTGTTTCCAAGTCGATCTCATAGTCATCCAAATTACCAGATTCGGGATCTTTCCAAAATAATGGTCTAAGGAGAACGTAAGTGATTGCCAATTTCAAGCTAGGCAAGACCTTTAAAGTTCCTTCCCCAGTCTTATTGTTACTTAATGCCAACCATCCTTGTAAAGTACGGAAAGACGAACAAATGGTTGGTCTTTTTGTATCTAAGTAGGTGTACAAATCCTCATGAGCAAACTGCCTTTCGTCCAACTTGAATGGATCCCAGTCTTCCCAGTTACCCTCAAAGATTTCCTTGTAAGTGGCTCTATACTTTTCATCTTCCCATCTCTCGATAGATCCAGAGTCAAGATGCAACTTTAATGCTGCAGACTGGCCAGGTTCTCTAATCCTGATACGATCTCCGTACACAATGTTTGTGTCAAGGTCAATCAAGGAATTTTCTTCATCTTCGACATAGAATTGGTTCGACATTGCCTTAAATAGCTTGCGAACGTTGTCGTGGTTCCTTGCTTCTGATTGGGGTTTGGTCCAGAACAAATTGTACCATGCAGCAGGGTTAGGGTAGGTGTAACCAGCAGTTTCAGGATGCTCTTTGCAAAAGTCTGTTAACTCATGAAACCACTTGTCAATCTTTTGCTCATCAACTAATCCTTTGACCATAAGGGCACCTCTTTCTTTGAATAACTTTGAAGCTGAATCTGGGATTTGGTAGTTGTTCTTGCGAATATCTTCCCATTGAACCAGTGGGACATACGAAGAACCCTGCGTAGAAATCTTGGTAACTTCGCTTTCAAGAGCTATCAAAAGTCTCTTCCAGGACTCCTTGACTGCAGAAACATCCTGCTTTCTGACTAATCTCTGCTTAAGTTTTGAATATACAGGGTCGAGATCTGGTGGTGTATGAATATTCGAATCTGGTGAAATTGCAGCAATTGGAGCCATTATTGTATTAGAGCTTAAGAAACTAAATGTGAATTGCTAGTTGTAAATAGTCAGTATAAGGCTGTCGTAGAGAAACAGCAGACAAATGGTGATTCATTGTGAATTCGAGTGTTATTTATATATTACACACCAAATACATTGCATAGTTATGTCACAAGAGGATTGCAACCATATTCCATATCGAACTCTGCGATCCCCGGAAGAGTATCCTAAGTGGGCTAAGCATCCGCGAATGCTCGCTATTTCTCCTCAAACAGGCGCTAAATTTCTTGCTTGCTGCGAAATTTGCTTTCGGAATTTCATTTTTGCTTCCGGAGAATTCATCCCAGAGAGGGAATCCATCCCATGGATTAGGGGAAGGGTCCATGATTTGTGGGGTAAAACTACAAGAAAAGCCCACAAAAGGCATTGGAATGCAAGAATTCTAGTAACTATTATTTCTTTTAATAAAATTTCTCTTGAATAGACTGCTTGGTGCACGCAACAGGTCTATACTTTGATTCTTTAAAGTATTTCTACATTCTATAACGTTTACATGCGGGGTCACAAACAAGTACTACTCTTCTACTATCTGAATTCAAGAGATGGAGGATGTTGAAGGTATGCCATTTCCTTACTCTATTATTGTTTTGATTCTATAACAGTGGCAGCTCTTGCAGAGCACTGGAGTGTGGAGTACTCAAGACATCTGGGAGTCCCATGAAAACCCCGTTGTCAAACAAGTCCATTTGCAAAGAACCAAAGTAATCGTCATAGGAAAGAGTATTAAAATCCATGGTGGGAATCCGTGACAAGCTTATACTTGAGTTATCTATTGTCGGCTGGTTTTGAGTTTGCTCGACAAACTGCTCGGAGGTCGTCTGCCCTGAAAGAGCGCCATCTTGTAGAGAAGCAGCATCAAAGTTAGTCTCACCTTCATCCATCCTTATTTTCTTATTTTGTACTTCCAAGTTTTCAACACCTATCTTGTGCTTCAGTTTTCCCCCACCACCTCTTGTCTTTCGTATAAGTTTCTCTTCAAAATCCCTGGAAAGCTTACAAATTTCATCCACAATCCACCATTTGCTAGAATATTTCTCCAACGCTGCAAAAAAGTCATGTAGTTGGTACACATATGAAGCAGGGGTGCTAGCGGGATATTCAAATGTCTCCTTTTCAAGTCCGTTCCCGTCGCTCCTCCGTAAAATACTCTTGGCCTTTCGTTTTAAAGAAACTGCCATGGCCAATGAAAGACACCAGGGCAAAATGGGGATATTCATCATCAAACTAGGCTCCTGGTGGTTAATATACCATAAGATATTTTGCGACGCCTGGAATGCTATCGAATCAGGGATACTATTCGGAATATGTTTGTTGTCATACTTAGATTTTTGAGATGCTAAGATGATTACGTTATTCACTAGTCTTGTTAATAAATGAACAGTTGATGCCATGTACGTCTCAACTCCTTCATTGTTAGGTTCCACCTTTTCTTCCTCACAGAGACGAAACTCATTTTCTTTGAATTCATCCATGTTATATACTTCATTTCTGGGCTTCACTGTTTCTCTTTTGAAAGGTCTATAAATGTCTTCCAACATATTTTCTAAAGATTTGGCTACTTGAGTCAATTTCATTAAATTGATATTTTTCGGGAGATCAATATTGAAGTCTTTTTGTCTAATGAAGATCGATCTGCAGTTAATTAAAGCATTAAATCTATCGAATATGAAACAGATCCACCACAAGTTATTTAAATGGGAAATTTTCTCCGCTTCCAATTCCAGTAACTGACGCTTCATGTGGATTCCCATCAGAAAGGCCAAGTTAATAGCGTCAGTAAGATCGTGTGAGGCTTGCTCATTACCAAATCTATCATATCCGAAGTGCAAAGAGAGAAGTAAAGTAGTTGCCAATCTCGTCAATTTATCATAGTCACCCAATTGCGGAAGAACCAACAAGAGTTGTCTAATTTTATTTTCAAGGTCTCCAATGTAATCAATGTAAACAGCGTCATACAGACTGCCTGGCATCAGAAGGAGCCCATTTCTTACGAACATTGCTGATAAAATCGTGCTTGCAGAGCTATCCTTCAGGATAGCCAAAATCAATGCATAGAGACAAATGCTTGGTAAGAGATCAGCATAGTACTCTTCCCAAAAGGACAGCGGGTTCATAATTGGGAACACAGAGTTTATCTTGGTGAAGTAAATGTCGATCAACTGTCTAACTTCCACTGGCGTGAGCGCATAAGTTCCAGAAGTTAAAGAGAATGCATTTATCGAAGCCAAGTAATCATAAGTCCTCTTATCTCTTATATGGTGGGAATTAGATAATTTAATGGAAACACTAGTCGAACTGTGCAACGATCTAACATTCGAATCATCTCTGGGTTGATTCTTTTCATTTCCGGAGAGCTTATCCTTATAGCCAACATGGATTCCTGATTCATGCCAATACGTCTTATCGCTAATTTTGTCATTTATTACCACCTTGGGGTGATCATGGAACACATATTGATATGCCCGTTCCTCCAGCATACCCGATACATTAAAATTAAACTGTTTCTTAAGAAAGTATGGAGTAATCATTCGGACATCTACAATATCACTTGGTGCATATGGAAACTGAAGCTGCGATTGTGTAAGCTGTTGGCCTACCTGGGCCTCTTGCTGCTGCTCTACAATTGAAGGCTCAGGCGTTTTAGACTTAGCAATTTCATCCGCTTTTGCCTTGACTAATGAACACCCACTCTTACTCTTTATGCAATTGGCGCATCCATCGGAGCCCTCCACAAACAGACACTTGACTCTTTTCACCCTACACCTTTCGCAACATCGAAACACTCTCTTTCTGGTTTTATAGTTACTATCAAAGGCTGGAAACACAAACATCGAATGGAATGCAAAATATAGACGTTAGTACGATTAAGATCAGTGGTAAAAGAATAAACTACAACATTCGAACTGCTTCGTTCTCGTTAATCATGCTTTATTTTCCATGTCGAAGCCGCACGTACTTCGGAAAAATTGGAGAAACGAAGTGATTCGCTTGGGCCCCGTGATAGTCTTTGATGGTGATATACACCTTTAGATGCCGAATTTAGGACATGCTTCTGTGAAATAGTATTATGAGCTTTTAAAGATGTAATCTAGAGGAGAAATCCGATTTTCAGGCCGATTTGTACTGTAGGTGTATCTCGGGCCTACCTTGGGTGCAAATCTTCGGTGATGGAGCAGATTGAGCGAGAATTACCACGAATGAAGGACGTTCAGCCTTAACACCGCACACAGACTTCAAGTTCACGTGTGCTTCCAGTGACACTGAAGTAGCGTATGAGAGCCATCTCTTGATTTTGTAACAGAGTCTCTCTCTGAGCAAGCGCCTGCTGCCCTGGGTGTGTCGTGGTGTGTAGATAGCAGATCCATCGATCCTGCACATTAGTCTAACATGGCTATCAAGATGAGGAAGGGCCACCCTGCCTTAGCAATATACTGGTTTCTTTACCAGCGTACCATGACCACTAACCATAGACCTACATTGGAAGCAAAGCGAGGTAAGTCGCAGTCTATACGAGATACTATTTCTCATTCTAGAGCCTTGCCCCAGCAAACCCAGTTGAAGTACAGATCTGATATAAGCATAGAAGAAGGTACTCGAGCTGTGGAAGAATTAAAAGCAGAGTTAAGCGGAAATAAAAGAATAGCCACAGAGAGCTTAGTACCCTTGAAAAGAAGAAAAGAAGATGAAGTAATAATCCCTAAAGAAACGAAAGAGTTAATAACTGCTTCCTCCAGGGGCGATGACGAGGCAGAATCTGACTCAGAAGTACCATCGGAGTCAGAGTCGGGGTCCAGCCTGAGCTACGATTCTCAATCAGATTCTGATTCAGATGATGAAGACGAAACTGCTGCTCTAATAAAAGAGCTACAGAATATCAGAAAGGAAAGGGAAATCAAAAAGAAAGAAGAAGAGGCAAAAATTACCAAAGATGCCGTTTTGACGGGTAATCCTCTATTAAATATAGCTTCACCCTCGACTAATAGCACCGGAGTAAAGAAAAGCTGGAGAAACAGTACTGCTTTCAACTCAAAATCTTCGGCAATGAATGAGACCGCTAAAAACGACGATGAAGCTTACACCAATAACTCATTGAAATCCGATACTCATAAGAAGTTCATGTCTAAGTACATACGATGATTCTTCTAGATCCACAGCAAGTCCTGGCTACTAGAAGATCACATTTGTTCTAATCATTTTACAGAGGGCCCTCCCTAATTGTATCAGAATTTTTTTTTTAAAGCTTCTTTTAGTTATATAATATACACATACAGAACTATTATCAAATTAATGCTAACATTCTTAATTTTTTATGGATGGCAATATGCCAATTTTCACTAGGTTTTTCTAGAAGAAGCCCCATAGCGGCTGGCTTTCAGGTTCAATTATTCTACTTGACGACTCAATCTAGCATTTAGGTTAGCAATTTCTTCCTTCAAAGTTGCTTCCTCGACAGTCTTGACTAATTCCTTAGTGCACTTGGCGATATCAAATGAAATACCAGCCAATCTTTGTTTGAAATTCTTATCAGCAAAAGTAGCATCGGATTCATCAGGATTAACCTTACACAAAATATTCATACGGTGACTGCAATCCTCCAAACTTCTAACGACCCAACTACCATGCTCCTTCAATTGGGCATTACGGGTTTGGTTCATAGACGTATTGGTAGCTTCTGTCATTTGTGATATAACATTTGTGATAGCCCCAGCCTTACTTCTCAATACATCCTTAGTGACTTGTGGATGCTTAATAGCCGATAACAATGACTGAGTTGTGGAAATGACTTTAACAGTTTGATTTTCTAAATAGAGTAAAACTTGAGTTAACGTGTTATCTGGATCGTCAATATCGAACAAATCAACATTGAATGTTGCTGCAGCCATAGACTTACGGTACTCTTGTCTTTGTCTTGCTTCTTCTTCTTCTGGGTCCTCTTCTTCACTTTCATCGTCGAATTCATCATCATCATCTTCATCGTCATCATAAGTTGTATTGAGATGCGCAACTTGAGCGGGCATAGGCGATATGTTGACTGATTTCTTAACTGGAGCGATTGTATCTACAGCTTTGCTTGATGCCTGTGGCGACTGGAAAGTGCTGTGGAAGCTGGCCTTGGAGTCAGCTTTTGAATCTGTAGATTGAGTCCTTCCCAATGATTTTGGTTCATCAATATTAACCATATTTACTTTGTGCTTCAGGAAATTCATTACTGATGACTTAAGTTCTTTAGCAGGAGTGATAGTAGCAGTCTCACTCTCATTTTCATCTTCGTCAATGTCTCCGTTTTCCTGGGAGCCCAACTTTTGTCTGATAGACAGGAAGAATCCTTTACCTGAATCTGATTTCACCGATGAAATAGAATGGTTATCATTGTATGGCGTAGTTTGATTAGTTGAGTTTAAATCTCTCTCAGCCATAGTATCGTTTACTGAAGTGTCGACCTTTTCATCAGAGTTATTGAGATCTTCATTGTTGTCAGCTGACACAAGCTTCTCTCTTAAACTTTGAAAAATTCCTTTTCCTACTGGCTTTGGCTCAGATTCTTCAATTTTATCTTTCCTACTACCATTGGCCCTGAATGCTCCAGACAATCCCCTGTCTTCTTCTGATACCTTTTTGAGACTTTCTGGAGATCCATTGATGCCTCTAGTATAGTCATCATTTCTCGGAGAAGTTTCGAATTGTTTCACCTTGTCAAATATACTATTATTTGATTTTGTAGGTGTGATTCTAGATGGAGAACTGTTCGGAGATGATTCTGCTTGATTACTTAACCTTTTGGACAAATATGCAACACCTGATCCAATTTGTGCCCTGGGTGGAGTACCCTTTGGCTTTGGTGTTACTTCCGGTTCAACTTCTTCACGTTTTCTATCAAACCTCGAACTTAAAGATGAGATTCCTTTGGCCCTAGAAGAAGCATTTGAATCATTATCCACCTGGGTTGGAATTATTTTTGGAACAATTATTTCATGTCTATCGTTAGTTGGGCTCAAATTGCTTTGCTCTCTCAATCTATTTGCCATTCTCAAAGGCCTGACTCCGCTGTTTATCGCTTCATCATTCTTCTGAATGACTTTTAAACCACCACCATACTTGTTATCGCCTATTTCATTGATGTTCAACTTGGAGATTGAAATTAAGTCGCAGAGACAAAAGCAAATTTCTCCCAAGGATCTCTCAACAATGACTTTTGGTAAAATATTAGAATATACGGCGTAGTATCTAGTTGAAGTCAAAGCATAACTAACCGCTTCTCTAAGTAAAATAGAGTTCTCATTGCTATTGAGACTTGCATCGTCACCTTGAGCTGCAATTGCATTGGCAGTTACAGATATTTTAGAGATCTTTTCGAAAAGGAAATCAGAATCAAACGTATCATCATTGTCAAGATAGTTCAAGAAAGTTTCCACAAAGGCTAGAAGGTCAGCAACTAACTTGAACGATATTGAACCTTGGGGTGAAATAAATGGCTTTAAATCATCACTTTTCATAATTTTAGTCTGCAAATCCTTGGAAATATGACCAGAACGGACTTCTTCATATTTCAGTTGCCATTTAGCCACATCCATCTTTAGATCAATGACAGACTGCTCACCTCCCTTTTTAACCGCAGATCTACTAGTATCGATGTTACCCAATTGTTCGAGCAATCTTTCTACGTCCTTTTTGACAGCTCCAGAGTTAGCTGAGCCGCTAATTTGGGTAGTAGGAGAGCCTTGATCTAATTGAATTTGCTTTTGTTGCAATTGCAGTGCAAAATCGGTGGATGCAGTACGCTGTTGTCTATCCTTAGATACACTGTTCTTCAAAGACTGGTTTTCCAATCTAAGAGCACCAAGGGATGACTTCAAAGTTTCATACTCAGTTTTGTGGATGTAATTTAGTTGATTATCTTCTATTTTCTTATCGTAAACATCCTTTTCAGTTAGCCATTGGTTCTTGGATGAACTCAATTCTTCTAATTCTTTACTTAACTCTTTGTTTTGAGTATTTGAATAATCATACTCTTCTTGGAGAAGTTTGATCTTGGACTCGAGGTGATCTTTGTCATGTTGAGCTTCTTCAAGCTTAGCCTGGAGGGAGTTCACCAATGTGTCAAGCTGAGAATTCTTTTCATTGAGTTCCTTCAACTCGGCAACCGACTTTGATGAGACGGGTTCGACGGCACTAGCAGCTGAAGCTCCCGATGCAAAGCCGGCTGCAATACCTGCACCATTGGCATCTCTACCGTTTCCAGTGTCACCAACGATAGATCTCTTATTTACGCCGTTAAAACTGTCATCATGAGCACCATTGAGGTCTTCTTCGTCGTCTTCTTCATCACTCGACCAAGTCAAGTTAGCCTTCGACGGAATAACGGTCGTAGATTGCACACCAATGGAAGGCTGATGGTCAGTCTGTCCACGAGGCAGTTCAGATATCAGATGCTGTTGTTGTCTCATCAGCGAGGCACTCTGCATCAGTTGGTGTGGTTGCTGTTGTTCCTTCAGCCCTCTAGTGCCAATAGAAACGTTTCTCGAGTGGTCGAAGGAATTTATATGACTACCAACATCTGCAGATTGCTGACGGTTATGACTGAATGATTGGTTACTGTGACGGCTGTCCGAAGATGTGGACATGGTATTGTGCGAGTTTGTCTTGTTATTATTATTGTTATTAGTATTAGTATTGTTAGCATTCACGGCCGGGACGTGGAGGTTTCTACGCTCAATTTCGTACGAGATGTCCAGGACCAAATCTTTAAACCTCGATTGGGGTAAGGAGCTTAACTTCTGTCTCGCTTGATTTCTCTTCGGGTGGAACGAGGACTTGGGAAGAAGGAAGTCTGGTTCTCCCCTCGACTCGTCTATTCTTCGTCTCAACTCGTCATACACATCAGTACTCAATTCTCTGAATTGGGCGCCAGAAAGCTTCAATAACTTTTCTCTGGCTCGGGCCGCTCTTGAAGAGTTAGTTCGGGTCTTATTGCTCAGATCATCTGAAATCTCCAAGAACTGCTTAAGCATCTTGTGATGGAGCACAAGGTCCCTCTCACTCATGTTTCGTTACTTAGGCGCTACAAAGACTGCGGGGGTGTACAAGTTGTAATAAAATATGAAAGCTCCTAGCTAAGAATGCTCCTGTGTTGTTACACTTTCACTTAAGGATTTTCCCTTCTGTGAATTCTGAACAAAATATTTTTTTTGTGACAGTTCAGCGTGTTTTTTTTTTTTTTTTGTTTTTCTCACCGCAGATTTTGGTGCGTAATGAAAGGGGAAAGTTCGCATGAGCTGCTAAGTTTAGGGAAGAAAGGCACTAAGCATGCTAAGCGATGGGAAGAGATGATGCGAGAGAAAGGGCAGAGACAAAAGGTACAAGAGTGACGAAAACGGCAGAAAGGAGTGTGTTTACACGGTCTAAGAGATGGTTAGAGCAGTTTGAGACATGTTTGGGGACGGAAAACGAAGGGTAAGTCCCTTTTTGATGCACCTTCTTGTTTCATTTATCGTTGTTCCTTGGTTCCTTTTCGCTTCCCTTGGTGCATTCCTCAAACAATTACGCTCACTAAATTTTTCTTTTTTCCAGTATCAAATTGCGACCAACCCCCCCCAAAATGACGCGACTCAATTTCTGGCTTACAATAAAATTAAGGTATATGGATCTGCTACATACAGAATGTGGCAGGGGGCTACATGCCAAAGTCTTTGTACCGTTGGGGCCACTTTTAACACTTTCACTGGTGCAGCACTTGCTGTGCTTTGTTTGTTTCCTAACAGGCCTGTAGATGCTAAGTTGTATTGTTTTCTGTTCCACTTGTTCAGCATTGTTTGTATTTTTTTTTAGTTTTTTTTCTTTTTTTTGACGTGTTTTTTTTTTGTTGTTTAGCGTAGTCGGGCGAGCCAGTGAAAATTATTCCAAGCCTTAGGCTGTGAAATTAGAGCGTGGTGTATGCAGGTACGATTTGCACCCAGTTCCGTGGCTAGAGAGGGCAGAAGGGTAGAGCTAGGGCAGGAGGGTCAGGAATGGGCAGAAGGATAAGACATGGACAGAAGGGTGTCAGCTTGGTATCGGCTCAGTCCGTGCTAGTTGACTCGCCGAAACAGGTTTGACGTCTGTTTCAAGATTGCTCACTTTTAGCGCTGCGACACAATCTTGTGTGGAGCGTGAGGTTATGCCGATTCTGGTCAGAAGATCGTGCTACTAGCTAAACCAGCTGTCTCAAAGTGTGAGCATTTCTGTTTCACTACAGATTAAGTTTCAGACACCTTCCAAGTGCCTTATATCGTACATTTGATCAGACTACGCTGATCTACTGTAACATCCCCTCCTTCTCAGCCTTTCGTTTTACCTTTATGCCGCAGAACTGAAACATCTTGTGAAAATCTGTCTAGTCTTGTGACCAAACTGGGTCAGAATGCTGAGACACAGATGAAGCATCACTACGATTTCTTAGAGAGTAATATGCTTTTGTCTTCCATTTCCTTTTCTCTTGCTCCTCGTATTGTACAATCCCTAGGGCCCATGTTGTAGAGTGTCCACTTGAATCGGGGTTTCAGCCCATTCTCTCCGTACCTACACACAGTTTCGCCTATAGCGGCGTCCCTATACACCGATTCACCTACAATGGCATTGTCACCTGGCCCCCATCTAGTCGCTAATTACTTTTCGTCGTTTCTAAATACACGCTATGTACAATGTAATCTAATTCGTCAACTTTCTCATCTCTTCTCCCTCATCTTATTTCGGCCCACTATCTCTGTCTCACTTTTCCTGGATCCGACTCTTTATGCTATGTTCCCGCTACTTCTTGAGACTGCTTCGCTGTTTCAGAAAACTTTCTCTACTTTTATCTTTCGTCTATATATCACCACGTCTTATGTTCTGCTCAACAAATTCATTGGCTATGTTCTCAATCAGAGGAGTACCTTCAATGAGCTTCTCTTCAATGAAATTTTCGGCTGCTGTCTTACCATGACTGAACCCGATAGCACCAATCAAAGCAAACATCATCTGCCCACTCACCTTCAATTCACCACTTTGAGCAAAGCTCAAGTTATGATTATACGATTTCCAAAACATCACGGTGTTTAATTTATTTACTTGTGCAAAAATGGCCAAAGGTTCTCTTTCACCCAAAGCTCTAGGCAATGGCATCCCAATGGAATCTAAATTCTTACCGTTAATGGCAGTTTCAGTGTTTGTGGTGGGTTTGTTTGTAATGTGTTTGAGACAGTATAAATTATACAATTTGCTTCCGAGGGCGGCCAATTTTTCGTTGTATGGCTTGATTCCATTTCCAAACGACTTGTGAGTTAACACTTGGAGTAAGAGGTTGTCAGATATGGGGTATGATGAGCCGAGAAATGTCTTGAGAGGCTGCAAATTCTCCTCAGTGGTCCCGTATACAGACCCACTTTCAGTTTTGAAGATTTCTTCTGGGTTTCTCTTAAGTCCTCTAACTCTTTTGCCGGAATGTAAGTAGATAGATCTGGAAAAAGTAGTTTGGCACAATCCTCGCTGGATGTGATTTACCTGTTTGAACATTGCTGACTTAAAGCTCTGATGTGAATTACCGCAGAGGTGAGGTTTTCTCTAGTGTTTTCTTAGACCGGCCGGGACTATTCTAATGCCTTTGTCTTTTACTAAACAAGGTCTCTACACAAGTCTACGCTTTGGTTTCGATTCAGTTTCATGGCCTCTTTTTTGCAATTTTTTTTTTCTTTCGGTGAAAAATTGTGCACAGTGCGGCTTTGTGTAATTTTCACTCTAGCGACTACATGCAGGACCACCAAATTTATTTCTCTCTATCAACAGGCGATGGGATGGATGGGATGAGATGAGGTAGAGGTACAGTGATCTACAGATTGACATTGTTTACAAGACTACTAATAGTGGGACGTCAACATGGATATATTTAGAATATTGAGCAGAGGTGCTTCGTTGAAGAAATCGAAGAGTGTCACCACTGACTACTCATTACCTTCAGACACTCAAGTGAGCAGCCAAAAGAAGAAAGAAGAATCCATCAAGCATCAGGTTGACAAAGAAACAGACTTCTTCCATACCAAAAGCCACCATAGTTCTGAAGCCAAGGACGATAAAATAGACAGAGAAGTGGCAGAGGGTGACAAAATTCCACCTCCGCAAATCTCAAACCAAGATGAAGCAGCCCTTTTACGTAAGGCTAACAAATCCAAGGTCACTGGGTTGGACATCCCTTTGCCCATCGGTTCGTTCCAAGATTTAACTTCCAGATTCCAATTCGAGAAGAAGCTTCTCTCAAATCTCATTGAGGCTGAGTTCGTGGAGCCTACGCCGATCCAGTGTGAGTCCATCCCTATTGCATTGAACAACAGAGATCTCATTGCCTGTGCCCCAACAGGTTCTGGTAAAACATTAGCATTTTTGATTCCATTAATCCAAGCCGTTTTGGACTCGCCAAAGCCTTCCAAGCTCCACGGCATTAGAGGGTTAATAATATCGCCCACCAATGAATTGGCTACACAGATTTTCCAGAACTTAGAAGTCATTTCCAGATCGTTTCTATCCAGTAAGAAGTTGAACATTGCCATCTTGTCTAAGCAGTTGGCCAACAAGCTCAACAACAACATTATAAATTCGTCTAAGTACGATATCATAGTGTCCACTCCATTAAGATTAATTGATATCGTGAAGGCTGGAAAGATAGACCTTTCGAAGGTGGAGCAGCTTGTTATCGACGAAGCTGATAAGTTATTCGACCATGGATTCGTGGAGCAGACAGACGATATATTGTCACACTGTACTAATAACAGCATCAGAAAGTCTATGTTCTCTGCAACTATCCCATCTTCAGTGGAGGAAATGGCGCAGTCCATAATGAGGGACCCCATTAGAGTGATCATCGGACACAAGGAAGCTGCTAACAACACCATTGAGCAGAAGTTGGTGTTCACAGGTAACGAGGAAGGAAAATTATTGGCTATTAGGCAGATGATCCTGGATCTGGAATTCAAGCCCCCAATTATCATATTCTTGCAATCTATCACCAGAGCGAAGGCATTGTTCCATGAGTTGCTCTACGATAAGTTGAATGTAGATGTGATCCACGCAGAAAGAACCCCCAAGCAAAGAGACGAAGTTATCAAAAGATTCAAAAAAGGTGACGTTTGGGTGCTTATAACCACAGATGTGTTGGCTAGAGGGGTTGATTTCAAGGGAGTCAACTTGGTTATAAATTACGACGTGCCTCAGAGCGCCCAGGCTTACGTTCACAGAATTGGTAGAACTGGAAGAGGTGGTAAGGTTGGTAAGGCAGTCACCTTTTTCACCAAGGAAGATAGCTTGGCCGTTAAGCCTATTTTGAACGTCATTAAGCAGTCAGACAACTCTAACTCCACCTACAGTGCATGGATGGAGGATTTAGACAAGCTCACCAAAAACGAGAAGCAAAAGATCAAGCAACACTCTGTGAAGAGAAAGCAGATCAGTACTGTGCCAAAGGTGGTGAAACAGAAGAGAAAGCGTAGAGAAGATATGATAGAGGGATCCAAAAGAAGAAAGGAGGAGGAAGCCAAAGCAGAGAGCTGAGCTGCAGCAAGTGCTGAAGCGAAGCCGAAGAGGTTGCTATACCAATATAGTACATGTGTACACCTTAGTAGCAAATAGACATACCACTAACTCAGTCAGAAGCGA